ACTCACGCACTCGAAATGAACTTCAGCGGCCCGGCCACTTTCAATGATTATAATTTTGGATCAATTTTGGTTAATTTGGGGAGCAGCTGTTTATAAACTTCGAAATTCAAACGTGTTTTCGGGCTCGAGTGCGCAGAAAACGCCCAAAAACCAGCTTTTTTCTGAAAAAAAATGAAATTTCTTGCAAAAAATGAGCAGGAGCTCCTAAAAACGCTCATAAAAAACTTACACGGGCGTGGACTCGTTAGGCATTCTCCCCAGTCATTCTAGCGACCACAGAGCGCGTGGGTATCTTTCGTCCTGGTCAGGTTCAAGTGGCACCCTAAATCTGTTTTTCCTAACGGGACAGGGTGGAAAGACAGATTGGAAGGCGACGCAACCAAGTGCTTGAGGTTTCTTCATCTATGCGACACCGCGGTTTGATGCATAAATTGACGATCTAGTTTTTCAGCACGATTTTTTCACAGATTTTTCAGAATATTTTTATATCGGGATTTTTTGTAATTATTTTTAATATTTTTTTCGATGAAAAAAGTCGAGTCTTGAATATTTCTTTGTCACGTTCTTTTGATCTTTTGAACCTTTTGAGCCGAAAAAAAGCCTGATGAAAAACAGCTCAATCAACGAAAGTACGGAGAAGAATCGTCGCATGAGGCCTTAATCCCCTTATTGTTATGTAATGTTTGTCAGTTGAGCAAAGTGCCTGGCCCATCAAAAGGACAACTAGCGGTTCAACGATTGAGTGAAAGAAAATCAAGCCCAAACATGAGCATTACTGTACCTCTACGTTTCGAGACAATTACCCTTAAGCTAATTAGTAAAGTCTTTTTGAGTTTTTGAGAAAACGCACATTTTAAAAGGGGGTGTTTGATGTTACAGATGTTGTTTTCCGCGCAACAATCGTTGATTGATTAAGAACCCAAATCGATGTCTATTTAAAATAGACTTATTAAACTTAATTTCCTGTAATGTCACGTTTCTTTCGCTTTTTTGATAATTGTTTCTCGGAGTTTATGTAATGGTAAGTTCGAGAAAATGAAAACAAAGCAAGGTTTTTATAATTAAAAAGGATGAACGAGTAAATTTCTTTGAAAAAGTTGAATTCAGATGTTTAATTGCTTTATGAAAGCGGTCTTATATCAGTGTTATGAGATTAAAGACCGAGTTTTTTTATGTGAACCAGAGAAATTTTCCTAGTACAGGAGGAAATTCAGTCAAACTGGGGCTAAGATTGTGATTGAAATAAAAATTTATTGCCGAGCTTATCAGTATTGTTATCGGGTGAAATTTTGATCAAGTAGGCAGGCTGGGTCGCTGCTAGATAATTCAAATTTTCAGCTGTTCGTTTTCATGTTTGGGAATATGAGAACATTCGAAATAGTCACTCTAAGTCGTATTTTTGAGATAAACCTGAATTTGGAAAAATATGAAATTTTTAGAACGCGACAGCTCAAAAACAAGAGGTTTTTTCAAATTCTCTTTTTGAACTTGATAAAAATGTGCTTTTTTTCGCTTGACAAAGAATGGTTGATGAGCTACAAGTCATTTTTCAAACAACTTCGTCTAGCATCAGTCCAACAACAGCATCAGCAACACTCTCGCCAGACAAAACAATTTTTCCATCTTTTCAAACAGCAGCACCATACAACTGGAACAACAAATACCATGAAAACAACAAGTTAAACAATAATCTCATCAACAGATACAAATTTATATCTGATACAAGCAACTCTTTTAACCTCATCTTCTTTTTTCTTTTCCACCAAAAACAACAATAATCAAAATTTCAACATCGGGTTCATTCGCAAAAATCATCCTCAATGAAGAAAAATTAATAAAGAGCATTGATCATCGAAAAATCATTGATCGAACATGCCAATTTTATACTGTAAAGGACTAAAAGGTTATCCAAAAGGCTTGTTTCTGCGGTATTTGCTGATGAATGTTCCAGCTCAGTCAGCAGTACTCACTCTTGGATTAGTCAGCAACCACAGTGCGACCTTCTAAAATCGCATCTCCGTGGTAATTAGTACACGAACACCAATCTGCCCTGCATCTACTCATCATCACTGGAATTTCGCTGTCTCAATAATTATTTTATTCCTTGTACAACCACGTCATTATTGGTCTTTTTCTTGACGGGATGAAAAAGTCTCTTTTGTCGTAATTTCCTGAAAGTCAGAGTATCAAGAAAGACCCTGTGCACACAGGGTGTCGAACCCGTTACTTACCTGGACGACGTAGATCATTGACAGTTCTGCCATGAACCAGATCATCGAAAGAAAGGGAAGAAGAAGCAGATTTATCGACTGAAAAAAAGAAGAAGAGAATTCGAATGTTCATTTTTGAAGTTTTCTGAACTCGAAGCTGCTTTTAAATACTTTGAGTGATATTTTTTCTGGTGATGCAAACAGCATTAATTTTTCAAACAAATTCGCAAGTGCGATTTCCTCAGCACGTTGCTTTTGTTTGTGGTTCTTTCTGCGTATCTTTTCGATAAGGGTGTCATATAAGAGTAAAAAGGAAAAAAGCAACCCTTCAAAGCTTATTTGAAATATAAAATGCCATGAATAATTGATCAGGAGGGCTAAAATAGGTGAAAAGATAAACAAAATGCTTGCGTGGACTTTTTCTGAGAAAAAAAAAAGAGTGACTCCCTTATTTTACTTACTGTCTCTGAAGATATTCGGTCATTGATGACCGAAAAGAAAAGCTTACGTGTAAAAGTATTATTTCCAGCGAAATTCCGGAAAAGGAAGTGGTAAATTGACATCTTCATTTTTCTTCCAAAACCAGTCAAGCAAAATAAAACTCTAAAGCGGAAGAAAAACACGGAAATTTCATCCTCACTTCCGCCGGAGTTTCAGGAATTTGTCCGCTGAGACCGTTAAAATTCTCTTATTGAACAGTTCCGCCTGTTTTTTTTTTGCGAATTTTTCACGTGACAGTTAAATGTTATTAGTCGACATATTGGATGCCTCCTGAAAAGTGATCATAGCGTTCTTTAGAAAAAAATATTTTTAGAAGATTGCGCCTGCAAGCTATCAATCATGGTTTCTTACGCGGCGCGAAATTTCTTTCTTGCATAAATTCATGCTTCAAGATGCTTTTAACTAGAATACAACATCGGCGAAGAACGTTTTTGAAAAATTATTGCTTTGGGTGCAACAAAAATGACTGTCTTTTCATGTATCTGTCAACAGATTTACAATCCTCTCTGTATCCTCTAAGGATGAGTTTATCAGAGGGATCTTAGGACGCGACAAAAAAGGAGAGTTCGAAAACCAGTATTTACTTTAGTAAACCCTTGAAACCCTTATTTTTCTACCTTTTTCAAGACTTTTAAGATTCTATCATTTACGGATAAGGCTACGTGGCCCAAGGTGAAAGAAGGGGACACATGCAGGAAGATTGATGATCAGCAAGGCTACCCCCTATTTAACTTATTTTTTAGAAAAAATATTTCTTGAGCCCCTTTTGAGACCAATTTCGAAACCAGTTCTTTTTGCAGGTGTGATTTATCTCCGAAAAAATCCCGTGAATACAAATCTGAACGAGCGAATCTGGTAAAAGAGCCGGGTAGACTTATGACAGTCTCTTTCGTAAAAGAGCAGCGCGGTCGATTCAGCATCAAATCCACGTGAACCGAAAATTGGCGTTCGGCTAAGACCGGCGAAGATGCTAATGCACGTTGCCAATTTTTTGCGATTCTCCTTATCTAATAATCGTTAATCCTCAAGTCAGAGAGCCTCTCGCTTTCAAACTGACCTTTCTGGGGTCAATTTGAGTAGCAATTTGGTCGCCACAGAACTTTCGAAGAATCAAACGTCTGAAATAAACTTTTTAATGATTAAAAAATTACTCGGCCTGTGTTGTTGAATAGAACTTGTTCCATCCGCTGCCAACTGCCGAAATTTGACCAGTGCTGCGGCGATAATGGCGCAGACGATTGCGGGAATTTTCAATTAGCGAAACAAGCCAGAAAAGATTGGCTCAGGGCAGAAGATGATTGCTGTCATTACCGAGGCACCAATTGAGCATCATCAAAAATCACAAGAGAGGAAACTTCTTTGAAGCTTATCTTTCTTGGAGAAGACGAAAAATGCCCTGAGAAAGCGATAACACTTGAAAACATGCATTTTTTGTGCAATCATGAATTTCAAACTTTCGTCCTGCCTAAGAAAAATCGCTTTTGAAGAAGCCTTTGTTAACAATTTTCATTAAACCAGTTTTCATGAGTGAAGGTTGATGATCTGCTCTTTTTTGAAATCCTTTCGGCAGGTTGGGCAGTCCTTCTCAAGAAGGCTGAAGATGCATCTGTGGCAGGATCAAACATGAAGCCAAGACCTTAGATATCTGCTGAAGCGGAGGTTTAGGTTAAGTTGGCCCAACTTAGTTGGACGACATGATTTTTTTCTTCATAAAAAGAAGATTTTGAAGCAATTTGGAATAAAAAGATTAAGCAATTAAATCATCCCTATCTAAAGAATAATCATCACATAACCGCCGTCTCATCAACATAAATCTTATTGAAATTGGTTGGCATGCTTCTTAATTATTCTTTGTAATAATCAAACGATGATAATCAAGTCGACACAATCGTCCTAATACAAGTATCGAAAACGCTGATGATTATTCAAATGACAATGCTGACGAATTTAACTCTTTGAAATCAAGGATGAGAATTTCCTTGGTTGCCCAAATCGAATGCATTTTCAAAATATTCTAAAAGGCCTTTTAAAGTCGTCATTATCTAAAAATAATGTATCCAAGTCAGCTGTCTTTTCTTCCGAATGAACAAATACATCAGACAAACGATTAAACACGCTTGATTTATAAAGATAATAGCTTTCAATCATTGAAAAAGGGTTGAACCGATAGACCTCCGTGAGGCTTATCCGTATTTTTCCTAGACACCTGCATATTGTTTTAATAGAAAAGGGAAGATTCAATTTCAATACTGCATTTATTCATCGCCAAACTGATTGATTCGCAAATAACTAAAAGGACAGTTTCGCATTTTCAAAGAATTTCTGAAGATCGTCAAAATCAGCGGCGTTGTGCCAGGAATGCTCGTCACCTTCGTAGTGAGCATCCATAGTTCGTCTTCTACGAGCGAATTCGTTTTCAAGCTTTGCTTCCAGAGATGGCTAAAAAAATTTTTTAAAAATTTTTTCTTTGCGCATTTTTTATTAATCAGGGCTTTACGATCTCTGAGGAATCTCTGTCTCGAAAAAGGGTATCACTATGTTAAATTTTCAAAAAACAAGCTTACATGAAAAGTAAAATCGAGCATTCCATCCAAACTTGGCATCGCCTGGGCAATTCCCGAAAGCAAAAACAAAGCTGAAACAAAAAATCTCGCCATTTCCTATTTTTTCGATTTCAGATGTGATTCTGACTGAAGAAGTCGTCATATTGAAGATGTTTATATATCCGATTGTTAGAGCGCCGCTGCTCTCTCTGACGAGCTTGATGGATTTAGCGATGCGCAAATTCGAAAGCAATCGCGGATTGATTTTGACACTCGAGCTGGGTCAGACCGTTTTGCCATTGTTTGAGCGTCATTATTCATTTAACAATTTTATTTAAGTTAATTTATTCGGATTCGGATTTGCAAACTGAATGCGAGGGAGAGTGCCGAATCGAGTACAATCGCTGCCGACTGCTCTGTGAAACAGAGTACTGCCAGTCAATATGCGAGCGGGAATACCAAAGTTAGTTCACTAAGCATCACAATCACGCAAGGTCTTAAGATTGCCGGGATCAATGTCAAACTTATCTTTGCGATGAAATAGCCTGTGAAAATGGTGGGATTTGCGTTGTGGAAGAAGGTGTTGGAAAATGCAGCTGCCAAGAGCCTTTTTTCGGTGACTCCTGCGAAAAACATCCTTGCGAGAAGTTAGACTGTCAGAATCAGGGAACTTGTGTTGTTGACTCTGGAAAGGCTAAATGTTTTTGTCTTTTTCCATATGAAGGGCTTTCTAGCAGCTCTTTAGAATTATTTCAAATTTCTTACATAGTAAGCAGGATTTAGAAAGCTCTATTAAGGGGGTAGAAACAGCTTTTTTCGAAAAAAGGCCATTTTTGACCAGCGCTACAGACAAGAAAATCTTATATTTTCAATTTTTCTCTTCATATTTAAATAGAAACATCTTAGATCTAGGAACATCTCCCTCGAAATTTGTTTTAGTCATCAAATTTTTGAGTAATGGGGCTCAGAAGCAACTCATCTCTCCGATATTCTCGATTTTCGCACATTTTCAACCTCGAATATCTAGAGTCACGTAAAAGGAAAACAAACTTCATTAATATTTTTGTGAAGCTTAACCCCTTTTTTAGGAACATTTATGAGGAAATTCTGTTAAGATAAATAAATCTGATGTTTTCTTATTTGTAGCTTCAGTCCAAAATCGAGAAAGCTGTTTCTACCCCCTTAAGATAGGAGATAAATGTCAAACTCATCCCTGCGATGAAATTATCTGTGAAAATGGTGGAAATTGTGTGGTGCATGAAGGTGTTGGACAATGCAGCTGCGAAGAGCCTTTTATTGGTGACTTCTGCGAAGAACATCCTTGCGACGAGTTTGAGTGTCACAACCATGGAACTTGTATTGTTGACTCTGGAGTGGCAATATGTATTTGTCCGTTTCCATATTCAGGGCTCTCAATCAGCTGTTTCAAATTATTCCATTCTCGTTTCGTAGTTAGCCGGACTCAGGGAGCCCTGTTAAAGATAGGAGATAAATGTGAAAATCACGTCTGCGACTGGATTGAGTGCCAAAACGAGGGAAACTGCGTCGTTCAAGATGAAATTATTAAATGCGACTGCCTTGCTCCTTTTTTCGGGAGATTTTGTGAAAAACATCCATGCGATGATTTTGATTGCGGAAATCAAGGAAATTGTATTGTTGAATCTGGAGATGCTAAATGCGTTTGTGACTATCCATATCAAGGGCTCTCTATCAGCGACTTTATTGAAAACTATAGTCTATGGACTATTTTTGCTGATATATTTCTGATTGAGCAGCTCTCAATGAGCCCCGAATAAAGACAGGTGATGAATGTCAAACTCATCCTTGCGATGGAAAATTTTGCGAAAACGGTGGATATTGCACTGTTCAAAATGGAGCTGGTACATGTTATTGTCAGGAACCGTTTTTTGGAAACCTGTGTCAAAATCATCCTTGCGATGGAATATTTTGTCAAAATTATGGAAACTGCGTCATTCAAGATGGAGTCGGCCAATGCAAATGCCCTGATTTTTACAGTGGAGACCTCTGCCAATGCCCTCCACAGTATATAACACCAACGAGCAGCTACGACTGGCACACAGCTAAAGCCCACTGCGAAAGCATTGGAGCTTTTTTGGCATTCTTTCGAAACGAAAATGATTTAAATCATTATCAATCTGTTCCCCACGATAGTCAAGAATGGATTGGATACTACCAAAAATATCCCGATAATAATAATATCTACGAAACTGTTGATGGAGAGGAGGCAATTTTTTACAATTGGGATGTTGATGCGGGTAAGCCAAGCAGTACCTCTAGACGATGCGTTAAAATCAAAACCGACAAAGGTTATCTTATGCATGATTTCGATTGCAACGGCGTGAGAAAATTTACTTGTCAGAGATCGCAAAATTGCTGATGCCATTCATGGACTCTTGATGCAAAATTCCTCTTTATTTGTGCAATGAATATTTTTATCGAACATTTATTCTTGACTAAACTTATAAAAATTATCTTGATTCTTTACAATAATACATTTCCATACTTGAAATCATACTTGAAAAAATTTCGGCTTCAAAGTTCAAGTTAGTTTGTGTATTTAGATGAGATTAGTTATGTTTGACCTCTCCCATCTTTCTTTTTTTCAGAAGTTCCGACCGCCAACTATTCAATAAGAATGTAATGTATTGACGATTTTTAAGCGCAAAAAAAGCGAACGTAGGACAAAATTTTTCCTACTGACTTAAAAAAAGAGAGACAAAGTCGAAAAAACTGAAATGTAACTAAATGAATAAAGGTAGTGTTTAAGGTTCTCATAAAATTAAGGGGGTCACTGTTGAGAAGAGCAGCTTACAGCGCGACTTTGAAAGACTGACACCCATATTCATCAAGAACAGGGGTTGTCTTGACGATTATTCTGCTTGAAAATCTGATCCTTTGTCGAAAGAGCCTTAAATTTTCACCCCTCTTCCCACGGCTAAAATACGGTATCCACCCGCGGAGTCAAGCTCATATGTTTTGCATAATTAAGCAAATTGTCAATGCGCTGATTACCAATATCCAGAATATTAGCCGTTTACTTCATCTTTCCCCTTCCAGTAAATTTATTCAAACTCGGTAAAAGAATCTTGTCTATAACAATTTTAAAAAGTAAAGAGGATTAGGATCGACAAAAACACAAGTAAGCAATAATTTAATCAAGCGAAAAAACTCATTTGGCCGGAGAAAAAATCGTACGTGAGCGACGAAAAAGAGAGTAACTACTTTAATGGATAATAAGAGCAGTTTAACATGTCTTTTTATGGTTTTATAAACGATTAATCGCTCAACTTTCCCATCAAAATTCTCAGAGCGTAGTTTGAGCTTGAGAGGGTTAAATCGAAGAAAATTAAGAGAAAGGATAATTTTCTTGAAGAACGTTGAAGGTAAAATTTTAGAAGTTTTAAGGAAGTCATGTAACGTTAGGGTTAAAGTTAGGACTCGTTTATGGCAATAGGAGATTCTTTTCGTTGAAATTTTAAATGAAAAAATTTTCAAACTTCATACTCTTAGGCTCTTTTTTACAACGAAGGGTTTAATCTTTCTTTTTGTGAATAAAAATAAGGGTGTCACAGCGTTAATTTTTGATTAAAATAGTACCAAAGATTTTTCTGCTCAATTTTTACCAGAAGAATCATCTTCTTCAACAGAGATGAAATTAGAAAAAAGAAACGTCATTTGCCAAGAATGCCAAATAGAATGACAGTTAAGAGTAGTGATGATTCCATTAGCAGAAAAAGTTGAAGAGGTACTGTTGTAAATAATTCAACTCGCTCTGTCATATTATGCCGTAAAACCGACTCATATAACAATATCCTCAACTCAAGAGAGTTCCATACTACTAGAGGGAGCCGAGCAGTTCTTTATTTTATTCGAAGTAAAATCAGACAGATCCAAAAACATTCTTTCTTTTTATACAATTTTCAAATCGTCTTTTTTTGAAAGTAGAGAAGGGGAGAGATGGATGCGCTCTTAAAACTAGGCCCGGTTGAAACCCCATTTTGAACCCTTTTTTAGGTGAAAAATATAAAAAGAAAACATGTTCAACCCGAGTTTGGATCACATTTGCGCTTGCCAGAAATACTACCCAAACTTCAGCAATTTTGAATTCGACTTCGGAGCACCTGGAGAACCCTCTTTTTCTGACTCAGATTCTCAACTATCCCTTGCTGCTGTCTCCAGTGCTGACTCATCGTATTCTTGGTCCGGGTTAGTCAGAATCTGTTGCGAATTTGTTAATTGGTAGGTTTGATGAGGGAGCTTTCGATGATGTCCCGGATATCGACCAAAATCAACTGAACAACGTCACCGTCGGAAAACAAGCGATTCTATGGATTTCGCTACTTGTTGGGGCTCCATTGAACATCATCATTTTGATCGTCACCCTTTCAAACTGGCAGAGGAAATTTTCAAGCTCCGCGCTTTTTGTCGTCCATCTTTGTATAGGAAAAAGTCATCAACAACAAAAAAATATGATTCTTTTTTTCATGGTGACCTTTTCAAAAAGCGGATTTGTTGATTTGCATCCACGCGTTTATCAATCTTTACGACAAAAATGACCTTGCATCTTCCGGTGGAATTCTTATGTAAGTACAGAATGATTTGAAACAATGCACGGAGGAATTTTAGGTGCATTTATATGGAAACATCGACTCAGTTCTTCATCTGTCTTTCTGTATTTTCGCTGGCTGCGATTGCTTTTGATCGATGCGTTCACTTGGTTTCACATACTTTGTCGCGGATTTCAGTGAAGAATCATTATTTCTTATTTGGAATGGTTTGGGAACGGGTGAAAAAATTATTTTTGGAAATTGAAACCATAAAACAAGACAATTTTCTTTCTTATTTCAATTTTTAAAATAGTTATTTTGAGGGAATTAGCTTTTTTGATTGTATATTCATGACATTCGAGTAGTCTTCCTTGATTTTGTCGACTAATTTACCCCTTCATAAGGTTTTGAGCATAGCCCTGGTTATACCACAGATCATGATGGCGGAAATGCACGAAACATATCAGTGCCGAATTGTTTATTCAAAATATACAGAAGAAGAATGCACCAATCTCGGAAATCAAACACATGAAACCTGCGCGAGCATAAACGGCACGCACAGGTTCCTTTTCAAAATATCAAATAAAAGCCCTAATTCATCGATTTTCCAGTGAGTGCCAGGCTCCGAAGCTGCCGTATCAAATTTATTATTATATTATCTTCGCCGTTCTTGGTTTTCTTGCTCCGCTGCTCATTATTGTTGTTAGTTATATTCTTATTTTATGGTCGATTGTTAAAAGCCAGGTTTGCAAAATACATTTTATTCGAGGATGATAATTATAAATACTCTTGTTGCATAGGTTCGACTGGGTAAGCTTGGGCAGTCGAATAAAGAAACTGACACGCACGTCAATTTGATGATTGGCTCATTATTCGTGACGGCGATAATATTGATTGGACCGTATATTATCTTCATGTTCGTTTTAGTAGGTATGACGCATATTTTTATTTGAAGAGTATATTCTCAAGTGAATATTCGGAGAAGGGTTAAATAGAACTCATTACAGTTATTTGAAGGCGACGCTAAATATCTGAAAATACTGTCTGTTGCCTCATTTTATAGCTTGTTTTTTATAAAGCGAATAGTTATTATTTTGTACATTTTTGTCTATCTCGATGACGTGATCGTTGTCAGAAGTGTTTCATTTTCAAAATTTGAGGTTTGTTTTCGATAGAAGATGAGTCTCAGGCCTCTTGTTATATGGCGACCTGCAGGTGTTTACCGACCATCTTGATAAAAGTCATCGATTCATGATTTTTATCCATGTAAATAATCAGCCTTATTTCACTGATATCAACCTGTGATTTTCCAGACAAAATTGGTTTTATTTCAATTAAAAGATATCTGCATATTTTCGTGAAATTAAATTTAATAACCAATTACTGTAGCCTCTCCTGAAGCTCTGGGGGACCCAACATGTCGAAATTTCAAGCACACAGCAGAAATGATGGTCTATCTTTCTCCAATTGCCAACGCGGTACATAAAAACTGCTTTTTTATCCTTTTCAATAATTCAGATAATGTACTCATTCTGCGGAAAAAAGTTCCAAAAGACTTTGGCCGACACAATCTGCTGCAAAAACAAGCGCGGCTTCAAATCTCGAAGCTTCACTCAAACAACCCGAACTGGCCAGTCAACGCGTAATCAATGGAATTCGCATACAATTCATTCAGGTTCTATATTTTCTAAAATCAACAATGAACATCATCAATTAATTCCACTTATCATCATTTTTTAATTCTAGCTACAGAATGCTTCCTCCTTAAAACCAACAGGAGCATGTCTATTTGACCAATCAATGATTGTCAAATAAATACACCATATCATCGACAATCATCATCATCATCATCACCATCCATGATATTTATACTGTAATTTGCATGCACTGTCATTTTCGGGAAAGCGGTGGGACGCGACAAAAAATTTTATCAAAAACCGCAATTTTTGTCGTTGCGCGCTGCTTTTCCTCATTTCCATCCTCTTTTTTCAACAAAAACTGGAACTCCGTTTTTTCCATCCTTTCTTAGAGAATCAATTATTCGCCTCAGAGCCTTCCCTGGCAATAGAAATGAGAAGCGGCCCAATGGTGGTTCCCAACGAGTTCACATCCTTACAGAGCTGATACTGTATCAACTCTTTTTCACTGCTAGGAAAAATAATAAAAAATATGTTCAATTGTTCAAAAAGCGCGCGTACCTACTTTTCACTTTTGACATTTTCCGATAATCCGGGAGTTTTATGATTCCTCTTTTTTCTTCCCATTTTCATTTTTGTACTTTTCGCTAGAGAAAAAATGTCGTTTTCGCGGCATTTAGCGAGTGAGAAAAGGGTTGAAAATAGAGATAAAAGACATATTTTTCTATCCTAAGAAAGTAAGCCTGTCAATTTTAACCCTTTTGAGTCAGATAATGACATGTCCGAGGAGAGAATTCTGGACCTTTATTTCAACAAAAGGGAGGACATCACTCCCTTTGTCCTTTTTGATTTATACACGCATCCGGAAAATCTTCTCAGAAATCTTGCCCAGGTAAATTTCAAACATTTTCTACAAATTTGACGAATATTCACGACAAGGGTTTCTTGGTGAACACAATTTCAAAGATGAGGCAAAAGGTGAGACATACGAGAAAGAGAATGAGCCTCTTTGAATTTCCTTCCGCCGGCCGAAGCGACAGTATTTTCGACAAAAATGCGCTCAAATCATTTCATCGCAAGCGCCTAACGAGGCACCACGGCAGCAGCGGAGCTTCAAGTAAAATCAACAAGAAATCGCAAAGGTAAAAGCACAGAAAATCAGTCAATTTTTTATCAAAAATTTAAGAACAGAAATAATTTTAAAAACCATAATAGTCGTAAATATATTTCAAATTAATTCTATTTTTTCTAGGCATCATTTGAATATTTTTAAGTAAGAGCTACAATTTTCTTTCGAATCCAATGGATGAGAAACAATTTAGTTTTGATGATCTTTCTAGGGCCAATTCGATTCTAACCCTTCACGGCCGAACAGTCACCCTCAAGTTCGACTACTTCATCGAAATCCTCAACGCTGTCAATTTCGAACTCACCGGTGAAAACGTCCTCAAACTCTCCCGCCGCGAATGGATGCTCCAAGAGAATCGCCAAAGCAAAATCGCCATGGTCGAAAAAGAACTGGTTCTTTGGGGCGTTCTGACACTTAATGAAAATTTCATCGAGAAAATCATCGATGCTCAAGAATCGAAACTCCAGTGGCTCGTTTTTGTCGCCATGTCAGCTCGTAAAGCAGCGCCATTTTGCCGACGATTCCGGCTAAACGGCCAAAAACGACTTTACTACGAGCTTTCGGAAAAATACGAGCAGCTAGCCTGTAGCTTGCTCAATGATGTTTCCAGGGATTCTCCTCTTCTTGGAGTGATTCTAGTACGAAGGAGGCAAGCGGCGTTGGGTTTTAGAAATGTGCTGGATACGGGACATTTTGGGGATTTGGCGGCGCTCATGGCGACGAATCCGGTTCAGGAAAGGGCTCTTATGGATAAGGGAAATTTTGATGAGAACAGAGTAAAGATCCTTTCATACAGGAAGTTATCACAAAAATCTGGTACGGTGCTCTCGATCCAGAAACACCAATGGGTCCAATGATTTGCTCAATTATGAGTCCTCTATTTTCTCCTCTTCTCATCCACCAAAGGTTTCTTTGTCAACAATTTTTTCATTCAACGATTCTAGTACCGACCCATTGATTGACTACAACACTCGAGTTTTCAACTGCACGGAGACGAATCTTGTAGACACCGACGAAAACGGCATGGATGTGGAACTAAGCTATTTTGAAAAAGTCTTTGTCTTCTTTACCGCTCCTTATACCGCCTGGTTTTACAGGTGATTTTCTTCCTTGATTTCAACTCTTTCTTTTTCCACTTTTCAGCCTCCTGTTCCACATTTCCTTCCTGATCTACTACGCTTACGTCATCATTCAAAAGTTCTGCTACGCTCCAACTATCCACGAAATCATCGTTGTTATCGTCTTGATCGGAGTCTGCGTCGAGCAAATTCGTCGTCACATGTCGGGAAATACGAAAAAAGGGATCGACAAGATTTTTGACAATTCTTACAATATTCTCTACCTGATGTCATTTGTGCTTGCTTCAATCGCTGGTATTTTGAGATTCGGGGTAAGAAATTAAAACACCATAAGTTAGAGTCTCACTGTCTTTTTGGTATTTTTTTTCAACGGTCGATTAATTGGAATACTTGACATATCATCATTTTTAAATACAGCAAATTTATTTGGAAACAAAAATTCTAGATCTGGCTAGCAATACCTCAAGAAACATACGACTCCCTGGGCCCGTCTTATTCCTGGGGAGAAGCGTGTCCGCCCCGGATCATCGGGGCTCAGGCTTTAAAAAACGTACGAACAGAAGACATCATCGGAGGAGAAGGAGTCGATATCGACATCTACCTGAAATGGGCACAAGTTCTTTACGGCTCTTCGTTTGCTTTGATCGGCTTGAATATGGCACAATTTATGAGGATTCATCCGAATTTGGGACCTCTTGCGATTTCTCTTGGGCAAGAAAACTTAAAAATAGGGGGAGAAATTAATGATTTTCTAGGTATATGTTGAAAGATTTCTACAAGTTCTGCTATTTGCTGCTGGTAATTGTGCTTCCTTATGGTGTCATTTTTCAGTTTTTTCTTTATCCTAATGATCCAAGGCATGATTTTCCAGACGAATGTTGAGCTGCTCAACTTGAGTCCACCAAAGATGATACAATACTTATTGTCAATTTAATTTCATTTATGAGAGTAAAAAATATCTTAACTTTCCCTATTGATTCTACACTTATGGTTTTAAAATTGCAAATCATCAAAAAGACTTACTCTCCAATACCCCGGCCACGTCTTCGCCAAACTCTCCTTCAAGCCCTTCTACGCGATCTTCGGCGAAACATTCAAAAGTGAAACCTCAACCTATGCCTACGAAAACGTCCCATCCTGCGCTGCCTCGCAAATTATGATTCCGACGCCAAACTCAACTCTTGTCCACAACGCTGGAAACATTGAAATCTTGCATCTTCAGGGAGAAGAGGATGTTCCTGAGTTTGAACCAACAAGTCTCTTTTACAATATTCCGTATTTCAAGGCTAGGCTCGTATCTCTCTCTTTACTTCAGCGTCTAGACAGGTTTTTGAGCCCCGTGTACAGCCGCATCACCTGTACGAAGAGAACAAGACTGAGGTCTCGATAAACGGGCTTATCCGCCTTGGCGATTTCAAAGAAGCCGTGGCGGAAAATAGGATGAACTACACGGAAGACGATTTGTTGTACCACGGCGTACCAAATTTCCTCGCTCCTGGAAGCAATTTTACCGATGATCAGCTTTTCATCCCAAGGCAGGAGAGCGTCTTCAACCCTGTTTTTCCACGTTGTCCAGAAAGACACTGGTTCAATAGTATTTTGTTGATGTGTTATATGATGCTGGTTGCGGTGTTGTTGATAAACTTGTTGGTGGCGATGTTTGCGACTACATATAACAAAGTACGTATGAGGACTCTTCCCTCAGGAAAACAGTAATAGTTAGAGTTTTCATTAACAATCGTTTTGAAAACTGATAGAAAGACGTTATTTTTTACTTTCAAGAGAGAGTTTTTATTTAAATGAGTTTAAAAATCATCCATGAAACATGAATGATGAACAAAAGATGAATGAAACAATAAAATCAGAACTAAACCAATTTGTGGAAATGAATTTTTGGATTACCAATAAGATTGCTGTACTTGGCCTTCCGGCCAATCAAAACCCTTTCTATAAAAATCAGTTTCGAAATTCGTTTTACCCTAAAATCAACATAAATGATAAAAATTGATAGAAATTGTAAATAAAATAAGCTCGATTATGGTGTCGGAATTCTTGACAGTCTTTTTACTTTCGAAATTTTTTTTGAAGATCCATGAAATTGCATGCTTTCCGAGCAGCAATCAAAATATTGATGTTCGACTTGAACCTTCTTTCAACTGATATTCCAACCCGTCATTTTGTTAAAAAATCCAATTCCAACGAAACTTCATTTTCCGAAATCTTATTCAGCGGCAAAGATTTTCAAGTTCAAATCTCGATATTTTCAGCATTTTTTTCAAAACGAACATGAAGTTATTTTCTTCTAATGACCATAAAAATCATTCCAAACAAGTTCAAAAGCAACTCGCTAATCAGTTTCTTCTATTCCACGGATTCGCTACGGGGACTGACCACTAAGCCCCCGAAAGAGCGACTTTCAACGTCATAAAAACGCGTTCAAGAGTGAAATTTTGAAATTGTAGATTCACGAAAGCTCTGAGCAAATTTGGCGGCGGCAGAGATACGAGCTTCTTTTGGATTATTACAACAACCCTGGTCGACCAGTGACTCCTCCTTTCAGCTTGCTGCTGTCGTTTTACTGGCTCATCAAATACATCATTTTGCGGATTAAAAATGTGAGCCCGGAAATGGCCAAGAAGAATATTCTCTATCCTCGGATGTTCGGACAGCACTTTTTGCGATTGCCGCGAGAAGAACCGACAGGCCCGGAAATGGTTCTGCCGAAAGAATTTGGGTAAATTTAGATACCGCAATTATCCGCTTTTCGAATGTGGATCAAAAAGTAAATCTGGATCAGTGAACCTTTTCTTGGCTCGAAAAACTGACATCAGAAATTCACAGAGAATGTCCAATCCAAACATAAAATTATCGTTCGTTATAGCGTCTTTATTTTGTAGAATTACAGATTAAATTACGTCGTGTCCATCTTAAAAGAACCCTGTATCAAAATAAACTCAATTTATTCAGGCAAATCTTCCACATGCTCGACAACGTTGAACGAAAAATCATCCGAGGAATGCATTTCAGGTGCGTTTTTCTTTTCAACACTTTTTCTTACCTTTGATTCTAGACCTGTCGACATCACTTCCGAATCGAAAACAGCGCGATCACGTGTCATGGAACTGGCAGAAATGGCGAATGAAATTGAGAAAGATCTTTTCAGAACAACCAACTGATTGACTACCGTTTATTTTATTTCTGCTTATGATCGAATACAGGCGAATCTATTAGAAATTGCTCTTCGTCGTTGAATGGATACGGAAGGTGGAAGGGATCGCGTTTCTTGTAGGGGATGAAGGGAGTGTGTAGCGGACTGTTATCGTCAAACATGTCCCCCTGAATCATGTCGAGAGTTGGTAAAATTCAGACAAACCTGTAGAAAATTGATCAAATCGTCGAACTCCCCCAAGTATTGGATATAATGCGCAGATGCATTTTGAGCCAAAAGCGATGAAGCGAAAAATATAAAAAGGGCATTCCTCATCCCGAAAAGAAGATATTATGAGAGTGTCTTTAGGAAGCTTTGCTTTATATAGCAGAGAGCGACATGTGACTGAATATGTACATTGTTAATCGAAGAGCTTTTTTGCTTCAAATTGGCAGTTAAAAGAGCGTTGGATAACTTATTCTTATCAAATGAAAGAGCCACAATATAATTCATCAACTGTCATTTTTTGACAGAAAACTGTATTAACCCCCCGCAACGGAAAGGAGATACGAAGGGAGCACGTGCAAAATCAGCTCAGTTTGATCATTTCGCATGTTTCAGCTCTTCGAAATCCAAAAAAATCAAAGCTGCGAAAAAATGGCTTATGACCAGTTTGACGCTTTGGGCAGTCACGTGTTTTTAATTGAACAGCTAGGCTTAAAACCTCATCCTTTTTGTAAAAAATGGAGCGTGAGACTTGTCAAAAAGCCGGCTTAGGGACCAAAATTTGGTTGTTTTTCCGCGAAAATTATGAAAAAAAGGTGCTGGAAAAAGGGAAAACCGCAAGAACAGGATGAAGACGCATTAAACAAGAACACGGGATTTTTACTAGAAAAAGAAAAATGATGATGTTGCTTTTTTAAAGCAGTTAAAAGACGATTTCCGAAAGAAATAATCTTTTTTTTTTTTGAAGTCAACAAGGTCAGTTTCGTTTATGAAGAAAATATGATTATTCAATTTTGGAAGTTCAAACTGCGAAAATGACATTTTTCTTCGCACTTGATGCCGATAATATTTGGGAAATGAGACAAATCCTAAGATCTTTTGCAAAATATTTACACGCGTCCGATTAGCAGCTGTAAATCCCGGAAGCTAGCGTCAGAGGATCAACTTCTTCACTTGAACATCATCCCTTCTTCCCGTTTTTTCGAATTGAAATTTTTGAGTTTCTGGGAAAATGCACACTAGAGTTCTTCACCTTAGAGCGTCTTAGGTGAAATTGGCGATTCTGTTAACCACGTGCCACGAAATTTCAAACTAATAAAATTATGGAACTCCGATATTACTTGATTTGACGGTTTTGACTCGAAAGAAACTCAAAATAAGACGTTTATTCGACTAAAAAAAGTTGAATAAAGGAGCCACTCCCTCAAATTTTTGATTTAAAAATGTTGATTATATAATTATTGGCGAAATGGCAAATAAGTTCTTTCAGTTTTGAGTTGACCTTTGCTTTACTTTTCTGAAGCTGCTACTTTCTCATCAAATAGAGGTGTAGAATCTCATTATTTAATTCTTTCAATTTTTTTTTTATCGAAGACAAGAATAATGAAACTGAAACAACTTGCTTCCATTATCGGTCTTGGGTCGGCCTGCCCGTAAGTACAGTCGTGTCAACCCTCTTTCTTGAGTTTAGAAAAGAGATGAATATCTACAGCAAGAGTGCATAAATCTTTGTGGCGAAGATTACGCGACTTGTGGGGAAAACTGCGATGGAACTGAAACCTGCTTCGTTACAGGCTCCGAAATTCTAGCTTTTCTCATTTTTGAATGAAAGATTTTGAGCTTGAAGAAAGACTCATGCACTGAAACCTACTCGAGCTGCGTTCGATCTTGTCCTTGCGAGAAAAACTGCCCCGAGGGCTGTGCCAATTGCGAGAATGAAATTTGCAGGCGGCTCCCCTTCTTCTCTGTTCTCGGCGATCAACCTTTTGCGGATAGGACTCAGTACGTCATGGCTGTTGATGGAAGCGAAAGGATGGAAACAAACTTGGTGATTCCAGAGGGAACTGCGCGTCATGATTACTTGAAATAGTAAGAGAGTACGTTTTTCAACTTAACTTTGCGATCCCATATTTTCTCGCGAAAATTCATTTCGACGGTAACTTGGTTATCTCAAAGCCAGAAAACTAAATGCATTAATATTTTTGTGGTAAAAGCGCAAATCTGGCAGCTGATATGTTCTGTATTCGAAATTGCTAGATTGAAATTTGGAAAATTTAGTTCATAGTTAACTTCAATTTGTCAGGATAAAATAAGGGTGTCAAAAAGACAGTCTATGATTATAAGAGCCTTAGAAAACCTTAAATTATCTTTGAGACTTCTATTTTTGACACCCTTTTTCTTATCTTTTCAAGAATTCCGTTATTTTTTTTCTTTTTGAAACTCATAGTTTGAAATTTCTGAGAAGGCAAAAAGGAAAGAAAAACAGTTTGTTCCTTGAATTTTTAACCGAAAACCAAATCTGTGGTTTTCCAAAATTTTTCTTTCCTAAACTCATCTTGTAAAATATTGATTCTAGCGCTGGCCACGCCATCCTCAATGACAAGCTGTACATTTTCGGCGGCTCCTCCGATTTCAAAAAGGTAATCGAGCTGAATTTTGTTGAATTTTTCGCTTTGTCATTCGACAAGGTCAAATTCTAAAACTCATTTTTTTTTTTACTTTTCAAGATTGCGCGGCTAGACGAATGCGAATTCACCGAGCTGCCTATTCAGCTGATAGACCCGTTCGACTCCATTTCCGGCGCGTTGATGAGTTTTATGAATAGAGGTCAGCTTTTTTCTGTCAAAAACGTTGTTGATTTTGTAGTTTATCTTTGCTTCTTCTCGTATCCGTATAAAACCTGCCAGGAATTTGACGGAAACGACGTGACGGACAGCTATTTGAGAACGAACTTTGAGCACTGCTATGGATCCATGGGGATTTACAACGATTCGATGGTCGTTCTCGGTGCTGGGGACTGGCCAGGAGAGAAGGTTAGAAGAAAAGTGGAGCAGCTGGAAGTTGGTGGATGGAAAGAAATTGCTGAATTTCCTGTGTAAGTCCTAGAAAAGGGGTTATTCTCCCTCATTTTGAGCGGATTCTTATTAGTAATTTTCCCAGTTTAGCATCTTTTATGATAGCAATATTCGGTTTATAACTCAATGGAGTATAATTATAAAAAAAATCAGTAGAAATGATCAAATGTCATCATTATGATTTGTTAGAAAAAATCCGGAGATAACTTGTATCTCTAGAAAATTTATCTTCATTGAAATTCATTAGTGATATCGCCTATTCATCAACTGTAACTGTTCCAGAAGGCATGCTCGTTCTTGGCGGCTGGAATCCCGGTTGGAATACTCTGGTAACAGAGTTCAATCAGCCAAGGGACACAAATCCCAATACAGGTAGAATCCTTTTTCTTTCAAATTTCAAGTTTGAACTCATGACAGGCATCTACTACAAGCAAATCTACCTTCTAAAAGAAAACGTTTGGTCCCTCGTTGGAAATTTAAATGAGCCAAAGTCTGACGCCACTGTCATTCGCCTTGGCGAGTGGATCGTTTCTGTCGCTGGAGACAGTAACAACAATTTCGTGGAGAGAATCAACTGGGATGGCGAAGCGGTTACGTCGGTGGAAATTATCGGCAGTCACGCGAATACCATCCTTCGTCCGATTGTCTTCCAGAGCGAAAAGAACTTCTGTGTTTGAATTTTTCTTTTGATCGAAATAAAAAATAACAAGAAAGACAGTTTTGTTAATATTTTTCGACAACAGAAGACCTATTTTTGCCGTTATTTTATGAACTGACTTTCTAAAATTCTAAAAAGGCTGGTAGGTGACAGTCAAACTTTTCGAGCTGTCAGTTATTATTATTCATAATTGGGAAGAAGTGCGGCTTTTCCTAAAATTATTCAGAAATTGCATCAAATTTGAATTTTTTTGACATTCCAGGCTTTTCATGCCTCTCCTCATTAGAACGATCTTCATGAATTTTGGAGGTATGAAGTTGTTGATTTGATTTCAAATTTTACAAAATTGAAAAAGATTTCATGAGCTTAAGGAATAAAAAATTATAACAACTATTGATATTTCTTCAGTAAAAAGCAAAAATGAAAAAATCGAGTCTTTTCTTTCTAAAAAGATAATTATTGTTTTTATATAATCAAATTCATTTAAGAAAAATTCCCAATTGAAATTCCCAATATTTAATGAGAATAAGGCTTCATTTATTAATCGAGAGCGGAATTGATCTCGAAAATTATCATGATAATCATGATAGCGCTCTAGCGCCTCGGCGCGCGACGATTTTTGAGCGCGCATGCGCTTTGACACTTTTATAAAAACTTCAAAAGGAAGGAGATATTCTGAAATATCATTTTTTTCTGGAAAAGAAATAAACAGAGAAAACACTTCAAGGGTCGATAAGATGCTTGGGTTTTTCTTTCTAACCATTTTTGGCGCCAGAGCAAATCAAGGTAAGAAATATTTTTGAAGAAACAGAATTTCTAGAGATCTGAACATAGATCGATGGTCTTTTTTATTTCGCGTTTTTAAATACAGTGGTGAATCCTCGATTGGGAAGCGGGAGCTCATATCGCGACTGTACTACTGTGCTAGCAAAAATGAAAACCATAATTTGAAAATTATTTTCTTGTTTCAAGGTTTTTCTTTAAATTTATTGATTGAAAAAATTCCATATTTATTGCACGTAATTATATTCAACATATGCTTTTCTGAGCAAACAATATCTAAGAAATTTTTTGAGTTTTGAAAACTCCCAAATCAGCAAAATGACTGGACATTTAGTTATGTCCGCCCTGTCACTAAAATGAAGCGATTATCAAAGCTTGCAGGGTCCCGCAATATCATTTCGATTTCCCGCTCATTAGAATTTTCGCTGATTTCATGCATCAGCCGAGCTTATTTCAAAACTCAATAGATTATTGGAAAAAGTGCTGACGGGACAGAAAAATCAAAATTTTCCCAATAATCCCAACTCATGTTTTTTCCTCTTTTTTTAATTAGCTGAAACAACTCATTTGAACTTGCCAAAATTTCTTTCTCTTCAGATTGCCGAGCGAACACTCGCCTGGGGCGAGATGGTGAATTTCCGTTGGTCATGCTGACCTCTATACAAGGCTCTGGAAACACGTGAGTAAACTCCCTTAATTACCTTTCTCTCAAATGCCCAGATCGATCTTAATTCTAATGTTTCTTAAGCTGGACGCGGCAATTGATGGAATCAGCGACAGGAATCTTCACTGGCTCGATTTACAATGAAACCCGAATTTATGAAGAAAACGGCTTCATTGGGGAAATTCAACCGATGCTTTCAGGAAGGACGATTGGAAACAAGAATCATGGCTTGCGACATTTAGCTCAGGCGGGCGCCAATATTCTGGTTATCAGGAAAAGAGGATAAATTTGAAAATCAAGCGACTACTATGTTATTACGAATGTTATTAGTGTTATGAAGTACAAAAAACTAAAGAAGATTACAGTATTATCAACTGAAACGTAAAATAAAAAATATTTGTTAGAAGTACTCAATATAATTATATTGTTTCTTATTTTATCTATCTAGAAAGAAAGGAGCGAGGAAGAACTAACCCTAACTAAACAAGTAGTTTAACAACTACAGGTAGTTTAGCGTAGAGAAACTCTAGATTCTTCCCTTTAATTCGATGATAAAACCTCTTATCAGAAACCCATACAACACGTTGAAAGCCGAATTTAACCGAAAACACACAATACCAGAAGAAACGGGAGGAAAAGGACTTGGTCACGTTGGCCACGCTGATCCTTCAGGTAAATCAACTACTCAAAACCCTTTCCCAATTTCACGCGATTTCTAGCGTTCAACACGACCGACTGGGATGCATTTGTAGATAAGATGTCGAATCGATGGTTCAGGCACTACCATCGATACATCACGGAATCCGACAATCTTGGCATTCCGTTGAAAATTATTTACTACGAAAATCTTCAAGCTGATAGTGTTTCAGAAATGAAGAGTTTGTTGGAATTTTTAGAGGGAGCGATTGGATTTCAACCGGATCGAAAGAGCCAAAGACTTCACTGCATTTCAATGGTAGATACTCTTAAATTCCTATTTTGGCATTGTTGCTTTCTTCCTTGATTTCAACCAAATTTAGGCGCAAATGGATGCTTTCAAGCGAGTGAAGAAACCTCTCGGCTGGGAAATCTACACACCGAATATGACGAGAAGCATCAACAAACTCATCAAGAATCTTTCCGACACCATTGACGCCTACAACTACCCACCAATGCCAGACTACACCAAAATCCTTCCCTCTCTTATCGAGCCATCTTCCGAAAAATGAACAAAATGACATTTTCTTGGCTCCTGTACAAACTTGTTCGTAAATAAATATACTGTCCTATATCGAGTCTTCCACGACATTTACTGTAATTTGATCTTTTTTAAAACAAGCCGGTTTGTAGAACGATTTTTATCCGCACTCAGCCTTCTGCTCAATATCGAAGCTGTCGTTTACTGGTTTTAATTGATCCATATTCAATTATTTATACAGGCAACTCTCCGACTGAAAAAAACTTCTTTCAGTATACTCTCAAAGATGCGGATACCAATCATTTTTATTCTTCAATTTTTCTCGGCCAAGAGTTTCTCGACTCAAGAACATGAAAAACGTAAAAAAGACTCAAAACTTAATTTTTTCATCATCTTTTTCAAGCAATTTCATTGGGAAGCCTGCTTGGGAATAATTATTGGACGAAGAGAGGAAACATGTATAACAATATACTCCGGCCAACGAGGAAAGTTTGAGACTTTTAAGAAAATTCTTGAAAAAAATCATGTTGAAAACTAGTAACAAAAGTCTTTGGCGCAATATGTACAAGAAGAACTACTGGAAAACTGACCATTAATCGTTTTAAAGGTCTTTCAAAGGGGGCCGATATTGTTGATCTTGATGTTACTTGCCGGTTTAACTCAGCGATACCCTTAATACTATTAGAAATGGATCAAATACACTTCAAATTTCGATTTTTTTGCCTTTTTACCAAAATTTCCAGCGAAAAAATGTCCTTATCTTGTCTAAGGGCAAAGGATGCTATAAAGAATAAGGGTATCACTAGGCTAAAATTTGTAAAAAGGAATCCTGAAATCAAGTTTTCTCGATATCTCACCCCTTTCAGTAAGAAACTTAGTAATAAACTCTCAGATGCAGTCGAAAACGTTTATTGAACTCTTTATTCTAACTACAGTCTTTCGGAAAATACTTCTAGAGCTCGACATTGAGATCGGGAAAGTCCATTTGTTCCTAAAATCATCTTGATACTCGCGATGATTGACAACTACCTTGTATTCAGCACAGATTCGGTTTTCTTCTTCCAGCTCAAAGTACATGAACACGAGGGATCCAAAGACAAGCAGGATCAGATACAGTGTGAAAACCACTGTATTGACCATCTTATCTCGATTATCAATAGACAGGATAAATTCATATGGAAGAAAATTTATTGATTTAACCGAGACCATAGCGGCAATTTGACTCTCTTACACGGGATCATCTCAATAAATGAATGTTCGACTGAATAAATTGACAAAAAAAGTCAAGGTATTTAAAATTCAATTGTTACAGAAATAAAATGAAGTGTAAGAATAAATAATGACTGGAGAGAAGTTTTTTTTTCGAAAGAACTTCGGCCATATTCTGATATTCTTTAAAATTTCATCTGATTTGAAAAACGCTTGTAAACCGCAAATTCACTATCTGCAATGCCAAATGCTGAATTTGACTTTCCCTGGACATATAAAATAACGTGTCGTGTCAATTTCTATCTTTCAGTCGGTGATTGAGAAAAGTAAGCCTAGAGAAATAATATATACAGTTCGTATTTACTCTTCTCATATAGAATGAGCCAGTTAATTAAGAAGAGAATCCCATATGACTCATATAATATGAGTCCTGAAAAGAAGTATTAATTATATTTTTAAGAATTTCAATGCTATTTCTATCGATTTTTCTACTCAAATTTGTGAGCAGCTACAGTGAAAACTGTCGTTCTCTTGGTGCAAGTCGCTGGACAAAAACGCTGGTGGGCGCATGGGGCGGCAGTGAAGAAATCGAGCTTGGCATCATTTTCGATAATGGCACTACCGATGATTTCTTTCTGAACAAAGAAACATACTTGCTTGTCAATTTTTCTGTTTCTGTCGATCAGTTAACTATCAGCCCTTATTATCCGGTAAATCAGATTTGCTTGGGAAACAATTACGGCTCCAAAAATGGCTGTAACGACTGTAGCTGTAGTACATGCAACTGCGGATATGGATTTACTGAGCCAAAGGTCCTCTACTTAGAAATAGAAGATTCGGAATATGGCCAGCCATTTGCACTTTTTGACTTCATTTTTGGCAACAAGTTCGTGAGCTGGAATTATATTGACAAAATCACTGATGTGATGATATGCCAAAATTCCCCCTCTAGAAAATGCAATGTTTGCTCAGGAGCTGGGTCAACTAGTGCAGCAACTTATAATGCTTGCATGAGTTCAAGAGCGAATGGCGATTTAACCACATGTAAAGGTAAAGCATGAATAGTCTTCTTTTTTGTTTAATTATCATTATAAAGAGGATGATATGTGCGGAGTTGAAGTAAGGATGGAAAGGGGCCAAGTAACTGAAATGAATATCCGATGCATGGAAGAATATCAATGCTTGAAAAACATGAAGTAAGAGAAAACTACTGGTATTGAGAAACATGAAATTAATTACATGTAATAGTCAAAACTTTCTGGGTCCGCTTTGGCGAACATCTTGCAGACCCGAACAAGCGCTTCAATCTGGAAGAAATGGGCAATCCATTTGTAAAGGCTGTTTGAAACCATGTGGAACCAGTCAAACCTGTTTTGATCCTACCCAAGGTGCGTTATTGAATCGAAAACCGTACTTTTATCATTTTAGGTTTTGCTCGAGCTGCTGGGGGAATTTTCACTTTGGACTCGCTGACGAGAGAGGACTGGACTCGTGGATTGTCAGTGATACAAGTTTGATCGCTAATGATTATTGAATGCTTTTCAAACTTCCGTTATTAATAAACATGAATCTTTTTTTATTGAATATATTTTGCCGCAAGTGATTTTTTGTCAATTTTTCCATTAACCAGCACTTCAAACGGTTCACGGACAAAAATGACCGTTGGTTGCTCTTTGGTAAGAAGGAGAATATCATTCTTGACATGCTCTTTGACTTTCTCATCGTCAGTTTCATCGCAGTAGACCAGATAGTAGATGTCGTCATAAGCGTTGTTGTTCCGTTTTGAAAGTACAACGACGGATTTGACGAATTCGCCTGCTTTGTACATTCTGAAGAGATAACATTGTTGTCCTCAAAATCATAAGTAAAAACTGACCGATCTTCAAGCTCAAGAGCGTTTGATTTCTTAGTGTTGACGAGTGTTATTTGGTCCGACAGACGGCCAAGGACGACCACCCGATTTTCTTCTATGAACAATTTTCAATTAAATAGAAGTCATGTGACCCTACCAGTAAGATATCCTTCATCTCCCATCGCGTACCATTCTCCCTGATTCGGCTAAAAAAGAATTGAAATCATGCACACTCTGATACGACTTACAAAGCCGAGATATCCAATCATCAAGTCCGGAGATTTTACAAAAATCTGCCCAACTTCCCCAGGAGGAAGAACCTTCCCGTCCGAATCGCGAACCTCGCATTGATAACCTTTATTGCTACAGAAAATCCCATCGGTTTTTTCCGCGAATTCATCGGTTTCTAAGAGTCCAGTTCTAGAATTTCTTGAAAGAAGAGATCAAAAAAGAAAGTAAACCGGAAAAGTTGTGATCCCATTTCAGTCGACCCATAAATCTTCAAAACATGACATTTTCGGCCATTCTGGGCCGCGGCGAAATTCGCCGTGATTCTGCGCATATGTTCCGCTGTCATTTTCGCCCCACCCGCGATGAAAAGAGAGACAGAAGGAAGCGCAATTTCTTTCAATTCCTGAGACTCCGAAATTCGTATTATTTTCGGCGTGTATCCCCAAACTCCTCCGCATTTTTCAGCGGCAATAGCGGCGAGGGAAGATTTGAGATCATTTTGATCGCAGAGGAGAAGATTTCTTCGTAAATGAGGGCCTTCCATCAGCAGGCCAAGGAAGAGAACCATGATGTGGCCGACGAAATTGACAAAAGCAGCGACGTTGTTGATGTGAGCCATGATGTTGGGAAGATCAGCGCCGAATTTTTCAGCGAGCTTTGGCACATCCTCTGGCCCCTGATAGGAACGATCGATATAGTTTCAGTTATGATGGTGCCTTTTAATACCTTTGGGTTTGTTGCCCATTTTAAGCTAGCATAGTTGGTCGAATTCCTCACTTTGATAATCTTCGGAACACCAGTGCTTCCCGAAGTCGTTGTATAAAAACCAATGTCCTTGAAAGAAATATTCTCATCGATAAATTTTTCAATTTTGTTTTTCGCTTCTTCGTCAGATTCAGATTCAGCTTCAAATTTGGTGATTTTCTTCTCAGAAATGAGTTTGAACTCGCTTGCACCGAAGCAGATGACGTCGTTGACACCGTGGTTGAGGACGATGTCGGATCGGAGGGAGGTTTCGTCGAGGAAGATAACTGATGCTTTGATTCGTTCGATGAAACAGAAGCGGTCAGGCTCCGCGGAGTCCAGAACGATCATTCGGTTTTTCGTCATCTTTCAGGGCTTTTTCTGCGATGATTTCGAAAGAGAAATTATCAAGGCATCAATAAGATTAAGAAAAAGCCCTGACAGCATGGCCAGAACAAGCGCGGTGGATGTTATTGTGAAGCCACCGACCACGGCGACTTCACGGTCCACGATTCCATTTTCGATGAGATAGGCGGCTATTTTTGTTGCTTCTCTTACAAAGTATTTTCTTCAAATCATCATAAAAACAACCTACCTATCGACATCGGCAATATTATGCTGAAAATGCTGGCCTCGGAAAACGAAGCTAATTTTCTGCGCTAGGAAGCTTTCGTCGTTTGAGTTCTCCAGAAAGGCTTTTCCCAACGGTTTTCTTGGATCGTTCTCTGTCATGTTTCTTTTTTCACGCGAAAAAAGTCGTTTTCTGGAGAAAATTGGAGATTCCAACGCCGAAAAAATGCAAACGAGATGATCTCTGGCGCCAAATTTAAATTTTATTTGTTATTTTAATTCTCGCGTCGCTGTTTTTTCGATTTGAATACGACTTGTCTCATTGGGGGACCTTTTCAGACTCAAGATAAAGAGGAGATTTAGCCGTGGCTGCCACTGGCCAAATCGAATCGATAGTGGGCTGAAAGTGCTGACGGCTGCCCGCAAATATTAGCTTGAATTTGGGGGTTTCTTTTGCTGATTTCCAAAAGAAACCCTTTACTAAGATTTTGAGCATATTCATTCGTCTTCTTTTTTGACTTAAAAAGAATTTTCCATGAGATTGGCTATTTATTGCTTTTGGAAAAATGATCATCTCGCCCGGGCTAAATTTAATGATCAAAACAATCGTGCGCCGTAATTTTTGGAAACCAGATAAATCGTCAATATGAGCGAGTTCGAGATTCGAAGGGTTGAAGCGCGTGATCTCAAAAGGTTCAAAACAATCATTATCATAACTTGTTTAGAGAAGGCTTCATTCTATTATAGATATAAAGAACTATGCGATGGAGAAGCTTGGAACATAGGAATGGATATTTTCGAGAAGATGCTGGAAAGTACTCCAAATGGGTATGTTTGATTCATCAAATTTTAACACCATGAAATTCAAATTGAATTATTCAATTATTAATCCCTTTAGTAAAATAATCGTTATTGAACATATGTATTCATTCTTGACGAAAAATAATCGTCAATCCGTTTTAAGTTAAAACTTTTAACCCTCAGCTTTTCCTCTTGATTTTCAGTAAAAATTCGAGAATTTAATTTGAGACGATCTCTTTTTCAGATTCTGGTGCGCCGAGGAATTGTCGTCAAAGCACTTGGTAGATAGACCGCCCACTAATTGAGAGATTTTAACCGTCGAACTCATTAAGATATCGTTTTGTGGTGCAGTAGATATCGGAAATAAAAAAGCTATTATCAGTACATTTGTCACTGATCCGAAAAGGCGTGGAAAGGGGATCGGTTCCAAGGTGCTGAAGAAGATTATGGAGGTGTTTGAGGTTAGATCAACCACGGTAAACCGCGGTTTAATCTATTTAACCTGTATTTGAAGGGATATGAAATGATTGTCAATGCTGCTGATGGTCGTGAACCACTTTATGCTCGTTTTGGCATGCCGCATTGGATGTATCAAGGTAACAGTTTCAGGGGACACATTTCGTTATGAAAAAAATTCTTGAAGTTCTTCAAATAATCTGCGAGCCCAAGGAAATACGGAAGAGCAATGCGTCGTCCATTATCGTCTCTGAGCTGGGAAATATCGAGGAAATATTAGATTATGATCGCGCCGTAGCAAAAGAAGACAGACGGAATAGTCTTCCATGGTTTCACGAAACCTCCTTATCATCACTTGTAGCTCGGGAAAATTGTCGGTAGGAGTAAAGAAAATCCAAGGAAAGAAAATTGGGCGATCATTTTTAGGGTATGCGTTTTTACGAAAAGTCGAGTTTGGAATCAGCTTTCAGGAAAATCATCAAATAATTTGAGGGTTGAAAAAAGCAATCGCGAGAAAACTGAGCTTTCTGAGTCAGAGTGTATTCAGAGCACAAAATGACACGAAAACTGTCAAGATCGAATAAATTAGCGGGTTCGATAACCAGCGAATTTATTCTCTTTGAGAATGCTCCGATAAACCTGTGGTCGGCGAAATTAATGATTAAAAATAAATAGCCTTTCTATGCTCAGAATCGAGAAGCTTACCTAGCGATCTTGGAAAGGAGCCTGGAGATGTTTCCAAAAGAAAAAGCTCAGGAAATGTTCTAGAAATCAGAAGACTGGATGAAAAAATTGTTTTGGGAATTCAAAAAAGCAAAAAAAAAATATTCTTCTTCAATATTGAAAAAAGTTCATCGTCCCTCGAAACAACACTGAAATCATAGAAGATCTTTCCCTCTACTACAAATTTTTTAACTACGGCCCTGAAATCAAGGACTTTGGTGGTTTCATGAATCCAGTTAATACATGGATGAGTTCAAAAAAAGACTTCGAGTTTGAGGAGAAGAAGATTTTGTCTATTCTTGACTACCACTTTTCAACTGTTTAAAATAAAACATGAGTTGGCCATTCATTTTTCACGGGTTGATGATTCAGTTTGAAGCCTGAGACAGCAGAGAAGGGTTACAGAAGAACACCTGATCTAGTCATCTAGATGGCGCTTTTTCGTTTTCGGATATTTAATCAAACTTATCGGGTGTCCATTACAAACGAACTCTCACCTTTTCTTCTTAAGAATGAACCTTCTGCTTCTCTTTTTTCCCTTTATCTTTGGACAAAATACTTGTCCGCCGGAAATGACGAATAAAAACGAATGCTCGAAAATCGCGAAAATCAGCGGAAAGAGATTACTTTTTGAAGACGAAAAAAAATTCTTCCTAAAATGCTGCTACAAATCAAACAATTCAAGATAACGAAGCTGGCAAGAACACTCGTTTTTATCTTTGTTTCATGCTGCTTTAAAATCTTCCTGCAAAGTAAAATCATACATGTCTTTTTCAAAGATTTAATTTTCGATTTATTTGATCAAAGATTACAGTTTTTATTCAAAAACGAAAATCAAGAAGAATCAAAATCAATCTAAATCGCGTTCATGTTCTTTAGAGATCAGTAGAGTCTAATAACTTTATTCATGTTGAATGACTTCCTGCAGCTCGGACAGTTCTTCGGATTGACTGAATCGAGACAGGAAAAACAAAAAGTGTGGCCGCAGGATGTGATGCAAGAAAGATGGTGCTGATTTTTGTCGAAGAGGGAGAAGCAGACCTTGCAGCAATTTTCGTCCGCTTGCTCTTAAAAAGATTGATGAATTATTTTTTTTTATAAATAAGCTTTCACCTGGTCTCTCCATCATTCGATTTTCTTTTTCCGTAATTGATTTCAGTCTCTTCTCTAAGTCGTTTATATCACATCTAAGCTGTTCGTTTTCTTGAAGAAGATTCTGAATCTTTGAAGAGTTCTCGTTTATTTTCTTTTGAGTGTTATCGAGTTTGTCGGCGATCGTTTTCTTCTCGATGAAGATTTTCTCGAGTTCGTTCCTCATTGATTGCAGCATATTTTTTCGGGAGTTGAGATCTTTTTGAATGTCAACTCGAAGACGGACTTGTAGAGATGGTTTTGAAAGTGAATTTCTCAAAATCTGTCGTAAATGATCTGTTGCGAAACGAGGTCGGCCAGAAGAAGAGAATTTACATCTTTGAAAATGCTCAAAAAACTCGTTGAATGTGAGAGAAGCACTGCGTTCCAAGTAGAAGCATTTAAAGCGAATTTTGCAAAAGGTGAGAAGATAATATTTATGATGATTATGGGATTTACATCTGCAATTCGGTTTATGAGTAAAATTCTGTGAAGAACAATCCATACAAAATGTTTTGTTGCCATCATCAAAACTGCCACAATCAAAAAGATAAGATTTTTCCGGAACAATACTTAAATATAAATCAATTAATATTCATAATTTTTTAAGATGATCACTTACGAGCATATTCTGCATTTGCTCACGTGTGTTTATTCGTCCTCGAAGACGCTTCAACAAACTGTTGTCAAAGTAATATTTTCCGTTGTTCAAATACTTTGCCGGAATCTCTCGTTTTTCAACACAAATTTGACCCTCTTTTCACGACATCTCGAACGCAAAAAAAAACGATTGAAATGGAGATCAAAAGAGGGAAAGCAAAAAATTTTTATATCGTGTTATATTTACAGAAGGAAAGTCGCTAAAGCGAATTCAATTTTCAGACAATTCGATAAGTTATCATTCTGTAGCTATAATTCTGTCATACTACGCGCAATACTGACAAGAAATATACCAAGAAGCAGATCAAGCTCAAGTCTTCCTCTGAGGACGGTGATCACGAAGCCGGGGAGCGAAACGATGAGAGAGGAGAATAAGTTAGGTCATACGTGGTCAATCTTCGGGGTAGGGATCCCGAAGAATAGACGATTTTAATACCCTCAATCTTCGGGGTAAAATCCCGAAGAGCTACCGATAAAAAATGCGGTCAATCTTCGGGGTCTCGAAAATCCAGAGACGAAGAATAACCGATCAAATTTGTGGTGAATCTTCGGGGTCAAAAAAAAAAATTTGAAGATGAATACTTATTAAAGATCAGCATATTTAATTTTTCTATAGTTATTCCTGCTATGCCACCTTTGGCAGAGAAATGAGCTTAAGTTTCTTTTCTTTCTCTTTTCAAAAAAATAGGCCAATATATTTTTTCCGGGAAAATAGCGATTTTGAAAATTTTTTCGATTTTGAGCGAAATCTGCTAATTTGACCGCTGCTAAATTGACCATACCCACTGTATATTCTGCATTTGTTCACGTCTCTCTCTATTTGGAAGGAAATAAATATTTCGAAAACCGGAATGGGAAATCTCTCGTTTTTCAGCACTTATTTATCCCTCTCTGCGTAGACACCTTTATAAATGAATAAGTAATTTCTTTCATACTACAGTATTATATTTAATCTGTTTACTTCAAGATATCCTTTATAAATACAGTAAATGAGCTACGGAGTTTGATTATTGGTTTGGCAAGTGTTGAACATTCTGATTGCGTGCGCGTTGGCAATGTTTGATCGGAAAGAACACTTTTGTCACCAGGACAACAGTGCTCAGAGCTCAAGAGCAACACGAACGCGGGACGAGTCGTCAGATTTTCACTGACAAAAGAGCCCTATTGATTGATACAATACATTCCATTTTTCCAAGGATTTAACAAGAAGAGAAAGTATCGAAATACCAAAATTAAGAAAAACCCGCTAAAACAGCTCAAAAATGAGGGATGAAACAAATCCGAGCAGCAATGGAATAAGCCAGAAAGAATACGAGTCGCTCATCAAAGAAATCGCGGGAAAAGAACTGACGAAAAAAGAACAGGTAAAAGCTGAAGGAATATTGAATATTCCAAAGTAGCCACAGACGCAAATAAAATATCAAATAGAGCAGCAGTGGCGTTTTTTCGTAGTGACGTGTTTATGAGAGCCGACGCCCAGGAGTCTGAGATTTCAATTTTCAGACTGAGTAAATTCAAGAGTTGGAGAATAATTTTATAGGTCCATTATGAATAAAATTAACTTTCCACTCTCTGCTGTATTATCAAATATCTAAAAACGAATTATTTTGAATAAAAAACTCCGTTTTCATAGTCATTTAAAAAATACAGATTCTTTGGAAATCAAAGTGAACTTATTGTTTTCAGATTCAATTCTTCAAACCACCCGCTCCCACCGCTTTCTCTCGATATTACAAAGCCCCGCAACCAAAGAAGAAACTTTCAACCGGCAGACTTGAAGCCATGGCTAGGCCAAGTACTCACACAGTCTTTCGCCAAGAATCTGAATGGACAAAGTGGTACAGGATCAGGTTAAAAATCTGAAGAAGGGCAAGAAAGAAATATTTTTTTCTAGACAAACAAGCCCTCAGTACGATGTCGGATACAGTCAGTTTATTGCCAACTCTGTTGGAATTTATCCAGAAGCAGAGAAAGAAAATATCGTCAGGTACTCCCTTATCTTACGATTGGAGTAAAATTTGTCTATCAGGAGGGCAAGAAGGTACGAGCTAAATTCCGCCTCCCGAGAACGCCACCGAGAACGAATTTTGAACCGGCTTGAACATGTCCGAAAAACTCAAAGTGCAAACGACGCCAATCGAACTCTCCGAAACGAGAAGCAGCAGCAATCTCCTTTTAACAAAAACCAAAGAGGTAAATGATCATTTTTCTATCCCTCATCAAAACCGCCGTTTCAGACCTGAACCCATCGCTTCTTCGGTCAAGAGCGTCGAAAGGTCCTTCCCGACAGATGAACTTGCTCGAACCAGAAGCTCTGTCGATTCCCGTTGATCCCTTCTGTCTGAAAAGACCGCGTCTGCCGAGATAACTTTGGTAGAAATATAATTTTGATTTCATGAATACTGCTTCCATTATCCCATATCTATTCTACTTCAATACAATAAATATAATCCCACATAAGCTCGTCATAATCTGTAGAATCGCCAAAAAACAAAAAAAATGACATATTTTTCCGATAACAGACGGGGCCATTTGTAAACGAATGTAATTAGGCTTCGAAAATAGATGAGAATGCCACTTTTTGGCAGACAGAAGTACAGAATCTGTTCAATCGCTGAATAATGCAGAGTGATTTTAACTGAGAAAAAAGGGGCGAAACATTGACAGATAGAAATTGACTTAGAGAAATGCGTCTTTTCGTTTTTCTTTGCTTGGTTTTCACCATGTCAGGAAAGTTTTTTATAGGAAAAAATTGAATTCATTTCTTAAAAATACTTAAAAAAGAAGCAGCAATGTTTGGGCTGAAATTTGCTGATCCACGGTTTTCATTAAATAACTATATTTTGCATCGTTTTATAAATTAAGGTTCCATCGCGTGGTTAAACAACGATATAATCGAAAAAGCTGCCATCAAAGATTCACTCAGATGCTACGCAACCTCTCGGCAGGAATCGGAGACGGGATGCTGTCCGACAATTTCAACGACTTGGGCTTGTCTCAAAAGGACTAGGGTGGGCGAAAGTTGTGCATCTAGGGCTAGGCTGCTGCTGAAGGGTAAGCTTGTTTCTGACTGGCTGACAAAATAGATGCCGGCATCTGATTTGCTTAAAAACTCAATCGACTTGGAGAATTTCGCCCACCCTACTTAAAGGCGAAAATTTTTTCTCAATACAAACTTTGTCTTGAGGGAGCGTCAAATTTTCTCTGACTTTGAATTTAGAATAATAAAAAATAAAGAAAATCTATAAAAGTCGTTCTCTTTTTCTTTATTTTCATGAAGACAGCCGGTAAGGATAAAAGTCACTTTCTGTGAAACGCACTTTCAATAATTGAATCTTCATTTTTAAAAATGTGATTTGAAAGTGTTCTCTTTTCTGAAAAATGTGTTGTATTGAAAAATTGTATAAAATTTTACAAGGTCTGTGCGGAAGAAAATACAAAAAAGTCCGAGCAAGAAAGAAAAAGAGAAAAGGCGGAGGAGGTTCTAATACTGGTTCAATGTAAATTTTGTCCAGGAGGATTTTATTGACGATCTTTCTACTAGATGCGTAGCCAGAACAGCTGTGAGGAAATGGAATGATGCGAGGAGGGGAGATGATTTTTTGGAAATCGAGTACAACGAAGCGAGAGAGCAGCAGTTTGAATATCTTGAGGAGGATGAAGAGTTCTTCTCGACCGATTCAGAGGAAGAGGAAGAAGAGGTTGAAGATGATGGTCTTAGTCAGAGCTTTTCTACTGCATAAGGAGATACTTTCAATCTAGGGATAAATAAGATTTATCTTTCTGAACGTTAAAAAAGAATGTTTTTCTTCGATAAAGCTTGTTGAACAGCGAGCTAGAAAGCGAGCTCGTCGATCCCGAAAAATCAGAAGCCGATGATGAAAAATCCATTCAAAGTGTCGAAGAAGAGCGAAAACTCCGACAATCCATCATCATCCGAAATCAACAAGGAGAGCGAAATGACGATTCAGAAGATGAAATAATTTCTACCACTCAATCATCCTCAGGTTATTCTTATTCCCGGGAGTTTAATAGGGAGATAAAAGAAACATTAAGAGTCACGAATGGAAAAAGAGCAAGAAATCGAAGAAAAAGATGAAGAACTTGCAACATTTTCTGCTGAAGATTAAATTTGAACTCAATTCTTTGAATACCATCATTCTTCATTGATAAACTGTCATGTACTGCATCTATTTTTGTCAAGAACACGGGTTCTTACTGGCGAATACAACTTGTTTGACCATCTTTCATTTCCTTTTTTCGAGGGGTAGGTTCTTTTGCGCTGTAAAGAATGAATATTCATCAGGATTCTTGAAGGTATAAAAACTTTTGTCGAAACATCAAGAATCGTGGGTAGAGTGACAAAAGAAAAATGTTCAAAATTCTTCTTGCCATTTTTTCGCTTGCAACTGGACTCATCGTACAAGAGATTGTTCAGAAAAATAAAGAGGATCAATGTTAAGGGTTTCTCAAAGCAAAAGAGAGGACTATTTTGAATTGCTTGAGAGAACCCATAAAAGTGCAATAATGCTGCTTTTGTTGTCGAAAAATGAAGAATACTGGAATGCAGCACTTAAAAATTTAGATCGCCCGTTCAGAAAATTCAACCCAATGTGTGAAATTCTAGCGCAGACCATGGCGAGCATCAGTAACGGCTTCAAAACCAAAGATATCCATAAGAATGATAAACATAAAAAGCTCCATATAGACACGAATGCGAAGAGAACCCGACATTCATATTTTGCTGCAAAAAGAAAGTCCACAGACTCTGAATCTCAAAAAGTCAAATACTCAAATTAAACCGTGAAACTCATCTTTTTGGTCATTTAAGCTAGCCACAGCCTTCATTATTCCTTCATATAACTTTTCATCAAGCGCGCAGAACCACATTTTCCTGTCATTTGCATTTATCGAACCGACGAGGTCTTGTGTGTATTTTAAAGAGTATAAAAGCAGTTTATTCGGAGATTTACTTTCTAGTTCTGATTGAAAAAGAAAGAGAATGCGGATGTTTCTCTGCCTCTTTTCGCTGTTTTTGATCGGTTCGGCTTTTCCACTGACGGAAAGATCATCATTAGGAAGGGTAGAACAGAGAGAACGGAAAAACTCTTTTCAATGATTAGGGTCTTTTCTCGAAAAGCTCGGCCTTTCGTATCAAGAATCGAGATAGAGAAAAGACCCGACAAAAGTGCAAAAGAATTAATGATTCTTTTAAACGAGAACGAAGAATATTGGAGTTCTGTGATGTCACATTTCAACCGACCTTTTAATAACATTAACGCCATGTGCAATATGCTCGACCAGGCGATTCAAATAGCCGCTGGAATAAGAAGAGGAAGATGATATCCTTTTGTGAGGTTTTACGAACCCTGAGGCCGGAGATTTTATCTGAGGCCACATCTTACTGCGCGCTACGCGTGCATCTCAGTCGTCTTGTAAATAAAACTCGAGCAACACCTTTTCCAGAGTTCTTGTCTTTTATTCACCGCACTAGAGAATACGCAAAGTGGGGAACTTCTAGCAAGCCGCAGGATTTGCAAGACCTTACACTTTCATAAACAAAATTTATTAAAAACCGTAATAAAATGCAAAAATAGACAAAAGAATCCTTTGGCGATATATAAGGTGGCATTTTGGAAGGGTCCACTGTCAAGCTTTGACACGAAAAAACAACTGATATGGCGAAAATGCAATATATTATTTATTTTTCATTTCTAGTCACGCAAAATATTCGGCCGCGAAATAAACCAAAGAATAAAAGATAATCTGGACCCTCATTTGATAAATTTTAATGCCTCTTCTTTATTTAATGATATCAGCAGGTGAAACAAATTGCAGAACATCATCAAGCTTTATATTCAAGAAAAATATGCGCTTTCGACTGTTCATCCTTCTTTCTTTTGCTTTGGGAATGTATTCAAGAGATCAAAAAACTTGTGATAAGCTTCTGGACGAAATCCACCTTGACAAAATGGAATACGAAGATCCTAGCGACGCTATGATATTTTGCGAACTGATGAGGGTTGTGCTTCGCCCTTCTCCTCCCCAAAACAATCTTCAAGTCTTTTGAGTAAATAAATCTTTCCATTTGAGAGTTTACTTTCTAATAAAAGTCATAGTAGGAGAGGTCATCCTCGATTCGACAGAGATCGACTTCGCAGGGTTCAGTTATCTTCATATCGTTGATGACAAAATTGTAGTATGGTTCCCAGTCTTTCGCGATTTTTCTTGTCCTAGATCGACTAGCTTGGCCGCAAGTTGCAGAACAGGAGCTCCATTGCGACCAGGGTTGAATTGCGCATTCTGGAATTTGGTCGAAAATGAACCATTGTGCCCTGTTACTTTGTTTTACTGAAAAATTTTTCGAAAAGAAACAACAAAAACCGCTTACTGTTGAGATCTCCATGAAGAAAGTAATCCGGTTCATTTGGCAACGAAATTGCGAAGTAGTCCAGTCCCCGTCTGGACATCATCTTTCTTACTGTCCAGAAGCTCTTTGCCCCGCTCTCTCCCTAAAAAATTATATTTCTGAAATCAGCCCAAGGCTTTTACCCAAATAGCGTTTGATGGCTTTCCTAGAAAATTTGGCTTCCAAACGAGATATTCTCCAGTGTTCTTTTGAATCTGATACGCTTGTGGATTGGAGCAATCGAGTTTGAGAGTGAACTCTGGGTTCACAGCGGACTTCATTATCAAATTGCTTCGAGTTCCTTTCATGACAAGGGCAGAACTAGAGCAGATATCCCGAGTAGGCTTGGCGCAGTCTCCACTATCGAAGAATGTTGTTGTACTAGTTGTGCGGGTTGTCGTAGTCGTTGTACTAGTTGACGTTGTTGTTGATGTGGTAATTGTTTTTGTTGTCTTCCGGGTAGTTGTCGTCGATGTTGTCGTCGTCGTAATGGTCGTTGACGTTGTTGTCGTCGTCGTTGTCGTTGTTGTAGTCGAGGTTGTTGTGGTTGTTCTGGATAATGGATTCAAAAAAAAATCGCTTCAGCGAGTCGCTAAAATTTGATAGAGATCAAAAACTTAAAATTTGTTATTTATGAATGGATTTCAAATCCGAATGTTGTGGTCGAGGTTGTTGTGGTCGTAGTAGAGGTGGTTGTAGTAGTGGTCGTTGTTGTTGATGAGGTGGTTCTTCTCTTTGTTGTTGATGTTGAAGTCGTTGTAGTTGTTGTAGTTGTTGTAGTAGTTGTTGAAGTTGTCGTCGTAGTAGATGTTGTTGTGCTAGTAGTGGTCGTAGTTGTGGTCGTAGTTGTGCTTGTAGTTGTTGTAGTTGTGGTCGTTGTTGTTGTTCGCGTTGTTGTTGTCGTTGTAGTAGAAGTAGTTGTAGTTGTTGTTGTTGTTGTTGACGTCGTTGTTGTTGTACTTGTCGTAGTAGTTGAAGAAGTCGATGTCGTTGTTGCTGGAGCTCTCTGACTTTCCCCATAGCTTTTCTCAAGTTCAAAAAAATCCTGTTTTATATTTTATACGAAACTTGAGAACTTTCAAAACTTGGCAATTATTCATCGAGTAGTAGGTCACCTTGAACTGAGGGACAATAGAACAGCCGCTCAAAGAAACGCACAAGAATCGCCCGTTCCTGGGCATCGTTTGGAAAGCGTCGCAAAACTTGTTTTGCTTGCATTTTTCAAAGCAAAGTCTGAATGAGTTGGATTGATTTACTAAAAGATGATGATCCTCTGACTACCTTTCTGATTCGACACTTATTGCGCGTCCTAAATAATGTTTGCTTGAATTGCATCTGTAGTGTTGGATTGGCTGGCAGTTGGAAAAATCAAAGACGTTTTCGGTTTGGAAATAGTCGATTGTTGTTGTGGTGCTTGTAGTTGTCGTTGTTGTCGTTGTTGTCGTCGTTGTGGTAGAAGTTGTGGTAGTCGTTTTTTGGTCTAAATAAGAATGATCATTGGAAATTTTTTTTGATTGGCCAGATTCTTTTTTTTTTGAAAGAGTTAAACAACTATCAGAAGTCAAAAATCCTTGTACCTTCAGGTAAAGAGACGCAAACAGCATAAGCATTTGTATTTCTTGAAATCAGATACATTTTTCCCGCTTTGAGCACAACATTCGGCAAGTATTCGTATTTATACGATCTCGAAAATAGCTGCCTTGAAAATCTATTGATCCACTGGGGAACTTCGAGTCCAAGGTCATCCTTCAAAACTGGCACACGGGTTCCGTCAAAATTTGTGAATCCAATTTGAGTGAGGCCAAGATGAACTCGTTGGTCGAAAGAAAGTCCGAGCGTCTCGTACAGTTCTTTGAATTCGCCTCGTTTTGGTTGGGTTCGAGGGACGTACAAAACGCCGCTGTTTCGTTGGCAGTAGTATTCGGCATGAGATTTTACTAATTCAACAGGTCTTGCAAGCCAAACACTTATCCTGGCTTCATAAAATGTTCTTTATCAAACAATTTAGTTGATCTTTGAAGCCATAACAAAGTCCATTAAAATCATACGCATAAGACGGACATCCCTTTGGATGCTCTCCTCTTGAGCCCATATAGCTTGAACCGTAACCGTAGCCACCGTAGCCAAAAACTTGATAAACTAAGAGTTGAAATAGTTGTCGCATTTCTCTGTTTTGATCGATCGGAAAGAAAAAGAACGAGGTACTAATCTGATGATTTATTTACTTTTTTAAAGCGTCTCAAAACAATCAAGAGCTACTCATCAGATTTGAGACCCTCTGATTTAAATAAAAATTAAAGAACTTATTTGAAGCACACATGAAATATATCATGCTGCCTCGAGTCGAGGCCCCTCGACTGGCGGCTGGGGACAGCAGCTGATCACCAGCTATGGGTAAGGCCAATATAATAAGTACCATATGGATTTTACCATCTGTAGACTGCATCTTTTAGGCATAAAATCGGAGTGCTATGGTAAGAATATCCACAAATATGAATCAAAAACGTAAAAAATTTATCGCTCTATCATTTCAAAAATAATGGAGCGTAAAATATTTCACATCCCTAAGATTTTTTAAGAATTTCGTATCATGGTGAATCCGAACTTTGTTAGAACTGATGTATCAAAGATCATAACAACTTGTATCCTATAAATAAATTTTAAAGAGAAACAAATGTTGATGGTTCAAAGAGACTTTATTCTAAAGTTTATGTGTGTAAAATTGCTTGTTTGCTAGATGTGCACTTAACAAGTTTAGAGTATATTTGAGAGAAGGTGTTGAAGAGGGGCGATTAACTTCTGTCCAAACTGTGACGTCGGCTTGTAGAGTCGCCACTTGAGCGAGAAGCCAAGTGGCTGTTTCTTCGGAAACAATAGATTCAGATCAACATCGCCTGACTGCGCCACCGCTCACATTCTGTCAGACCTTCCAGACGATCCAAAGAAGCTGCTGCCGAACAGATAGAGTAAATTGACGAAATGACAAAGGTAAATAATTTATCAAGAAATTATCAAAAATTCGCCTCTAAAGCAGGGTACCTTTTTATCGGACAAATTCTTTCTAGAGTCCGAAATCCCGCGGATATCGACGTCATGAAAAACCACCCCTCTCCTACATCACCTTGATCGCCATGGCCATCAAGTCCCACTCGAGCCAGCGCGCAACCCTGCAGCAGATAAACGAATGGCTCGCTGCAAATTTCCCCTTCTTCAGAGGTGAATACGTTGGATGGAAAAACTCAGTCAGACATAATTTGAGTCTCAATGATTGCTTTGTAAAGGTTAGTTGATTTATGTTTTGAAACGAGTTCGATTCCCGCTGTGAATTGGTATTTGGGCGAGTTAGATTTGGATTATTTGTTTTGAAGAATGTAAGCTAAGAATCAATTTTCCTTGATTCTAGCTTAGTGCCAAATAATAGGCATGAAACCTCAGCAGGTTAACCCTTAACGTTCTTCGCTGATAAGGTTTGCTACAGGAAGTAAACCATTGTTCATGGAAAATTCCGCGAGACGATGAATTTAAGACTAGAAAAGATTATTTACGGAATATCATTGTTCAGCTTATGTACAGTAGACTTGCGGTGAGTGAATGCTTATTCAAGCCCATTCAAGAGCAGCGGATATTACGCTGATGAAAAATCAACTCCCATGAAAGGAGCGCTCACTTTTGTTGAAAATGCAAATTTATTATTGTCGTTACGGAATCAGCGGATTTGAATTATCAGAAGAAAGATGGAATTTTCCACCATTATGACATACCAATTGAATAATCAAATAACAGTTAGTAACTGTAGTCTTTAGATTCTTCGAGATCCAAGCCGGCCATGGGGAAAAGACAATTACTGGACAATCGCTGAAAACTGCTCGTATATTTTTGACAACGGAGCGTTTCGACGACGAAGAAAAAATGAGCTTGCAAATCGACCCGCTCCCTTTTCGATAGGTAAACAAACATTGATTTAGATGTAGCTATAAAACTCTTTAAAATCATTCAATTATAACTATCAACATTCTAAGACTGGATTCTCTCCCTTCCAAATTCTCGCCCGTCAAGTCCTCTTTCCTCAAGCGATTCCGAAACATGCAGTGTTTCTTCAACAACACCTCCACCCGCACTCAAGCGACACTACCCGCTCTCCACCCTTCCCTTTTGCCTACCACGACGTTTGCCGCAAGTCTACCATGTCAAAAAACGCTCCTTCACGATCGACAGTATTCTCACTTGAAAAATCTGCAGTTTTTGAAGCACCAAAACGACGCGGTCGGAATTTTTCGCCCGACCAGAGACGAAGAAATCGAAAAAAAATTTCAGAAATTTTCGATTTTTGAACAAAAAAAATCGACGAAAGGAAAGTTCTTCCTGATTTATTACTGAAAAATGACAAAGGACACAATTAATGTTGTCTTGAAATAAAATAAATTGCCACACCTAATTTCTTTCAATAATTTCAGGGCAGTTTTTCAGACACGTTATCGTTATAGACCAAAATTGAAAGTGAAAGCTCTAGCGCCCCCCTTGAACCTTGGCATATCCCGAAGGGGCTGATATTCATAGCTTTTTCTTATCAGTCATACTTGTTTTTCTGGATAACAGGAAGTAAGAGAAGCAAGAGAAACAGTGGATGAAACTCTTGAGAAGTCTAACCATAGCTGGGGTCTATGCGGGCTGGCCGCAGAAGTTTGAGAATATCAAGGTAAGAAAGAGTACCTAGCCGCGGGCGGAATTACTTTTTGCGCTTGTATTTATGTAAGAATTCATGTCGCAAAGTTTTAAGGGATACATTCATTTGAATTTTCTTTTTCTAGGAAGAGGATGAAACAAAAGCATCGACTCTATCTGACTTCTGCACCGAGGAAATCATTCGAGTCAGGGACGCTCATCCCGTAGAAAATGGTTTTTGGGAATGCTCAGGTCTCAATGAAAGCGTCAGTAAAATGATTTGCAAGGCCAAATGCAATCTTGGAAATCTGAACAAAAAGGGAGCAGAAATCCGCGTCAAATGCAAGAACAGCCCGAGTCTCCAATTCAAAAAATTCAACGAAAATGACGAGCTCAAATGCGAAATAGCACCAAACTCGTGCGAGGGGCCGATTTCAGAGCTTGATATTATCAAAGGAAGATTGGAACTTGTCTCTTCAAGTGCTAGAAAGGGCGACAAATACGATTTGATCTGTGATACTGGCGCGGTTGTCGGATCGGTAAAATGCACAAATGGAAAGGTTTCTTCGAAAATACCCGATTTCGAGAGCGCTTGCGATCGGTTCGTTTGCGATCCAGCTGATGCCCTTGACGAGTTTCCGATCGGCCTTGGTGTTTGGAACTGCAAATCGAAGAAAGGCAAACTCACATGCAAAGCTGAATGCGGAATGTCACCGAGAAATGACAATATTCGATTTGAAATCAAATGCGACATTTCTGGCTGGTACATTCACAAGAAACCTGAATTTTCTGATGATGTCTGCCCGTCTGAGGAACCCACGGAAGAACCTGTAACTTATCCTACTCCAGATGGTTTTGAGCCAATCGTAGATACGATTCAATCAGGCCTACAGCTCTGTTCGAGCGAAGATAATTTTCCGGGCGCGAGCTCTAGAAATGTCGAAGGCAGGGTTCCTAAGAATAAAGCCAAATAAACTGTTAAACTTTAAATAACAAAAAAAATGCAAAAAAAAAAAGAACCTTAAAAAGCAAGCAAGATTGTCGGCGGAATCGATGCTGACAACAATGCCTGGCCCTTTATCGTCCGATTCAGCATCACCGTTCGGAATAATCCATCGCGTTACACCTGCGGAGGAGTAGTTGTTCATAACCACTGGGTACTCACAGCCGGTCATTGCTGCCAGAACAACGTCAATGGGATGCAAGCAACCTTTGGCGATCGATTGAAAAACGATCCTGACAGTAATGAATACACTCTTGACGCGGCAGACTGGTTCCGTCATCCACTTTGGGGCGATGCCAGTGATGGAACTGGGGGAAACCAAGATTGGTGCATGGTCAAATTCAACGAAGACATCATCGCAAATGACCCAGATGGTCTTGTCGGCATCCCATGTCTGCCAGACGTGAATCCGATCCCTTCACAACATGGCAAAGCTTGTTGGCTCGCTGGTTGGGGAAGGACTGAAGATGGCCAGTTGGCGAATGTTCTTCAATCGACGGGAATCAACGTTCTCGACCATGAATATTGCATCGAAAAAGGCAATAAAGAATTCCTGGAAGTCGATGATATCTGCGCAGCCGTTCCAGATATGGACAATGATGGAGATGTTGATGGAGGAAAAGATTCTTGCTCAGGAAATGGTTGAAAACACTCGTTTGAAAATTGAACACTATGCTCTAATAAGTAAAAATCTTTGAAAACCATAAACAGGTGATTCTGGAGGACCTCTTATTTGCCCCATCGACGGAAAAGCTATGATCATCGGTACAGTTTCAAGGGCAGTTGGCTGCGCCTTGGAAGGCTTCCCTGGTCTCAATACAAGCACATTCATTGGCAGAAATTGGATGAGAAATATCATCATTAATAACTCATAAAAAACTGCATTTGCCGTTCATGACCTGTCAATAAACTTTTCTTTTGAAAATTCGACTCATTTCCCGAGTTCCAGGTTCTAGCGCCCTCATGCAAAACATAACCTCGTTGCATTTCATCTCTCAGAAGCTACTCTTATGTTTTGGAGATCGATAAGATATCTTTTAAAAAGCGATTGAGAGGAAATTATAGAGACATGAAAATAAGCAGTCTCATCTTTGGGACGGCTCTGGGAGGTTGGGAAAATAAATGGGCGACCATGGTAAGTCAATTGCTTTTTAATTATAACGTAGACGAATTGTACTTTGCCCTAGGCACTTTTACTCTACCTAACCTGATTATTCTTGCTTTGGTTCATCCCTCCGCTGTATATTTATTTAAGCAAAAAGATGGGAGTTCCCAACGATCAGCAGTATCAGCATGCACGGCAGAAATGCAAAGTACGATGGATAGATTTTCGATTGAAAATGGATTCTGGGACTGCAAGGGCTTAGGTGAAGCCGTCAGTTCGATATCTTGCAAGGCCAAGTGTTCTAGTGGAACGCTTAATTTTGCGAAATCGGAGATCAAGGCGAAATGCAAGGATCCACCAGCGCTCAAGCTCAAGAATTTCGGCGAGGGCGACGAGCTCAAATGCGAAGAACAACCTGATCCATGTGATGGTCCAATTTCAGAACTCAATATTGTCAAAGGAACACTAGAACTTCTCTCTTCAAGTGCGAAAAAAGGAAATCAGTACAATCTTGTCTGCGATGACGGGGAAACTATGGGAACAGTAAAGTGTAAGAACGGAAACATCTCTTCAAAGATCACCAATTTCGAGTCTGCTTGTGATCGGTTCCTGTGCAAGGAAACTGAAGCAATGTCTTACTTCAACATCGGCACAGGAGAATGGAACTGCAAAACAAAAAAAGGAAAGGTCTTCTGTAAGGCGACATGTGAGGAGAAAAGCTCGAAAGTGCGCTTTCAAATAAAATGCGATCAGCGCGGCTGGTTTATTTCGAAGAAACCAGAATTTTCAACCGATGTTTGTTCTGCGCCGACAACAAGTTCTACAACAACGTCAACTACGACATCTACGACTTCGCCAGCGACTACCAGTACATCAACGAGTTCACCATCAACAACTTCTACCACGACTACGACAACATCGACGACGACAACACCAACAACTACAAGTTCTACTACTACATACTCGACAACTACAACATCTACAACTACTACTACAGCAACAACGACATCAACTACAACAACAACTACGACGACAACAACGTCAACGACGACTACAACTTCTACAACTCCAATGTCAACACCTCCAACAAGTACAACTACCACACCAACTACAACAACAAGCACTACAACAGATTCCAGCTCCAATAACGACGGATCGTCAGCTTTTGACCCAATAGTTGACACAATTACTTCTGGCCTGAAACTATGCACCGTTGAGAATAACTTCCCCGATCTAGGAAGCGCTAGAAACCTCGCTCCTAGTAGAATTGTTGGCGGAGTCAATGCAGATAACAATGCTTGGCCTTTCATAGGGACCGGTTTTAATTTCATTTTTCAGTTTTCTTGATATTGTTTGAAACCGAAAATAGTTCGGCTGACGTTAAATCATTTGTACACTTGTGGAGGCTTCGTTGTTCACAATAACTGGGTCGTCACTGCTGCGCACTGTTGCTTCGATGGCGTTTTCAATATTCGAGCTACTTTCGGTGATCGACAGAAAAATAACTGGGACAGCTCTGAGTACTCCATGGATGCGATTTCCTGGATTCAGCATCCTCTTTATGGCGACTCAAGGTTAGTTATTTGGATGATCGCTTTCAAATTTAATTTTTAGCGACGGAACGGGTTCAAACCAAGATTGGTGCATGGTCAAATTTGCTTCGGACATTATCGCAAACGATCCAGATGACAAAGTTGCAATGCCCTGCTTACCGACTGAGAATCCGATCCCTTCTCAAGCCGGTAGTGCTTGCTGGCTTGCTGGTTGGGGTTCTACTTCTTATGGAGGATCCCTTGCAAATGACCTTCAATCAGTCGGAGTCAACATCTTCGGGACTGACTACTGCATTGAGAAGGGATACAAAACCGAGCTTGAAGAAGACGACATCTGCGCCGGTGTTCCAGATCTTGATGATGATGGAGACGCCGATGGAGGAAAAGATGCGTGCCAGGGAGATTCTGGCGGACCTCTTGTCTGTGACATCGATGGTCGAGCTACAGTCATTGCAATTGTTTCAAGAGGCGTTGGTTGCGCGTGGAAGGGATTTCCTGGTGTTAACTCGAGCATTTTCGTTGCAAAACAATGGATCGAAAATACTATCCGAAACAATTAACGGTTCTTTCTCCATGAATAAAATTCCTATTTTATTAGCGTCTCTTTATCGTTCATTTTTTCAGTATACAGAGAGATAATCCTGATTGAAACTCTTCGTATAATTTTCTTCTTCATCTTTCTTCTCAACATGAGGATTCAGTGCCCAAACAGCCACGGCAAGAATCAACTCAATTGCACCAAAAATGTACCCCAAATCTGAAAAAAAGTAAACTTGAATATTATTGTTGGTCTCTGAGACCAGTGAACTTTATTACTCAACAACCCATGCTTCTAAGTCAGAGCGTGGATTTACTTTGACACATGAGCGGTGGAAGAGCTTCAAGGTTAACGTTTTTAAAAGTCACGGCGGAAAGAAATCAATAACAGTACTTACATAAGCATGCCCCAAATTCGTACCGCACCAGGTTCTCGTCATGTTGAACCATCCCTATGCTGTGAGTCGGGCCCATTTTTGAATCATTTGAGTAAGCTTGTAAGATTATGTCCGTGAATAAACCAGAAACAATGATGAGGAAAGTTCCGGAGAGAAGGTATAATAGACTTGCTTTTAGGCTGGCAATAAGGCTACTAAACATAAATTTTTGATAATTGTTTTCCAATTTTAAATTGGTAATTTATTTTCGCAAAACCAGCCTGATCTTGCGAGCCATTTTTTAATGAAAGGGTCCATTGTAATCAGCACTAGATTCCAATTTCCACTCAAAAAATACACTAGCGGAAAAGATAAGCTATGGTCTGATCAAGAAAGCCAAACAAACCAATATGAGCCAGGATAGCAAAGCAGATAGAAAATATCATCATGATTCTGGAACTGAGTACGAGCGAATCAAATTGAAACCATGGAACTTTTTCAGGTCTATATTTGTCGAAAAAAATAGACCGAAGACCTCACTGATCATTTAACCTTTGGAGAATCAAAGCATCATTGAAAAAATAGAAATGAGATTTTCTCAAAATGTCATCTGGAATGAGCAAAAAAAGCCGAGGATTTTGACTGAGCCTTGTTTTTGAAATAAGACCCTTCCTTCGTAGTCATCGCAGTGGAACCCATGTGCCCCGTGCGATGTGCATTGAGCAAATAAGCCTTTCCAATACGTCTGTCCCAATGCCAAAGACATGGAGGATTTACGACTTGAAACCATCCAGCTTGAGCTCAGAACCAAGATTGCATTCACAAACACGCAAAGAAAACTAAACATTCCAATAGATAAATGATCAATAGCTTATTAACAATGGGGTTTTAATGATAAAGATTTCGTCTGATGATAGAAATTGACGAGAAATAGGGACTAAAATTCCAAAAACAAAAATAATCTATATGACCTTCTCAGAAATAAGTTCCCATTAGAGACAGCTTGTCTTCCTCAATTTACTTACCTGATATTCCACAGAGCAAATCCTCCAATGTCATTATTGTTCTCGATTCTCGTCTCTTCTTTTCTCTGTCGAGCCATACAACCAAAACTTGCGGTAATTTGAGGAGCTCTGAGCTGCCAAAAGTTCTTACGTCAGGCTTTCTGTTCCTGTCTGTTGGTGATGCAAATAATTGCTCGTAAAATAAGTGTATCCGATTTTCGGGTTTGGGCTTCGATGACCTTTGAAATAAGCATTCTTCTTCGACCTGACAATCATTAACTCCAAACGAAACAATTAAGCACTTCACAGGCCGCCTTATTATTTCCAAAACGCTTGTTATAATCATTTATATTGACGGCAAATAAGGGCCGATTCGGGTAGACTAGGGGTCATTTAAAATATATTTTTTTGATTGAGAATATTTGCTTGCCCCTTTGAAATTACATAAACTTAAGTTCGCCGCTACAATCATCCGTTGACTCGTCAAATCCCTCGTGACTGACTCAAGACAAAATTTTACGAGTTAAATATTCTTTCGCCACGGTTGTCGCTCTTTCTCGGCCTATAAAACAAATTCTCCTTCGTTCAGGTTTTCATATTTTCAAACAACAAAGAAAAAAAACAAAAAGCCAATATTAAAAAAATGGTCGCCACAATGATAGTCAAGCACTCTTCTATGAAACATATGACGAAAATGTTGATGAAAGAAAAGAAACTCATGGCCAAGACGAGATCTCTTTCGGCCAGTTCGGAGCCGATGATGTTAAAACTCGATCGCATTGAAACCAAAATGGAAGTTGCATTGACATTCATGAGTGCTCTTCTCGAAACCTTCTAAAGCAACAAACAATCACTAACTTCAGACCTTGAAACTGACCTGACCTTCAGAAACTTAATGAATCATTAATAATGATATTTCTTGTTCAACCTTACTGATAAAACCTTTTTCCAAAAACTGATAAACTTGTTATTCTTCACTGACAAATAAACTTTCAACATAAAATTCCTCCTAGTCTTCTTGGCTCAAGAAAGAGATGTCTCTTTGAAGATCACAACCAAGAAAGACGCAAAAAATGAAAGACGTCTTTCTGGATTTTCGTCTTCTTCTATCAACTAGTGTCCTAAACAACTAATTCTCAGCTTTCATTGATAGTAGAGCAAATAAATTTGTTAACCGATCTTGTAGATTTATAACACAGTGTTGGTTCTTTCTGATTTCATTTAGTTTATTGAATTTATTGACAAATTCTTTTGTTGAATACAGTCAATAATTACTTGTAGTTTCCAAAAGTCGGCTTGTCAAAGTTGAATTGCTCATTCGCTGCATCAAATGGATTACCCATAAAAGCAAGCCCTTAGTTAGTTATTTTAGCTCAGAAGATTGCGCGGCTTATATCAAACAGGGCAAAACATCCTGTCAAAGAGCGATTTCTATGGTTAAAGAAATTCCTTTGCCATTGTAAAAAAAGTACAATCTTTGGCATAAAATAAAGGACATACTATCTGTCGCATTTTTTGCCAACCTTTAAGGCGACGTTTAAACTTTTCGTCCGACAGTCAAAACTCGTGAAAGATCAGTCCTGGCTCTGACGAATCTATACTGACTAAGAAATGCTCTCGCTATCTTTACCTCGTTTAAATTTCAGTTGGCTAAATGGCATCATTGCCATTGCTTGGGCAGCAAGAGTAACAAAAGTAGCAAGCTTCATTTCTTTCCCTTTTTTTCAATCCGAAAACAATTGAAAAATAAGGGCTTCGAAAGATCCTTTTATATGCAGAAGCAAATGCTATTTGGCGCCTGTTCTTTCGAACGGTGCCAGATGAGCGCCACAAAAAAAAAGAAACGCAGATTGAATTAGTTGCGAAAAGAAACATTAATTCCTTCCTTTAGATATGAATAACATCTTAATTTTTAAAAGACGACATAAGTGGTTCTGCATACAATTCAATCAAAGGCCTTTGAATATCTGCTAATCGGGTTTAAACCTTGAGAATATGCTTTCAAAGAACGATTTCAATATGTTTATATGACGATAATCTAGATTTTCAGAGTCAAATCCAGCATTTGATGCTTGTTTTGATGCAATAAACATATGCTCGTTTGATTTCAGTAGGCTTAGACCTGTCAAAAAGGGATCACACTCATCTCATGTCATGATGGGATTTGAAACATGCAAGTAATTTGAGTTCTATTAAAACATGCAGTCATGGAAATGTTCTTGATTCAAACAATCAGTCGATTATTTTCTTGAAGAAGGTTTTATTTGATAAATAACCAGTCGAAGTATTACAGTAACATTCCATATGTACAAAAGAAAAGTAAAAGAAGAACGAGAGGTCGACTAAATAGTTCTTTCTTTGAAAAAACACCTTATCAGCCTGTTAGAAAAGAAATAAATGAAAGGAACTTTTCAGCAGCAAAAATTAGAAAGAGAAAAAGATCAGTAAGAAATTCAAAAACACTAGAATCAACACTTTGAAGGTTTACAGTTTAGGTAACAAGTGCACATTCTAGTATCTGTTATTTTAAGAATGATGGTGTTTTTATGCTGGAACTCGAACGGAGGGATTTCTGGAGCGGGGAGGAGGTGGTTCTATTGGTTTGTAGAGAAGGGTTGTGACGAAGCGTCCTCGGAACCTTGAAGATTTGGTTAAATTATTCTTTGGCGTTGCATTTTTTGAATTATGGCCGCTAGTAACATGTGATTGAACAGGAAATGAGTAAAGGTCACGATGATAGTCATAAAGGTCGGCCAGCTAAACTTTAGGTATACCTGTGAGTCGCTGAAATGGCAAGCGTATTATCTCGGATGGAGAGCGCGTAAAGATGATTGAGCTGCGAGACTGACGGCTCGGGGAGGAGTGACGGATCAACAGCAAGGGAGGTTTCTTGATTCAGCAAAATCTGTGATTGAAAATTAAAAATTGAATTGAAAATGTAATCAAATTTGATGTCCAAATGATCATCTTTGGACATTAAATAGTATTACGGTATTTTTCGTCATACTCTTAGTGTACCGAACTGTAGCTCGGACGATGGTGGATTATCAGTTCTAATTTTACTCGACAATACAAGGTATGCATTGTCTGTATTTTTATTTGAGAAAAGAAATTGTATTTGGATAGACGTCGTCTTGAATTTTCAATGTCAAAAACTTGCTAACATGATACCGGCAATATCGGCAATCTTCCATCAAATACATGTCAGCAATTTTAACAATGAAAATTTGGAATTCAACCCTTTGAATTATTTATGACTTCACCTTGTGAAGTAGATGATTTGGAAGCGCTGGCGGTTGATTCCTCGCTTTCATCGCTTCCATCGGCGTCAGCATTTTCGGTTCAACTTGGCCGTACTCGCTGATTCAAGGCTCGACTTTGTCGTTGTTGTTTCCAATAAACGATATAGCCTATATCATATTGGGAAAATATCGAAACTGGCAGCGGGAAATTGGATAATCATTTTTAAGTTATTGAGCCTCCTGTCCTATCTGAATCCGATTTTTCAGCAGCAGCGTCCATAAGTAGAGCATCTAATGCTTCGAAATCTTCCTCGCGAACTCTAAATTCTTATTAGTCTCATATTACTGTTGAACTGTGCAGTAGAAAGCAAAGAGGCCCCTTCGTCTTCAGTATAGAGGTTTTTGACTAAGGACGCTACTAAGTGGGAAGACATGGTGTAAAACACCTAATTGTTTTGGAAACTTTTCAACAAAACTAAACATTAGTTTGACAAGAAAGAGTCCCTGACACTCAGTATCACGGAATCTGTGGGAAAAAACACCCAACTTAACTAGGCATTCTGACAAAAATCTGTCAGGAATTGTCGGAATCAGATCAAGTCAATCAGGTTTACCCTTCTTCTTGAGGTTTTTCCCAAAGTGACTCATATGCTTGGTAACTAGGTACTTATCATTCCTGTAGCTCAGAATAACTTCCCCCTTTCTACGCTCGGGAACCAGTGTAGAAGCCTAAATCAGGCTCCTTTTCTATTTTACACGGACCTGAGCTTGGAAAGCTTTTAGTCAACCTAAGTTGTCAACATTCTATTTGTTGAAAATGAATTCTGAAAGCAGAAGGCTTGTTTAACGCACTTTCAACGTGAAGACTTAAAAATTTTACGCCTATAGAACCGTGCTAATGACAGATGATATTTTCAACTAAGTCGTTTACGTACCGAAGTACGTTGTTGAGTCCGCCAAACTGGTTCTCGATCGTTTTTTCCTTCGGATTATGACGATCTACGCCATCGACGACGTAACGGTACTCGTGGCGCCCTTCAGGAAGCTCGATTATCGTAAGATAGACGCTGAAAACGACGTTTCTTTTATTGTCGCCAAATCAGCCTGACCTTTCATGACGGGATGAGCTCCTTGAGTCGACTTTATCCAATTGAAGGAAATGCTTTTTCTGCCAGTTATCAGCGCTGCAGACGATATATACGGATTTGCACGGCTAAAATTAAGACAATCAACTTTATGCCCTCTTTAGCTCACCTCGTGCCATCTTATTACTGCGGGTAGAGTTCGCCTATCTTCTTGAATCGACGCCTTTTGGAGCTCAGTATTTAATTCGACTTCGGGTGTCTCCCAGTTGTCAGAGATTGTGCGGTTGCGGGAGTTAGTGATGTCTTGTTCTTCGAGATCGGGATCTACGAGAAAGCCGTCTGGGCGATCCGAGTCCTAAACAAAAATTCAACATCTACAACTGTAGATTGATCACTTGAGATTCCAATCAAAGGCCTGTTTTTTGATGACATGGGCTTGAAAATGTGGAGTTAGATTAGTAGTCATTTTTGCCTTTTATGATGACAAAATTTTCCGAAACTCAAAAAATGGCCTTAGAGTGGGCGCCTTAGATTGGAATCTCACTGTATCTAGGGACTTCAGGCCCTGAAGTTCAGGGGCACCATTCAATCAGATTAATTAAAAGTTAATTCTATTCTAACGGATTTGCCCGTTAAATTGGCGATACCCTGATACATATTTGACTGACTAGTTATCACTTGAGATTCAAATGTAAAAACATTCCTCCTGTGAACTTTTGGACTCCCAAGAGTCTGTCCTCTTTTCAGCATCCGACCTCCTGTCCGACCCAACGTCATAAAAGGTCATCTGCTTTCTTAGTTTAATCTCTCCCATTTTCTTTGCTGACATTTTTTACGTTTTCGGTATTTAAAATTTTAAGCGCCGTTAAAAACAAGAAAGCAGAGTTACGAAAACATTACGTGAGTAAAGACGTAAAAATTTATGATTGCTTATTACGCTGACAATCGATTTTAGGAAAGACCAATCATCAATCAAAGAGGCTACTTACGGCGTAATTATTATTTCGCTTGTCCGGGCTAGCGACGGCCTTCCCATTAACCGTCCCCATCTAAAGGAAAATATGGTCTTTTGAGACATAAAGGAGAATAAGAATCGTATAAAAATAACTCTATTAGAAACATTTCTTTGCAACAGGTGATTTAAAAAAAGTTTGAACTGAAAACAGCAAATGCACAATTGTGAGGAATGGTTGCAGTAATGAAAGAATGTGAAAGTACTGTACTGTGTACTCGCTTGCTTTGGTGAAAAAGATAGGCAGACTTTGTGAATAGTTGTTCGTGAGGAGGGTTGAAAAAGTGAGGTAATTTTCGTGAAAAAGGATTCATTCTCTTGATGATCAGCTTGCAACGCGATCGACGATGATGTTGCCCTTGTCGTCTTTGATGCGCACCCGGCCGGTTGCATAGCGCGTTTCGGTGTACTTGTTGTGCAGGAAGATGGTCTTCGTCGTTCCGTCTGGAAGCTCGCGGCGGCGGAATTCTTTCGTCCTTGTTTCCTGAATACAAAAAGGATCAAGACGAATATGTACATTTCTAGGTTGAACCTTTTGGCCATCAGGAAATAAAACGATCTCATCCCCATTGACTTCGAGTATTTTCCTAACTCCGTCTGTATGAATCGTTTCTTTCCTCCCCGATATTGAAATAATTTCCCTAACTTTATCGGGGAAGACGATTTCTTTCGTTCCATCTGCATGTGAAATTTCCTTCTGGCCAGTGGCAAACTCGATGATTGATGATGAGTCGGCATTTTTAGTCTGCGTTGCGCCGTTTTCTGCGTAAAAATACACCGTCTAAGAAGTATGAGCTATTTTGAAGGGGCTATTTGTTCCTCTTACTTTTCCGTCTGGGAATACGTGTTCTATATCGCCGTTTTGGTATTTTTGCACGATTGTCTTACCATCAGCAGAGACTTCCTTTATCGTTCCGTTTTCAAACTTTGTGATGGTTTTTCCTGATGCAAGTCGTTGGACGAATGCTCCGTTATCTAAAATCAAGTAAGATATTTAACCAGCTTTGGGTCAAAAGCTAGATACCTGTAGTTGAATTGATAACGGCTCCAGAAGGGACTGTGCAAGGAACATCGGTGAACATTTGAGTATTTGAGCAGGAATGTGATAGATTTGAGTGAGAGTTGCCACTTGAGGCGCTAGAGATGTTGAGACTATCGTGTTTTCGCATAGATTTCCGCAGAATGTTGTCTGGGCTTCTCGCTCTTCTGCCCTATAAACAAGTCTTATAAGAGTTTCTCTCGGAAAAATGGACTCACAGTTTGACTTGTAGCTGGTTTTGTAGCTTGCTCAACAATTCTGTTTATTTCTTTCCAAGTGTTTCCCTCCTTTCTCTTCGTGTTCTTTATCAAATTATCAATTTGCTCGTTCAGCTTTACATTCTCATTCTTTGTCGCTTGATAAAGTTTCTCCAGTCGTTCATTTTCTGTTTTGTATCTCGAGTTTTGCGCTTGCAAGCGTGCGTTTTTCTCCGCAATTTCTTTCAATTTTTCGTCGTATTGGACTCTAAGCTTGTCGAGTTCTTTTCGCCGAGCTAGACCAGCTTTTTCACTGTCTCGCTGAAGCACTAGAAAGGGATGAAATGAGATTCGGAAAGGTTGACTTTTAAAGTTACTTGTAAGTCGTTTGCCCTCTTTTTCTCTCAAAGACATTTCTCGTTCGCGAGTTTCCAGGTCTTTCATTTTTGAGAGATAGTCGTTTTTCATACGGGTCATGTTCAGGTTGAAAACTTCTTGCTCTCGTGATCGTTCTTGTCTCAGCTGTTCAAGGGCTAAAAGAGGTGTAGGATAAGATTGAATATCGTAGATGCCTAAACGTTCGACTCCAAAGATGTCGTCAGGAACATCTTGAAACAGCTAGAGACATCACAAGATGCTCCCAGATAGTCTACTCGAGTTTGATTTACCTTTCGTTTCTCTCGCAAATTTAAGCTTCATCACATGAACATCCTGTTTCTCCCTCTCCAGATCTGCCTTGAGCTTTTCAATTTCGTCAACCTTGCTCTGCTCCTTTTTCTGAACTTTGAGTTCTTCGTCGTGAACTTTTTTAAACTGCGCATTAAACATCTTCGACATGAGATTCGTTGGCTTCGCAACTTCTTTTGTCGGAGTTGAGAAACTCGGTGTACGGTCATCTTCCTCTTCCGCTTCTTCTTTATCCCAGGGCTCGGAATCGGAGAAACTCATTTTGCTCTGAGCCATGAAGCCGCGATTGAAGCCGTAAGGAGAGTTTTCTTCTTCGGAATCAAGCACAGAACTCGGCAGAGAGAAGTTTTCAGGTACTTACCCAGTGGTTCCTTCATTATTGTCGATTTATCTGTGTACATGATGTCCGTGGATCTCTCGACTCGAGGCATATTTCAGATAATATCAATCAATTATAAGTCGGAACCCTTCCTTGAAATCTATTACTTTTTCTGGTCATAACAGGTTTATCTTCTGGAATCTCCGGAGTCCTGAATCGATTTCCCGCAGCAATAAAGCTGTCCGACTCATCCTCTCCATATTTTCCCGGATCAAAGCTGTTCGCCCCTTCGACAGTCGTATCACCGTCCTCAGCAATTTCGCCATACTCATCTTCAATTTCATAATCGTCCATCTTTATGCTCGCGAGTTCTTTTTCAACGGAATTAACAGTCAACTCGGGGTTGGTTGAAATGATCTTTTCCATGAGCGCGAATTCCTCATCTTCCTTCTTTTCTAGTTCGCGAAGGATTATGTCTTGCTGCCTTTCATTGGCGATGGAAATATCAATTGAGTCGTTGTAGCCTTGGAGGTCAGCGTTCTTGAGGTGTTGACTAGCGATCAGGTGAAACGGGGCGCTTTGATGGAGTGATACTGAAGGTAACGAGGGAACAGAGCCAGCTGAAGGATGAACAGAAGGATGAGCGGCAGGGAGTTTGGACGAACTTGAACTTGAAGAGGGACCGACGGTCTTTTTAGCGGGGACTTACTTTTGGCTGTATAAGTGTTTTTTAGTTTGAAAAGATCATAAAAAGCTTCAAATGTCAGATTCTCCGACCTTTAAATGGTACTAAAAATAAGCCATTCCTGACGTCTTGGAGAATTTTTGTTGTGATGGTCTGACCAACGGAATCGGCGCGGTTTTAGCGCCTTTTTTCGGTTGAAGCTGAGTAGTAAGGCATTCACTTTGTTTTGGTCGGTTTTTCGAAGTCACTTTTCGTGTTGTTGTTTGTGAAGAAGGTGCTTTTGCTTTTGAAGTTTTGGTTGGTTTGGGTTTTTGTGGAGCGGGCTTCGAAAACCCTGCTTTTTTCGCTCGTTCCTGGCGTTTTTGAAGCTCAAGAGCTCTTGCCCCGGCGGCACAGGCATTCCTTCCTTGTCCCCGTTTTAGAAACGGACGCTTGGGCTTTGCATCTCCAGCTCGTCCAGTTGAAGATGTACTGGATTCGATAAAATTTTCCTTGCCAACTGATCCTCCGACGGGCGTGTCGTCGAAGCTCTTTTGAATCGGCATATTCGAGATTCGCAAATTTTGATTTGGTCTAAATGGCTTATCATCTTCTTCTATTATTTCTGAGGGCTCGGAAAGCTGCTCGACGACGGAGTCATCGTCAAACTGATTAGTTCTTGAGTTGAGTCCGCTGAGAATGCTCCGCCGAACACTTGCTAGGTTCGAGCCACCGGAAGAAGAGCCGAAAGATTTCGCGAGACTAAATATAGCGTCAAATATATTTCATGCATTGGTTAATTTTCTAGTCGTGCCTCGATGCGCATGACTGTTTTTGGCCGTATAAAAAGCGATTCTGGCTAATTTTTGAATGAATAAAATGAAACATAATATTTTTCGCTAGAATAAAGCTTGCTTAATAAATAACCTGATAATAATAGATACTTAGCTGGGAGTATGCCTACCTGAGTGATGTATCAGAGAGCTCAGCAATGGTCGTCAAGTCAGGCCTGAAATTCATCTCTACTTGAAAATCGCCTTCTCGAACGGAGTCACTTCTAACTTCTCTGTCTGAACAAACAAAAGTTAAATTCTCTTAGATATAAAAAAATTTGTACAATAAAATGAATTTGCAGAAGAAACGGGCGTTGAATTTTCAATTTGAGCGGGGTTGAATTTATAGAAACGAAATGAATTACTGTCGTGTTACTGTGAAGGAACGGTTATTGAAGCGGTCTTTAAGAATTTCACGAATTTTTATCTGTCGAGTATTCTGAACAGTTGATTTTAAAAAGCAGAGCCTGGCGGATAAGCTGGGAATCCCGCGCCAGATGTTGGGTAGGGCATTTGTTGTCGCTGTTGTTGAGGCTGGCCGTAAGGAACGGAAGGATAGGGCACTGCAGCGTTTGGTTGCGAAGGAGCAGGAACGTACTGATTCATGTAAGGTGCCCTGGGTTGGTTTGGATACGGACTGGGAGCGCTTGATGGGTTGCTCGGACGAGATTGGCGGTTTTGCGAGGACTGGAAGACTTTTACCATATTTTCTGCCTTGTGCTACGAAATTTCATATTCAAAGATGGTAAAGAAGAGCACGGTACCTTGAGATCGTAAGATTTAGCCCTAGCATCGAGAAATTCTTTCAAAAAGTCGCGAACATCTATTTCTCCTCTGACAAATCCGTCTGCTATCACTTCCGAGTTCTGTTCTGCCTCAGCAGCTGATGCTTGGAGAATTGCGGCTGCGGAATCAGGAGAGTAAGAACCTAAAAAAGTAGCGAGGAATGCATTCAAGGCGAATTAGTTTACTTCTTTTGGATTGAAGCTGCCTCTGTTTCGCCTCGAGTTGATCCTGTTTGCTTGCCAATTGATTGTGCACTTCAATCAGTGCATTTCGCGACTCTTCCAATCGCGGCTTCAGAGCCAGATTATCCTCTGCCATTGTCCTGTTCGCGGCCAGAACTAAACCGTCATTAATCTGAAGCCAGCGATTTTCTTACTCAGATCTTTTTCCATAAACAAATGTTGTATTGGTTCAGAATTGAGGACAATTTCGTTGATTTGATCTTCATCGCCAGCGAGTTTTTCCAGCTCTTCGCGATATTTTTCTTTCAAAATAGTCGAAAAATCCATTTCTAAAATAAAGAAAAATTCAAAGACTGCTTGAACTGTGAGTTTTTATTAATAATTAAAATAATCTAGGTCTTCAATTTTAGAAAATCATCAGTAAAAAGAAGAAGTCTTGCAACTCAAGAAATGAAGGAAACAATTGAAATAAGGAATAGTGGTTAATTCTGTTTTGATTTCTGCGCTTTTTTAAGCTTTGCGTAAGCATATCGTATGCTTTTTGAAGGTCCGGCGGTTATTGCATTGAAAGTTGTTTGGGAAGTCGAGGAGCTTTTCACGATTTCCTAAACAATTTTGAATCTTTTTCGAGAAAAAACGCGCACCTCAATTCTTTCGGATAAATATTGCTTCATAGAAATATGATCGTAAGGCGCTAGATCCGCTATTCTAAGGGGATACAAAGCGCTTGGCATGTTTTCGACTTGTTTGGTGATCACTGCAGCGGAAGTGTCGATGTCGATCTTGCCATTTGAGTACTCAAGGCCTGTCATTTCATTTATTCTAGAGTAGGTTAAGGGTAATGATGACAGGGGAGACAAAAGCCAACCTTGGTTCGTAGAGTTGCTTTAAATTGTCGTAGCTTCCTTCAAAAATCTTGTTTACCTTCTGTTGATCTTCAAATCCCTGTGTTCTGATATCGCCAGTGTATGATAATTTACAGATGTTGAGCAGGACATCGTCCAGCGTTGTGGATTTACTGTGATACGAGTGAAGATTGAGCATAATTGCTGTTCGAATGGCGGAGTAGAGATTCAGTCGTAATGCTCGACCGATCGGATCATCGATGGAAGGAAGGGACTGGGACAGATCTAATGCTGAGTTTTCTGGATGCTGAGGCGTACAGAACTAAAAGAGGGGGTAAAAAAGAGGCTTTTGCGCGAGATATTTTACTTTGACGGGCTTGTGAAGTCTGCCAGAAAGATACAAAGATGTCCAGTTTTCAAGGTCGTCGACCGCTCTTTCAGTGGAAATCACTCCATATTTCAATACCCCAAGATCTGTTTCTACAAAAGGGTTGAAAAACAGCCCTGCCGCTCGTTTGTTGAAGCTGGTGACAATTTCTGGCCCTCCGAATCGCATCGAATACGAGTAGTCCCTTTTGTTGATCTTCATATTTGCTGAAAAGCGAATTTACTCAGAGCAAAGAAGAAGTTATACTTTTGTGGAATTCCTGTACATCGTCGACAATGAGGATCATGTCGATTTGCCGATCTTTTCCATCATTCCCTTTTTGCGGAAAAACTGATGAGCCGTAGCCAAAGCCTGTTCGAACCAGTCGCGTTGGAAAACGCTTCATAAGATCTCTGACGATGCTCATTTTTTTCCGATTTCTAAAAAGCATTTGATGGAAAAAATGTTTTTCAAGCTGTTTTCAAGCTGATGCAGGCAGAGTTTCAACAAATTCAGCTCTAATTCTGGCAGTTTTTCTTGGCTCTTTCACTCCCGTCAGCGGGCATCTCATTTCATTCCACGAAATTGGCTCCAGTCGCACCCCAGCGCGGCTCTTTGCCAGAACCACTCCGAGTTCGTCGCCTCCTGTCGACAGCAAATAGCTCTGCGAGTCCCCGAGACTCATAACTTTGGCAAAGACGATGTCGTTTGGTCGGAAGCATTTGGAAAGTTCGACTCGATCGCGCTCGGTTCGACGGACGTCTTCTCGGCGGATCAAACCCTTGAAAGGAGACCTAAACGAGCTTCATAAACAAACGTAAGGAAAGTGGAAACATACGATGTGGCGATTCCGTCAACAGCATAAATCGTCGCACGGCACTGTCGCTGGGTTACTTGCACGATCTTTACAGTCACAATCGAGCCAACTTGCGGTAACGGCGGCTCATCCTTTCTCACAACCTTTGAAATACAGTTAGTAACTGTTTTTTGAGCAAACAGAAATCTCTCTTTCTTCATGGAAACAAGGAAAACTTACTTCAATCAGAATCTTTTTATTCGCGTCGACTGTATTTTTCACCTTTCCAATCCTACAAAGAAACTGATAACAACTCTGACAGACCATTTTAAAACCTCGATGCGTAGATGAAACTTTTCCTGACATAAGTGCCCCTTCCTGCTTCACACTCGTCTGTACTGCCCAATCTTTCCCCTGGAACGCAATTCACATCTGTAGTGCTCATTTCTTAACAAAAACACGGAATGAAACACGGTTTATCTTTTTGTTTATTGGTGCCCTTTTTGTAATTGAAATAAGAGAAAAGGAGAGAGGGAATTAAATTTTGACGAATGGTAGAAATTTCAAATGATAACGATCTATCTATTACAGTTTTTTACAGTGAAAAGGGTGGTTTCTCTTGCGGATTTGCAAGAAAAAATACACAGATAGACAGGATTTTTTTGTGAACAAGTGGTTTAAAATGAAAAAATAGGGAAAAGATCTGAACTAATGTAACACGAACAGAAAAGTTTTCTGAGAAAACTATTTTTTTTTCTTTGAATTTTAAACTTGGCACTGAGGAAACTGTAAATGAGCCTATTTTTTTTTAAATGAACTGAAAGGCAATTTATTAATTTGAGGGGTCCGAATAATGAAGATTTTTAATATAATTTACGAAAGAAAATTAATTATTGAGGTAGTTAAGAAACTCCACTAGAAAAACTCCGATTGAATTTGCAACAGCGAACATCTGATATTGTAAAAAATAAATAAATGAAACGAAATCTAAAATTTTAACTGTTTATAAAGAGCCCTGCCCAATTAACTAAATATAAAGGCACTTTTCTGATGACAGGAAAAAATGAAAATCTGTTGATCAGAGGATCATTTTGAGTGATAAATGGTGAAAAAGAAGTGTAAAATGTTCCTTATTATTAATAAATTCCTAAATAAACTGACTTCTGATGACGCTCAGTCTGAAAAAGGGTCTTTGACGACTGTATTTACATTTGAAAAATGGTCTGGTATTCTTTATCATTGTGTCTCTGAATTTACAGCATAGGGCTCACATTTCATGCATAATTGGAATTTTTTATTTTTTTGGGCTGGGATAATGTAAAAATGAAGATAGAAATCTACAAACTGGTAGAAGCTAAAATGGCACACTTCTGGAACACTTCCTGTGTGGGAATATTCAATTTTCAAGATTTATCTTTGTATTTTCAGTATTTAAAAATTTGCATTTATTTAAAAAAAGCTAGTGATTACCAAGCGAGCCCTCTTTTACAGACACTTGTTGTTTTGGTAACGGTTTTTCATGGGCATTTGTTTTTGGTTGATTGAATAGTGAAACGCATATCTTTTCTTTGTATTGGCTAAGCGAGAGCTTCAAGAAGCTCGCAAAGAAGCTGGAAACTTTCAACAAGACAACTCTGGTGAAGTTGTTGAAGTCAAGATGAGTAGATCACCGTCTTGGAGCAGCCGTTTTTGTGCTTGTTAAGGAGCTTCTGATATTCTGAAATTTTCGTAAGACAGGGGAAAAGAGGGTTTTCTTACTTGTATTGTGAAATTGAACGATTTTTCGGTGGTACTCAGTGGGTTCCTCAGTTCGGACAGGTGCTGACTTTAGAAGCAATTGCTGGATTTCCTCGGCGTTGAAACTTCGCTTTCCGCTTTCTTTTGGACTCTTCTCTTCTATGTCTTCATCCGTCCAGGAAGCATTCGCCTCGCCGAAAGTCACCTCAGCCTGTACGGTTACCTTTGACTGTACAGGGTTCTCAACCTACCAAAGAACAGATTGAAATCAAGGAAGAGACAAGTTGCTCCTACCTTTTCTTCCTCCGGAAAATCCAATTCCTCGTCGGAATGCGTCACCATGAAGTTGAGTCCCATTTTATCGCCGAGAATATTTTCCACCTCATCGGTCTCCCGCGGCTTTCTCTTCGCGTTCTCCGCGGCGAGCCGCGCGGCTTCGGCTTTTTCTGCTTCAAGTCTTGCGGCTTCTGCTCGCTCGGCTTCGAGTCTCGCTGCTTCGGCTTGGATTCTTGCCTGTTCTGCTTCTTGGCGGGCGGCTTCTTCCTTTGCAGCTTCGATTCTGGCGGCTTCGCGGCGCGCTGCTTCAGCTTTTTCAGCCTCAATTCGAGCTGCTTCCTTTGCAGCTTCAGCGGCTTTCAAGGAAGCTACAGCTCGAGCTGCTTTTGAAGCTTGTCGCTGCTCGTAACGAGTTCCTACACCTCGATTTGGTTGTGGTCTGATAAAGAATTAGATAAAGAGTGATTTTCATGAGAAAGGTACTTACAGAATCTTTGGCGCGTCGCCCTTGCTCGTCGGGCCGGGAAGACCAGGCCATTCTTGCGTAGAATTGACTTTCAATTCCGGTGTATTCTGACGCACAGGGCGGTTGGAAGGAAGTTGAGGGAAATCTTCTTCCGGTCGGAGAGAAACAGGGGCTCGCTGTGGGGAAGGAGCGCGCTAGAAAGAGATAAGCTCTTATTCGAAGAAAAGGCAAGATCATACAGGAGGGGTTCGTCTTGGAATGGCGCTGGAACTGGGCGCTTCAATGCGAGCGGGGACACTTCGGCGATCGGTCGGTTTGGCAGCTTTGACGCCAATTGTGGCCCAGTCATCATCGTCGTAGAGAAGGGATCGCTCGTCAATGAGCTCGATCGAGTGACGACGCTCTTTCTTTTGCGGCTAAACTGAAGTTAAACAAACAACTATACGATTACCCTGGTCTGACCTTGGAAACGATGGGCTGGTCTTTACCAGGGTTTTCTGAAGAGGAGATGCCTGCCGTTCCATTCGTCGTCTCAACGCTGTTTTGTTTCTTTGTCGAGTTCTGCTGGTTTTTGTTGTTTTGCTTCGCGTTGCTTTCTCCCTTTCCTTTCTTCCCTTTTTTGGCCTTTTTACCGGTGGCTTTCTTTCCGGTCTTCTCCTGATTCTTCTTGTCCTCTTCTTCCAGAAGAACCCAATCAGGAATCTGGTACTTTTCCCGTTCCTTTTCAAGTCGTTTCATTTCCTCCTTTTTCTCTTCTTTCTCCTTTGCTTTCCTTTCTTGCGCTTCTTTTGCTTCTCTCGCTTCTTTGGCACTATCCTTTTGTGGCTTTGGAGGCTCAGCTTGTTGAAGAGAAGCAGCTAGAGGTAAGATACGATTTTTAAAAATTTTCAGCTTTATATTAATTTCACAAACCATTATGAAGTACCCACAATGGATGATCTGTTGCCTGCACTACAAAAGGGCTAACAGTAGATACATTAGCGACAATAAAAACATGCACGGACATAAAATAGGGGTTCTCATTTTTGCAAGCGATTTCTTCAAGTGCTAAAATGGTGATATCCTAGTGGAAGTTGCCCGTTAAAACGAGTACCCCGATTTTATTTCTCATTCATTTTCAAACTGTCATTTCCAACACATACACTTTTCAAACAGGGCAAGCTACGCTTTCTATTAGCCCTACCTAAGAAGGCTGACCGCTGGAGCCTTTCCTTTCCTTCATTTCTTTCACGTTCTTCTCGTTCTTTTCGAAATTCCTTTACAGTCCTTTTCCTTTTTCTTTGAAATTCTGTCTTTTCTTCTTGTTCAATCGAATTTGTCGGTTCATTCGTTCGATAAAGAATGACTTCTTGATGGTCTCCCTGCCCAGCTTCAAGTTTTCCACGGTTGGTTTGGACCAGAGCGGCTTTTGGGTTTGGCATGTCCTGAAAATATAATGTAAGACTGATTCTTGCGACGCAACCTCGCGGCTTTCTGGCTCCTGAATCAGATATATAGACAGTTATGTCGAGCCAAGATAGTAAAACACCGAGCTAGACTACCCTTACCAAAGAATGACTCTTTTCTTTCGTCGGTTTCTTCTGCTTCCTTCGACTTTTTGAACTAGAAGTTGTCTTGCCTTCAAGATCAACAGGGAGCTCTTCGTCGTGAATGTAAGAGTTTCCGCCGAGAGTATTGAATGAAATCGGATCGTCGACTTGGGAACTGGGCAATGTTGGCATTTCGACCTGGACCCATTCTTTCTTTCGCATTCCTAGCTCGTTCGTGAAGAATTCCTCTTCATCGTGGTAGTTTTTGAAGAAATCTTGGCGCGTCTTAAGACTGGGATGAATCTCTATTTTCATAGAAAAACTAACCTCGTTCTTCACGTCGCTCATCGGCTTTCTCTTGTAGTTTTGATTCTTATCGCTGCTATAAAGAGTTAGAACGAATTTCTTTCCGATGATCACTCACTTTTTCGGACTTGGGTTTCCAATCATGTTTCCAACAACATTTCTGATTGTCTCTCGGCTTTCCTTGAATTCCTTTTCTTCTTTCGCGATTTCTTCCATGTCCCGTCGCAACTCGGCGTCCAATTCTGGCTAAAAACAGAATGAAAAATGAAGAAACGAGGGTGGGCTGAATATTTACTGTTCTAGTGCTTAGATCTTCGAGTTTTCTAACGAAATCGGGAATTACCATGTCCTTATACCAGCCCATTCTAGCCTTGAGCGTCATTTCTGGTAAAGAAGCGTCCTTTCGAGCTTGTTCCTTGATCCAAGTAAGCTAGAACAGAAGGGATGAAAAGAATCGAACGATATTTTTACCTCTTCAAAACCGAGTCCACTGAGGGAAGGTTTATCGTAAGCCTCGCAAAATTTGTCCCCGTCTCCGTTTTTCAGCGCCAAAGCGAGCTTCAACGCCAAAAAGTTGTTCCTTGGATCTTCGGCTGTCCGGGTCGCTTTTCGCGACATTCCAGATTTGAGTTACAGTAACCTACGGTTCGCCAAGGGTACTTTTACTCTCTCGCTTCATCAATCTAGGAGGTAAATGCTCTGTAAAATAACTGTAACTGGCTGAAAGCACCTGACAAAAAGAACAACGAAGGTTTAAAAATAAAAATAGTGGCTTTATTGTGTGTAGATTCTATGCTCTGTTTTGATTTACAGTGAAAGAGATAGTCCTGCCTTTTGCAGAAATATTTCTATATTGCTCCATGAAGAGTGCGCATGGGAAGAAGACCAGTGTCCGTAGACAATCATGGTATGGCAGCTCTTCCATCTTCTTGAAGACAGAAATCCATTCTCTTCGGTCGTAAATTTGCAGTCCATGGAATCCAGAAGAATCCACGGTCGCCTCAAGATTTAATCATAATGATTACTGTTTCGATTATCTAAAATAATTTTCGTTAAAGACAAATCTCTTTAATATCTCGATAAAATAAAGATGACAGCTTCTAAGAAGAATAACTCTCACAGAATAACGAGTTCGTATCAGTAAAATGGAGGGTAGAAAGTTGAGTGTGTGGGCTTTATCTACGCGCGCCCACGCTTTTTCGAGCAGGTGATTACATCATCTAGAGAAAATTAGCGGAAAGGAGGCGGTGATTTTGGAAAAGAAAAAGTCTAGAAAAAAATGGAATTCAATTCTGAAGTCAGACCCAGGCGGGAATTGATGAACCCGAACTTCGAGGGTTACAAATTGTCCCTCAGACAAGTCTCTACGGAAAAGGTAAAATTTCCGATTTCGATGAGGGCAATTTGAAGTTTTCAAATGGACTTCTCTAAATGAATTCCCGGAATCATTGATTCCGAATAAACCCTTGAATTTATAGTTTCGACGAATTACGGTGATGAAATCATTCTAATTCCGTATTTATCAATTATTCTTGGATAATACGATATTGAAAATCATAAACCTTATGTCACCCGAAGCTCCCGTGCCCTCTAAATTACAGTAATCATCAGACAATGATGACCACTGCGCTTGGAGCAAGTCGATGCCCTCCGCGCCAGCTCGAATTCTTCTTCTCGTGGTTCACGGGGATAGACCTCGGCTGAAGCGCCGAGGGAAAGTTCGCTGCGGTGAAATATAGTTTTCAACCTGAGTCCCTATTCAACATCTCTTTCAGACAGAATTGGAACATCCGGCAGCAGTTTTCACAGCTCGACAAAGCGAGATTCAGTTTTTGACGCTCAGTTTGTACGCCCAACATTCCCTGCTTTTCGTCGATCGCTGGACTAGTGCGCTTTACTGGTTTTCACAGGTATCTAACTTGTCAATCCCCACTTTACCACGTATGTAAAAACTTCCTTCTTTGATTGTGATATTTTTTAGCCTAATGAAGAAACTTTCGAATTAGTGACCTTCAATCCCAACAATAACGAAAGCTCTTCCCTCCTCCAGCTTCCTATTCCAGACAACCACGCTCTCCCAACCATTCACTTTCCCCTTTCCAATGTCTACTTCATCTCTTACGGCGATGGAAGCTTCGCAGTCTATCAAGGACCGGACAAGAAGTTTTCCTCGGCGATTTTACAGAACGAAAAAGACAAAGATTGCAAAGTTGTGCTAGTCAACGATGTTAAAATTGATGAATCAAAGGGATTACTCTACGTTGCCGCGAGTTATATTCGAGGGAAAGAAGCTATTGTCGTTCTAGCGCGATTTGATAAAGGTAGACTAGGAATTTGACTCTAACCGTGACCAAAGGCCCAGAAAAGGGGGGGGGGCGAACTACTAGAAACAAACGGGGTCCCCTTTTCCTCGGCCTCCGGTAGAAGGACCTACAATAAAACTCTTTCAAGGACCTAAAATGACTTTTTTAGATGGAAATTTTCTTGCTTCGGACGAATTTAAAGGCGGTGCAATTTGTTCTTTCGTCGCCATTTCCAACGATTACGCGATAACGTTCATTTCCGACAAGTTATACCGACATAAATGCGACGATAAAGCGCCTGAGCCAAAGAAAATTCTCTACAAGTGGCGGCAGAACCTCAACGACTTGGTTTTATTCTTCGAGTTTGAGAAAAAGGTCGAAAAGAACGAAGTGAAAGTGTCGATACGAAGAAATCACCTAGAAGTGGAGATCAGAGATGTGAAACTCGAAGGAGAGCTGTTTCAAGCCATCGATCCGGACCAGTCGAGCTGGGAAATATCGCCTGGAGGAGTCGAAGTGACGCTGGAAAAGGCGGTTGAGAGAGGTTGGAGTCAAGTTTATAGGGATTTTGACAATGGAGAGGAGGTTTACAACAAGGAATTCGTCGATCAAGTCAAGGTACAGCCTTTATCTTGGATAAAATAGCTCTCCTTGGACCCTAAGAACCAGTTCAAGTCTTTTTTTTACTTAAATATAAGCGTTTATATCCTTTTCGTTCTAGGGACGATTGGGACATTTGACGACAGAAAGCGCGATGCCAGAAGAAGCAGAGAAACCAGGCGTAGATTGCAATCAATATGAAGATATCGACAGAGAGACAGAATTCGAAAGAAGCATCTTTAGATTCAAAGACGGTGACTGGACGCATAAAGCATCTTTATCTTCAAATTTGCCGCTGTTTTGGAATTATACTACCCCAACGGAGAAAGGAAATGGTTGAATAACTTTTTGATTATAGCTTAACCCGTTAAAAAGCCGCTTGCGGCTCTTTCCGCCCGTTTTATTGAAAAATCTCGACTTCTTGGTCGCTAAATGCATTCAACTTTGTATCATTTCAATTCATTCTGACTTTCAACCCTTTGAAAAGCTGTAGCAATGAGACACGATGTCGATGCCTGTCTCTGGTCATCAGTTACCAACGATGATCGCGTTCCCCTTGGACATGTTGCAACATTCGACGCTGTAGGATACATTCACGCTGGAAAACAAAATCTAGCTTTCATAAACGCTCCTCCCAACAACGGATATGTCTGCATCTGTGAACAAAAACGACGCATCCTCCTATACAAGTATGATTTTTAGCATCTCTTTCTTTCTAACTATTGTTCAAAGGCACGAAAACCTGGACACGAACTTGCGTCACCGAGGAACAGGGCGAAAAGTAAACGAAATTGGAAGGCAACAAGTTGTGAAAATCGAAGACGATGATGCTTTTCTCGGACTTCAGTGCAATGACGATGCGCTCTTTTTGCTCACGAAGAACAGTCTTTGGCGCGTAAGCCCTGACGAAGAAGGAAACTAGAATTGAAAAACTGCTCAGAAACTGACCCACACTTTCATGTTCACTTACTGTTAGGACAATTTACTCCACGGATAATAAAAACATTGGAAAAGAAAAAACTAAGGGTCATTTGTCCCAAGATTCGGAAAATGATTTGTTTGTTGAATGTTCTTTTCTCCAGTTATCAAATTAATCCGTCCATAACCAACGTTTTAAATATAAGCTTAGATAATCAGGTGATGACGATTGAACGTCTTCTCAATTACAGGCACTTGGACACCTCATTTTTGAAGAAATACGATAATGACCCTGAGCGTTTTAAATCCCTTCATCGGTACTTATACGCGCTCATCTGATTCGGAAGGACACAAGCGATTAAAATATGAGAGTTTTTATTTTTGTTTTCTTTTGCTTTGCCGAAGTATCAGGAGCAACGTTCGATTATTATGCGACGAACGATACTTATGGTATCGATGCAACCGAGAAAATGTTCGCCAATGTCGATAGGCTCAAACATTTTAGCGCTAAGGAATTCGAAAGAATAAGCAGCTCTGAAGACGAATTCGGTAGGGCATATCGAAGGATCGATAAATTTGTGATGAGAGTGATGACAATAAACCAACGACTTTCGCAAAGAAAAGACTGTCCATTTCGAGAAAATCGAGAAGAGAAAGAAGTAAGGTAAGAATATTAGTTATTTTCTTTCTTGAGTTGATTTTCTATTCAGAGATGGCTGCCCTGGGCTCGATGATTACGAATATAATATGAAAGTTTGGGTGTTAGGACGATTGCCGATCCAATCCGCAAGCTGCAGGAAAGCCGAACGGCCACATCGACGATTGGCAAACCTTGTCGAGAAAACATTCAACGAAGAAATGAAGATAATCAAATCTTACGCCTGCCCCGACCAGTATTGATTTCAAAGACTTCTTTATGAAGATTAATAAAAGTCAGAATATATTCCACTTATTTTTATTGTACTGCAATATTGGTGAAGAATGAGTTTTTGCTAGTAATGGTGTACTAAGGCTCTTACAGCTGTAAATGTGTACTTTTAGGCTCATTAGGTTTCGAGCTGTAGACTTCATTTTGTACTTGGGGCAGTTGACATTAGATAATCGGGAATTCCATATCCGAAGAGCTCAAAATCAAGTCGGTAGGTGTCGTAAAGTTTTATCTTTCAGCGGCTTTTTAACAATTTTTTCATTCAAATTTATTTGTTTGATTTGAAAGCCGTAACAAGGTTTCCCTTGATAGTCCTTGATAGTACTTTTTGATCGTGTCCGTTGCTGTTGCTTTTTTGAAGTAAGGATAGCTGACCAGATTTCCAACTCCAGCTTCGTTCTAAAATGCTCGGCGTAGAGAAAGAAAGGATGAAGATTTAGTACCAATAACCACGTGGCGTCCTCGTAAATGCTCTCGACTTTTCCGATGAAGTCCCAGTCGATGGCGCAGAAGTGGCAAATGTCATAGAATCGAGTCCAATGTCGGACTCGGACACCATAGTGTCCTCCTGCAGCGGCTTCAGGTCCCCTGGCAATTAGATACTGTAAGAAGGGGTGAAATTTCAGATAAATAAACGATCTAAAATTGAAATTTGATGATTGCTCCCATTCCTGAACGAAAGCATGGAAGCTTTCAATGTCGTATTCTTCAAAATCTTTGGTTCGATTTTGATTCTTGAGCAATTCTTGGACCTTTGCTCCAGCTTTGCCTCGGAATTCTTCGTGAGCCTTGTCTTTGTAAGCTGAAAGAATCCGCTCGATTGGATCTCGGACAACTGTGAATTTGTAATACGTTCTTTTTAATTTTCAGAAGCAATTCTGAATAATTGGATTTTTAGGTTTTGAAAATATTTCCTGAGCATTTCCACGCGCTCTTCATAAGGATAGGCGTTGATTTTCTTCAAATTGTAATGATCGTATTTTCTAGGCTTTCTGATTGCCAAGACATTTCGAATGTCGGAGAATCGTGGGTCAGTTAGCTTGATGAGGACTCGTTTCCAGTTGGAGCTTCCCACTTTCGGCAGCTGAAAATGCATATGAAACGAATCAGCTGACATGAATTCAGTGGCAGACAGTTGATTCTTAGGTTATCTTTTGCTTAAAAGCTCCGGTGCAGTTAAACAAAAATATGAGTTTTTAAATTCGAATATGAGAAACAAAATGAATTTTATTTAAATGAACGTTATTGGGGTGAGCGATGGTCTAATTTCCAGTTTGAAAATATATCTTGTTTTATGTTTTACTCAAACATTATTCTGACTGTTACTGTTAAAATGACTTCATCTCATTTCCTTCTTTTATTATTTATCTAACTCTATTGCACTCTCAAGTACATCTCAATTGCCAATTTGATACTTACCTCACAATAAAGAATCTTATGAATCGGATCCACCACCATCGGAAAATCCGCTTCATTGACTTCATCCGGTTCTTGCATCTTCATATCCGCAATAATCGTATCATTTGGCATGTATTTGCAGTATTCTCTCACTCTATCCGTTCTCTGTTTATAAATTTCTGCTCTGACAGAATCGCTGAGGTATTCCATCGGCTTGGAAAGAATCTCTGGTGCTCTGAGCTCAGCAGGAACATCTGGCGAAGAGCTTCGTTTTGTAACTCCCAGGACCCAAGGAGTATTTGGTTTTGACAGAAACCAACCGATAGAAATCGCCATCAGAGTCAGCACCGCTGCTAGATATCCTAAAGGTCAGCGTAAACAAAAGCGCGCTCGGGGTGGAGGAAATTGGGGTTCGAATAAAGTCTACCTGTGCTGGAGCGGTGGATAACTTTCATTTTTGAAAAAATTCAAAACCGCAAGAATTTTTTTTTTTACTTTTTATATTTAATTAGGCGGACAGTTGGAACTTGCCGACTATCACGCCCGCGGGGCGCTGTAACTGAGATTAGGGACTTCAGGAGTTTGCCAAAAGGAGATTTCTAGTCAGTGATTTCTTTATTTATTTCATCAGGATGGTGTATTGTTGGGTTTGCTTGTTGTATTTGATTCTTCGTATCGGACTTGGGAGGTCGAGAAGATCCTCAATTAGGGGAAATTTCGAGAAATGGATTTTTTCGCCACTTTGAATTCCGATTTCAGCAAGAATGGTGTTCACGAATTCTGTCGGAGACGGTTCAGAAGGGGGCTCAGGACAAATCTGCGAGGAAAAATGGTTTTCAGAAGTGATTTTTGCTTTTTTGTCACTTTCTTCGTTGATTTTTTCTTCATTTTTCACTGAAAGAAAAGGTGTTGGGCTTTTCGATCGTTCTTGTTTTTGAAGAGTTTCAGCTGGTTGTTCTAATTGCAGCTTCTTTTGGACTTCAGCCATGATTTTTTCGCAAGAAAGTTCATCTAGGAATGAAGCATTTCACAACAGCTGTTTTGCTTCTTACCGATTCTTTTGGAAACCCTACTTGCAGCATGAGCAAAAGCTTCGAGTTCTTTTTGGAATCTTCTTTTCTCCTCTGACATTATGTGTTACTGTGTCTGCATGTACGCAAATGAACAGTAGGCAATCTTACCATTATTTATGGCGCAAGAAAGAATCCGAAGACACGTGCCAATTTTCTACCTGTGCGACTACTGATGATATTCGAGAATAAAGGCTACTACTGAACATATAACTGTAAATTTGCCTGAAGCTTTCTTCTGTGTCAGAAATCAGAGAATAACGGAATATTCAAAAAAACTTTCGCAAACTGGATCTGAACCAGAAAAGGACACTTGGTTCTTTTTTCCATCCGAGCGCATTTGCAGAATTCACGCGTATTTTGTTTTGCATAATCATTTGCGGATGTTCCAGTCAAGTGCCTCTCTCACTGAACAGATCGCATCTGGAATCTGTGCTTCTCATAAAATTGCGGCGCAACTGGGTCGTGCCTCTTCTGAGCTTCCGATTTTCTCGCGTTGTGGTTCACTGACCATTGTTTTATATACAAAATGGTTTAATTTGACTTGGATGGGAGGAGGATGAAAGACTTTTTATGACTGAAAAGATGGTCGGTGGAAGATGGGACACGTTTTTCTGATGCCATAAAAAGGGAGGGAACGAAGATTTATTGACCCTTCATCAATTTGATGAAGGATGATTTTGGAAGTCAGAAATTATTTCATCTTTAAAATCAAAGAACAATCATATATTTATTCAATCTTAAACAGAGTCAAATTATGTCTGTCAGACATTTTTTTCTAGTCAAAAGTTCATTCAAACTTTTTCATCTTCAGTTGCTCGTCACTGTATGCTCGAATAAGTGCAGTCGAGGGCCAGCCGTTGAGCAGCGTGCTCAGCCACCACGCAAGCTTAGATCCAAAGCCGTCAATGTTCTAGAAATGAGTCCGGATTAAAGAGGCCCATTTATCGTCCGAAATCCCTCACTAAGTGCGGGCACTAGTGTCCGATTTCTTTGAACCTTTTCTCTCGAATCCGAGGCGCCAAAATCAGTCGCTTGTGACGAACTTCGATTTTAGAGGATTTTTTCGGAATATAGAGTTGAAATTCCCTCGAACTCAAATAACCGATAAGCTAAGAGGCAGGAGCACTAGAATTTCAAGCTCAAATTCTAGGGAAAGCCAAAAACTTGACCCGATAAGCAACCCGCCGGAGGAATTTCCGATAAAGTTGTCAAAACAGCGAAAAAACCTGTGTTTAACATATGCACTTGTGGCATTTCAAAATAGCAGGTTTTAGCGGCAAACTTTGAGGGATGAAAAATGTCAAAAACTTACATGAAGATGACAAAGACCAAGGACATATGTGCATTCTACGAAGAAATGAGACAGGGAGATGGTCCAGAAAACCACGATTCTTGCCAAATCTGGTACATTCTGAAAGATTTTTTGAGACAAAGGCGATGAAATATCCTTTTCTTTTTCTGCCTGAAGTAGAAATAAGATCTGGTACCTCTTGATATTTGTACTGCAAAAGATACAGATACTTGGTGTACTCGCAGTCGCAGCTTTTCTCCATCAGCATAACCTCATCAGTCGAGTAAAAGCATCCGATGAGTATGGTTGGCCACATAATTGCCTAAAAAGAGGGTTGAAATCTGGTAGATTATTATTTGTTGCCATAAAACACCGGCGATTCTTCACATCCTCACTGAACGAACCACACGATTTTTATCGACTTTATCGTCGGCAACTATCTCAACTATCGTGGAAGACCTTAATTCACGGTTGAGCGCGCTAAGACCACCTGTTCTAAAAATTTTTGTAGGTGCCTCGGAGCCGCGCGGTGTCGCAACGCAAGGCCCATATTTTAACCCCGCTGGTGCTGGTGGAAAGTATCACTCACAGGTTTAGACTCTCTTGTCTAAGCCGAAAATGTTGAGTTTAGCACTTTTGGCTGCTTCGGCTTCGGCCCAGTCTTATTATATCAACCAATATGGTCAGAGAGTTTACACTACAAATGCACGAAGCTCAAGCTGGTGGGACAACACTTACTCAAGAAACGGCGAAATCGTCAACCAGCCAGAGACTATTGTTAACTACATAGACAGGTAAATTCATCATTCTTTTATGAATATTTTGAGCTTCAAAGTTTTACTCTTCGGTTCATTTTCGAGCATTTTTTCCTAATTTTTTCTCTAGAATCATCGAAGAGCCTGAGCCTATCATCCGATACGTCGATACTGTCATCACTCCTGCTCCCACTCTTCCTCCTACTCCACCTCCTCCATCCTGTCGCTGGCTCGACTGGGGTGCATGGAATGAATGTACTTCCGTCTGCGGCAAAAACACTCAATCCCGAATCCGACGATGTGAAGGTGGCCAGCCCGGTGTCAACGGCTGCTGCTCAGGCGATCACGATTCCTACAAATCCTGCTCCAACCCCATCCGAGAAGAACCCTGTGCTTACTGGTCCGGCTGGTCCGAGTGGGGTGCCTGCTCTACTTCTTGCGGCGAAGGATTCCGACGAAAACAGAGAACTTGCCTCGGCGCGGATATTTTGAAAGACGATGCTGACTGCCCCGGCCTTCCCTACAAAGAAGAATCGTGCACAATTGGAACCGGTTTGGGCGGATATCGAAACTGGGGCGCCTGGTCTGCCTGCTCAGCCACCTGTGGCGATGCAATTCGAACTCGCGAGCGGGGCCATACTTGCAACGCTGGAATTGAAGCCGACTCCGAATCATGCAATTTGCTCGCTTGCTGCGATCCATTGCCCTGGGCTGAATGGTCCGTTTGCTCCACTTCCTGTTTCATGGGCACTCGAACCCGAAAACACTCCTGGACATGCGACTACAAAGCCGATGTTGTCCAGACTGAGGCTTGCAATGCTGGCGATGGTGTTTACTCAATGTGGTCCGAATGGAACGTTTGCTCTCAAACCTGCCTCGGCGGCGTTCAGAACCGATTCCGAGAACACACTTGCGGTCTCCGAGATGCCCGAGGAATGGCCTACGAACTTTCTCAAACCCAATCTTGCGGATCTGAAGGATTCTGGTCCGAGTGGTCTCAATACTCGACTTGTTCCCAGACTTGCGAAGGTGGATTCATGAGCCGAACTCGACAACACACTTGCTCTCGAAAACTCGAACGCGATACTGCTTCCTGTGGCAATCCCGGCGGATGGCGAGAGTGGTCTGAATGGTCTGGATGCTCGAGCTCTTGCTTCGGCGGCCAGAAATCGAGAAGACGAACTCACGAATGCACCAGCGAAATCGATGTTGAACAGGCTCCTTGCGGCGAAGTCGGCGACTGGATGGCCTGGTCTGCCTGGTCTGGCTGCTCCAAGACTTGCCTCGGTGGCGAACGATCTCGATCACGATTCCACGCATGCGGTGCTCAAGCTGTCCTTGCTGATCCATCCATCACTTCCGCCCGAGAAGTTCAAACTGAAGCTTGCGGCTCTGTTGGCACTTACGGTCTCTGGTCTCGATGGTCCGGATGCTCTGTCACTTGCGGTGGGGGAGTCACTACTCGCAACCGATACCATCAGTGCGACGGTACTACTGACACTGAAAACGCTGTCTGCAACGATGTCTGCTGCCCAGCCTGGAACGAATGGTCTCAATGGACTCCTTGCTCTGTCTCTTGCGGTCGAGGCGTTCAGAACCGAGGACGAAACAACGTTTGCACTTCCATCGCCGATCAAGCCCAAACTAGAACTTGCTACGCTGAACTTCCTGACTATCCTTACGGCGCATGGGCTGAATGGTCTGTTTGCTCGAAATCCTGCCGAGGCGGTTCTCGATCTCGATCTGCTGAGCACATTTGCAACGCTGCTGGTATTGTGGATACTGAAGCTTGTGGCAATCCCGGCTTCTGGATGGAATGGTAAGATCTATTGAAATCAACAAGGACTCATTGATAATTGTCATTTTTTAGGTCTGCTTGGTCCGGTTGCTCAGTGACCTGCGGAGTCGGCATCAAAACTCGATCTCGACGAGATTCTTGCGGCGACAACTACCCCGAAACTGAAACTGCTTCTTGCGATGCTGGACCCGGCCAATACTCCAACTGGGGAATCTGGGGCGCTTGTAACCAAACTTGTCCCGGCGGTGTCTCCCGACGATTCCAGCAACACAACTGCGGAGCTGAGCCACTCGTTGATGTCCGAACTTGCGGTGAAGAGCGATGGGGCGCTTGGACTATGTGGTCTGCTTGCTCTCAATCTTGCGCTGGCGGAATCTCCACTCGAACCAAGACTGAATTCTGCTCCAATGAGGTTGTCCAAGAAACTCGAGAATGCGGTACTCCCGGTGCTTTCCTCAACTGGTCTCCATGGACTGTCTGCTCTCAAGAATGCCAAGGCGGTATTTCCACTCGACAACGGGCTCACACTTGCGATGCTGGAATTGAACAAGAAACTCGCACTTGCGGTCGACCTGGCTACTACTCTCAGTGGTCTTTCTGGACTGATTGTCTCCGCGGCGGTGTCAAGGTCACTTGCGACGGTGGTAAACGATCTCGAACTCGAAACGGCTACTGTGGATTTGACGATGAAATCCAGGAACAAGACTGCAACATGGCTGAGTGCTGCGATTTGACACCATGGACTGCCTGGGGAACTTGCTCTGTCTCTTGCGGAACTGGCTACGAAGCTCGCCATATTCAAGATTGCAAGGGCCGAAATGTCCAGACCGAGCGACGAACCTGCAACATCCCAATTGTCTTCTACGAATGGACCGAATGGACTGGCTGTTCTCGAGAATGCGGCCCAGGTATCAAGCGACGAACTCGATCCGGCCCATGCACTGGCGTTGAAGAAGAAACCGCTCGATGTGACAACGGACCTTGCCCATTCTACGAACTCTGGTCAGCCTGGTCTCCTTGCGATGCTACTTGCGGCGAAGGTGTTCGAACTCGCCAACGAGCCTGCCGACACGGTGTTGCTGGAATTGACTGCGTCGGTGAAGCATTCGAATCTACTGTCTGCCTTGCTGTCGATCCTGGCTTCACTCAATGGTCTGCTTGGACTGCCTGCTCTGCTTCCTGCGACTACGGCTTCAAATCCCGCGACCGAACTCGAATCTGCACTGGCGAAGTCGACAGCGAAACCGTCCGATGCCTCGTCGATCCTGGCAACTGGTCTCCCTGGTCCGCCTGGGCTGGCTGCTCTGTCTCCTGCGGTGGTGGTGAAACTACCCGACAACGAGTTCACTCCTGCTCTGGCGAAGCTCAATTCCAGGAAATCAGCTGCAACACTTCTCCAGGTGTCTATCTCCAGTGGGGCGAATGGTCTGCTTGTTCTCGATCTTGCGCTGGCGGTAACAAGTTCCGAACTCGACAACACACTTGCGGCGGCGAAGATCAAGTTCAAACTGTCACTTGCGGCTCTCTCGGCGTTTACACCAACTGGTCCGAGTGGTCATCTTGCCCACGATGCTACGACTTCGGAGAGGAACCCGTTCTTGCTTTCCGACAACGAGGACATTCCTGCTCCGACATGGCTGAACAACAGGAAAAGACTTGCCTTGCACCTCGATGTGCTTACTGGGCTCAGTGGGGCGACTGGGGCGTTTGCTCGACCAGCTGCGGCTTGGGCTTCCGAGAACGAGTTCGAAGATGCATGGGCGATGATGCTGACTGCTTGAACCTCTTCGGCGACAAACGAGAAACTCAATCTTGCGATGGCGGAAGCGGCCGAGACTTCGCCGGACAATGGTCTCCTTGCTCCACTTCCTGCGGCACCGGTGTTCAAACTCGCTCTGTGCAGAACACTTGCACTGATATTGTCAACCAGGAACAACGCGCCTGCTCCAACAACCAGGGATTCTACTCTGAATGGTCAATGTGGTCTAGCTGCTCGGCTTCATGCGGCGGTGGCATGCAAACTCGACGAAAGACTCATAGCTGTGGCGAAGACGATTATGTTCAGGAGCGATCTTGCAACGTTGCTACTGGCAGTTACGGTCAATGGTGAGTCATTGTCTTATATAATCTCAATTTTGAAATCAAGAAGGAAACCGAATAGATTTTAACTCTTTTCTCAGGTCTGCCTGGTCTGCTTGCCCAGTCAGCTGCGGCGGTGGCACTATCTCTCGAACTCGATACCACTCTTGCACTGGTGAGGCTGAGGTTCAGTCTACCACTTGCAACCAGCAACCATGCTCTTACTACGGCGTCTGGTCCAACTGGGGCGCTTGCTCTGTCTCTTGCGGCCTCGGAACTAAATCCCGAACTCGGTAAGACTCACTCGTATCAACACAGATGATTAATTTTCTTCTCTAGATACTGTATTGGTGGATCTGTCGGTTCCGGTCTCTGCAGCGACGATGATGTCACCACCGTCGACACCATCGCTTGCGACAACGTAAGAATCTTTTAGCAAAGCTCGATTCTAATTTATATTCTAGGGCGATTGCTGCAACTACCTCTGGTCTGACTGGACTGGCTGCTGCAACCACAACAACCGAAACGTCCGACTTCGATTCCGAGGCGGTTGCACCGGCGCTGATCACCAGCAGGAAGAGAAGCCTTGCGGCACTGTTGGAGTCTCTGTTGAGGAGTGCTACTTGATGATCCAGACTTATCACCAAACCGGCTACTTGGCTTATTCTTACAACACCACCGGCTACACTACCTACCAGCAGGGCACCGACTACATCACCACTTCCGCTAGCTACCGAACCTTCTACACCAACACCGGCGCCAGTGTCAACGTTGCCGGCTCTTACCAAACCATCAACGGTGTCAGCTACTTCGTCACATCGAACACTGCCTACTACGGAAGCCAGTTCATGAGCGGATACTTCGACAACACTGGTCGATTCATCGAGAACAACAACAACAACACTTACTACGTCGGTGGCGGCACTTACGATCCCAACCTCGTCTACAACACTGGATCTAGCTCCAACACCTACAACACCGAACTCAAGTTGGTCTACTCCAACGGCTCTCCAGTTACTGTAACTGGTTACAATAACAACGGCGTCTTCTACACCCTGAGCTCCGAGCACTTCGGCACCATGTACGACAACGGCGCCTTCGACATGTCCGGCCGCTGGAATCCTTACATGCCCTAGACTTTTCAATTGAAAACTTCATCCAACTACAATTCATTCACTTTTTCTGTAAAACTCGATAACTAGATATCTGAAGAATTCAGATAATACCTATCAAAACCCCAAAACCCAACTCGTTACAGACCTAATCAATGAATATTTTAAACTGTGAAAAAAGTATCTACCTGTAATTTTCTCCAGTTGATCAAAATTGAATAAAAATCAAAAAATCATCAAAAAACAAATTGTTTTTACTTACATTGAAAATCCAAAACGGCAGGGCAGGAAATTGAACAAAAGAATTTGATCCAATAGTTCTAGGTTTTCTGCCGTCATCATTTGCCACAAGATGTCGGAATGAAAACACCCTTAAATTTTTACTGACTAGAAAATTAGAGAAAAACTTACCCAAAAAGAAAAGTCTGGAAGAACCAAAAAAGCTTATCAGATGCTCCATAGCCTTTTCTAGCGGCCAAATCCGCAGCAAGAAATGCTTCAAAAGTGTGGGCAATTATGACACTGAAGAAAGTCGCTGGGAAGAAGTTTTCGCTCTTGATTATTTTTCGGAATACTGAAATTAATGAATAACATGAATAAATCATTCGCTTATGGATTTATTTACCCGTTTCATGTTCATTCAAAAAGCTCAAATCGAAGGCATCATTGTCAAGGTACAACTGATAAGTAAACCAGTAGAGTCCGCTTATTAAAATTGCTGGTAAAAAACCGAGAAATTGCTTTCCCATTTTCTCTCTGTCAAAAAAGAGGGCGTGACTCAAATTATGGTAAACAGCTCTTCTCCAATTCGTTTTTCAATATTTACAAAAACAGCTTCGACAAATATTAAAAGGTCGTTGAAAAGAAGGAAGAGTTCACTTTTAGTCCGTTCATATCATGAAACCTCATTCTGGAGCATTTTTCCTGCCCTCGGGCGGTCAGAATTGACTTCAAGAACTTTTTTTGGGATAAAAATTCCTAGCAGGAAAGTTCCTAAAAGAACGTTGCTAGAAGTCTACGAGCTTGTAAAAAATCTGAGTTTTGTTATTATTGCCTATTCAAAAGTGCTGACAAAGAAATCAACAATGATCCTGGACCAGGGCCAGCGATAATTGGGGATTTGCTCTCACAGCTGGCCCGCATATTCGAATGATCCGAGTTTTTGTTTGATTATTCTGAATTACTAAATTTGTTCAATAAATATCTCAAGTGCTTCAAGTTGATTTATAATTAAAAAAAAATAAACATCATCAGGCTTTGAAAAAAAATATAAAGATTCTCGATGATAACAAAGAATTCCTTTCTTCTATCTGAATAAACTGAATATACTTTCATATGGGATGGCCTTGCTCATCGAATCGAGGAAGTAAGAGGCTGAACAAGGTCACACATGCAAAAGTTCAAAGGTGAACAAGGCCACCCCTATTCAATGTTTTTTGTTTCAATTAAACCCTCTGATAAATACCAAGTTTACTCGTTTACATCATTTCCGCTTATCCATCACAATCGTAGGACAGAACTTCCTGCTGTCAGGTTTTAACCGCATATGATAATCATAGGAAGGGACCTTTTCGAAAGATGAACTGTTCACCGTGAACGTAGGAATGAAAATAACAATTATCATAAATATGTGCGCTTATAAAGAGAAGCTGTCGGATGCGCTGTTCTCAGTCCAGAGCGTCGAGAGTTCCTTTGAGAGTCGCTCTCCCCGTGACGACTATTATAAAGAGCTTAACTCTACTTTCAACCAGAAGTCGAAAATTACCAAAAACCAAAACGGAACAACTCAAATCAGATCATTTCCTTACGTTTATTTTTGACATCAACGAAGAAAAAGATCAACAAAAACGCTGAAAAAAGAGAAAGAAAAAGAATAAATGGCGGGGGATGAAAAACCTGAGCCATGGGACGCTACGAAAAATATCGGTGAGTTAATGCTTACCCAAACTCTCATAAGTACAACACTCCTATTCAACCTTTTTTTCAGACGACCGACTTTTATTGAAGCAGCAAAAATGGCGACCTTATGTTGATTTCATTTTAAAATGCTTCTTTGCGCTTATTCTTTTCTGCCTCAATCTTGGAATTGATGTTCTGAGTCGGTCTCTTTTCTTGCTACTGTATGGAGACCATCAACTGTTAGTCAATTTGGATGATTTTGAAGAGAAAAAGAACGAAACAGAGTGCAATCTTCCGAGTAGAACCGTGGTTTTCGATAATTTATTGTATGTTATTCGACCATACAGGAACCGGCTTAGAGTTTTATTTAAAAGTTTTCTCCAAGCTTGTGGAGGTCATGTTGAACGTCATTTTTGTAGTTATCTTCTGAGCCGTGATAAACAGGATTTTCATGCTGACAGTGCCGATAATTTTGACCATAATAGGAGGGCTTTACCGGACATTTTTTCGGCTCAAGAGGCCGACCTTTGATCGTGCGATGGTCATTCATTCTGCTTATGAGCTTTTTGCTGGCGCTGTTTTGGCGTTTTTCGTCCTCAAAGTTGTCCACCACATGCCCTACTTGGCGATTATTGCGATTTGTTACAGCGATAATTTGGTCACTGGATTTTATCAGATTCTCTGTCTGCTCAAGGTTGAATCTGGAAGACTGGTGTATCACCGAAATTCAGTCTTTGCCGAAGAATCATTCCAAAACGTCGACACTTATGGTCGCCAACTTGACCGACAAAGAACCAACAAATGCGAATTAACCTTCGTCTTGATTGGGTTTTTGCTTCAAGTTGCGTCCCTCGTCTTTGTTGGAATTTTAGGCATAGAATTTTTCGAAGGAATAAATCTCAACGACTGGATGCTGGAGGCAAGAGGATTTTTCTTGCTATTTTTCTTGGTCTTTACGTCTGGTCGTCACTGGATGACCTACCTGCCAGAAGTGAGCAAAAGCGCTTTCGATGCATCAAATCAACGAGATGCCATGGCAGGAATCGACGTCTGCGCTGGGATTTTCAAAGCGATCGGCATTCTCATCCCCGCCCTGACCTTCATCTACATCCCTGACGAAGAAATTGATCCCTCCATCATTGACGAGCGCCTTTGCTCCGCATTCACTACTTTTATTGGTTACATGATTGCTTTGTACATTGCCATTGTTTACGTCCAGCGCCACCTTTTGGGCCTTTCTTGTCAAATCCGCCTTCAATTTCTCTGTTTTTCTCTTCCAAGTCTTCTTGGACCATTGGTTTCCTTTGGAATTTGGTATAAAATGAGCTTCTCAACTGGACTTGGATTCGTCGAAACCGAGCTAATTTTATTCTTCAATAATGGAACGAATACCACGACTGCAACTTGCGAATTTGATGTTCTCACGAGCCTGGATAATTTTCAAATCATCAATTTGCCCTCTGAATTCGTGCCGAACATCCCCTCATCCCTAACTGACCTGACAGAAAACACGATTCTCGCCAACATGAATCTAGAGCTCATCGATCTCCTCTGGATCATCATCATCTCCGGTTTCGTCTCCAACATCATCCTCCTCCGCCATGTTTTCACAAATCTCAACAACAAGCCCTACGCTAGAATCCGCGATCAATTCGTACACACGAGTTTTGAGCTCTTCAACATGCCCGTTCAGGAAATGAGTAACAGACGAGTCAAAGAGTACAACACGCTAGAAAAACTCAGCGTTAGCGATATGTCAGGCCATCCGCCGTACATTTTCATTTGCGTCCCACTCTGGCACGAAGAAGAAATTGAAATGGAGACGATGACCAGGTCGCTTTATCGAATGATCGAGCATCAGAAAATCAAGGCGAAGAGTGACCCAGCCTGCTACGAGCTAGAAGTTCATATCTTTTTCGATGCGCCATTCGAGAAAAAGAACTTGATGAAAAATCGCTCTGAAATCTACGATCGTGACATTATCGAATGGAAAGTCACAAACGAATGGGTCAATTGCTACATCAATGTGCTGAGAAAAATCGTCGATGGAAATGGAGAAGGCGATTGCTGGAAATTTGGCCAGGTTTATCCGACGCCGTATGGTGGCAAGATCGTTTATGATGTCCTTGGAACTGAATTTACGATTCATCTGAAGGACCCGGATAATGTCAAGAGGGGGAAAAGATGGTCGCAGATCATGTACCTTTACTATCTCTGTGGATGGAAAATGGACCAATGTCAGGAAAGTCGCAAAAAAATTCTTTTGAAACCTTATTAATTGTTAAATGACTTATTTATGCGCCTATTGAAAAGATGACCAATTCAAAGGGCCAAAAGCTAAAAAAAGAAAACACTTACATTTTGGCGCTCGATGGCGATGTCGACTTCTTCCCAAATGACTTTGAATTAGTGCTTGCTCGGATGGTTGCTTCTCCGGATGTTGGGGCGTGTTGTAATCAAATTCATCCGAACGGATCAGGTACCATAAAAAGCGCCAGATCCGCGTTTTTTCTCACCATCAATGAAATGAGTGTCAAAATTATTATTCATTTAGGACCGATGGTTTGGTTCCAGCGATTCGAGTACGCAGTTGGCCATTGGTTTCAAAAAGCGGCAGAGCATATCCTTGGCTGTGTGCTTTGCTCGCCCGGTTGTTTCTCTCTCCTACGAGTTTCAAATCTGATGAAGGATAATGTTATGGCTACATACAAAGGGATCGCTACTGATGCCATGACAAAGCTCATGTACGATCAGGGAGAGGACCGCTGGCTCTGCACCCTGATCCTCCTCTCCGGCGGCAGAATCGAGTTCGAAGCAGGAAGTCACTGCCAAACCTTTGCTCCTGAAGACCCCGATACTTTTTCAAACAACGACGGCGCTGGGGACCAAGTACTTTTGTCAACATTTTCGAGCTCATTTCCAACAAAAACATCGCTACGAAAATGAATCCTTATTTAACTTCCGCGTACATATTCTATCACATGCTTTCCATGTGCCTTTCGACTATTGGAGTGACGACAACGCTCTTTGTCATTTGGGAAGGATTGGAGCTTGGGCTTGGGTCGGCCATAACGACGGGAGAAGCTTGGGCGCTGGTTTTCCTGCCTGTTTTGCTTTACGCGCTGATTTGCTGGAGAGGATCCGGGAAGAATCAACTTCTTTGGGCGAAGATTCTTTCAATACTTTATTCCATAATTATGGTCTTATTGATCGTCACTGTGGCGATTGGTGTTAATGAATGCTCTTGGAACTTGACAGGATTGTTCATTCTCTTTCTGTCCGGAATTCATCTGGTCGCAGCGCTTCTTCACTGGGACTTGAAGACGGCCATTTGCGGAATTATCTACTGGGTGGGTATTCCATTAAACTTCATATTCCTACAGATTTACATGATCGCAAATATCAACGATGTCAGTTGGGGAACACGATCTGCAGCAACAGGGCCCAAGAAAGAAAAGCTCACTTTCAAGCAAAAACTACGCGCTCTTGGGAAAAAACGATGGCCGGGCTTGAAATTTTTCTGGAACTATTTAGTCAAGGGCGCCCCAGAAGGTATAGAAAAACCTGATGTTCCAGCTACGCCGCCAGTTGTCAGCTCCAGCAGCGAGATTGAATCTGAAATGGACAAGAAGGGACCTGGAGATACTCCGGCTAGAAATGCGAGGCAATCTACTGTTGACTGGGCTACTGGGAACTTGATTGCGTTGGAGGAGGATGATAAGTTTATTTCACCGTTTACAGTTCTTGGAGGAAATACGATTGCAGAGGCTAGATCAAGAGCGGGAATCGGAAGGAACAGCAATTTTCAACAATCAGTATACAGCGTTATGCAGGAATTGGATGAATAGATTTAAATAATCGGCAGATTTTTTAAGATCGAAATTAATGAATTTCGGCAATTTTGGCAATTAAAAATTGATAGGCCTCATTTTGCATAAAAATATAGCGCAACATTTTCAGGGTGAAATAAGAATGTTCATCTCAGCAAAAGACAAGCGTAACCGCCCGCAAACGATTACTACAAAAGACCAACTACAACATGCGGATGGCTCAAGACCTTCAGAAATTCGAAGCCCTCGCTGAGTCGCCAATTCAAGGTGATCCGGAGAAGATTATCAAAGCTCTACAGGAGGAAGCAAAAACGACGATTCAGCTTAACGATGACACGAGGCCGCTTCTTGTCATGCGTGAAGTCGAAGAAAGTGCTGAAGCAGAGGAGGATGGTGAGGAAATGGAAAGCAAAGCGTTGGTCTATCGCTGGGTCAATAAAGAAATGGAGCAACGATTCATGGAATATTGCGCTTCGGACAAATTTTCAGCTTATGATCTTCCTACGATAAAAACGATTAGGGAACGAGAGTACAGTAGCTACAGAAAATACAGGGGCTTCAAAGAGTCACAAGGTTTTCCAGTTTTTCTTTCATGATCTCAACTTTTATTCAGGAATATGGGAAGACGGAAAATTCAATCCTCGGCCAGAAGAATCGCCGCGAGGAAAGAGCTCCTATTTGGACTGGGTTTTGAATATGCGCTCTCCGTTGTCCGACAAAATGAAGGTCTACGCTTTACCAGAAGCAGAACATGTTTTCTGGCAGCAAATGACTGCCCCTGGAACGGGTTATCTAAGAGTGCCAAGCGCGGCGGAAGAGAAAGAAACGCGAATGAAAAATGATGAAATGGCGCAGCAGCTGACAGATTTTAGGTAAAATAAGGGGGACCATAATCGTGATTTCGACAAAAGTGTGTGGATTTTTCTCCAGCTAAAATTAAACGATGCGGCATCGTCGATGCCGAATATGCATATTACCTTTCAGACGGGTCACGTAATGGGTAATCTACTAATCTCATAAATCTATTTCATAAATTGAAAATTCATAAACTTCATGAACATTCATAAATGAAAATTATTTTTCAGGAACAAAGTTGCGGGAGCGATGATTTTCATCAACATCCTCTTTTTTGTTTTCGCTCTCGTCATGAAACTACAAGGTGAGAATTCACTATTATAATTCATCGTTGATGAATCATCGTTACCTTTAAATTCAGCTGAACAGCTGCCCCCTGTCGAGTTGATCCTGCCCGTCGTTGCCGTAACCTGGGGACGCTATGATTCTGGATGTGACTGGATCAACTCTCAAGTACCAAAGGAGCTCAACCCTGAAAAATATCATATAAGCGCATCGAACTGTTCTCTTGAAGATACCGAAATAAGTCCATTTTCTATCATTTATGATACACAGCAACTTATTCAACGTGAAGGCGAAGTAGAAAATTTTGCTTTTCAATGCTCTGACTACATTGCCGTGAGTAAAAGTCAAATTGAGGAAGAGATAACGAGAAATATCGTCATCTAAAATGATTTTTTCAACATATTTTTAGTCGCTGAATGGTTGGGATGAAATCGAACTCCGGCTTCCAATTTTCCAACTTTTCTTCCTTGTCCTCTACATTCTGCTTATGTCTATGCAAGTGATTTGCATGTTGATTCATCGATGGTCGACCCTGATGCACTACTTGGCCAATATCAGCTACAAATCCTTCCGGCTCGAGCTCAGTAGAATCAACGATACTAACAGACGTACGTCAATTCTTTTCTTTACCAAAAATCATTATTTTCAAAGAAATGGCGAGCATACGCGAAAACGGAGTGCACAAAGATGATAAACAATGGTCGATGGCTTTTAGGGATTTCGCCCTTGACTTGATGAAATTGACCTTTGCCGTGAATTCGAGCGCAGGGAATGACGGAAATTCTCGGGAAGACAAATGGATGGAGCTTTACCGAAGGTAATTTCTTTTCAAAAGCAATGCTTCCCATTATTTATTCTCCAGAACAACTCATCGCGCGTTGGAAATGAACCCAGACATGCCGAAAAAGGGAATGTACCGCCTCTCAACACGAAAATCTCAAGCTCCTTGGATCCCATCCGGCCCGAACAGATTTAGCGAGCGCTTCAGCCGGTTTCAATCGTCGATCAGAAAAAGCATGAAAAAATTTTCTCGGCGAACGTCTGAGAAAATTGAGAAAGAAGACGAGAGACGACCAAAATCTTCCAAGTCGGATTCAGCGACTCATAGAGCAACGAGATTTATGATAGACGATGAAATTATAGTTTAAATTGTGTATGACTGTAAATATATGAAAAGACTCTTACCACTGACCCTTTGATTTTTTTTTCTTTAGTTGACTTTTGTGAACGCTCTCACTATAAGTGCGGAAGCAACAAAAGGCGCAGCGATTGATGACAGGAAGTTTATATTCGCACCGATAAGGTGCTCCAACAGAGAAATTCTCCTATTTTTGCCATATTGTTCATCAAAAAATGCAATTCTATCTTGCTGTAATTTGATTGTTATGCTTTGATTTTCGACTGTTTTCTTGAGATCATTGATCGTCTTCTTCATTTCGATGTATTCTTCTCGGAGAAATCCGTTGTCTTTCTCAAAATGATCTAATCGTTGAAGCAAGGACTCGAATTGAGCAGCAGCAGCACTTGATTCCCAGTCCATCTGAGAGTTTTGATCATTTTGCCGGTCCTTTCTCTGGTAGTACGATCCGAGAGTACTCTCTGAATACGTTGAAGTCATTCTAGACGAAAAAAAATGTAGAATTCCGAAAAACCCGATTTGAGAACTAACCGCGCGAATTCTTAAATCATTTATCATGGAAGTCCGCAAACAGGGTTCCAATTTTTCTCAAAAAATATTTGAGCGGAGCGAGCGGCTGAGCGGTCGACCAAAAAAAATATTGAGCTGAGCGAGCGGCTGAGCGGACGGTTGAAAAAAAAATTTGAGCGAGCGAGCGGACTTTGAGCGGAATTTTTTTTTATGAAAAAAAATATTATTTTTCTTTCTATTTGATAATATTTCGACAAAGGTCAGTAGATTTGACCGCAGTACGAAGGGCCGAGATCTGTCCGCGAGAGAAAAGATAAAGATATCGAGCAATTGCTCTCGTTTCTTCCTAAGACAACCTTCTCTAACTTCTCTAGCTGACATTCGGACATCGTCGCCTTCGATCATCTTCTTTCTTATAAGGGATCGGAAAAGAGGGTTGAAAATCTGTAAAAAGGATTAGGAGGGTAGACAGCTAACCACGGAGGGTCCACTTAGTCCTCTCCACTAAGTCCTGTCCACTTCGCACATCCAGGCATAAGTTAATGCGGCATAACCCTTTCCTTTTTTCTGAAGGAATGAAAAATTACGCGCAAGAAAGCTTATAAGGAAGCAAAAGGGCGCTGAAAAAGGGATTGAAAAAATGGGGAATTTTCGATTGAAAAAGGATCGGGAGGTCAAGGGTAGACAGCTAACCACAAAGGGTCCACTTCGCACACCCTTGCATAACCTTCTCATTTAGGTAGTATGTGGTAATTCGTCGGGGTCGCCCCGACAAATGAAAGATGAAATAACAGTCATTCGTCGGGGTCGATCCCGACAGATTGAAGACCAAAAATACAATTGTTCAATTGTTCGACCCCGACAAATAGGTGTGTTTTTTATCTTCAATCTGTCGGGATTGAACCCCGACGAATAACCGTTATTTCATCTTTCATTTGTCGGGGCGACCCCGACGAATTACCACAGACTACGCTCATTTACAATAAGGGCCTTATTATAAGTGTGTCAAAGATTTCAGGTTAAAAAAAAGATAGGGAGGCCAAGGGGGACTAGGGTTCTGATTTTTTCTCTGGTATTCCTCGAGTAGAAAGGGAGCTTTTAAGCTTCTTCCAATCAGAGCATGAAATGGTCTGACTAGCTCTGAGTGATCATTTCGCGATGCACTCGCAGGGGACCAATAGAATTGCAAGAAAAATGCCACTAATGCTTAGTCGCCGCTCACTCCGCTCAACTGCTTTCGCTCAATTGAGCGAGCGGGTGAGCGAGCGGAAATAATCTGGCTTTGATCTGAGCGAGCGAGCGACCGCTCACCGCTCGCTCATTGCTCGCTCACGCTCAAATACCGCTCATCGCTCAACTAAAATTGGAACCCTGTCCGCAAATATTGAAGTTTTTCGATATTAACATCACCTTCTTCATCAAATAGGACTTTCTGTCCAAAGGATACTGCAGTTATTCATAATATGAAAGAAATAAGAATATGATGAAAAGTCTCGTCGAATGATTTACAATAATTTCTTTTTATTAGCAATGATACGTAATCATAATAACGATTTACTTCATTTTGGAAGAACGATGTTACACGTGGGCGTGGTGCATAATGATGAGTAAATATTACGTTACGGTAAAAACGTGGTGCTCAAACAAAAGCTCAAATTGGCCTATTTCGTTTCGATTGAGCCCGTTTTCGACACGGCAATAGTCCGCCCGTAGGCTCCGTTTCTCGCCTCTGACCACGCAGCGGATAACCCAAAGTGGTCGGCTTTTTCCCTTTCAAAACAAATCAAACCTACTTTCAACTCAAACAAAGGAGCCCTAGAGAAAGAAAAATGGATACCTGGACTGCTGAAGAAAACGCTGTTGAAGTTTCCGCCGCCCCAGAGCAGGCACCAGAGGTCAGCCGGAATTTGAACTTAGAATTCTTTAGTTCAATGAATCTTTTTATTCAAAATATTTAAAAAGTCCATCATAAATATATTTTAAATATTTTATACGAAAAAGACAATAATCTAATAAAGTTCTTGAGACAAAAAAAACTGTCTTATAATTGGAAAATCTTTTCGGATAACTTTGAGTTCTGAAAAACTAGAATTTTTGAAATTTGCTATGTAATCTTAGCAAAATCTAATTCATTCTTTCGTAGGAAGCTCCAAAGCAGAAATCAATCAATGCCAGCGAACTGAGCATTCCCCAACTTCAGCAGCTTGGAAGTAAGATCCTCCTCCCTACGCCCCTTTTTTACTCCATTCTAGAGCGAGTTCATGCCGAGTCTCAACAACTCAACGCCGCTGTCGGCTCCCTCAAATCCGCAGGCACAAACTACGTTGGTTCCAAAATGGCCGTCAGCGACTGGAAAGCGGCGAAAGAAAGGAACGACCTTGACATTTTCGTCCCCTACACGAATCTGCTCTTTGTTCGAGGAAAGATTGATGTTGAAGCTCCTATGCTTGTCGAGCTCGGAGCTGGAGTTCTCATGGAGAAAAATGATGAACGTAAAGTTTTAAAAGAGAACTCTTCTCATGAATTCATTTTTCAGAGACAATCGAGTTCTTCGAAAAACGACTTCAAATGGTCTCTGGCTCACTGAACAAAGTCGGCAACCAGCTTCAGCAAAAGCAGTTCGCGAAAATGGCGATCGGCAAAGAAATCGAGCAGAAGATGAAAAACATGCAGCTTTACAACAAAATCTACGAGTAACCCTAGTTCCTATCCTTTAGTTTCAATACCCTATTCTACCCCAATTTCTATTCTATTTGTAGCTTCGAATATTTAATACAAGAAATTCTAGAGTTCTGTTATTTATCACTTGCGTTTTTGAACTGAAAATGCTCGTTGAATAAAAAAGTTTTTGTTTTGCCAAAGATTTTACTTTCAGTTTTTATTCTCTTCCCCTCGATGGTGCTTCCTGTCTTTTGATTTGATATAATAAATATTTCAATCAATTGAGAATTTTTTAAAAAATAAGTTTTTATTTCTTTTTTTTTCTTCCATAGCGAAATGACACCCCCTCTTTTGTCGTTTTCTTGGAGTTCCTACAACAAAGAGCTTGCAATTTCCAAGCAAAAATGCCAAGAGAAGTTGAAGACGTCTACGCAGATAATGATCTTACTCTCTCCCTCGGAGAAGTCAATGCTTTCGGCCTTTTGATAATTATCTACATCGCCTGTATTTCTGTCATTGTAACTAAGAAACAGATTCGCGGGGAGTTCAAGCCATGTCATTTTTGGTTCACAGGGCTCAAGAGAAGAAATGGAGGTGTTTTTGTGAACGCAAGGAAAGATGACTTCTCTTCGAGAGCGCTTTTTCTTGTCTACCGAATAGTGAGCCTAGGATATTGGCTGGCTTTATGGTTAAGGGAATCACTCTTATATTTTTTTCTTGATTTTTTAATTCTTGATTCTCTATGAAAGATCTATTCCTTAGTTCTGCAGATTTCAAATGGGGAAAACTACATCAAGATTTTCCCGAATTGGAGCGATACTGCTGTCCTTCTGTTTCTAGCAGTGTCGACTTTCGAAACGATTTGGCAATTTGCCCTTCTGAGAAAAGGAGATAGAGAGCAAAACTCCTCGGAAAGCGCCTCCTGGTTGACTTATTTTTCTCAATTTTTATTTGAAACAGCGCTGATGCTTTCTTTCATCAATACTGCTCTCATCCATACTTTCCGGTAAGAAGCCTTTTTTATTATCTTTCTGATCATTTCTAGCTACAAACTCCCGCTGCTGAAAATGCCATTCTACCACTTTCATAGTTTCGTTTCTGGAGCTTTTATCATGTCCACCGAGCTTTTTATTGGAAGTCTTCCAGTGCGATTTTATCACTTCATCTACTCCATTCTGGTGTTGCTGATTTATTGCTTGACTCAGTTTGCCCTCGATCCTCAAAATTTGCACCTCTTTCCATTATGGGATGAAACAAGGCTTTTATCTTCAAGCAGAAATAAGCTCAAAGAATCGATTTTGACTGGAATTTTTCTTGGTCTTTTTGTCCATTTGTTTCTTTTTTCCCTATCTGCGGTCAAGGTAATTGACAACAAGAGTCAATTTTTTTAGTTTTAGTGGCTATACTGGCTGAACCCAACGAGTTTTGTGAAGAATGAATACCGAGTGGTCGTTAAAACACGTGATCTTCAACAAGAAAAAAGTGAGGAAGCAACTTGCGATTTTCTTTTTTCTTATATTTTCTAGTGATTTCCGATCCAAAGGCAAAACTGAAGTACATCAGCCGAGTCGCTGGAATGCTCGCAAGCGCAGGTATAGAACATCAAGACTTCATCAACCGAGATATTTCTTTTTCTAGACAAGCAGCTTGAATCGCTGAGAAGACAATCAAGAACCTCTTTATCCACGAAGCTTTCCGAACTAACAGAACAACTGAAAGCGATGTCACGACCACAGACTCGCCAGAAATCGCAATCTGCGGAACACCCAAGCGATGAGTATTTAGGCATTGAAAATCGAAATTACACGATGTAAAGATTCTTTCAAATAAAATAGTTTTTTTAATTGAATGGTTTTATTAACAGCTGGCAGTTTTTAAGCGAAATATACAGTCATATGATAAACAGTTGTTTGATTAGATAAAGCGCATTTCTTTAGCAATTCTGTCGAATCTTCTACCAGATGAATATACTGGAAGTTTTTTATACAGTCTTCTTTGACGTCTGAGCTCTCGATTTTCAGTTTTTGTTGATCGCTTTCTTGAGTTTTTATGAACTTTGCTTCTTGCTGAGCTTTTGAGCTTTTTCCAAGATCGTGATTTTCTACGACTTGATTTTTTATCATTTCTGATTTTCCTTGATTGCTTCAATTTCTTGGTTTTTCGTCTACTTTTCGTATTTGGAAAGGTTACGGTTGTTTCAAGCTGCGTTCTGGTGGATTCAGAGAGCTCTTGAATTGGTTTGGCCTCTAGAATTGTTGCGAGAAAAGCTGTCAAAAAGAGGAAGCTGAGAAAAGTATTCATTTTTTCTTGCTGTTTGTTGTTTTGATTTTAGTAAATGTGAGTTTCCGGCAGGACTCATTGCCTATAAAACACGCCAGAACCACCCAGTCGACTATTTTTAGAAGCAAAAGTGTCAAGAGCTACCTTAAAATAGTAACCTGGCCGACATTTATTAATCTCCCAGATGCGCGCTAATCAAAAGAACAATTTATTGGTTCGTGAACTCATCAAGCCTGCTTTTTTTCTTTCTTGTTATGAAGAATTGATAGTACGGAAATTTTTCGTGAAGAAAAGAAAAGTAAGTACAAGTATCGGCAGTTTATTTGAGTTTTTAGAAAAATGAGTGATAATTTAGAATATAATATTGGTAGACAAGAATTTAGGCTTCAGCTCAGCTAGTTTTTGTTTTCAGGAATTTCGTCCGGGCCCCAGAGCCCTCGTTCTTTGAAATTTTCTATCTTTTCGTAAAATATCTTTTTGATGAAGTCGTACAGTTCGTATTCACGTTTCAGCCCTTTTCGAAGGTATTCGACTGTTGCTGGATCTGGCTCTTTTTTGTGTGCGGTTTTTGACCTGAAGACATTGATGAGAAAGGAAGAAGAAGAGAGGCTTTTACCTGTCGTGAAGGACCTGATTCGCCTTGCCAAGAAGAACTGATGCTCCCATGAAGAATCGAGGCGAAACGACTTCAAATGCTTTCATAGTGCTATGAAAATCCTCCATGATTCCCACGATTGCGTATCTGTCGAGGACGTTCTGTTTTGCTATCGCTACTGCTTCGTCGCCACGTTTTTGACAGAGGCTAGTGATGATATTTAATTAAATTCTCTACCCTTTTTGTCGACATTTTTTTAACTCAAAGAAACTACTAAAACTCAAAATGCCGCCTCAGGGACAGGTAGCTCAGAGACAAGCAAGAACTTTCAATCGTAATCGGCGGGTTGTCCCTTCTCGGCCTGGTGCACAAGTCGCCGATACTTCAAAAGCATCAATAACAAGTGGAAAGTAAGAACAATCGAAAAATACTGATATTCATAAAATTAAGAGCTCTGGGTAAACTCAATTATAACAAGGAGAAGGCTGACAGTTTTGAAGAAGAGCGTAAAAAACTTGATAAAAACATGCATGAAAATCTTAAGAAAAAAGAGAACGATCTTGAATTTGCAAAAGGTCTGAAAGATTGTTTTAGCACAATAATATAACATTTTTAAGATGAAAGTAAAGCATTACAAGAGCAACTCCGAGAAACAGAGGCAAAGATCCAAAAACTTGAAGAGGAAAGAAGTCAACAAAAGAAAAGGGTCAACGAAAAGTATAAATTGTATCAAATTACAAACAGATCACTATTTTTATAGAACCGCTGAAATACGAAAGATCGAACAGGATATCATGAAGATCAAGAAAAAGCACGCGATAGAAAAAAATATGCTCGACAAACGAATCAATGTGTATTTCCCAAAATCTCCTCGCGAATAAATTTTAGAAATCTTACCTTGAAGAGCCACAAAAGAACGGAATGAGATTCGAATATGGCCTCGCACACTCTTGAGCTTCCGTTTTCACACAGTCATCGATTGACATTGCTCTTCTTTCATCCGGCATGTCATGTTTCCAATTTTGTGCATTTGTTGTATTCTTCGCAGTCTTAACAAGCATTTTCATAGTGAAAGCATTTACTATAACGTACCTGAAAACCAAAGCGGAGGTAAAAGTAATTTGAAATAAATAATGAAACTGGATCTCGTGCAATGTTGATATACAGCGGGTCTCTGTAGCCGTATTTCGGAAAGTCGATGAAGTAAACGTGGCGAATATACAAAATTGGTCGCTTGTACTGCGTGATATTTCTGACCAACCCTGAAAACTGTGTCAAAAGGGCATAAATTTTGGAAATTCACCGTATTCTTGCTCGTCAGATTCCATGAAATGCTTCATTTTTGGAGCGATGTCATTGAAAACATTGTAATGAAGCTTTTTTCTCAAAAATCTGATGATGTCCAGAGTCGTTGTCGACCCACATTTGGGCACACGATTGTATACGACGATCTGAAATTTATCAAGGGGAGTTCAAAAGCTCTTTTTACCTGAGGATTTGGGGTCAAGCCAAACCCCTTTAATTTTTGCTGCTGCATTTTGATCACTGAAGTGAGGGAGATATTCTGATTGTGTGTAAGATTGTCATTTGAAAGAGTTCGAAGCTCATTTTGGACGATGTCGGAAGGATCTAATTGCGTGATTGCTTCGTAAGCTGGGCCGGTCGAGGAAAAAAAGACTGTTAGCACATCCAGAAATATTACTGCTATTGCTAGTTTCGGTTGAAAAATAATTAGAACTAGAATTTCTCTCTTGAAATTTTTTTTCAACCTTTATCCTGAAATTCGAATCCAAGGTTTCATAATTTTTCTCTTTCTTCTTTATCAGAAATAATTTTTTCTCTACTAGAAAATCCTAAAAGAAGCCATTTTCATGGCTTAAACATTATGTCCGGAGTGTATTTTCGAAAATGTCATTCTTTTAGTGCGCTGGCCGGAATGTTATCACTCACTAGTCGGCGGGGGCTTAGCCAGCGGCCAATCGGTGAGTTGGAACCGGGCGGTCACAGCTCGCACTAGATCAATATTTCAAAAATGAGAAAATAAATAAGAAAAAATATGAAATTTATGGAAACCTTCTGTAGGCTCTATGCTTATACAATATGAGTATCATTGATGATGATGCTAAAACCATAAAAAGAATATACAAAATGCAGTCAAAACTATTTTTTTCACCAGTATAAAACTGATACTGTAAATGATTACATCTGCTGATAAATGAAGTCGAACTAAGAAGAGGGAGGAAAATTTTGGATATGAGTTTTTATTGGCCGGTAGGTCAAATACAACAACAAGCTAATTGGTCTTTCAAAAAAGCACTTCCTTTTCTTGGTTTGTGCCAATAATTCTTAACTTTATTTTGTTATCCATTTTTCAAAAACATCTGCAATAAATGACTTTTATTAAAACCTTCATCAATCGCCTTCTGTCTAAATACTTCAAAAAGCAAATCGACCTCGCAAACTTGACAGTTTTAATTTCCGCTTACTCGTGCAATTTTCACATCACACTGGCAAATAGTTACCTAACGATGGTAACTCTCCCAAGACTCCTTGAATCCATGAACAAGTTTATACTTGTCTCTAAACAGCCGCTTAGCAGGTTCAAGTGCTCTTTTTGAGCAAGGAATGTTTGAATCTGGCCGGACAGGATTAAGGGCGTCATATGATAGGGCAGAAGCAAGAGGGAAGATAAAAGAAGAAGAAAAAGTATCGAATCTTTATAATTATTGTTGCTTAGGAACGGATGTTCCATAAACGCCCGGGCTCGAATCCTTCTCACTCTCAAGATTACCACAGTTGTTCTTCAACAGAGAAAAGCTAATATGGGTTGCTCAGATTCAAAGCCAAAGGTTGAGGAGTCAACAAAAGACTGCCCAAAAGATTACCCGCCAAATGGTCTCCCAGAGAGCATCAAAAAGCTGCCAGAGTGGATTCAGCTCGGTTGTGGTGATGCTGAGTACTATTGTGAAGAGAAAGGCGCTGTTTTTAAACCCTCGGCGATGCCGGAAGAGTGCCCTGATTTGTCGGAACATAATAACTTTTTCTCGGAAGTGATGATCGCAAACCCAGAGTTGTATGGAAAACTGAGAGGCCTGACTACTTCACAGGTAAGCTCTCCAAAAGCATCAAAAATTTGCGATTAATTTGTTAATTTGCTATAAATAGGCTGCTTTGGGGAGTTCGCATTGCAAAATTAGCTTTTTTGCATAATATTGAATTAATATTTCCACATTATGCCGTAGGATTTGAATAATTACAAGAGTTCTTGAAATTGAATTAAGATATTTGCCAATCAAATGAACATGATAATCAAAAATTCATTGGAAACGAGATTTGAATTCAGGGAGTCAACCTTGGTCATTGCATCAAAACCGGAATCGACAACCCCGGTCATCCAATGATCAAGACCGTTGGCATGGTCGCTGGTGACGAAGAATCTTACACGCTCTTTGCTGAGCTCTTCGATCCAGTCATCTCCGGTCGGCACAATGGCTATGCTGCTGATGCTGTGGTAGGCTCATTATTTTCTTTATTTCTTTCTTATCATTTCTAGCACCCAACTGACATGAACCCTGAAAATCTTTCAACAACGAAAATCGACCCAACTGGCAACTACGTCCTCACCACTCGCTGCAGAACTGGCCGATCAATTCGAGGATTCCGTCTTCCTCCATGCTGCTCTTTCGAAGAACGACGAGAAATCGAACGAGTCATTGTCAAAGGTATTCTTCTTTGATTTCAGAAAAAAATGAAGAAATTAAGGTCTTCTATCCTTGGAGGGTGAATTGAAGGGAGATTATTTCCCTCTTCATGGATCCAGATCTTACGGCCCGAAACCGACCGGAATGTCAGAGGAGAAAGAGGAATCGTTAAGAAATAACGGAAATCTCTTCCAGGTACGGTTATTTTGGAAAAAATTTCTTTCCCTTTTTCCATCTAGGAGCCAGACTCGACGCTCCTCCTCTCTTCCGGCTGCGGCCGACACTGGCCCGACGCCCGAGGAATTTTCCACAACGAAGCTGAGAATTTCTTCGTCTGGGTTAACGAAGAAGATCAAATGCGAATCGTCTCGATGCAGAAAGGAGACGACGTGGCCGCCATTTTCCGCCGATTTGCCGACGCCACCGAAGGCATCAAAAAAGTGCTCGAAGCGGAAGGCCGCGAGTTTATGCATAGGTTTGCAATTTTAACGATGATTGATTTTTGACAATTGTCTGTTTCTTAGCGACCATCTTGGGTGGATTTTGACCTGTCCTTCGAACTTGGGAACTGGTTTGAGAGCTGGATGCATGGTCAAGGTCCCGCTCTTTTCTGCCAGGGAAGATTTCAAGGCTATTCTTGGCAAAATGGGACTCCAGGTGACGTGTTAAAGGGGGAGAGACCCTTATTTTCTCTAGGCGCGAGGAGGTGCTGGTGTTGACTCTGAAGCAAAGGGAGGCATTTTTGACATCTCAAACGCTGATAGACTTGGAAAGTCAGAAACGCAACTTGTCAACATTTTTATTGAAGGAGTCGCGCAAATTATCAGATGGGAGCAGGAACGGTTTTTAGCTCCGTCTTCGATCAGTTCTTCAGAAGAAATGTAAAGAAGGGATGTTTTAAGACCGTATAAAGGCCTTGGAAGCAGGAGAAGACATTGAAGAAGCTATTGCGGCCGCTGGACTGCCTGAGAAATATTGAGCTTCTGCTTATTTTATAAATATGACATAAATTATATCATTTGAATAAATATTATTTCTATTACTTTCATTAACACTTTTAATGTGATATCAATAGATGAGATATGAAGAGATGTCATATCTCAGATATGAACGTTGGCAGAAGAAGCTTCATAATTTTTGGTAGGATTTTTATTAGATCTGAAATCGCAGAAATGCCATTTGTCTAAAAGTTGTTTCAACAATCGCATTGTTTCTCATCATTCGAAATCGTCGTCGTTGAAATTGTCGAAAGCTCATTCCACTCACATCCATTGCGCAAACAACAACAAGAAGCATTTGAAATACGTTCATTCTGTTACTAAGTTATGTATTACCAGCCTCGGATTGAGAATTTATAGCAGAGATTGAGTCTGACAGAGCACTGGACCGACGACTTCAATGCTGACTCAAAGTCTGTTTCCGAATTTTGATTTCCGTTTTGGATAAATTCCATAAGAGAAAAAGTGAAGAAGACGTAATCTAGCAGAAAACCAATAATGAATTGCGTCAGCAAAAAGGGGAAATTCGTCCAAAGCTCTTTTGAAGCAAGGTACTTGAGAAAATCATAAGCGCGATGTTGTAAGCCGTTTAAAAACAGGTGGCGGGCGTCATTTTATTTTAAAAGGAGGGTTACCGTATTACTAAGTGAGCAGCTTGCCCTTCCTGTTTCAATCTAGCATTAATTGAAGGTTGATCAATTCAGGACCTGCGATAAGAAAAATGCGCATTATGAACTTTCTAAAAGGCGCTTTATCTAATAATTCTTCTGATAATAATCAAAAGAACTTCCTAAGATTTTTTTCTTGGCGATCCGGATTTCGGAACCGGGCTTTACTTTCCTGCACTTCCCCTCTTTTTTACCATTATCTAACGACCCAAAACTCCCTTCAAGGAGCCAAAACATGTCTCGAAACTTAAGCTTATTGCATATTTTAAAAACACAATTTTTTAATGTAATAAGGGTTTTTAAAAAATATAGCGTAAATTGATCAAATCCGGGTTTTAATTCTAATTTTCACTTCACGTATTTATTTTATCCCAAAATAAAGTGTTCGATCATCGTATTTAGTAAACGCTTGTTATGGCAAAATGGATTTACGGTTTTTTTTCCCAGGTTTGGAATATAATCGAGTTAAAATTGAACCTTGATTCAATTTAGTTAAACTCTCTAACTTCGCAATAAAAAATCATGTTCAAAAACCGCAGATTCTTGAATTGCTTCTTAAAGTGCGCAAGAGTGACTTATTTTTAGAAAGGAAATACTCCAATTCTTGAATAAGAATTTGTAAAGACTGGATCAGAAGAGGTTGACAAATAAGCGATTAATGATTAAATAAGTCTGGATTTTTGCAAGGTTGTAAAAATCCAAGTCACTTGGATTTGTTGCTCAAGAACTTTTGAGTCGAAAAGTATGGAAACTCAAGTTCGGCAGTCTGTGTGGAAAACCTGAGTCAGGGCCCTGACAGAGCTTATTAGGTTTCTCTTTTAGCTCTTTTAGGACCCTGACTCAGGTTTTTAACACAGGCTCAAATTTGCCGACCCCAGCCTTTAAAACTAGACGCAAACACTTTTGGATTGAATTCTGTCTGCTAGACAGAGGAAAAACTTCAACGCTGATATAAACGAACCGCAAGGCTCAATCTTCATCCTTCCTGTATGTCTCCTTCGTTCAAGAACTTTGAATTTGAGCTTCGATCCTTGTCTAAGATAAGTTATCTTTCGTAACGGAATGAAAATAAGGAAAAATTGGAGGGCTGTTTTTGGAAGAAACATGAGTTCATTCATTCAATTCGATTTAGAATGAACTTTATTATCTAATTAACCCAAGATAATATATTACAAGAAAAAAAAATGAACTGAAAAACTCTGAGAAAAATGATTTTGCGTCAACTAATTCGATATATTATATATGTTGCGTTTTTTTTTTAATCTGAAAAATTATCTTTCAAGAAATACTTGTAATTTTAATTGCCGAGGCTCTTGGCTAAAATGAACATGATGGAATTTCCTCGATGAGGTTTCCATTTCATGAAAGATTATGTACTCGCGTTGAGTTTGTTAATTTACTGTAGATTTAGAAGCAATCGGGAAAATGCCAAAACATGTCCAATGATCGCGAAAGAGAAACGGAATTGATTTAACCCGTGAATTTTGATAAGCCGATATTAAATTCCACCACGTTCCAATTAGATTCAAGTGAAATGCTTCCTACGTTCTTTGTTTTTGATCACAGTTAGTTTTATGCTTACGATTTAGAATTAGAGAGTAGCTTGCTTATACCAAATTTGTTCACGAAAACGAGAGTTCTATCATCTTTTTACTGTCTCAAAGTAACTGAGTCTAACCCTTGAGGTTAGGGTTAGGCTTAGGCTTTCAGTTCCTAACCCTAACCCTGACTCAGGGGTCTCAATTCGCTTTGCGAACTCGCTTTTTTGCGAAGCGAACCAAAGCGAAGCGAATTCGCTTTCGCACTTGGTAGTAGAATTCGCTTCGCTTTGCTTTCGCTTCGCAAAAATTTGAAAAAAAAGTTCGCTTTCGCTCTGGGATTTTTGGCTGATTTTTCAACCCGTGCCTGACCTACACCTTTAGAAAAAAACGCTGGGTTCTCTTGGCATCATTATAAAATACAATGAGACCCAACTTACTTGACATCAATTACATAAAAATATAATTTTCATGACTACATTTGTCCCGCATTTCTAATAGTGCTTATAGTAAGCAAAAGAGACAATGTCGCCTAACAAAACGTGATCAAAGACTAATTGATACCAAAACTCTCACTTTTATTAAATTTGAAATCGTCCGTTACAAGATGTTCCCAAGGAAAACGAGAAGCATCAACACATTCTACAAGAATCTTTCCTGTAAATTAGATGAGTGCTAAAATTGTAGAAACTAACGCTTGGCAAAAATTGATAAAAAAAGTGCGATTTAATGATTTCTGGAAATGACCGCAAGAAGTCGCTAATTGAGTATTTACGGTAATATTCTAAGAAGTTCAATCCTTGCATGAGTCGGTCTGGGGCTTGGTTTATTTGATCCTAATCAAACATGCTTTCCCTATTTACCTCATAAAGATGTTCTATTTTGAATATTTCGGTCGGCGCAGACGTTTTTTAGAACCCACCAAAATTTGAGCTGTTGGTCAAGTTAAAATTTGATTCTTCATATAAATCAATAATTGCTTTCTTAAAAAATACTATGGATAATTTAGCTATTTATTTTGAAAATTTCTGCTAACAAAAAAAAACTGCCAGAACATGAAAAATGTAAAAAACCGTTGCGTTTTGTAAACTTGAGCGCAAAGCTCCTAAAGTCTTGACTTAAAGTTGTGACACAAGCTTAATCCGCGGAGTCTTTTTGACTTAGCGACCAAGAACACTCAACGAATTTTAGGAAGAGCGTAATCCAATTCTTTTCCGAAGAGAAAAAATTTCAAGCTGTCTACAAGCTTAGAAATGCAAAAAACCAGCGCACTAGGCGTTGATAAGAAAAGTCCGTAAAATCAATATTTTCAAAACTTTTTGTCAGAACGAGAATTATCGCTTTTCAAAAACGTGTTCTCAGAAATACTATACTAGCTGTTTTTTAAAAATGGGGGCCTCTATTTTAGCAATACAGCAAATACGATAAACGCTCACTTAAAAAATTGATCCCTTCGAGGGTTTCTTGATGTGTTTTTTAGAATTTGAGTGGTTTTTATGAAATCAAAAAGCGGTTGAAAAATGAGCTGGCTGAGGAATTGAGGGTTGCGGCTTTTATTTCAGATATCTTCTTCAAAAACAGGGGAAAGAGTTGGAATCCAAAAGACGTTAACTTTCCGGAGAGGATCATGCGCGCGGCGAAGTTTTCGAAAGGCTTGGTAGTTGATTGGACGGTCTTCGAACTTTCCTTGAGTGTGGAAGACGGTGAGGATGCCTCGCACCTGAAGAAAAGTGATGTTATAACATGTGCGTTCGATTCTTTAAATTTATAAACAGACTCCTTGTTACAGGGGTTCATGCGATATAAATAAGTGATAGCTTTTCTTAAAATCGCAAGTACGTGGTGTTGCAACAACCATCGGCTAATCTGATTACAAACAAATCGAACAACGCAAAATCTTGAAATCTTGAAGATAAACACTTAAAAATTTTTAAGATCACTTCTTCTTACTAGCTTGACTTTTTCTCGATCCGGCATCTTTTTGATATTTCTGAGAATCGATCTGTCTCGTCCAAAACTCCGGATCACATCTTGAACCTCGTATTGTATCGGCTTCCTGTTTCGCCGCGAGTTGCTTGCTTCAGGATGTTGCTCAATAGCTGGGGGAGATTTTTCTAGCCCAAGGAATTGGCGAAGAAGCTTGTTGATTGTTTCCCAGCCATTGAGCAGCATAACTGATTTTTTCAATGGAAGAAAAGGGACGGAAAAACAAGCTTATCTAGAATTAAATTAAAAATTACATCATAAGTGTTTTTGTAATATAACATGTAAATTAAACGACTTTCTGGATAAAAACTTGACAGTTTTTATTTTTTTGTAATTGTCTTGTTAAACATTTTTGTTTTACAAACTTCACGATCACTTTTCAAAGTGTCTTGTAATTTTGGAAAATAACATGGGCTAAAATGGGCTCTACAATTTACATTTGCAAAGAGAGTATTTTGATAATCCTGGCCCGTGATTTTTGGTTACGCTTATTCGAGTACCGTTCCGTTTTGGTCAAAATAATCGCTGAAAACGATTCTTGTTATCGACAATTCCTGATTGATGAACTTTGCGGAGATTCGCGATTCAAGTAAAAGAGCAGAATTCAGGAAATAATTTAGGAAATCTAAGCTAAGCTTGCTTGGCAAATTTAAGGCTTAGCTGAATCAGAATTGGAGAGCCTTAGCTAAGCTTACCCTTACCGTAACCCTAAGCCAGGCTACGCTAAGCTAAGCTCAAGGAAATTTAAATTTAGTCTACCAAAGAAGCTTGTTATTTTGATTTGTTCATAGCCCTTATTTTATTTTTTTATGGTAAGGGTATCACGACAATATCTATTACTGAGAGAAAGTCGGTTTTAAAAAAGGTATCTATTGTTATTGAAAATTTAAAAATGAAAGGATTACATGATAAACAACGCACAATCCAGATTCGCCCTTCATTTCATAAAAATGATATCATGAGTACTCGTACTCGCCTCGCGCGCGCCCTCAGTACGCGCTGCGCTCGCACTTTTCCGCGCGCATAAAAGCGCCGCGTTTTGTCGATCAAATCATCAATTAAAAAAATCCTCTTTTTCCCTTTTCTCGTTTCAGAAGATATATTTTGAAATGAAGATCTTCTCCCTCCTCGCAGTTTCTGCTCTCGGTCAATTCGATGAAGACGGTGTCTACGACGGCGAAGGCTGGATGACGAACGGCATCGTCGAAGCTGATGAGAATGACTCATCACCACCCGGTCGATCGTTTGGTCTCGCCAGAACTGGTGATCGAGGCCTTCCAGGATCGAGAAGATACGCGGATCTCGAGCAGATGGCGAAGAGAACTTGGAAGAACGCCGGGTTCAAGAAAAAGGACAGGTTCGACAGTAGAAAGTACTGGGCCTACGGATGCCACTGCTATTTGCTCGGCGATCGACCTCTTAGTGAGATGGGCAAGGGAACTCCAAAGGTAAATTATATTGAAAGTTAAAGAGATAAAACTTCAAAATTTCAGGACGGTTTGGACAGCAAATGCAAGCGCTACAAAGACTGCCAAAAATGCGCCCGAGAAGAGTTTGGCGAAAGCTGCATCGGTGAATTCGTCCAGTACACTTGGAAGTATTCCAGGAAGCAGGGCGATTTCATCACTCGAGATGCAGTTGGAACATGCGAAAACGCGCTCTTCCAGTGCGACAAGCAGTTTGTAGCGGATACTCTCGCCGTCAAAGACATCTTCGACGAACAGTACCACGCTTTCTGGGGCAACTTCGACAATCGAGACCCCGACAACTGCCCAAGCGGTGGTGGAGGAATTCCAGCGCCGCATCAGTGCTGTGGAGGAGACGGATTTCCTTAGTAAGTCGATTAACCACTTCTTCCTTTTCTTGAACCCTATTTTTCGACCTCTTTTTTATCCTTCTTTTCTAGCCAATGGATGAACGAAAACAGAAACAAGTGCTGCAACAACGAAGTCATCGGCATTTCCGACATGTGCTACTAATTATCTGTTTCAATAATTTTCTCGACAACTCAGCTTTTTCTCGCTGAAAGATTTTTACTCTTGGCCTCGACAACATGAAGAAAATCATGTGGCCGTATTTATCTGTACATACATCAACCATTTTTAAGTGTTCTTCATACTTATTATCAAAACAATTTCAATAAAATCGATCGATCAAAACTTTATTTTCTCGTTTTTTCTTTCCATGCAAATAGCATAAAATTGATTACGAATTGAATTTACGAATTTCTAATTTTCTAATTGTATCTTTTGCCCTTGAAAAAGAGTAAATTTGAGACAAAAAAAGAAGCCCGCTGGGGGATTCTGATGATAATAAGATTCGGGAAAATAAAGCGAAAATTGATTCGCGCGATTCTACTTGATGAGCGAAAATAAATCAGCAGAAGACAGGAGATAATTATTTTTCATCGAACCTTTTTTCTTTCGCAGAGGTTCAGAAAGAGAAAATGGACAAACATCGACATGGAGCGCAGTGTGAATGCAAATGCACAACAGTAAGACCAATTTTTCTTGAGCAGAAATTAATTTTCTTAGGCGCATTTTGGCAAGTTCCCGAACTCGATCGCGATGAAATGGATTGAAACAAGCAACGACACTGAAGTTGAGACGGATTTTTACTCAGAGCGCGAGGCTTTTTTCGAATTCATGCTTCCAATGCTCGGCTTGTTCTTCGCCCTGGCATTTATTTTCTACTTTATTCATGGCTATTCTACTCCTGGTTAGTTTTTTCTAGTTGGGAGACTCTGAGTCTGACAGTCAAATCGTTTTCAGAGAAGCTTGGGAAACTCAAATCAGCGCTGAGCCCAAAATCGTCGCAGAAGTTCGAAAATTGTCGAAATTCAACGATTCCAATTGTCAAAACTCCAGCTTTGCGATAAAAATGCATTATTTCAATAAATCATTAGATGACTTATCTCATTGTTTTCTCGCTTGAGTAACTCCTACATGAATTCTTTTACGACTTCGTTTATTCTGCATAAAAGGGATGAAGGCGTTTCCGTCTGGAGGACGAAAGGTGCTCCATCCAATGAGACCGCGCCATTGATTTGACACACTTGACGAGAGAAAGAAAAAGAGACTCTCCTATTTTTTCCTTATTTAGTCTCGGCGCTCAGGAAATTCCCCGGCGGCGAGTTCAGATAAACTCGCGTTCGTTTACTTTTTTTTTTTTGTTTGCTCGTCTGATAGCTCCCTGCAGAGTCCACTGAACAGTCTTTCGAAATCGCACGCCGAGTTCAAATTTATCGCCACAAGAAGAGATAAAAAATAGAAGAAAAATGTGTTCGATGGTGAAAGTTGAAGAGAAAATAAAAATAAATTGCGGAGAAGATGAAGAATTAACAACAACACAGCTTATAAAAAAGGTTCGGCCCTTTATTTGGCCAGATTCAGAAACAAATGGATCAACGAGGTGATAAAAATATCGAGAATAGCACAGAAAATAAAATTTTTAGAATAAAATTCTCCGTTCTGAAAACGATCTTCTTGATTTTCGCGGCGAAGGGTTTGAGCTTGGCGATTCCTTTTTATTGGAAAGATCTTGTTGATTATCTAACGGGTAGGTTCTTTTGTTTGATGAAAAAATTGAAAAGGTCGTTAACCCGGATTCAGAAGAACAAACCTAACTTTCTGTTTACAAAATCTTTTTAGCAATCGACGAAAAAGATGTCATCTCGACCGCCGAAACCCTTGCTGCTCTATCGACCCCTTTCGTCACCTATGCAGCCGTCAAATTGATGGAACCGACTATTGATCAGTACAAATCTTACACCTTCGCCAAAGTGAAACAAAGCACAACGCGTAAAATTGGAAAAGCGCTCGTCGAAAAATTATTTGGACTTGATCATGCTTTTCACACTAATCGCGAAACTGGCGCGATTTTAAAGGTACGTTCATTTTACATAATTTTCATGCAATATAAATATTTGCTCTCTTCCGAAAAAGAGGGAAGGAAATTGAATTAATTTCGTTTTCAGGCTGTGGACAGGGGAAATCGAGCAATAGCGACTGTTCTCCATGCGTTATGCATCGTCTTTTTACCGGCTTTATTTCAAGTAATTTGCACTGGCGGTTTTATTTGGTATTTTTGCGGAGCTGTCTATGCCTTGTCCCTCTTTCTTGCGATGTTTGTTTATGCGACCTTCTCAATCAAATACACCCAGGTAAGAAATATTCTCCTACAAAAGCCACTGTAATTTTCCAGTATCGAACTCCCTTCCGAATCGCCATGAACAAAGCAGACATGGAAGCAGGCAATCTTGCAACAGACTCGCTCCTCAACTACGAAACAGTCAAGTTCTTCGCCAACGAAAAATACGAAACAGAACGATACGACGAAAAACTCGCCAAATTCGAGGAAGCCGCGTTGAAGACCGATCGAACACTGGCGCTCCTGAACATGGGTCAGTTGGCGATTTTGGCTTCGTGTCTCCTTTTCAACTTGGCAATGGTCGCCGGCGTCGTCGATTTCGGACAAGGATCGATTGCGAATGGAGAATTGACGATTGGTGAATTCGTGATGATGGCAAGCTATTTCCAGCAAATTCAACGACCGCTTTTCTTCCTTGGCTCGACTTATCGAGACTTGATTCAAGCAAGAACTGATTTTGACAGTATGTGGCGGCTGATGGAGCAAAATCCAGAGCTCGAGGAAGGTCCGAAAACTCTATCGGCCGAAAAACAACTCGACATTAAATTCAAAGACGTCCGCTTCGCCTATGGCAATGGCAACATCGTTCTCGACGGGGTCAACTTTTCCATCTCTCCCGGCGAACGAGTCGCAATCGTTGGTGGTTCTGGCGCTGGAAAATCGACACTGGCGAAACTTCTCTTCCGATTCTACGATCCGATTGAGGGTTCAGTTGAAGTGAATGGGGAGGACATCCGAAACTTTAACTTGAAATCCTTTCGAGAAAATATCGGGGTGGTTCCTCAAGATTGCGGTAAGAAATCTCTTCATTCCTCTTTTTTCCACATTTTTCGGCATTTCATTTTTTTCTTTTAGTATTTCTGTCACGCTTTCTTGTCTAAACACTAGAATAAGCACTCAGTAGTCAACAAGAGAACCGGGTAAGTATCGTATGAAACTATAAACGTATTTTCATCCAGTAGTAACTATCTTCCAATCCCAGCTTTTGACGCGTTTCATTTCAGTTTTGTTCAACGACACAATTTACAACAACATTCGTTACGGAAACCTGAACGCGACGGAGAATCAAATTATCGAGGCCGCGAAAGTCGCTGATCTCCACCGATCCGTTGCGGAAATGAAACAAGGCTACCAAACTGTAGTTGGCGAAAGAGGAGTCAAACTTTCTGGAGGCGAGAAGCAAAGACTTGCTATTGCGCGTTGCTTTTTGAAAGATCCGAAAATTGTAATCTACGATGAAGCAACAAGCTCGTTGGATTCTGTAACCGAACAGGTGAGATTTGCTTTCAAAAACCTTAGGTTATCTCGTTTCTAGCGCATTTTGGAATCGCTCGAAAAAGCCACAAAGAACAAATCCCTTCTCGTTATCGCTCATCGACTATCAACGATCGTCAAGAGCGACAAAATCATCGTCTTGAAAGACGGAAAAGTCGCCGAAGTCGGCAACCATTTCGATCTCTTCGTCCTAAACAACCACTACAGAAAGATGTGGGATATTCAGTCGAATCAACAGGACACGATAAAGAAGAAAGCAGTCGACGTACGCAAGCAACACATATATTTCTAGTTCATCTTTTCTTTCAGAAAAACAAATGCAGAAAAACGATCGAAAGAAGTCTCGAGAAAAAAGGCTGCTGCGCCAAATGTTAAACAATTCATCGTCAAAAAATCTTCATCCATAAAATATAAACACAAATAAAGGAAAACATAATTACTAAGAATCTACGTGTGTTTTGTCTATATTTCTCATCGAAAATATCCGTTTCTTCTTTTGTCAGCGGGAATAACCTTTCATCATCGTGTTCATGCATGTTAATGAGTGCTTTTGCAAGTTGAAGTGTGGAATTAAGCCCTTATTGTCTCATTTTAATACGACTCGATAGACAGTCTTTGACTTGAAAAAAACGGATAGAGATGCATCTTCTTCTTCAATTCTATCCTCCGCGAACTGACTTTCTTGGAAACTCAAAAACCACTGTAGGAACGTCAGCATTTTTTCATTAAAAAGTAGTAGCCCACTAATGAACTTCAAAATGCATGTTTAGTGAAGAATCAGCCAGAGTCATTTCAAGGCGAAGAATCAAAGGCTGGACTTTTTAGGAAAAGATATCGATCTCACTTTAGCTAGTTTTTCATATTTTGAAATCTATACGAAAGGTGCTTGTGCGATTACATTCATGTATGTACACTTTGCTGCTGCCCTTGTCTGGTGCATCTTTCTACAGACGAAACCGAACTGTCTCCCGTTTAATTCTCTGCTTTTTTATTCAATTAAACTAACAGCATTTTAAATAAATACATGAGGAGAACCCTAAATCTTTGTTCGCTGATAAGCTTCGTTGACAACTCCGGTCTCGTTCTTCGAAACAGTTCTTGATCGAGCACCCTTTGAAGACCTCGAAATTGTTCTAGAGCGAACTGCGGATGCAGCTACCACTGCTCGGTTGCAAAAAGCATCGTCGTAAGGTTTAAGGGAGCGCAGCCAGATGGGTAGGATTTTCCAGTCATCGCGAATTACCTAAAATTAAAGGACTTTAATACTTTGTCTAAATACCTCTGGGAGAATTTCAGGCTTTGAGTCACGCAAATGATTGATGACAACGACAGTCAGGATGATAATGAAGACAAGGAGGAATAAAACGCCTTCAAGGATTGTTTTGCAAAAGAAAAGAAGACACACTTGGTATTAAAATGAACCCTTCCTGTAAGAATAGGAGCAACAAGAGAGAGCACAAAAGCCAAACCCGGGATCGCAACAAAAAGTCCGATAATGTAACAAAATGCCCACCACCGATATTTTTCTGTCTCCGCTCCTGCCCAAAGAGCCAAGCGAATAGGCAGTCTTCTGGCAACAGGAACAATGAACCAAAGGAGAAGTCCCACCATATTGAAGAACAGATGAGCCAGCGAAACCTGAATCTTTAACAAAGATTAACGAAAAAGGGCAAAAACCTGCATCGATTCAGCAAATCCATCCCCCAAATTTGCCAAAGCAGCAATCAACCCCGTCGTTGTTGTCCCAATGCAACAACCAACAATCAAAGAATAAGCCCTTTCAAGAGAAATGACGCCGATTCCACACAGTGGAGTGATTACCGCGCAAACGATACTGGAGCTTTGGACAGCGACAGTCATCAGAATTCCAACAATAACATAGATATAATCGGTAAGTGGGCGGAAAATACCCGGAAGATCTTTGTCGATATATTCTCGAATGATCCGATTGATGTGTCCGGAGAGGACGGATTTTAAGCTTCGGACGATCATTGCAAGCTACAATTTTTGACTCGAATACAAAAATAAGACAGCCATTTACCGAGTAAAACATGATCACAAGCGCAAGAGCAACAGTGCATAAGCCAACAACAGTATCGGAATAACAAGCTCCTAGAGAAAAATGAAGATGGTGATTCAGTGAATAATCTTGCCTGTGAAAATATGATCGTTTATCCTTGCGCAATTCTCGCCGAACATCGCAAGAAACGAAGAAACATTATCTCGCTCATTCCAACTGCAGCTCCAAGACTGATCTGCTTCCAAACACGCATCCTCGTTGTTTTCAATGCAGCGCTCATCGCTCAATCCGCAGAATGTAGCGCAAGAAGAGATAGTTTTGCCACAGTAAGCGACGAAACTTCCGTTGTAATACTCGTCTCCAAGGGCTGCTTTGTTGACGGCGATAATTTTGCTTTTTAGTGGACCTAAGAATTATCGAGTGGATAGAAGAACATTGAACCTGTGATTGTTTCGATAGGATTGTTGATTTCATCAACAGCAGACGTATTTGCTTGATCAATTGAAAGAACACACGCTGCTGTGAGACGATGCAGTGGTTGAAACGCCATTTCTAGAGGAAGCAAGACAACTGCCGTGAGCAAATTATACATCGACAAAACCACTGCTGAAGCAATTGCCCGGCCGAACTCAGCGCGTTGAGTTGCATTACCAAACGCAACGAGAGTGCTCGTGATGGAAGTACCGACGTTGCAGCCCATCACCATGTAAATTGCCTATAACGAGGGCAACTTATTCGAATTGTTTGAGTTCAGATGTTCTGAGAGACGAGCCCTTTCCTGGGGCACGGTAAGGATGCGTGCGCCGACCATGGTGATGATGATTGAGGTTGATGTTGATGAGCTCAATTAGGAGATGCCAAATCGACTCTTGTTTTGAGTACAATACGGTTGATAAGGACTCCGTTCCTTTGAACAACAACTGTCACAATAATTCCAATTATAAGACCACAAAGCGGGTTTGAAAGAGTATCTTAATGATATCAATTCTAGATCAAAACTCTAGCTGACCTTGATAATCTACGAGGAATCGGTTGAGAGATGCACCGCCCAAAACTTGGAAGGCGCTTGATAAGATCCCCAGACTAACGATGAAGATATAGAGAAATCCTTGAAAATTGGGAAAATCTGTTATTCAAAGAAAACAAACCGATCGCAAGGAGAATTTTGTAGACGACTGTACATGGTGGAATAATCTCATCAGGATCTTTTATTGGAACACTAAAGGAATACCAAATAAATCAAAATATTTCTCATTAATTTTTGAAGCGTTACATGCTGATTTCTGGCTCTTTTTTCTCGTCTCGGTTATCCTCGGGAATTTCTTGTAAAGTGGACATTCTCTTTTCTAGCTTTGCTTTTCGAAAAAGGATGACGATGGGAGCCAAATGAGTACACAAGGCCCGAGAGTGAACTTGGCCAACATACAAATAAAGCGCAAACATTAAGATATCTTGATAATTGCGTAATAGACGAATACCTAGACCTGTGTTATTAAAAAACGAAAAAGAAGCAAGGTTTGAAATAAATATCAAATTTTATTGCAAATTTTGATGCAACAGCAGCATAAACATTCGAACCATCCAAAATTATCTCTATCATCTGATTCTTCGGGTTTTTCTATGCTATCCCAGCTTGCAGTGGAGACATTTCTAGTTGCCGCGTTTGACTGCTCATCTTCTTTTTCTTTTATGGTAGTTTTGAGACTTTCTGGTCCAACAGTGTACTCAATCGGATCTGCGAAAGAAACAACACTGATTCAGGCTTTCAAAAATTGCGAATCACAAAAAATAGAGGGCCCAACTTATTCTCAAGGGGTCCTTATTTCTGGACACTCTTTTTCATTAATAAGCCCTTCCTAGTCCTCCTCTTATCAAGAAATGCCATTCTCTTACTTTTGACGGGTTCGTCAAAATAACTCGTAAAGATCACTCTTTTCAGAGTGAAATAAAATGATGGCTGTCCTGCTTTTACTACATCGGCGAAAATAAAAACGCGCTGCCAAAAAGAAGACACAAAAGTAACTTTAGGAATAATTAATTTATTTCTAAGCTTGTTGCGAATATGAACTGAATATTCGTAATTGGGTCGTATTGCACAGGTGTAAATCGCTTGTTTAAAGTTTTGTAAAATTGCTCCTTTTTCTACAGATTTTTTTGTTTTTGGAGCAAGCAGTCACTTGACGGCAGCTTGGAAACTTGAAATAGTTATTTTTTTTTAGTTCTTCTTTGACTTCGTGTAGCGAGACTTGGACTTGTTGTAGAGCATGTATGGGAAGAGAAGGGATGGAATGGTCAGGATGAAGAAGATCAACCAGTCCTGAAAATTGATGGTCAAGAAGATTCTCTTAGTTTTACTCGTTGCTTCTGAATAAGAGCAAATATTCTTGTATATTGATGAACTTACAACTCCATGTGATGCATGATTTCGGAGGTATTCCGTTTCTGGAATGATGTTGGCAACTCCGTAGTCTGACGAGAAGGATCGAACAGTCTCTTCGCTTTCTAAAATACGTATTTTGAAGAATTGTCATGGCTTTGCTCCTTACCAGAAGGTCTGTAATTGAGAACAGCAGAGGTGATATTCTGTGCGCCGGCTTTGAGTGGCTTTACGACGATTTCGTGAACGACGGAACTGTCTGGCTCGATCTTGCTCCAGCTTGTCTGAAATCAACGATGAAGATCATTTAAATAAGGAGAGGAAGTACCTTGACATCTCCACTAACAACGGCCCAGTCCTTGGCGAAGTTTTCTTCGTTGAATTCAACCTAAAACGGGGTTTTAAACGATATTTGACGGTAGATGCTTACGTCAAGAGCAGCGGATTGACCAATGTTGTAGATTTTGTAGGTAAAGGTCATATCAACATTTTCGGCGAGGATTTTGGTTTCTGTTTTCTTTGACACAAGAAGTCGTGCTTCAGTAGGAGCAGCTTGTTCTTCGGCAAGAGCGCTACCGATCAGGGCAAAAATTCCGAACAATTTCATATTCTGAAAACAAGAAAAATAACATTTCCGAACAAATATGCGTGAAGAAGAATTTCAAGGCATAAAATGACGATAATTGTAAGTTTAAATCGAATTTTGTGACACTTAAATAATGAGTTAGTCGATTGTCTCTAAATCTTCAATTTTCCTTCTCCAAAAGTCTCTCTAAAATGATTGACTCCGACTAAATCTTGAAATTTCCCCCTTATTGCGCGCTTGGTGCCACGTCTTTTCGCCATATCTGCCGCGCGATTATTGGTCGCGCTTGCGCGCGGGCGGCGCTATTTGCGCTAAACGCGCATCTCGCGCATTTCGCGCTGCACGCAAAAATTGATAAGGAAAATGACGGAAGTCGTGGAAAAAGTTGAAGAGGGAAAAGTGGCGAAAAAGTCGAGAAAGAACAAATTCAAGAATCCGGGATGGCAGGAGAAGAAGATTTTGAAGGCAGAACAAGTGAAAGAGATCTTGGAACAGAAAGCGAAGAATAATGAAGAAAAGATCGGAAAGAAAAAGGAAATCTTACAGAAAAAGAAAAAGTCGAGAAGAGGCCAGAAGAAGGATAAGTTAAAGGTGAGCTCGTACGCGCTATTGAGTAGCTATTATTATAATTGTTATCAACAAGGTTTATTCCTTTTTATCGTTTTTACGGAGTCCTTATTTTTTATGAAATAATGAAATCTGACCATCATTATCTTAGATAATTTATCTATTCAGAAAAAGAACGATTCCTCAAAACCCCCAAAAACTCCTTCAAAGCCACAAAAAGTCGAAAAAGAAGACGAAGAATCGGACTCAGAAGAAATGGAAGTTTCTCCCTCAAACAATCCCTTCGCCGCGTTGGAAGACAACGAAGAAATACCAGAAATCAAGCCCGTTAACCCCGCATTGGCGCGAAGAAGAGCGTTGAAAGAAAAGCTCGAGACACAGTTGAAGGCGGCGGAATTCCGATTTATCAACGAGCAATTGTACAGAAGCGACGATAAAAGTTGCAAAAAGATTTTGGCTGGAGATGCGGCGAAAATTTATCACGAAGGTAAGAATATAAATCTGATTCTTCTGAAAATGTGTTCAACATTTCAGGTTTCGCAAAGCAGGTAGAAAAATGGCCGGTTAATCCAGTCGACTTAATCATCAGTTACATCGACAAAAAGCTCCCCCGAAACCACGTGATCGTCGACATGGGCTGCGGGGAAGCCAAATTATCTGCGTCACTCAAGCACAAGGTACACACTTATTCTCCTCCATGATTGCGAAATTTATCTGTAGGTTCACTCATTTGACCTGGTGAAACACAACGAGCGAGTCACAGCATGTGACGTTCGAAAAACGCCACTTGAAACAAACGAAGCCGACTGTGTTGTTTTCTGCCTCGCCTTGATGGCAGAAAGAGTCGATGAATTTATTAAAGAAGCGAATAGAATAACGAAAACTGGCGGAAAATTGATCATTGCGGAGGTCAAATCAAGGTACAATTTTGATATCAAGCCCTCATTTATTTTCATTTTTCAGATTGGAGAATGAAAAGAAATTCAAGAAAGCCCTGGGGTCTTATGGCTACACGATGGTATCCGAAAATGACAGCAACACTCACTTCACACTTTTGGTTTTGAAGAAGTTCCGCGACATTGAGCCAAAAGCCAAATTGCCTGCGTTGAACTTTCGTGCCTGTCAATACAAAAAGCGATAAACACTCATTTTTTTTATCATTTTGCATTTTTAAGACATTCTGTCGAAATCAGATGAAGACTCGTAGAACGGCCGATGCCGAGGGAGATACAGATGAGCATTCGGACCATCATGATGATCAGACAAATCGCCGGTCCAACTACAGATCTTACGGGTAAATACAGTCATTAATCTCGAGAGTCATTTTATTTACAAAAAAGTGGTCGAAGTTCCGGGCGAAGAGAGCGAGTAACTCGTTCCCAAGTCATTGTCATCAATTTGTCCGGATCAGAATCAGACGATGGCGGTCTTGGATCCTTAGCTCCCAAAAGAGAACGTCGGCATCTGCCTATTCGCTCCGTTCGCTCTAGAATCAGAAACAGTCAGTCAAGGAATGGATTCAAAAAGCCTTTATTTGCTCTTGGTTTCGCATCTTTTTTACCTCAAAAATCAAAGGAAATCATCAATTGAAAAAATCATAATTTTGAAAATTTCTCGTCTCTAGAATTGGTCCCAAAAACCTGTTGTCTTATCAAGATTTCCCAAGAAAGTTAAAAACGCGGCAAAATGCGCTTGAGAGACCGGAATTCCCTCGGCGTTTTGTCGGAATTGACAAACTCGATGAAAAATATGAACTTTCCAAGTGACCGACGAAATTCTTTTGAATCCAATGAAAGCGGCCACAGCCTGCGCTCGCACTCGAGCAGACGCCATTCGCCGGCATCAGGTTATCCGCTTCGAAGTCGGGAATCAAATAGACGAACAAATAGCGAAGTAAAGGAAGAATACGAGGAGTATAACGGTAAGTTAAGACCTTTTCGGGTGATGCATGGAATTTTACTCTGTTTTTTTTCAAATTTGCTTATGAATGTCGGTGTTTTTGCATGATAACAGTGAGAATATCTTCAGAAACTCCAGAAATCAGCCTTGCCAACAATTCCGCCCACGACGAAGAAGACGATGAAGAAGAAATCCGCCGACCGCCTTCTCGCTCTCGTAAATCCCGAGTACGGCCAGTTCGCCCATCCGGTCTTGCTCGCGAACTCAACAATTTGCAACAACTGGCCAAGGAAAACTACGGCAGCGATTTTGGTGAACAAGAAATGAGTCTTCACGATCGTGTCAAAGCTAGAAGCCGACGATCGCAAAGTATGCGGGAAGAAAGGCGGCGACAGGAGGAAGAAGAGCAGAATGAGGAGCAAATGGATGATGATGACGAGAATGGCGATGAAGATGATGAGGAAGGCGAAGAAGAAGAAGACGAGGAAGAGGAAGAAGAAGAGGAGGAGCAGGATCAGGAAGAGCACGGATCGCGATACCCACGAAGAACGCGTCGACAAAGAATCGTCCCGGAGCGCTACGGTCAGCAAAGAAAGAACATCACGATTACACGATCATCCACACGGTCAGGTTCAAGACGAGCGCCAGAGATATCGATTCGTCGCTCCTCAAGCGCCCCGAAGAAGAATCGACAAGCACGATCGTATCAGTGGGACTTTAGAAAGAAAAAAGACCGAAAGGTATTTACTCTTGAGACTAGATGCTTATATCTTAACCTAGTAGGTAGTACATATGTAGTAGGTAACTAGTAGGTAATGTAGTACATTAAAGGCGCATGAATCGGACGATTCCTCGTCAAGCAGCGACGAAGAGCATTTCCAGAAAAAGAAACGTCGAGAAATGGAGCGTTCCCGCAATACCATGCTTCCCATGAATTTGAACATGAAGGATGCCAATCATCGTCATGGATTCCGCGATCGGGAGCGAATCGGAGCTTCTCTCGCAGATGTGGATCCGATGGATTTCGACAAGTCCATCACCTTCTCCAGTGTGGGTGGTCATCCAGACGCGATAAGGCAGTTGAAAGAAATGGTCGTCTTGCCGATGTTGTATCCAAACGTCTTTGAAAAGTTTTCCGTTCAGCCGCCTCGTGGAGTCTTATTCTACGGCCCGCCTGGAACTGGAAAGACATTGATGGCCCGTGCGCTGGCCAATGAATGCTCACAAGACGGCAAGAAAATGGCGTTTTTCATGCGAAAAGGAAGCGATGTTCTCTCGAAATGGGTCGGCGAATCGGAGCGTCAACTCCGCCTTCTCTTTGACCAAGCTTATCGCATGCGCCCCTCTATCATCTTTTTCGACGAAATCGACGGCTTAGCCCCTGTCCGCTCGAGCAAGCAAGACCACATCCATTCATCCATCGTTTCTACCCTCCTCGCGCTCATGGACGGTCTCGACAGCCGCGGAGAAGTAATCGTCATCGGTGCTACCAACAGAGTCGACGCCATCGACCCTGCTCTTCGACGACCAGGGCGGTTTGACAGAGAAATTCTATTTCCCTTGCCAAGTGCTGAAGCAAGAATGCAAATTTTGAAAATTCACGCGAAAAAGTGGGAAGCAAAACCAGAAGATAGCTTTTTCCGCCGCCTTTCGTTGAAAACCACGGGCTACTGCGGTGCTGATCTAAAGGCTCTCTTCACCGATGCTGTTTTGAACGCGCTTCGACGAACCTACCCAGCTGTTTATCGAACAACCCAGAAAATTGACGTCAACTTGGGAAACATCACCCCAGCAGAAGAAGACTTTGAAAACGCGATGAAGACGATTGTTCCATCAAGTGTTCGCTCTGATTCTTCCGCAGCTGTGCCCCTTGACGCTCATTGCAAGCCTCTTTTGATCGGAAAGTTCAACGAGCTCTTGGAACACGTGGGCAATCTTTGGCCGCATGTCAAGCTCAAGAATTCCAGCTCGAATCGAACCGATAGAACTATTTTTGACCAGCCATCAAGCTCGAAAGACGAGTTTCTCATTTTCGAACCTCGTTTACTTATAAAAGGGATGCCCGACAACGGACAAAATCTCCTTGCCCAAGCCCTGCTCGACTCGATGGACAGTTTCAAGATCATCAAGGTCACTCTCCCCGCCCTTTTTGCTTGCTCGACCAGAACTGTGGAAGATACCCTTGCTGAGATGCTGCGAGAAGCGTCCCGTGCTGGAAAAGCAGTTTTGTACATTCCAGATATTGACAGTTTGTGGCGCGCGTTGTCCGAGGTCTGCCGGGGCATACTCATTTCGATGATCAAATCTATGCCTTACAGCCAACCAACTTATTTAATTTTTACATCGTCGGCAAACCCAAGCAGCATGAAAGATGATACTCCTAGTGAAATCACAGGTATTCGAGAGAGTTTTTAGCGATTTCAAAAACAAGCTACTCCCTAACCCATTTTAGACCTCTTAAAAAGTCCAGACAATACCTACACCGCCGCGCTTCCATCCTCCACTGAACTTACCAACTTCTTCGCCAAAATCAAAGACAGCTGCCTCATTGCTCCAAAGTCATTCGCCGCCGAAGCCCAAAACATACTAAAACCATCATTTTACGTTGAAGTAAAAAAAGACGAAAAAGTCCTGACTCAGGAAGAAGTCGACAAAGTCGAGCAAAAAGAAGAAAGTACGATGCGAACTTTGCGCATTTTCTTGCGAAATTGCGTGACCATGCTTGCTAAGGACAGTCCTAGGGTCGGACTCCTTTCCTTTATTTTTTCCTTACTAAGGGTCCTTTTTCCTTAATTCCTTTATTTTTTCCTTACCCTTTTTCGGATTTTGAAGAAATAAAACCCTTTCCTTAATTCCTTTCTCAGTTTTCAGTGACCCTTAGTAAGGACCCTTAATCCTTAGTGATTTTTCCTTTTTTCCTTCCCTTACTAAGGGTTCGAGAAAGGATTTTTTCTGTCAACCTACGCACTTGAAAACCGATTCTTACGAAAAACCTTTTTAAAACCCTTAGTAAGGAAAGGGATTAAGGAAAAATTGCTAAGGAATCACAAAAAAATGACTTTTCCTTTTTTAAATCCTTACTAAGGAAAAAACCCTTTCCTTTATCCTTTGTCAGGTTTCAGAAAAGTCCTTAATCCTTTCCTTAGTCCTTTTTTGATTTTCCGCAATTTCGAAACCCTTACCCTTAGCGACTAAGGAATCCTTAGTAAAGGGTCCGACCCTAGGGACAGTCGTTTCAAAGAATTTGTCGGTAAGTTTTTCAAATCAAGTAAAGCCATGAAAACTGCCATAACGTTACATAATTTCTGTAACACTCAATCTTCCAGACCCTGTCGACCCGGACGAGTTACCCGACTACCATGAAGTCATCAAGAACCCAATGGACCTGACAACGATGATGTGCAAAATCGACGCGCACGAATACCAAACGGTCAAGGAGTTCCTATCGGATGTAAAGCTCATGTGCGCGAACGCACTTGAATACAATCCGATTACCTATCAAGAGGAACGGATGATTCGCCACCGAGCGTGCCTGGCAGTCGGTATGTTTTTTTACTTGTTGAAATGATTTTTACATGGATCTTTAGATGTTGCACATGAATATGTTGAGACCGAGCTTGATCCTGAGTTTGAGACTGTTTGCGAGCAGATCAAAGTCGCCAGAGCGCTCAGAGGAAGTGAAAAGTAAGTGAAAACATCGACAAGCCACATGCAATTTCGCAAGAAGTTCTTGCTTCTTGTTCTTTTTCTTTATTCCGATCCCAATTTATAGGAAGAAATTCGCTCCAGACTACGTAGAAATCCCGAAAACGACGCCGGAAGAGCTTGCCGAGCAGCAGAATGAAATAAAAAACCGCGAAATCAAAAACGAGTTCGAAGATGGAGAAGAGATCTGGTGCCTTCATTCTGATGACAACAAGTTCTACATTGGCCGGCTGAATAGGACCAATCATGAAATGCATCCAGACGCGCCATTTTATGTTCATTATGTTGTCGACATAACAAAGGTTTGCCTCCGTTACCTGTTAATGCCTGCTAAGTGATTTAACTATTAAGCGATATACTGTCTGGGCCCCCGCCTCTAGAATTCGCTACCGTCTCACCACAGACAACATCACAGACGTAAGCAAACTTCTGACAATTTTCGTCAGCATCAAGCTCATTTTAGAACGTAAAACTGACGATTTCAAAGCGAAAACGAAAGCGAAAGTCGAACTGGGCGTCTGGAATCATTAAGCGCCGCTCCACCCGTAGATCTATGGTCGAGAACGATGAAATGATCGATGCGGATGAAACGACGAGGGAGTTCGATGAGGAGACAAGGCAGAGCATGTTCGATAATTGCGAGAACTCGAATGACTCCAACAAAGGTAATTTCAATTTTGGGGATTCTTTCGAGGAGACTCTCAATTTTTCTTTAGAGAACGTTCCAGTTGCGCCAGTCGCAACCACTGCTCTCGAAGAAAAGCAACCGACTGTATCGTTTATGTCCACCCGTCGATCTTTCGAGCAATCCAAAATGGATGTCGACACACCGTCCACCACCAAAACAGCCACCAACCTTGACGCTTCCCAAAAACAAGCAACTCCCGAAAAAGCTGCTGAATCTTCCCCTGCTCCGTCAAAAAAAGTCAATCTGGAAGATATCTGGTCTGCTGAAGAACTCGCCTTGATCCGCTCCGAGGCTGAGAAGCAGCCAAAACCGGTTGAAATCGACGAGCACGCCCTAGAAAAGATCTTCCAAATGGCGGTCGATGTATCTTCAGGAAAAGTAGTCAAGGACGTGATGCGTGTGGGAGCGGCGCTGAATACTGTTATTTACAGATACAAGTGAGTATTTTATGAACAAAACGCTGGTCGGCTTTGAAAATTGGTAAAAACTCTTTTTAGGGACCAATCGGACCGCCGAAAATTGCCAGAAGATCTCCAGCAAGTCCTCAAGATTCACAGCTAACTAGATTTACAGCCCTTCAGAAACAGAGTGCAACAATTGTTACATGTAACTGTATCTAACCAATCACTAGAATTTCACAGAAACTGATACAATCACTGGTATAATCAAAAAACTCATTTTATCTTCACTGCCATTTAATAAATGAAAGATATTCACAAAAAAACCTTTCTTCGTCATTTTTTGATTCGGGGCTCTTTAGCCCCATTTAGTGGTAAAAGTATATTTTTTTCTTTGTATCGATCGATCTAAAGATGATTCATCCTCTCAGTGCTCAACTTTATTGACTTTCTTTTTTGAGAAACTTTTAAAAAAGAATTTTTAACGGAAAATAAAACTTAAACGGTAAGATGATCTTATAATAAGCTTAGAATTTCATGACCAATGCTCCCCGATAATTTGCCTTCTGGCGGCTCCGATTCTGAGCTAATAATGAGCTCGACGGTTTTTACTGAAGTTTTACTACTTTCACCTTTTTCATGATAGGTCACACTTTCTAGAGACGTCTAAGAGGATCCGTTTCATAAATAATAGAAAAGTAAGTCTGATCAATAGTTTAATCGAAGGATTGGCAAAAGGACAAGTAGGCAGTAGCGTAAGAAATCCTTTGATCTTTATTATCTTTAAATACGCTGAATTGAATATAAAAGAACATGGAACAAAAAGAAAGCTCGTCATTTTCTTCCTAGTTAAAATGTTTTGTGTTCTTTTTCAATTTTAAAAAAGAGGTACATCTACGTCATTCGGCCATTCAGTTAGATTGAAAAATTCCTCCGAGAAATTTCCATTAAAACCGAGACTACTTTTTTATTTATTGGGCCGATAGTATTCGAATTATTTCGAAAAGAATATCTTGTTCATATAATATATACCTTTGAAGTCGTTTTTTATCAAAGGCCATATTTGAAAGATAACTCCAGTGTGACAGTTGGGGTGTATCTTGAAAGGGAAATTGGAAAAGTTGTAAAACAAACATTGTCCTCTCCTGTCTCTGGGAGCGCCCTTAGCCCGTTTTAGGCTGAATTTTATCAACCGTCGCATTTTTTTTAGTTTCGTCAAATCTGAATCTATAAAAAGCAACAACGAAGCCGAGCAATACGAAAATAGAAAGAGATTTTTTCTTACCGTTTTGAGAGATGGAGAAAACAGAGCCAGGCTCATCATCGAGGGAAGAAGGAGATTTGGAGAGACAGAGTTTGACTGGAAAAGAAAACAACAAAGAAGAAAGGAAGGAAAATTCTTGCTCGAAGAAGAAAATCGCGGGATTAACACTTCTGATTTGGGTTACAAGAAAATCTCAAATACTGATACAAAAATTATTTTTCTAAGCGTTTTGAAATAGTGATATGTTTTATTCTCAGAATCAAAAAATAATAGGGCAGAACGATCATGGCAGCTGATAGGTTTCTGACGCAATCTGATTTTAGACTTTGCAACACTTGAGATTTCGAAACTTGATTAAAAATAATGAAGTTTTTATATGACTCCTTCTATTTTATTAAGAAGACTGCCTAGCAAGATCGGTTTATGAGAATTTTGAGATTTACGAAACTCGCTTTTTATTGAAGAAAAACCAGCTTTCGCTATAAATAGTCGATTTTTCGAAATTCGCGTAAATTGAGCTAACGCTTCGTGACTTTAAATGATGATATATCGATCCAGTTATGCGGTTTTTAATTTTCCCCGCGGTTATTAAACCAAGTCCATTTTTCAATTTTATCTTCTAACCCCAAGCCCAGTCCATTGCCGCTATAACCTGCCTCTACGTCGGTGGCAATTACCTCCTCTCCGAGTCAGCAGCAGAGTCTACTGCAAATACAGTACCAAGAACTCCTCAAAAAACGCCCTTTTTGGAAGTAGAAGTTAAAATGGAAGAAGTTGCGCCGCCAGATTTTAGAGAATTTGGGAACCAAGTTATTGTAAGTTAAATTTTTCAAATGTTATCTTGACCATGATTTTTATACAAAATACAGATCCTGATAAGTAACTGCTTATTCTTCAGGGTAAATGGAAGCTATTCAATTCTACCGAACCTATTCCGTATTATGTTGCGCTTGGAATGGATAAATTTATGGCGAATATCGTCACAAAATTAGACTCAGTCATGAAGATCGAGTTAACTAGCGAAGGTTTTGTTCAAACCAGCACAGGTATAAACCTATAATAAAATAAAACTTACTCTATTTGCTTTAGTGACGGGGCTTGCTGGCGCTTTTCTACCGGCAAGTATGAAAACTCATGTTGTCAAGCCGATCTTTGGCGGAAAAGTCGAAAATGTCTACAATGGGATTTCAAAGGACGAGGAGGACTGGCTTGCTACTGCGTTTCCCGATCGCTGGGAGATTTTTATTACTCATCATGGTACGCAAATAGAATTGGGAAAGAAAGAATGATGATTTTTAGATGTGAAGAACGAGAATCAAGAGAGTATGACGGAGCATATGACCATGAGAGTAAGTAGCTAGAGTGAGAACAGGTGAAAATGTAGAAGACGCGTGCGGCTTCGAGGAAACTTCGCAGAAAATCCGCGCTCCGTGCGACCTCTCAACTTGAGGCTTTAGACTTAAGATACTGAAGTTTCTCGAGTCTCGAGAGAACTCGATTTTTACTTGCTTTCTTAGCTTCACCTTTTTTAATACAGTACCGATAGCCGTCTCTTTCAGATTTCGACGGTAATGGACGAAAAGTCGAAGAAAGAAGTCCGCCAGCTGAGCATTCACCGTCTCTTGAACGACGCTCCTTCAACCGAATGTACTTGGTTTCTCCGCCCTACCAAATAGAAAGATGAAGAGCCTCTGAGATAATTTTACCTGCAGCCCTTTTTTACCACTTTCCGAATTTCAAATGCCAAAAGCCGATAGATATTTTTCAATTTTTCCAGAGCTGAAAAAAGAGCAGTCATATTCTTAGAAAAATCGCAGTACTACAGTAAAATTACAGAAAAAAGTGTGTTACCTGCCTGAATCCTGAAATTCTTTTCCCCAGTTCAATAATAAAATATTATTCAGTACTTTTGATTGTTTTCATTCTTTGGAAAGTTCAGAATGCCTGAAAAAGAACGACTTCTTGAGACGATTAATACGGAGGATAACGATCCTACTTGTTACGGTTCAAATTAGAAAATACATTCATGAATAAAAACAGAGTCCCCGCCCCTCCAAGTTAAGGTCGTTTAGGGGGGGTTTACTAGTTAATAATGCGATAGGTGAACTCTCATCCCTTTAATTTCCATCTATTTTGAGAATTAGGCCTAACCTAGCACTGCCCATTTCGTAGCTTTTGAATTGTGTTTCTGAACCGGATTGAAGCGTAACTTTCATCCTCCACGGAGAAGACGATACCCTCGGTAACTCCTTGCGCTACGTCATATCCACCTACAAGGAAGTCGAAGCTTGCCACTACACGCGTCCTCACCCGACTGAGGACAAGATTCACTTCAGAATTCAGACTTACGACGATGTTCCCGGTAAGATTTCATTGACTTTCAAGATGTAAACTGAAGTTCTAGCGCTGATGATGTTGCGACGAGGCTTTGAAGACTTGAAGCACTATGCAGAGACGATCCACGACAAGTTTGAGGAAGCAGAAAGAGCTTATGGCATTCAGAGTTGAAAAGAACGAAAAGAAGGAATTGATTGATTTCTTACTGCCCCGAGTGTGAACTGTACAGATGGAAAAAGAATGAATTTGCCTCTGCAGAAAGAAGCTTGTGTTTCAACCATACTTTTCTAAGAATGGTTCTTCGTGTTGGTTTGATTCAAATGGCAGTTGGTTCTTGCAAAAAGACCAACTTGCAAAACGCGGTCAAACTGATCAAGCAGGCCTCTGATCAAGGCGCAAAACTAGTGACACTGCCAGAATGTTTCAATTCGCCGTATGGAACGCAGTTTTTCGCCGAGTACGCTGAAAACATTCCTGGAAACAGTTCTTCTACTATCGCCAACGCTGCCAAAGGTGAACCTTTCTCACCCGCATTCTAGCACTGTTTTCAACTCCTTTTTTTAGAAAACAATGTGCATATAATCGCTGGATCAATTCCTGAGCGCGAAGGCGACAATCTGTACAATACCTGTTGCATTTTCGACAATAAAGGAGAACTAATCGATACTCACAGAAAAGTTCATCTTTTTGATATCGATATTCCCGGCAAAATTACGTTCAAAGAGTCCGAAGTTCTCAGCGCTGGAACTAAAGGTAAACAGCTTTCGTTAGCTGAAGACAACAATAATTTTCGTCTTTCTTTAACGATTACCGAGGCCTTTTGTTGTTGAGTTGTTTTTTAAATGTGATTTAGGAACGATGTTTGACGTTGACAGCGTGAAAATTGGCGTGGGAATATGCTACGATATCCGGTTTCCCGAGTTGGCATGGAAATACCGTCGCGAAGGGGCAAAAGTACTCGTCTACCCAGGCGCTTTTAATCTCACCACAGGCGCAGCTCATTGGGCCAAGCTTCAGATCGCCCGTGCGCTCGACAATCAAGTTAAGCTCCCATAAGTTCCTACAGCTTCTTTTTACTCGATTTCTAGTGCTTCGTCATGACAGCATCGCCTGCACGTGATATGAATGCGACTTATCACGCTTGGGGTCATTCAATGGCAGTGAATTCCTGGGGCGAGATTCTTTGTGAAGCTGATGCGGGAGAAGAAGTTCTTGTTGTGGATTTGGACTTGGACTCACTCGAAGAAACGAGAAAGAATATTCCGATCAGTAAACAACGAATGCCAGAGTGCTACTAGTTAATATTGATAGTAACAATTCGTTACAGTTGAAAGTTTCCAAGTTCAATCATGCCTTTTTGATTTATGCTATTCCTTTGATATGATATATCAGCCCATGTGTAATTTTCGTGTCATTTATTCAATAAAAATATGATTAAATCGCAACAAGGTTTTACTCCGTAAACAGTCCGTAGAACTTCTAATTGAACAAACTCAAGCAAATGCTGTCGAAAATCATCATCATGAGTCCAGCAATCACGCTGAGCACCAAAACTAAAAAAAAACTAGCTTTTCCGCCAATTTTATTATCAGTACGAACCTGCTTTGCCACAAGAGTTCGGTTCATACTGGACGAGTTCCCCTTCGATACGAACTTTTCTTTGTAGTCCTCGCCGAGTTAACATGAAGATTGATGCGAGGATGCATAATAAAGAGAAAGCCAGAGAGCCAATTCGTACGCCTATTCGTGGGTTAAGGCCCTCAAATCCCCAAATAAAGATGATGTTGTAGATGATCGGAAACACAATAAGAAAGCTAGCTTTTTATTTCACCAAAGTTTTCTGTATTAATACCTGGCAAAAGTGTCCGTCCCGTGCCATTTCTCTCGATTGACGCCTTCCTTATTGCCACAACAACAACAAAGCACAAAGCTTGAAACAATTGCAATGAATCCCCACAGTTGCGGAAATAACGCAAGTGAAAAGAAACAAGTTGCATACAGCCCAAAATCTGTATCGTAATAAGGATCGTAAACAGGCATATTAATCCATTCCTGGTAAACACTCATCTCGCTAAATCTTTTTAAGAGTGAGGGCTAGACCATTGACTTTTATAGTTAATACCATTTTGATCGCAAATATAATCACTTTATCCTTCCTACCATAGGATAAAAGGCTTTGTCAAACTACTGACGGTTATACTGTCAAAGCTGGGCGGATGCCTAACTTCCTTTTCATCATTCAATTTCAGACCAAAATGGAACTGATGGAATTCATTTAGAATGATTCTCATATCATCTCTGTTTTTCCTTGTATGTACAGGAAAAGAAACAGAGAATCGAAATGACGTGGTCGAATTCGACGGGAACCTAGTCAACCTGATCAAGCAAAACGACTTCGTGCTCTCCTCCTTCTACGCTCCCTGGTGCGGCCATTGCAAAGCCCTCAAACCGACCTGGGAAAAGCTCGGACCCAGAATGGCCGAGTTAGGAATTATCATCGGCCAAGTTGACTGCACAGAACACACAGACATCGCTGCTCGTTACGCCGTCCGGGGTTTCCCGACCATCAAACTTTTTCGACGAGGAAGAGCGATCGATTACGAAGGAATGAGAGATGCCGACTCAATCGTTGCTTGGGCACAGAAGGCTTCGGGACCGGCGGTGAGAAGTTCTGCTAGATTGATCAACGATCTGATTGCAATTAATGGAGATCCGATGTTTATTTACAACGGACCAGGCAAGTGGTTTGAAAATTCAATGAAAACGCTGCTATTTCTATAAAAATTCATTATCGGAATGGAAAAACAAAATTTCTGACCAACCAAAAAGACACTAAAAGCTCCTTGTACACCGAATTCGCCCTCCTTGCTGAAGAAAACCTACCCAACATCCTTTTCGCCCGCAACAAAACCCTAAGCGACGAAGAATCCGTCTCAGTCATCAAAGACGAAGGTATCTTCCACTTCAAATTGGAAGAAGCTGGCTCAATGGCGGACTTTGTCAGCGGCGAACGATTTTCATCCTTCCCATCTCTTACTGGAAAACTAGCGAGAGATAGTGTTGAGGGTGGCAAGTTTTTTGCTCTTTACGTCGCTCAAGGTAAATCATCGAGGTCTTCATGTTTTTCAACCCTTTTTAGATGAAAAAGACGTGCGAACACATTTGGTGAAATCTATCGCCCGAGATCGTTCAAAACCAGCTCCCGGATTCGCTTTCTCGCACGCTACTGGCTCCCAATTCTTGAGATTGGTGAACCACATGACTTCGAGAAAAGATGTCGGAGCTGGGGAACTTCTTGTCCTCCCTCCTGGATCGATCAACGGTCGCTTTTACAGGAAAATGGCTACTCATTATTCGTTATATAAACGCGTTTATACTTGAAGCCGCAAACGGCTTCTGGATCTTGGTCAAAAATAAATAACCAACAAAAGATTTGATATCGACGCTGAAACGACCCGGGAAGAAATCATCCGATTCCTGCTAGACATTCAAAATGGAAAAGAAGAGCTTCTCGGCGAAAGCCCTTTTCAAGAGCCGTGAATGACATGATCGGCTCGTTCATCGAACTCTTCCAGAAACAACCAATCATGGCTGGAATGATCAGTTAGTCTCTAGAATCAAGAATTGATAGATAATTGCAATTTTAGTTGGTTTTCCGACAATTTTGATCGCTTTTGTCATTTGGGGCGTTTGCTCAGTCCCGGAAGTTGAAGAAGGAGAGCCGATTTATGACGAATCAGATGCCGAGAAAGACTCCGAAAGCGAAACAGAAGCCAGCGAAAGCCCAGAAGAAGAAAATATCGACCAGAAAGACAAACAAGGTAAAGAGAATTGTTTTGACTCAACAAAAAGCGACTCTTGTAAAAATTTTTTCATGGGAATGTCCGCTCGAAACTTTCCATCAACTCGAGTTGAAGCTGTATTTTGGCGCGAAAATGCGCTTTTTGCTCGAAATTTCCCGAAAATTCGAGAAGAATCTTTTCAACCAATCAAAGTTCTTTTCCTTCAAAATCCAATTTTAGCCGAACCCGTCCGCCGCCGACCAAAACGCAAAACTGCCCACACGGATGACTGAAGCCTTAAATTTTTAAAAAATTTCAGGGCGCCTTCCATTCTTAGAGAAAAATTGAAAACTGCTACCTTTTGTGCGAAAAATTCTTCAAATCCTCCCTTTTTTTGGTTTTTCTATTCTTCACAATTTCTTTTGTTCTTGTTTACCTCTTGTTTTTCCCGTTGTTTCGTTATTTTCGCGAATTTGAAATTTTGAATTTTCGAAAATTATTTTTTTCTAGAATCTGATCCTCAACGTTATTATGCCGAAGCGGCAAAATTCAGAATTACAGAGAGAGAAAAACTTCTATTTTTCGTCTTTTTTTCAGATTGAATTTTGAAAAAATACAGAGATGGCGTTTCACGTTCCAAGAGGTGGTCTTCAGCAGATGATGAAAAAGGGAACCAGGTAAAAGTTTATATAAAAATAGATCGTTGAAACATGTCGTCAATTTTAATTCCTTTTTCAGATATCTGGAAGGCAAAGAAGAAGTCGTCTTCGATTCAATTTCAACGATCAGAGAGCTCGGCGACACTACCAAGACAGCATACGGTCCCTTTGGAATGAACAAAATCGTCCAGAATCACATTGAGAAGCTCTTCTTGACTTCTGATGCCGCAACAATGATCAAGGAGCTTGATATTCGACACCCGGCGGCGAAAATGGTCGTCATGGCTGCTCATCAGCAGGAAGAAGAATGCGGTAAGTTATTTTAAATCGAATTCTTTTAACCCCATTTTCAGGCGATGGAACAAACGGATGTGTGATGCTGACCGCCTCGATCCTCCACGAAGCCGAGTATCTCCTCCGAATGGGTTTGGCCGTCCCTGAGCTCGTCTCTGGCCTCCAAGCTGGTCTTCAGGCCGGCTTGAGCGAGATCAACGGGCTCACCGTCCACACAGTCGATTTACAACAGATCAGAGACGTCAACGCAGTCAAATACGCAATCAAGGCTTCGCTCATGTCAAAACAGCTCGGAAACGAAGGTAAAAACCAGCCTCAAACAACAAGCGCTTTACTTTCATTCTAGAATTCCTGTCAAACATCATCGCGGAAGCCTGCGTGAGCACGCTGCCTAAGGACGCCATCAGATTCAACGTCGACGACATTCGAGTCTGCAAAATCATGGGCTCCAACCTCGAAGCATCCAAGATTATTCCAGGCATGGTCTTCAAACGATACGTCGAATCAGAGATCCAGAATGTCACTGATGCCAAAGTTGCTGTAAGTTTCTCGTCGGACATTTTTGATTTACAGCCGATATATGAGAAGCCGCTTGCTTTACTAACTCTTCTTTTAGATGTTCAACTGTCCCCTTGACAACTTGCAGACAGAGACGAAAGGAACCGTTTTACTCAAAAACGCGGAGGAGCTCAAGAATTTCACGAAGACCGAAGAGGCCCAGCTCTACAACGCAGTCAAGGCGATTGCTGAGAGTGGCGCGAAAGTTCTCGTCTGTGGTGGAAAGATTTCCGATCTCGGCCTCGACTACGCCAATAAGATGGGACTCATGACTGTCAGGTTTGTACTCTTCCTTGATTCCGAGTCAGAATCTGACTTTTGTTTTTAGACTTAATTCAAAGTGGGATATGCGACGATTGGCCAAGTCTATCGGAGCTACTGTGCTTCCTCGACTCACTCCTCCTTCAGCTGATGAAATGGGATTCTGTGATAAAGTCCGCGTAAGTATTGCCCCTTCAGGATCTGGTTGAATCCCTCCTTTTAGGTTGAAGAAATCGGAGACACCCGAGTAGTAAGCTTCCAGCGATCGACCTCTCGAATCGCCACAATCGTCCTTCGAGCTGGAACTACCAACGTCCTTGACGATCTCGAGCGAGCTGTCGACGATGGTGTCAACAACTTCAAGGTGCTCAACCTTTTTCTATAAACAATTTAACCCTTTTCTAGCTTTTGACCAAAGACAAACGACTCGTTGCTGGAGCAGGAGCTTTTGAAGTTGAATTGGCCAAATGTTTAGATGTTCACGCTGAAAAAGTAAGCAAGCCCATCTCACCCTTTTTTCATTGAAATACTAGTGTCTTGGAATGGAGCAATATGGAATCAAGCTTTTGGCGAAGGCGTACGAGTACCTCCCACGACAATTGGCCGAGAACTGCGGTCAGAATCCATCCAAGGTCATATCTAGACTTATGGCCGCTCACGCAGAAGTTGAAGGTATATTTTCATATGAAGCTACAGTTGCGGGTTGTCAAATAATGGATTGAAAATCAACTAGTTAGCATCTTTGCCCAGACTTTTTTCAAGGAGGAAAGAGATCCCTGACATTAAGATTAATTTGGCCTTTTATGGAAAAATTAAGGGTATGCGCAAGAGTTCTCCGCTTCCGCTCAATACGGAATCGAGCAAAAAGCATTCAATCTTCCGGGAAGTGGCGCAAAAGTCCCATCCACTCAAAAGGAAATCGGCCAAATGATCGACTCGATGAAACGTGTCGCCCAGTTATACGGCAGCGCGGACATGGCCAAGGCCGCCGACACTTTTGAAGACGGCTTTAATATGCACAAGTCCAAGAAACTCGTTGGTTAGCGCTTTTTTCGTTATTATTCGTGAGCTTGATTTTCTAACAAGGCTTTTATTCGCTTGATGCTTTTCCCAAAACAAGTTTTTCTAACAAGAGTGGGTTTCGTTGAAGATTAAGGGTAGACCCTTGTTCATTGTAAAATTTAAGGCTCGACGATTGGTGTCAATATTGAAAGCGAGGACCTTCAGGACGCCGCCAAGAACGGAATTTTCGACCATATTCTCATCAAGGAGTGGCAGCTCAAACTTGGTAGGCTACAAATGCGTTTTGAATTGTCCTTTCCTTATTACAAATTCTAGCTGTGAACACGGCGATCACAATCCTGCGAGTGAACCAGATCATCATGGCGAAGCGCGCTGGCGGTCCCAAAGCTCCGTCTCAGCGAGGTGGCCACTGGGACGACGATCACGACGAGGAGGACTAAATTCCACACTTGCCCGCTCCTCGTTTTTTAGTCAAAATACGATAATCACCTCTCGACTGTCACCTGACTGTTTCTTAGCCTTTCACAAATTTTAAATTTTATTATTTTTCCCTTTGCCTTTTTGTGAACATAGTGTTTATTTTCTATCACGACTTACTGTAACTGTACTCGACTTGTAAGTTGACCACTACAGAAAAACCTCCAATTCTTCTGAGATCCTTAGACATGTTCCGCCAAGCTTCAAAAAATATACGTTTGTTATTATAAAAGAACATCGAGAAAATGGCAACCAATGTCGAGAGCCTTTTCAATTATTTCTTGGATTTTTATTAAATTTTGCAAGCAGGCATTTTGAAAAAAACATATAATAAAAATGCAAAATTGATATTTTACAGTCGAACATTTCTTTCCGCAGCGAGATGTTACTTCACGTTATGCTTTTTCTCATTGTTATGAAGACCGAGAAATGGTAATGAAGAATTAATCTCCCGCATCAGTATAATATTTATTCGCTTGAGCATCCTAATCTTTCGCATTAAAGAAGAGCAAAAAATGCAGATTCGGTAAACATTCGTGTCAGAGGATAATAGAGCATCAAGAAATTTTCGAAACAGCGGTTTCCCGATTTGGCGCCCTCGCCGCTAATGCATCCGAGACGCGCTGCGTTTTCATCGCGGCTCAACCCTTTTTCAACCTGATTTTTTACATTGAAGAAAAAATAGAGAAAACATAAACAATGGTAAGAGTTTGAGAATAGCTTAGCTCCTAAATTAATTTAGAGACCTTAATAACTCGGCGATTTCCCTTAAACTTTTAAGACTGTAACTCCCTTATTTCCCCCACAAGAAATCAATTGAAGTTCTATCATAGAACTTCTATGAGGCGTTACTTTTTTTAGAAATTGATTGAACTATTGCCGAAAGCAGCTGAAATAGTAAAATATAGAAAGCGCGGCTTTTTAAATTGATTCGCTGGAAGCCGCAAGCGGCTTTTCGACTATGAGCATCAATTATAAGAAAAATTTCTTAAATTTCAATCTCATTTTTAATTAATTGCCAGCCCCTCATCTTTTTAAGAGAAGCTCCAGTGAGATCGCGAAGTGCAAAGTTCCTCAATTTCCGATCTCAGAAACCCCCGTGAAAACCGCTCTTGACATTAAAGAGCCCTGAGCTGACGGCTCATGAGCTGCAAATGAAAAAAGTCTGGAGAGCCACGTGATTAAATCCATTTTTTAGAAGTGTCCGGAATTGCCCGCCCGAGTACCCACACTTTTCAAATATTATTTTTCTTACTTTAGAATTCAAAACGATCGGAAGAATTGATTGAAGAAAATCAAGAACTAAAAATGGAACTGAAAAGCTCAAAAGCACTTTTATTCCATGTTTCTTTGCATTATCAATCGAGACTTTCGAAGATGGAAGAATTGATGAAAAATGAAATGGCATCACGTGATAAGCAACTGAGGGACCTCACGGCGTCCTTGTTATTGCTAGAATCGCAGCTTCAGAAAGAGAGGAAAAAGTCAGCGGAAAATAAAAGCACGATTCGAGCGCTGAAAATAGAGAACGCGAAATTAACAGAATTTGTTGAAGGAAGAAAAGGGTTCAAATAGTATGGGCTTGAATTGTCTTAGAAGCCACTCTGGGGTTCGAGAATATAAATATTAAAAGCCGCGCTTTGCGCGACTCTGCTTGGTTTTTACTCAAAGCCGCAAGCGGCTTCTCGATTTTATATAAATTGAACTCGGAAAAGACACGAAACAATCTACTCTGCCAACAAACCGTCCCCAATCTTTTCTTCCCGGCGAAAAATTCTGCCTTTTCGAAATTTTGAAAAGCAAAAAGTTCACGAAAACATTGACTTGGGCCGCCTGGAGCTTGAAAGAAGTCAAGTGCCAGCGAGAGAGCTGAATTTCGAAGCGCCAAAAACGCTCAATAAGCAGCGGCTGCGAAAACCAACTCCGAGGAGTGGATCCATTGGGTCCAACTCCTCGAGTTCGAGCTCTTCTGATGAACATTCAAACGATCATTTGATGAGCAGGATGCAAAAATGGAGCATAGAGGAGCTCGAGCATGGAATTACCATTTAACTTTTTATTATTTAATTTAACGTCTTTTTCTTTTTATTGAACATATTTTATTAACATAATGGCCCATTGAGAGCTCAAATAATTCTTCTTTTGTATATTTCTGCCGTTTGAAATTGCCCCAGAAGGATGTGCACTTACGTAAATGAAATAAGGGGTACCCATTATTACAGCCGAATTCCTTTAATTTCTCCTTTTTATAGGACTTTTTATTTTGTCTCTTAAAATTGCTGCTCTTTATCTCATCTTATATCTTATTGTTTTCCAAATTGCCTTACTAAACAATCATTTTTGTTTTATTTTAACTTTTATGATGGCGGCATGTCTTTCCTTTATTTGAAAGAAATTGTTGTTTTTGGGTTGTTTCAATTCATTTTGTAAAGTCTATTATTTAAGGAAAAGAGAAGAAAAGCTGAGGGGGGGGGTCCTTAAAGATCAACGCTCAACAAGAAATAATTATAATATTGAGTTTATTAATAGTAGCTTTTTGTACAAGCAGCTTATTTTGATTAAAGAAGACAAAAAACACAGTAAGAATATATAATATGGCCATTTTCAGTCTGATCGGCAATTAATTGTTCCAGGAAAGTTGAGCACAGCAAGATTGCGGTTGATGAAGATCAAGGTTGATTCGAAGGCTGTTTTCGCGATTCATGGGGATGCATTTTGAAGGATTTCGGCAAGGTGAAAAGTCGAGTTTTCTAAAAAAAAAAATTAGAAAAAATTCTCTTCCTTGATTTCAAAAATAAAGATTTCCTTTCAAATTTTCCTCTTTCACTGTACAAATAAATCATCCTTTTTCTAAAATAAACTTACAGAGCAATTTTCTTCTGCTGAGTATTATGCGTATTCGCAACACAGGAAAGTTCCTGACCAAGATTGATGCTCTGCATGCAGCAAAGGCGATCCTCAACTTTTGATTTTTGCTCATTTTCGAAATCGGCATAGAAAGAAATTGGGCACTTCGGCTTTGTGTTTTCGCAGAAGCTCGTTTCTAGCGATTCTGAACAAGAATTATTAAAATGGCTTGATAGCTGAGAAATTTTACGTTTTGAGCAGGTAGAGAGAGCATCTTGCTTGTTAGGCGAACATTTGAGGATGTCCCATGTTTCGGGAACATCGGCGCCGGAGGAGGAGCACGAGACACAGTTGGCGCCACGCCCGTCACAGAGCTCGCCAAGATAACCATGGAGGATTGGACAGACGTACTTGTCGATAAAGAGATCGTAAGGGACACTAAGAGGCGATAATAAATAAGAGTTTCAGGTTTTTTCAAAAATACTTTTTCACTAACTGATTCTAAAAATGACCGAAAGTATGACTGAATTGATATTCTTCGGCTCACCTTATTTTCTCCGCTTGGCAGAGTCCCCCTCGTCGGGGATGTCTCCGTCGGCTTCTGCTCAGTAATCCAGCACTTGCTTCCTCCTTGATTGCAGATCGAAACTGATCGCGCTCGACTAAGAACGCCGCGTCCAAGGTTGCCATTTCTACCGCCCGTTGGAGTCTTTCCTGGATGCTTGATTGCGCGGAAACGATTGAGCCAAAGAGAAGAGCTAAGGAAGAGAACATTTTGTTTGTGGATGAGTTTGTATTTTTTATTGATGAATGAGAGTTGATCTTGTCTCACTTTTATATGCTTCATCGTTGCATGCTTGAGTGGGTAGTTTGCTGCCACCGCGATTAAATGCAATTATCAGCAGAAAGAAGAAAGAACGGTGTTTACAACTTAATTCATCAAAAAGTGCAGCAACTTAATTGCAAGATTATTTAATTGAGATGTTAAACCACCACTTATATCTAAAATTTCAGATGCATCCTTTCAATTATCTCTTCTTCAAGAGAAAAGTTGATCACGAGCTGTCTTTTGTTAGTCGGGTGCCGGCTAGAACACCTCTTGTTCAATCACTTTGATAGATAGAGGAGGAACAATTGCAATTTTGAGCTAACGAAAAAGGGGATGAAGTACGGAAGCGCAAAGAATGAATACCCCCTCTTTTAAATAGTGCCACTTAGATCTCCCCCTTTTCCAAGAATGAGGAGATAAGGAAGTAGAAGGCAATCATTTGAAGTGTCCCTGCCGCTAAACCTCACCCTCTGGTAGACAGCTACGCCCGTGGGGACTCCCCAACGGCGACCCCTTCCTACCTTAGGTCCCCCGGATCCGTTCAAACGAGTTCCCGGGTCTCTTACTCCAAACACCATCCCAGATTCTTGAGATATTCGATCCCCCTCTATGGAAACTTCTTATTCTTTGACAGAAACGATGACCTCATCTTCAACCTTTGTTTATTCATCCCTTTTCCGTCCGTTCAAAATTGGCGGCGGGAGAAGTTCGCGCCTGGGATGATACCTCACTTACTCTTCTCGCTCATCGAATTATGCCCTCAGTGCCCTCGAATCAAGCCCTTTTGGTGTTTGAATATAAGGGTGACCCTTTAATTTATTCCAGAGCGGCGCTATCTTTCAGTTTTTTTATCGAATCTTGTTTACGATTTTCTATTCAATTTTGGCACATCCGTTTTCGATTTTAATTGAGTCATAAAACAAAACGTATGGATTAACATCATTAAATCAAATTCTGGAAAACCTAGTCGAGAGAGAAATAACTTCAGAAAAGAGAGACAGAAAGTCTGAGACAGAAAAAAAATTTCAAAAAATAAATACCGTGCCATTGACAAATACGATTCTACGATTGAACGCGCCATTTTTTCAGTGCTTGTGCAAATTTGAAAATTATGGAATTATGATTTTTTGAATCAGAGAAGGAAGAAAAAAGAAAAACGCAGAAAAAAAAATGGAAGAATTAAAGTTGATTGAGAGTGAGGCGAAAGTTGTTGGCTTGAATGGGAGAGAAGATACAATTATTAAAATGAACGAGAAAAGGTTAATTATTATTTCTTAGAGTACAGTTCTTAGTGAATGTAAAAGAATTGTCAATTTTTCAACTTCAGAGTTAAATTTTGGTCGAGAGGTATTTGTAAAGTCTATAGTACCTTTAAATACATCTATAAAGGTCTCATAAACTTATCATCAAAGATAGCTGTTTCAGGGTATTTGATTATATATCCAAATTTTTATATTTGCTTTAGAAGGACTAAAATTATGTTCATTCAGAAGGGCTGATAAGTTTTATATCATGGACTTTTATAAATGACGCTTCATACTTTGTACCATAAGTACAAAAACGAGGTGTCCGTCAGTCACCTTCAGTTTTTTCATATTTTGCATAATTTTATATTGCGGAAATTGATAAGTACTCTGATTTTTCTTACGAAGAGGGTAACATAGTTATAAATTATTTGAGAGAAAACGGTCATCTACGCGCGCTTTTCTTACATAAGAAATTTATGACTTCGTAGACAAATATTTGAAATATCGACTTTTCTTGATATTTGCCCCCACTTGAACTTCGAAATTTGGACTTTTCCGAAAATGAGAATTTTCCCATTCTTATTAATTTATAATTATATCAATTTTGATCCTTTCTCTAAGCACTTAATAATTGAGTCGATACATGTCAAGACATATGTTTCTTTTGATTCTAATTGCAAGCTTTGATGCAAATGCCGGCGTTGGTAATTATAAGGAAAACAGTGTTCGGCAAAGTGTGGTTCAAAAATAAAAGGAAATTGCCAAGTTTATCTTTACATTTAAAGATATTTATAGTAGTATAAATGGTATATGGTACATGAATAACTTTTGTAATAAATTAAATTTTTTTTGAAATCAACTTGGTTTTATTTCGGTGCTCAGTTTAATTTTTCTTGTCTATATATTTTATTATTGCAATGTCGAAAAATTACCGATATACAGTTTTTTTCCTCTTTTGTGGACATTTTTTGTCCTGAATTTTCATGAAAATGTCCACAAAAGTGGACAAGAGTCTTCAAAAAAATGTCCCGCCGTAGGGCCTAAAAATTTTTTCTTCGATTAATTTTTCTTCAAAAAATGGCAAATTTCATCATCGAAACGCCTCTTTTTTGCTTGTTTTACCATTTTTAGTCAATTAAACTGTATAAGCCATTGATTTTTTATAAAAACATCCTGATTTAAGAAAAAAAATTACACAAATTCTTCCTTTTAAATTTTCTCGGCTGGACAAATGTCCACAAAAGTGGAACATCATCTTTCTAAAAGTGTCCCACAGAAACCCCTTAAAATGAAGAAAATGTCCACAAAATTGGGGTCCACAAAAGAGGAAACAAACTGTATAAAAGTAGATTAGCTCTTTCATTCCGTTTTTAGTGTGACGAGCTCATGTTCTCTCGCTTGGGAGAATCTGAAAGTACAGACGAAAAAAGGTCTCCCGATTCTGAAAGATTTGACTGGAGAACTCCCGGCAGGAAGCTTGACCGCCATCCTTGGCAGATCCGGGTGCGGGAAAACGACGTTGATGAATGTTCTTACTTGCAACAATCACGACTTGGAGGCGACAGGGAATATTTACCTAAATCGAGTGCCGGTGGGGTCGGCGATTTCGAATGTGTCGGCTTATGTGAGGCAGGAAGACTTGTTTGTTGGGGAATTGACGGTGTTGGAACACTTGAATTTTCGAGCGAGGATTCAGTTTTCCGATTTGGAGCAGGAAGAAAGGGATAGGAGGATACAGAAAAGTAAGAGAAAAATATGTTTTGTCAAGATTCGAACTCGTGACCTTTGAATGCTAGCTTCTTTTCTTAGGTCTGCGGGACTTTGAGCTGAAGGAAGTGGAGCACACGCAAATCGGGATTCCGGATTTGAAAAAGACTCTTTCGGGTGGAGAACGAAAAAGATTGAGTCTCGCATCAGAGATTCTATCAGATCCAAAGATTCTCTTCTGCGATGAACCGACGACAGGATTGGACTCGACGATGGCGATGAAGGTGATCGAGGTGTTGGTGAATCTGTCCAAGAAGGGGATGACGATAGTGTGCTCAATACATCAACCCTCTTCGAAAATTATTTCAATGTTTAGTCATCTGATTTTGATGGCGAAAGGAATGGTTCTCAAGCAAAAATGATGTTTTTTTGTTCCATCCGACATCCATCGGTTAAATTTTAACGCTTTTTACGGATGAGAATCAAGAAAAGGCGAGTTTGCGTATTTTGGAAAATATGTCGACTCAATTTCTTTTGTGGAAAAGTTGAACCGCCCGGTACCGCCCTTATACAATCCGGCTGATCACTTTTTAGGTGAGTTATGTATAAAAAGGCACGATAATTTGTCAATTATGCTTCGATAGTTGGTTTTCATCTCACCAATTTCATGGCCAAATTTAGTTTTAATAACGACTTAATTTCTATTTTTTTTTATTATTCATTATTTTTGATTATTTTGATCTCCTCAGTTATTCTATTTCAGTATTTAATTCCTATTTTAGATATCCTCGATCCAAACAATGCTGAAAATGAAGATTTCATTTCCTCAGCTGTAGATCTTCAAAGATCAAAAATTAAACTGTCAATCAAAAATGACGAGAAATTAGACAATCTAGGAAACGGTCAGCTAAACATTCATTTGCTCAGAGGCTTTTCTGATGGTTCACCTTCGCTAAGACTATTTAAATTTACGGCCAATCAACGAAGTCGGCCGCATATCTCAAACTTGTATTTTAATTCGTCGCCAACTGGCTCGTATGATCCGGGACCCGCTCGCCGTCAAGGCCAAGCTTTGCGAATGTATCTTCATCGCGATTTGGTATGGAATGCTTTACTGGCGTAGGGACAATGCCTGGTCCAATGAGACATTTCAATATTCTTGGGCGCAGATTAGAGATGTAAATGTAAGTCTTCCTTGATTTCAAAAGTTATTCCCTTAATAGAATTATTCATCGCTCCACGCTAAAATTAAGGGATCCCTGCTTGTTTCGCTTCTTTTCGTGTCAATTTTATTCATGGTCATGGTCGCCCTCCGATTCATGGTCCAGTGGCCACTTCTTCAACGAGAAGTTTCCGACAAAATCTATAGGTTGTCTTTCCTCCTCCCATTTTTCTCAAACCATTAAGGTTTTCATCATTTTTCATCGCCGACAACATCGTTACTTCTTTCTTCGCAATCGTGCTTCCCTTTCTGTATTCAATCATCGCCTATCCGCTTTTCGGCCTTCAGAAGTCTTTCATGAAATGGCTGACTTTCTACTTCGTCTTGGTTTTGGAAAGTCATGTTTGTCTTGGAGTTGGATACTGTGTAAGGTAATTATCTTTCTGGTTGCGCTGAATTCTCGAGAAAAGATATCAAGGAGCTCAAATGAATGCAAAATAAATAAATAATATAAAGGAAGATCTTACCGGCAAGAATTTACAAGTGCAATTTTCCTGCAGTTTGTCTAAAAATATCAAAGAAACCAAATTAAAGAAATGTATATTATTTTACATTTACATACAAATGTAAGAATTTCTACATTTGTTTTCTTTGATGCCTAAATCTTAAAAATAACATATATTTTTTTGTGCTGAAGTCGAGGAACGCATATCACGTGATCAATTTGATTCGGCTCGATGATCATTTTTTACAAGAAACTTAAATTTACCGGGCTTATAACAATATTGACTATTTAATATAGTCTATATTTTATGCCATTGCCAATGGCCCATTGGTCATTTATACTGTAATATATCGTACTCATATCGACATTTTTGCCTAGGATTGAAGAGAAGGATCAACATTCATTTCTTCTTACCATATTTCAAATATGTAGAAAAACTCATAAAAATTCTAGCTCCTTTTCGCCAAACATCGACTTCACCATTGCCCTCCTCCCCGCCGCCATCGTCCCTTTGATCGTCTTTTGCGGCTATCTTTTGGATACATCAGCAACTCCACCATATGCCGGCTTTCTGAAGCACTTGTCCTGGTACGGGTAAAGGTTCTAAATTTAACAACTTAATTATTGGAAATAAATTGGAATCCATCTCAAAAACAATTAAATGCACAAAATCGATCGTTGTTTCTCTCTTTTAATTGGATGATATAACATTGCTCGAACAAAGCGTTTAAAAGTGTTTACAAAGTTATTCTGACAAACCTTTATGGCTTTCTTCAAAAAGAACAGTTTTCTTTGAACCTTTGAATCGGCTATTGCAACGAGTTGCTGCAGATCAATCAATGGGACGGGCTGGAAATCGACGAGCTCTGCCACCAACGACCGAGCAATGCTACTTCTTACATGCGAATCGAGTTCAAGTACAAAGGATTTATCGATGCCAAACTTGAAGGTAACGAAATCGAGCTGTACGGAACCCGCATTTTGCTGTTTAGATCATGAGATTTGTCAAGTAAGGTATCCAAAAGGCGGGACAAGTGTCATCACAGAAATGGGATTCGATGCAGCTAACTGGACAAAGGATATTCTAGTGCTTCTAGGAACTGGTTTAATAGCGATTGTTTTTAATAACCGTTCGGATTTTGGAAACCAAAATGAGTGCTTTCTTTCGTTTCCCGACTGATAGCCTTTGCCATCTTCAATTTCCGCCTAAACAAGCTGAAACGAAAAGTTGTTATGCATGGAACCTGCACGCCGAAAAAGATTTCCCCACTGCGATAAAACCGAATAAAGCCTAAACCCTTTTGAAAGTAATATATTCGTCAAGTCATTTTAAAATCACGCGTAGCTGGCGCGTTCCCAGCCGAAATTTCACAGTGCAGGCCACCGAGGAAATCGCCCCGAAATCATGCGGTCGCAGTCGCAAAAAAAAGCGAAGAAGGAGGAGAAACCGAGCTAATGGACATACATGTCAAAAATAAAAAGCACTTGAAGAATATTCTTCAATTCTTCTCAATCCTTTTCGATTTACGTAAAGAATTCTAAGGATATCATGATTTTATCCCTCTTCTCGGAGAGTTATAAATCTGAGTCAAGCATAGTGGTTCTAGTCTATTCTCGTGGAAATCATAATACTAGAAATTATCTGTTAGCGGTAGTCTTAGTTTTGTCTGGTCTAAAAAGTCAATACTGAAACAATTTTTCCGATCAACTTTATTTATTCAATTTATATTTATTGAAAGTTTAAAATTTTGACGTGTAAAAGGTAGAATTTACCCCAAAAACAATATCTAAGATATATTATATCTTAAAATAATAAAGGCTCAGTCTAGTCTTGTCGACTCTTTTTCAATTCAAATTTATCTAGTCTTTCCACTCAAATTGAATATAGTCTTAGATTTTAGTCTAAGATAAAGTCTTAGACAAGACTAAACTAAGACTTTTAAATTTGAAATTAGATCGAACAAGTTATGTCCATTTAGTTTCCATTCTTTGTGTTATCATTTCTAATAGAGGTTCTATCATCTTTGGATTATTCAACCTGATATCCGATTCTCCACATTATTGTATCCTTGGTGTGAGAAAGCGAATGCGCGTGGTGCCAGCTTAGCGGCATGGCGGTGCGACTCGTCGCGTTTTTTTTGTCTTGTCAAGTCAAAATTCGTTTCGCTTTCTAGCGCCCCCTGAGTGCTCTTCCGGCACTTCTCCTTCCAAAAATTCCAACAAAAAAATCTCCTCATTACTGATTTTAATCTTTCCTAATTGGATTACTTTCTAATAAATTCAAAACAAGAGAAAAAAAAAACGCAAAAAACAGGATTTGAGATCGAGATACTGCATTTGGAACTGAATGATGATTTAGACGAGAAAATCCGTTGGTTCCCTTTGCATTCTCTCGCCAAGTCCAAAGACGACTGTATGAGAATAAAATAATTGTAGATCGGAGGTGATGATTCGACGGTTGCTCGAGTAAAATATTCAATTATCAAATATGAAATTGAAAATTTTAATCAAGATTTTCTTTGTCCCGGTGAATTTCCGCTTGAAACTATTCGACTGAAAATGAACATCGATAAAATTGGGATATGAAAAAAATTCTTCTTCTGTTTGAGTTGCTTTAGCTTTAAAGATTAATAAAGCTTGTGACAATAATTTTTGCCTAGGCTGGAAGAGTTAATACTGTAATCTCATTCTGATTTCGACCACAAATTATGATTTTCAGTTGAAATGAATTTTATTGTTCTATTGTACCAAGGGAAAAGACCCACAAGATTAACTTCGTTTTGCCGAGTTCAAAAGTAAAAAAAAATAGAGAAAAAATCTTCGTAAAAATGGGTGAATTTAACATTGCCATAATAGGTAATTACAATATAATTTAAATAAAAACCTCGCAACCACAAAGATACGAATTTTAATTAGGCTATGTTGCGGTTGCAGCTTTATTCCTTCTTTTCTGTTTTTGCTGTTGTTGTTCTAATCGTTGCCGTGCTGGTGGAGGCGGATGGTTTGGTGGAGACGGTGGAGATGGGGGAGGCGGAGACGGTGGATGCGATGGCGGTGGTTAAGGGTATCAATTCATAAATAAATAATTCTTATTTTTAACAAAATTAATACCACTTAATAGTGGCGATTGTGGCGGTGGTGGCGACTAAATTGTCTGTTTAATTTCATTAGTAGTGCTGTTTTCGTTTCAAATAAAAAATATAATTTCTTCCCCACAGTAAAATAATAAATAACAATTGAACATTCTTAATTGAAATTGTTCTTTGAATCATTGTGTTAGGTCAGCAAGAAGCCGTTATGATCTGATAAGGATCGAGGCGCCGCCGCTGTTTTTGCACTGCACTCAGTTCTATCTAACTCAACTTGAAATACACACCTATTTCCAGTTATACTCGAAGATTATTCTAGAGAGCCGCAGGATCTATTAGAGAAGCAACGATACTTAGTGTAGTGGGAATCAGGAGCTATTCCTGACCTATCAACTGGTGAACAAAAGTTTGCAAACCTCGACTCTTCACTGGAATCATCGAACTACTGGTTCCGACCGGTAACACATCCTCAGATCGCCTTTCCTACCACTCGGCCAGGCCGATCGACTGGGAGATTCTTGAGCTTGGACGTCCGTTGGGTTCATTTGGCTACAGTTAGCAGTTCTGCGCACGCCACTCGAAAGCCCCTAAAAGTAAAATAAAGCCTGACCAGCTTATTTTACGGGGTCACCGCAGACTTCCGGCCATCTACAACCGCTCAACTCGACGCTCTTGGACCATTTGAACTACTGGTGCTTCGTTCTTTGCCGCAGATCGTGAACTCGAACGCCTGCATTTGCTCCTCAAAGTAAAATTAAAGCCTGACCAGCTTATTTTACGGGGTCAACGCAGGTACACGAACCTTTTTCGCTGATACTGCCCCGCAAGTTAAGCCGACCACGTACATTCTTCTGGACCACCTCTAGAATTTGACGACTTGTAACTCCTCCGTGGCGCTCTTCGCTACATTTGCTCATCAAATTACCCCTAGATAAGGATTTTAAGTTCTCCAAAACTTAAAATCCGGGGTAATCGCAGGTAGAAAAGTCGGTTAGCAGTGACCTCGCTCCAACTTTAGCCGCCACCCGAACAACAAGTCTCCGCTGCCGTTGCTGATCCCGATCAACTTCATCGCACGATCTCAACGAGCACTCCCGCCACCTCCGAACGGACTCTGAAAAGGGTTCAACAACTGAATCTTGGACTGACTGACCTCGCTGCGCCGCGCACCTCCCACCAGCAGCGATGACAGTTCTATGGCAACTCTCCATGCCCATTGATGACTTGAAAAACGCGAGTCGAGCCAACCTTCAGAAATGGGTTGGGGAATTCGGCAAGTTCATCGGCGACAACTTTACTGACTCGGAAAAGACCGCCGACGTCAAAGAAGCTTCCGACCGTCTCGCCATCATCTCTGCGCAATTGCAGTCCATGAAGTCTACCCCAGCCAAATCTGGCGAATCAGCTGCACATCTCGTCGAGATCAGGCATGTATTCGATCTTGAAAAGACCACTGACTTGAGTGATGCCGACAAAGTAGAAGTTTGGATCGCCAAGATCAGACAGGCAAAAGTCGACTACATCGACCACTTGGATGATGATAAAAAAGAAGAAGCAGAGAAGGTCTTGGTCCGTACAGCCAAGAAATACTTTGATGCGTCGGTCAACCAGTCCTTTCATCGCCAAAATCTAAAGACGACCACAGTAGCCGAGCTGCTAGAAGCCATCGAAACCATGTACAGTAGCAAGCTGAGCATCTTCCAGGAGCTACGAAGACCGCACGACGTCAAGTTCCAGAAGAATAAGGGCCTCCAAGCCTTCATTTCCGAGCTCAGCGAGGCACAGAAGCGTGCTTATCGTCAAGTAGAGCGCCTGTATCGCCAAAATGCCGAAGCCGAGAAGGCTGAAGTCATCGACATCACTGCTTCTTCCGCCGCTTCTGTCAAAGTCGAGGCCGGAGTAGAACCTAAAACTGCTAGTAAGTGTTCTTGCCCTGTTAAAGCGCATGAGCTTTCTGATCTCTACAGCGCATGCCTGGCTTACATGAAAATCGCCGAGCTGTATCCGACGGTCGCGCTCAAACTCTGCGACTCCGTTGATTCTTGTCGTTCTCCACAGCAAGTCTACAACAAGGCTAAGTTGCTGATTGACCGTTTCCCGGCTAACATGACCAATGAGGATTCCGCTGCTTTCGGCGCCAAGAACGGCTCCTGGAACAAAAAGAACTCAAACAGTCAAGGCGACAACAAAAAGCCATCGCTGGAATCGCAACTCCAGGCCCTTATCACGCGTCTTGATGCGATTGAAGGCAAAAATGCAAGCACTCCAGCAGCACAGTCCAACAACAAGTCCAAAAACAACAAAAAGAAGAGCAATGGCGGAAACCAAACCCAAGCTCGAGCAGCCGGAACTTCGGGCGATGCTCCAACGGATCCGCCGACACTTCCAAGCTCTTCGAAGGATTTTCGAACCTCATCTTAGACTCGTGTGCACCTAAGATGAGCAATTCTCTTCGCGCACGCTCCAACTGTATTCTTCCGACTCAGCCGTGGTTCATCAATCTGAAACTCACCATCGGCGAGCGTTCTTTCACTGTCAACGATGGCATCTTCGACAACGGTTCCGACGATCTGTTGCTGCCAAGCAGGTTCGTTCCTCCTGAGCTCATCCGTGATCTGGACGACTCGGACATTGTCATCAACGGTGTAAACGGCAAAAGCAAGGCTGTCGGAGAATTCATCACTGACGTTACCATTGGCGACGCTACCTTCAACGACATCAAGGTTATCGTTACCGACCATAAGAATACTCCATGTTTGATTGGTCGCACGGTAATTGATCATCCTTCTTGTGTCAGTTTTGGGCGAACCGGAACAGAAATCGTGGTTCAACGTCGACTTGGTCCTGGTACCGACATAACGACTCATAAGTTCGGAATCAACGGCTACCGCAGTGATCCCTGGAACGCGACGCGAGAAACTTCAAACGCCCAGCTACTTGTTCTTGAGGAACCACCTTCGTCTGGAACTAATGTACTGAGCGCCGGTACTCATTTACACGGCGAGGGAGGCGAAAATGCGTCCCTGGCTGTCGAATCGAGTTCCACTGCTAGAAAAGACAATGTTACTTCTGAACAACCGCCTCATCGAGACAAACCTGATCTAAGCGCAAGTACTGCTGAACTCTGCGCCTGGCTCGAGTCGAAGAAGAATCTGAAACTGCCCACCTCCTGGGAAGATGCTCAAGAACTCAGAACGGTTAGCACGCTGTGCGTCGAGTTTGATGACATCTTTGGCAGCGACGACGACCCTTTGGGCGAGTTCATTCATCCAGTCCGTATCCCTACAAATGGAAAATCGGCGTCGCGCAAGCAGCACCAGATACAGTTTAGAAACCAAGCTGCAGTCGACGGTAAAATGGACGAAATGGACACGACCCGCGTAATCGAACCATGCCCAGATCCAAAAGGCTTCAACACTCCTATCCACGTCGTCGATAAGAAAGATGGAAGTCCACGCGTAGTAGCCAACTTCAAGGATACACTTAACCGCGTCTTGAAGGACCCTGATCCATACAGCATGCCCTCGCTCCGGGAAATTTTCAACGAAATCCGGCCTGGGAACATGTACTTAGCCTCTGTCGACTACCGTAGCGGATATTGGCAGATCCTCATCGACGAGCAAGACCGCCACAAAACCGCGTTCACTTGGCGAGGGAAGACCTGGCAGTATAGGAAGATGCCGTTTGGACTGACGTGTGCGGGCCAGATATTCAGTCGATGCGTTGGTGAAGCACTCGAGTCCATCACTGACCGCGAAGGACTTTACATCTACATCGACGATGTACTGCTGTGTGCACCAACGTTCAGCGCATATGTTCAGAAGCTTCGCAGCCTGTTTGAAGCTACAAGGAAGTTCGGCTTGCGGCTCCATCCAGGCAAGTGCCATTTTCTGGCGAAATCGGTCAAATTTCTGGGCCGCGTAATTAGTCCAGAAGGTATGAGCATCGATCCTGATCACGCACAAGGGGTTGACTCGCTCAAACAACCAACAACAAGGACAGAACTTCGATGTCTACTTGGTCGGTTGACCTTTATTCGGGAGTTTCTCGAGACGAGACTTCACGAGCGCATCGACACGAACTGCTTCTCCCAGCTGGTACACGAGCTCAACAAGTTGAATCGCGACGGTGAATTCTACTGGTCGCCCGAAGCGCAGCGCAAATTCGACTTGGTGAAGAAGCGACTCAAGACTAGTCCAGTCATCTCCTATCCAGATCCAGAGCGCGACTTCCTATTGGTCACTGACGCTAGCGAAGTTGCTGTTGGCGCCGTTTTGCTCCAGCTCGTCGACGGAAAAGAGAAGATTGTTGGCGTCGCATCTCGCACGTTCACAGCTGTAGAAACCAGGTGGTCAACGACCGAAAGGGAGGCCTACGGAATCTTATTCGGCATTCGCCGATTTGATTACTTCCTTCGCGGTCGTCCGTTTGTCGTCAAATGCGACCATGCAGCCCTCCAGTACATTGATTCTGTCGACCACAAAAACGCGAAGCTTAGCCGATGGATGGATGAGCTATCTTCGTACAGGTTTATTGTGGAATACATCCCAGGTGAGCAAAACGTCTGGGCTGACTTCTTCTCTCGGCCATTTGGGCTCAAGAAACCAGTCCACAAGGATGTTCACGTGCCAGCCGGGAAGTTTGCAGACTTCGGAAATGGTCTGCGCGCCTACGTCCCAAGTTGGTGTACTAAACAGCAAGTTAGTTGCCCTGTTGGTACATCTGAGAAGCTCCTTACAGAAGGACTTACCAGTGCTTTCATCACTAGAAGCGGCAGTTTCATCCTCAACACCCGCGTCGAGGACTACTTCAAACTCGCCAGCGATCAGCGCGCCGACTTCAGCATCGGTGGCCTCATCAAAGCAGTTACCAGCTTCCAGCGAGAGCCAAAGTCGATCCAACTTGACAGGAAAGATCACAACTACGACATTTTCCGCGTCAACTGGCCACATTTCAAAATTTGCCAGCGCACAGATCTTCTGCTCCATGTTAAGGACGGCAAGCATCGCCAGGTTCTCCCTCCAGAGCATGTTCGCCGGCTTCTCCGCATTTCCCATGATGATTCAGCTCATCCAGGCGCCAGTCGAGTCGCTGATTCTCTAGAATCGTATTGGTGGCCCAGCATGGATGATGACATCAAAAACTACGTCGCCTCGTGTGTCATTTGTGCCAAGAAGAAAGGTAACCAAGGTCACATCTCGTCCCCAAACATCGGTCACTGTAAACGCGGCGAGAGACCCTTCGAAGTCATCTACATTGACTTTACCGTCTTCGACAAGTGTAACGGCAAGCGCTTCGTTTGTACAATTCTCGACAGCTTCACCCGCTATTTCATCGCCAAGGTCGTTCCCGGCGAGCGCGCGATCGATGCTGCTCGTACAATAGTCGACGAAGTTGTTCTGCGGCACCAGATCATTCCGAAGATCGTCTCCAGCGATCGCGGTACTGCATTCGTCTCCGCTACAATGGATGAGATGACTAAGCAGCTGGGCATCGTCGCAAAACAGCATACTGCCTATCGCCCACAGAGCACAGGAAACCTGGAACGAGCCCACCGCAGCTTCAAGTCCTTCGTTTTCATGCTACAACACGAGCGAAACATGACTTGGATCGATGCAGTACCATACGCGTGCGCCTACATGAACAGCCACAAGAATTCTGGTACAGGTCAGTCGCCACATTCTCTAGTTACTGGTCGCCGACCGCGTCTCACTGTCCAAGAAACCATCCACGATCCCGATTTGAGCTCGTCTTCTCCATCTACTTATGGTAAGATGATCCGAGAACGTCTTCAACTTCTCCACTCACTCGCAAAAGTCGCCAACAAGGCCGCGGATGAAGCGCTGGAAAGAAAGTTGAACAAGGCTCATCGTGCTCGACCACTCAATTCTGGAGACCAGGTTACTCTGTTCCGCCCGGTCGCCAAAGCAGCAAAGTCCAAAGGATACGACTGGATTGGACCGTTCGAAGTCGTTACTGCATCTGAACATGTTGTCAAAATCAAGGATCAGAAGCAGAATTACGACTGGGTTCACCGCGCGCACTTGCGTTACGTACCTGACAGACTGGCTCATCTTCGAAATTCCGAGTTGCAGCGTGAGCTCGAAATACTAGAATCTTCTGGCTCCGACTCGCTCAACTCTGATGAAAATCGTCCAGAAAATGCAGCTGGAACTTATTCGGAAGGTCACGATTTACTTCCAAAACTTGGGAGGCCGACTGAGAAAAATGTAAGTTCCGGAAGCAAAAAGCGGAAAGCTGGACCTACCTCAACGCAAACTCGACCGAAACGACCTCGCTCCGCAACTTTGGATCCTCCAGCTTCGTCGAATTCTTCTCGCCGAGCTTCACAAACTTCTCTTGATCTTTCTGGAACTACTTCGGGACCGATTCCGGCGCTTGTCGAACATTTCTCTAAATTAGAAGCAAGTAGACAGCGAAAATCTAGCAGGAATCGCAAAAAGACAAGCAGAATTGAAGTTGATCCGAAGAAAAAGTCGTATTAGCTCTACTCGTCTCTGATCGGCTGAGCGCGCCGTCACTGACTCATCAAAATCGTCGGGCAAAAGTCTGCGCTCTCCGAGTTCTCTGCATCTGGCTGCGCTGTGATTCGCTCTTTCGCGCGCCGCTGACTCATCGCCGGCTGCTCCGTTCCTACTCTCATCTGCTGCTACTCCTCTGCTACTCATCACCTCTACACTTCTTCCTTCTTTTCTAGAGTCTCCAATCGTCAGAAGACTTGAAGACTGGGGGAGCTGTTAGGTCAGCAAGAAGCCGTTATGATCTGATAAGGATCGAGGCGCCGCCGCTGTTTTTGCACTGCACTCAGTTCTATCTAACTCAACTTGAAATACACACCTATTTCCAGTTATACTCGAAGATTATTCTAGAGAGCCGCAGGATCTATTAGAGAAGCAACGATACTTAGTGTAGTGGGAATCAGGAGCTATTCCTGACCTATCACATTGTTTATTCAGTATCACGAGTATTCAAAATATCTGCCGCCACGTGACCTATTTTTGTACATTTTAAACAGCACGATGCCAGCAACAAAAGTCAGCCCTAGAATGCATCCAACAATCCAAGTGAATAAAAGGTCTTCTTTATGCTTTTTTAGGGCGCTCGCGACTTTTTGAAAAATATCAATTGTTCCATTTGTGAGATTTTTTCGTATTTCCGTCAATCGGCTTGTTGAAATTTGTGATTGATTGAAGGAAGAGTCCAAGACGCAGGAATTTCCAACAGAGAGGTAGCCGAACTCGCAGGCACATTTCGGCAAGTCCGAGTTTTTCTAGAGCTTACTGTTACCCTGCGTTTATGAACTTGCTTTACTTGATTGAAACAAAGTTGATCACAAGGATTTTCTCCAAAACAAGCATCACGAAAATGTACTTCTTCAAGCTCATTGTCGTCATCATCGAAATTATCTTCTTCGAAATAATCAAAGCATTCAAATTGAGCTTTTTTGACGAAGAAAATCTTCTCGAGGAGCTCTTCAAAATCATCGACGTGGATTATGTAGTCGATCGTTCTCTCTATTTCGTGATGAGAAAGGTTCAAATCAAAGTCACCTAAAAACCGGTCATTTTTTGACGAATAAAAATGAGTTCATTACCAACAGCTAGGATGAAAATTTCGACTCCGATTGATTTTGCAATTTTTAATTCTTCAACTGCCAGTTTCGGTTCTGTAAATTCGCCGTCTGTAATAATGACGATTGCCTTCTTTGAGTTCTGATTTTTCTCGTCACGTGGGCAGCTTGAAAACTCAGTCATTGCTTTTCGAAGGCCAAAGTGAACATTCGTCTGGTCTTCAAAAGTATGCTCCAGTCTTTCCGAAAATTGTTAGTTTTCTACAATAGAAAAAAAGTTACCGAAAAAGGTTTTCTTTGATTTTAGAGTAGGACTGTTCTTCATTCAGACGATGGGAAATGAAAGCAGATGATCCGTAGCGAATGAGAGAGATTCTAGTGTTGAAATCATCGATAGGGAAAAGAACGGAACTCATTTTCTCAATGCTATCTTTTTGCAGATTCCAGCTCTTCTCGGAAATCGAACGGCTAAAATTTAATCAGGGAATCTTTCAATCTTCCTCTTTTACCTTGAATCGAGTAAAAAGACCAGATCAAGCGGTCTGGACTCGCATAAAAGTGGCTTCTTTTTCGAGACTTCTTCGATTTCATCCTCGTTTTCTCCACTAAAAATCTGCACGTGATCGAGGTCAACTTGATCTTCTGGAATTTTCAACGTCTCTTTTTGATCATTACTTTCGACAATCACTGTAAATGTCGATGTATAGTGATGCTCTGTAAAAAGCGTTATGTATTTTTGGAAACCGCTTTCTGATTTGACTACTGAAAAGAGGGTTGAAAGAAAAAGAACTTTCATTTTGTGAATTTTCCACGACGAGGTGGATTCGAATTGAAAAGGGAGGAGTGAGTCAATGAGCAAATATGACAATCATTCAAAAAAGGATGAATCCTCTTTTTTGTCAATAAATTCAAGTTTAAAATGAACAATGGAATAAAATAAAGTTTATGGTAAAAAATTTTCTGCCCACTTTTTGTTCAGTAGATTCCCAAGGCTTTCAAAGACCCGTGGCAAAAAGCAGTATTCGTTGGTGTTGTTGAAGAGCTCTCAAAGTTGGAAGTGCGCTTTGTAAGTCGCCCGGTAAAGTGGCAATTTTCGTCGATTTAGTTGCTGCAATCGACTATTTGATCGAGAGGCCCAACAATGGGAATCGAGAAAGATATCCGGAAAAAGATCCGTTCTCCCAGGCATATAAATACAACCTCCTTTCCAAAATGATATTCAGTGAAATAACCGTCCGATTTTTCCATTTTTTGCTTGATAAAGATTGTGATTTTCGAGAAAAATTGTTTGTCAACTTTCTCGCCCGAGGGCAAGTGTGACAAGGCCTCGAGCCAACGAGAGAATATGCTCAGGCAAACAAACAACCAATCAAAAGATTCCAAGAGAAACTTTCACATTTTTTCGCCTCGACTCGCGAATCTCTGCAGGCAACTTGTGGGGCGGAGAAAAGACTCGCACAAGTTAGAGGCGGAGATTTCCAAGTCGATGGTGGTAAGCTTCGAAATTCAGCCTAAAATAACTGATCACGTGACGCTGGTTAATCTCACCTGGCATATGCATTTTCAAGGAAATAGAATGCTTATGTTAGTGAGGCTGCCCGGAATCATTAAAAATCGACGCTATGGGAATTGACTCTTCCGGTCTACTAATTTTTCTGCGAATAAAAATGACTCTTCCATCTGTCACTCTTCCATGTCTTCGTTTGCCGGCTTCCACGGAATTCTGAAAATGAAAATTCCCATTTTTGCTCCAATTTTTCTCAAGGATTCAATTCTCGCCCAACTTTGTCCGTAATTCTTCTCCTTTTTGATCAACTCCTTTCAATTTTTTCTAGAGATCAAGATCTGGGAGATCTCTGCGAGTCTAATTGCAAAGAAGATCTCCTCTCTTGCTTAGAGAACTGCTCAACAGCCGCTTGTCAAGAAGAATGTTATCTGACTGACGTTCTTTGCGAGACAAAATGTCCCTGTAACATCTACTGTCCAAACGGATGTGAAGGTTGCGAACACCCTCTTTGCAATCAGCCCAGTTGTTTTGAAGAAAACGAGCTTGAATACGCCAACTGTGTTGAATCAGTCAAGGATAAGCTTTCAACTTGCTACGATGACTGCACTAATGAGCTGGAAATTGACTGCTATTCTGCCTGTAATGACGAGAGTCTTGCAAACATTGAAAAGTGTCCGTGCATGAGCGGCTGCGACACCGGATGTCCTTGCGAAAACTATACCTGCTCCGGGACAAGCAGAAGACTTACACATCTCGGTGTGTCCTGGCAGTACCCAAATTACCCGCCGGTTTTTTATATGACGGATAATATGGGGCTGTCAATGGATACGGTTGAGTACGAATTTGTCGACAAGTATACTAATAGGCGCGGCTCGTTATATTTTGATCTATTCAGCGGTGGGCAAAATTATCAAAGTTGTTGCCCCCTATTTACCCTCTTGATGTCTTAGCTGGTTAAAAAGAGCCAGAAAAAAGCCTGATCTATGCAGATTTTGCTTTTCTACGCGGCGTTCTGTACATTTTCGGCGGCGATGATTACGAGTACAGCGTTCAAAAAATGAACGACGATTGCACCATCGAGAAGGTAGACATCCGTCCAAAATATGGCCATCGAAGTATCGCGGGCATCGAGACGTTTGATGACAAAATCTGGCTGTGCTTTTACGAGTACAAAAAGTGTCAGTATTTCGATGGAGAAACGTTCGAAATCGCTGATGGAAGGACTGCTGATGATCATAACTATGGATCGCTTTGTACGTACGAGAATAATCTCGTGGGAATAGGAGGTTTGGGAAGCAACAAAGTCAGTACCGAGCTCTACTTTGGCGACTAGGGTCTGCAAAAATACGTAGTTCTATGTTGATTTGCGAACATTTTGAAGACCCTAGCTTAGCGGAGCTTGGCTGAAACCAGCTGGTACTGATCACCCAGTCGGCCATGCGAAGGGAGAATGCTTGACTTTGGAAGATGGAGTCTTGACAATGGCAGGAGAAGAAGGGAAGGAGATCTACCTCCTACGGGATCTCAAATGGTCGAATGTCGGAAGACTTCTTACTGTAAGTTTCACTGTCTAGAACTGACGAATAGCGAGAGTTAAGGCTGTAACTGTCCCAACATTGGTGAGACTCGACGATGAGCTGATTCTTTTCGCCGGTTCCTTCACTCAAGATGTTCAAAAAATGATCTGGAATGGAGAAACAATTGAAGATGTCGAAATTATCTTCGAGCAACCAGAAGAGAAAATCTTTACTCCAATAGTTTTCGAGAGTTTTTCGAATAAATGCAAAGCTTGAATTTTAAGCCTTAAAATTAACTAAACATATTTTACTGAAATAAATCGTTTGGGAACAGAGGGAAGAAATTGTGAGCAACAGTCTATTTTATGTTCATTTGATTTCTGTAGTTCGATCGAATTCGATTTCGGAGAGAGGATCTGTCGCGATTTTTACGGTTCCGTCGGCTGGAAAGGAGTCGCGCGTTTTTGTTACCAAAGTAACCCATTTCGGTGATTCTCCATTTCCGCATTTGAGAGTTTATATTGCTTCGGAGGTGGTGCATCGCATTGTTGAGATATCGCTGGTAGCTTATTCCATCCGAGGCGACAAAAGAGACGACAAGAGCGTGAAAAAAAGATCGAAGTTGCATATTTATTTTTTGCTTTTGCTTTTGTTGCTCTCTATATTTCGCTAAAAATACTTGCAATGTCTAAAAAGTTTCTTTGCAAAGGCATTTTAAATTACTGGCAAATATTGAATTTCTACTGAAAACAAGTGGTCCCAGCGGGAGATCCACGAATTCATCGACTGTCATCAGCAACATCGTCTCTGGGAGGGGGTCTGGATTTCGGTCGAAATTAAATTCCTTCGCTCTAGGTCAAGGCCGCTTCGAAAATTCAAACAAGGAAGTCGCTCTGCTTCGGCTTCCTGACCCAATTCATAGTCGCTTGCGAACAGGGATGTACATTCGCAGTGGGGAAATCGCAGAAATCTTCGCAGTGCGACCTGCGAACTGCGGAATTTCGCACTTCGCAGCGCAGTCAGAGCACATGTATGCACATCGCACCGCAGTCCGCAGTTTTAGCAGAATTTTCGAAAACTGCGATTTTTCCACAGTCATTTTCCGCAGTTATTGATTAATCTCGCAGTTCGCAGACTGCGGATTCTGCGGTTATTTTCGAGCAATTTTTTCAAGTTTTTCTCTTGTGAATTAATGGAAATACACGAAAAATAGGGCGTAGTAAGAGTGGACTCCGTTTGTCCAAGTCGCCGCTCGCCCAACTTGATCAAACTTTAAATCAAAAAAGAAGGGCCCGAAGGGCCGTCAAGCCCCTTAAACTTAAAAATCATGGAACGGGGCTGAGACGGCCCGAAGGGCCGTCAAGCCCCTTAAACTTAAAAATCATGGAACGGGGCTGAGACGGCCCGAAGGGCCGTCAAGCCCCTTAAACTTAAAAATCATGGAACGGGGCTGAGACGGCCCGAAGGGCCGTCAAGCCCCTTAAACTTAAAAATCATGGAACGGGGCTGAGACGGCCCGAAGGGCCGTCAAGCCCCTTAAACTTAAAAATCATGGAACGGGGCTGAGACGGCCCGAAGGGCCGTCAAGCCCCTTAAACTTAAAAATCATGGAACGGGGCTGAGACGGCCCGAAGGGCCGTCAAGCCCCTTAAACTTAAAAATCATGGAACGGGGCTGAGACGGCCCGAAGGGCCGTCAAGCCCCTTAAACTTAAAAATCATGGAACGGGGCTGAGACGGCCCGAAGGGCCGTCAAGCCCCTTAAACTTAAAAATCATGGAACGGGGCTGAGACGGCCCGAAGGGCCGTCAAGCCCCTTAAACTTAAAAATCATGGAACGGGGCTGGGACGGCCCGAAGGGCCGTCAAGCCCTTAAACTTAAAAATCATGGAATTCATTACTGCATCATTAATAATGATAGAAATTAAAATTTTCCACAATGCTCCTGGGAAAATTTAGACGAATCCCTAACTTTAAGCCAGGAAAACGTATGACAAAAATATTGTCCCTAGAATTCTTTACCTATTTCTGGGGCATTTCGCAAGTGATAAATAAATAATAAGCTCATTTGAGCTTAGATGAGCATGCTTCATATTCACGCTCCAGGGTCAAAGTTTGAGCTCTGAGCATGCAGCATACTCATGCTCAGCGTTTTGCAGACTCTTCTATGAGACGATGTCTACATTATCTCATATTTCGACGACCTTTATCCGCCGCAATTTCGCAACACATAAAACTTCTGTTGAATCGGAATTTAAATGAAAATGATTTTTTACCAAGATTATTTTGTCTTTAAAAATTTATTAGGCTTGGCATTTGCCAGCAGGAATTTCAACAAAAGTAGCGTAGTAGAGTTCCATGTAACAGTTGTTATTGTCGGGAAGAATTATTTCGGAGTCAATCATTCCGTTTTCGTCTAACGTCGCTTTTTCCAAGGCGCAGTAACCGGCGTACCAAGACGAGTTGAATTGGGTGACAGAATTGAAATAGTTCGAGCGCTGGATAAGACTGCCCATTTCAGTCCAGATTCCTGCGGAAACGTTGTATTTATAAGCTCCTGGGATGGTGCTTGTATCTCCTCCGATGGTTCGGCCAGCCATGACATAGACAAACTGGTCGTCGGCAGTCATCATTTGACCGCGAAGGGGAGAGATTGGGAAGTCGGTCCCGTAGGTCCAGCTATCAGAGCCCACCTCAAGAATTTCGCTTTTACTGTGACATCTTATATGGGGATCAAAATTAATACTTCATTTTTAATTTTTATCAAAGATTTTTGATCCGTAACCAGCGTAAGTCGGTTCCAAGCAGCCGCCAACTGTAAAGAGCGATCCTCTGAAAGTGATCATTTCTGACCAATCGTGGCTCTCATTCGCAGTCGGCAGTTGAGATTGCCTCATTCCTGGCTCCCAAGAATGGCAAGTCTTGGAGTCTTCATTTTCAACTGCGAAACAAAGAGCAACTTGCTGGTTGAAAACGCTGCAAGAGCCGAAGACGCCGTCTTGGTGGCCAACTGAGAGGCGATCGTCCTTTTTGAAGTTTGGAAAAAATAATTTATTTAATCATTTAATGATTCTCATAAAAATTGAGCTTTCAAAACTTTCCAATATTTCGATTTCACATCCATTTCCACCAATTTTCGCCACTTGTCTTGTCCTTTGATATCCCCCAAGGAAGTAGCTCTCACCTCTGAAAATAACAGAACAGGCATCCTCAATATCTGATAATCCGTAGTCAAAGACAATTTCGGACACACTGTCATCTAGTGTATTTATCGCCAGCGCCTGGTCTCGGAAATGCTGCTTATGATTGAGGACCAGAATGCTCGTGTAGGAGCAGAACTTGTTTGCTCCACAAGCATCGTTGGTAGAACACCCCTGAGGGCAGTTTGCGCCGCAAGGACAGGCAGATTGGCAGTCAAGAAACTCAGCTTGACAGCGAGTTACGCATCTGGAATCAATCATTTTACACGTAAAAAAGAAGATCTTACGAGAAATCGCCGTTATCGCAAGCATCCTTGCAGTTGTAAAAATCTCCGTCACAACTCGACTGGCATCTCTGACCCAATGTAAAATCCTCACATCTCTGAGCAGAGGAATAAGAAAGCAAAATTGATACAGAAAGCTTCATTTTTTCAGATTGACCTAAATATGCATGATTTTTTTCTTTCAGAGCCAACAGCTTGTTTTTTCTCAAGTATTAATATTCGAAAACAGGTCAAATTTTTCTAAAATTTATTAAGCCTGGCATTTCCCAGCAGGAATTTCTACAAAAGTGGCATAGTACAGTTCCATGTAACAGTTGTTATTGTCAGGAAGAATGATTTCAGAGTCGATCATTCCGTTTTCGTCTAACGTCGCCTTTTCCAAGGCGCAATAGCCAGCGTACCAGGACGAATTAAATTGAGTGACTGAATTGAGCCAGCTTGAGCGTTGAATAAGACTGCCGATTTCGCTCCAGATTCCAGATGAAACGTCGTATTTGTACGCGCTTGGGATGAGAGCGGCACCTCCTCCAATTGTCTTCCCAGCGAGGACGTAAACGAATTGGTCGTCAGCAGTCATCATGTGCCCGCGAAGAGGAGAGATGGGGAAGTCAGTACCATTTGTCCATTTCTTTGATCCAACGTCAAGAATCTCGCTTTTACCGTGGCATCTTATTTCGGGATCAGAAATGGTTTCCTCTTGGTTGAAAAACCATGAATATTTCTGATCCCCGGCCATAGGAAATATCTTCGGAGCAGCCTCCAACCGTAAAAAGAGATCCTCTGAAATTGACCATTTCCGCCCAGTCATGACTTTCATTAGCAGTTGGGAGTTGAGTCTGCCTCATTCCAGGTTCCCAAGCAAAGCAAGTCTTGGACTCTTCGTTTTCAACGGCGAAGCAGAGAGCGACTTGGTCATCAAAAACACTGCAAGAGCCGAAAACGCCGTCTTGATGGTCAACTGAGAGACGGTCATCCAACCAGGTTAGTTGGAGACCAGGTTACTCTGTTCCGCCCGGTCGCCAAAGCAGCAAAGTCCAAAGGATACGACTGGATTGGACCGTTCGAAGTCGTTACTGCATCTGAACATGTTGTCAAAATCAAGGATCAGAAGCAGAATTACGACTGGGTTCACCGCGCGCACTTGCGTTACGTACCTGACAGACTGGCTCATCTTCGAAATTCCGAGTTGCAGCGTGAGCTCGAAATACTAGAATCTTCTGGCTCCGACTCGCTCAACTCTGATGAAAATCGTCCAGAAAATGCAGCTGGAACTTATTCGGAAGGTCACGATTTACTTCCAAAACTTGGGAGGCCGACTGAGAAAAATGTAAGTTCCGGAAGCAAAAAGCGGAAAGCTGGACCTACCTCAACGCAAACTCGACCGAAACGACCTCGCTCCGCAACTTTGGATCCTCCAGCTTCGTCGAATTCTTCTCGCCGAGCTTCACAAACTTCTCTTGATCTTTCTGGAACTACTTCGGGACCGATTCCGGCGCTTGTCGAACATTTCTCTAAATTAGAAGCAAGTAGACAGCGAAAATCTAGCAGGAATCGCAAAAAGACAAGCAGAATTGAAGTTGATCCGAAGAAAAAGTCGTATTAGCTCTACTCGTCTCTGATCGGCTGAGCGCGCCGTCACTGACTCATCAAAATCGTCGGGCAAAAGTCTGCGCTCTCCGAGTTCTCTGCATCTGGCTGCGCTGTGATTCGCTCTTTCGCGCGCCGCTGACTCATCGCCGGCTGCTCCGTTCCTACTCTCATCTGCTGCTACTCCTCTGCTACTCATCACCTCTACACTTCTTCCTTCTTTTCTAGAGTCTCCAATCGTCAGAAGACTTGAAGACTGGGGGAGCTGTTAGGTCAGCAAGAAGCCGTTATGATCTGATAAGGATCGAGGCGCCGCCGCTGTTTTTGCACTGCACTCAGTTCTATCTAACTCAACTTGAAATACACACCTATTTCCAGTTATACTCGAAGATTATTCTAGAGAGCCGCAGGATCTATTAGAGAAGCAACGATACTTAGTGTAGTGGGAATCAGGAGCTATTCCTGACCTATCACATTGTTTATTCAGTATCACGAGTATTCAAAATATCTGCCGCCACGTGACCTATTTTTGTACATTTTAAACAGCACGATGCCAGCAACAAAAGTCAGCCCTAGAATGCATCCAACAATCCAAGTGAATAAAAGGTCTTCTTTATGCTTTTTTAGGGCGCTCGCGACTTTTTGAAAAATATCAATTGTTCCATTTGTGAGATTTTTTCGTATTTCCGTCAATCGGCTTGTTGAAATTTGTGATTGATTGAAGGAAGAGTCCAAGACGCAGGAATTTCCAACAGAGAGGTAGCCGAACTCGCAGGCACATTTCGGCAAGTCCGAGTTTTTCTAGAGCTTACTGTTACCCTGCGTTTATGAACTTGCTTTACTTGATTGAAACAAAGTTGATCACAAGGATTTTCTCCAAAACAAGCATCACGAAAATGTACTTCTTCAAGCTCATTGTCGTCATCATCGAAATTATCTTCTTCGAAATAATCAAAGCATTCAAATTGAGCTTTTTTGACGAAGAAAATCTTCTCGAGGAGCTCTTCAAAATCATCGACGTGGATTATGTAGTCGATCGTTCTCTCTATTTCGTGATGAGAAAGGTTCAAATCAAAGTCACCTAAAAACCGGTCATTTTTTGACGAATAAAAATGAGTTCATTACCAACAGCTAGGATGAAAATTTCGACTCCGATTGATTTTGCAATTTTTAATTCTTCAACTGCCAGTTTCGGTTCTGTAAATTCGCCGTCTGTAATAATGACGATTGCCTTCTTTGAGTTCTGATTTTTCTCGTCACGTGGGCAGCTTGAAAACTCAGTCATTGCTTTTCGAAGGCCAAAGTGAACATTCGTCTGGTCTTCAAAAGTATGCTCCAGTCTTTCCGAAAATTGTTAGTTTTCTACAATAGAAAAAAAGTTACCGAAAAAGGTTTTCTTTGATTTTAGAGTAGGACTGTTCTTCATTCAGACGATGGGAAATGAAAGCAGATGATCCGTAGCGAATGAGAGAGATTCTAGTGTTGAAATCATCGATAGGGAAAAGAACGGAACTCATTTTCTCAATGCTATCTTTTGCAGATTCCAGCTCTTCTCGGAAATCGAACGGCTAAAATTTAATCAGGGAATCTTTCAATCTTCCTCTTTTACCTTGAATCGAGTAAAAAGACCAGATCAAGCGGTCTGGACTCGCATAAAAGTGGCTTCTTTTTCGAGACTTCTTCGATTTCATCCTCGTTTTCTCCACTAAAAATCTGCACGTGATCGAGGTCAACTTGATCTTCTGGAATTTTCAACGTCTCTTTTTGATCATTACTTTCGACAATCACTGTAAATGTCGATGTATAGTGATGCTCTGTAAAAAGCGTTATGTATTTTTGGAAACCGCTTTCTGATTTGACTACTGAAAAGAGGGTTGAAAGAAAAAGAACTTTCATTTTGTGAATTTTCCACGACGAGGTGGATTCGAATTGAAAAGGGAGGAGTGAGTCAATGAGCAAATATGACAATCATTCAAAAAAGGATGAATCCTCTTTTTTGTCAATAAATTCAAGTTTAAAATGAACAATGGAATAAAATAAAGTTTATGGTAAAAAATTTTCTGCCCACTTTTTGTTCAGTAGATTCCCAAGGCTTTCAAAGACCCGTGGCAAAAAGCAGTATTCGTTGGTGTTGTTGAAGAGCTCTCAAAGTTGGAAGTGCGCTTTGTAAGTCGCCCGGTAAAGTGGCAATTTTCGTCGATTTAGTTGCTGCAATCGACTATTTGATCGAGAGGCCCAACAATGGGAATCGAGAAAGATATCCGGAAAAAGATCCGTTCTCCCAGGCATATAAATACAACCTCCTTTCCAAAATGATATTCAGTGAAATAACCGTCCGATTTTTCCATTTTTTGCTTGATAAAGATTGTGATTTTCGAGAAAAATTGTTTGTCAACTTTCTCGCCCGAGGGCAAGTGTGACAAGGCCTCGAGCCAACGAGAGAATATGCTCAGGCAAACAAACAACCAATCAAAAGATTCCAAGAGAAACTTTCACATTTTTTCGCCTCGACTCGCGAATCTCTGCAGGCAACTTGTGGGGCGGAGAAAAGACTCGCACAAGTTAGAGGCGGAGATTTCCAAGTCGATGGTGGTAAGCTTCGAAATTCAGCCTAAAATAACTGATCACGTGACGCTGGTTAATCTCACCTGGCATATGCATTTTCAAGGAAATAGAATGCTTATGTTAGTGAGGCTGCCCGGAATCATTAAAAATCGACGCTATGGGAATTGACTCTTCCGGTCTACTAATTTTTCTGCGAATAAAAATGACTCTTCCATCTGTCACTCTTCCATGTCTTCGTTTGCCGGCTTCCACGGAATTCTGAAAATGAAAATTCCCATTTTTGCTCCAATTTTTCTCAAGGATTCAATTCTCGCCCAACTTTGTCCGTAATTCTTCTCCTTTTTGATCAACTCCTTTCAATTTTTTCTAGAGATCAAGATCTGGGAGATCTCTGCGAGTCTAATTGCAAAGAAGATCTCCTCTCTTGCTTAGAGAACTGCTCAACAGCCGCTTGTCAAGAAGAATGTTATCTGACTGACGTTCTTTGCGAGACAAAATGTCCCTGTAACATCTACTGTCCAAACGGATGTGAAGGTTGCGAACACCCTCTTTGCAATCAGCCCAGTTGTTTTGAAGAAAACGAGCTTGAATACGCCAACTGTGTTGAATCAGTCAAGGATAAGCTTTCAACTTGCTACGATGACTGCACTAATGAGCTGGAAATTGACTGCTATTCTGCCTGTAATGACGAGAGTCTTGCAAACATTGAAAAGTGTCCGTGCATGAGCGGCTGCGACACCGGATGTCCTTGCGAAAACTATACCTGCTCCGGGACAAGCAGAAGACTTACACATCTCGGTGTGTCCTGGCAGTACCCAAATTACCCGCCGGTTTTTTATATGACGGATAATATGGGGCTGTCAATGGATACGGTTGAGTACGAATTTGTCGACAAGTATACTAATAGGCGCGGCTCGTTATATTTTGATCTATTCAGCGGTGGGCAAAATTATCAAAGTTGTTGCCCCCTATTTACCCTCTTGATGTCTTAGCTGGTTAAAAAGAGCCAGAAAAAAGCCTGATCTATGCAGATTTTGCTTTTCTACGCGGCGTTCTGTACATTTTCGGCGGCGATGATTACGAGTACAGCGTTCAAAAAATGAACGACGATTGCACCATCGAGAAGGTAGACATCCGTCCAAAATATGGCCATCGAAGTATCGCGGGCATCGAGACGTTTGATGACAAAATCTGGCTGTGCTTTTACGAGTACAAAAAGTGTCAGTATTTCGATGGAGAAACGTTCGAAATCGCTGATGGAAGGACTGCTGATGATCATAACTATGGATCGCTTTGTACGTACGAGAATAATCTCGTGGGAATAGGAGGTTTGGGAAGCAACAAAGTCAGTACCGAGCTCTACTTTGGCGACTAGGGTCTGCAAAAATACGTAGTTCTATGTTGATTTGCGAACATTTTGAAGACCCTAGCTTAGCGGAGCTTGGCTGAAACCAGCTGGTACTGATCACCCAGTCGGCCATGCGAAGGGAGAATGCTTGACTTTGGAAGATGGAGTCTTGACAATGGCAGGAGAAGAAGGGAAGGAGATCTACCTCCTACGGGATCTCAAATGGTCGAATGTCGGAAGACTTCTTACTGTAAGTTTCACTGTCTAGAACTGACGAATAGCGAGAGTTAAGGCTGTAACTGTCCCAACATTGGTGAGACTCGACGATGAGCTGATTCTTTTCGCCGGTTCCTTCACTCAAGATGTTCAAAAAATGATCTGGAATGGAGAAACAATTGAAGATGTCGAAATTATCTTCGAGCAACCAGAAGAGAAAATCTTTACTCCAATAGTTTTCGAGAGTTTTTCGAATAAATGCAAAGCTTGAATTTTAAGCCTTAAAATTAACTAAACATATTTTACTGAAATAAATCGTTTGGGAACAGAGGGAAGAAATTGTGAGCAACAGTCTATTTTATGTTCATTTGATTTCTGTAGTTCGATCGAATTCGATTTCGGAGAGAGGATCTGTCGCGATTTTTACGGTTCCGTCGGCTGGAAAGGAGTCGCGCGTTTTTGTTACCAAAGTAACCCATTTCGGTGATTCTCCATTTCCGCATTTGAGAGTTTATATTGCTTCGGAGGTGGTGCATCGCATTGTTGAGATATCGCTGGTAGCTTATTCCATCCGAGGCGACAAAAGAGACGACAAGAGCGTGAAAAAAAGATCGAAGTTGCATATTTATTTTTTGCTTTTGCTTTTGTTGCTCTCTATATTTCGCTAAAAATACTTGCAATGTCTAAAAAAGTTTCTTTGCAAAGGCATTTTAAATTACTGGCAAATATTGAATTTCTACTGAAAACAAGTGGTCCCAGCGGGAGATCCACGAATTCATCGACTGTCATCAGCAACATCGTCTCTGGGAGGGGGTCTGGATTTCGGTCGAAATTAAATTCCTTCGCTCTAGGTCAAGGCCGCTTCGAAAATTCAAACAAGGAAGTCGCTCTGCTTCGGCTTCCTGACCCAATTCATAGTCGCTTGCGAACAGGGATGTACATTCGCAGTGGGGAAATCGCAGAAATCTTCGCAGTGCGACCTGCGAACTGCGGAATTTCGCACTTCGCAGCGCAGTCAGAGCACATGTATGCACATCGCACCGCAGTCCGCAGTTTTAGCAGAATTTTCGAAAACTGCGATTTTTCCACAGTCATTTTCCGCAGTTATTGATTAATCTCGCAGTTCGCAGACTGCGGATTCTGCGGTTATTTTCGAGCAATTTTTTCAAGTTTTTCTCTTGTGAATTAATGGAAATACACGAAAAATAGGGCGTAGTAAGAGTGGACTCCGTTTGTCCAAGTCGCCGCTCGCCCAACTTGATCAAACTTTAAATCAAAAAAGAAGGGCCCGAAGGGCCGTCAAGCCCCTTAAACTTAAAAATCATGGAACGGGGCTGAGACGGCCCGAAGGGCCGTCAAGCCCTTAAACTTAAAAATCATGGAACGGGGCTGAGACGGCCCGAAGGGCCGTCAAGCCCTTAAACTTAAAAATCATGGAACGGGGCTGAGACGGCCCGAAGGGCCGTCAAGCCCCTTAAACTTAAAAATCATGGAACGGGGCTGAGACGGCCCGAAGGGCCGTCAAGCCCCTTAAACTTAAAATCATGGAACGGGGCTGAGACGGCCCGAAGGGCCGTCAAGCCCTTAAACTTAAAAATCATGGAACGGGGCTGAGACGGCCCGAAGGGCCGTCAAGCCCCTTAAACTTAAAAATCATGGAACGGGGCTGAGACGGCCCGAAGGGCCGTCAAGCCCCTTAAACTTAAAAATCATGGAACGGGGCTGAGACGGCCCGAAGGGCCGTCAAGCCCTTAAACTTAAAATCATGGAACGGGGCTGAGACGGCCCGAAGGGCCGTCAAGCCCTTAAACTTAAAAATCATGGAACGGGGCTGAGACGGCCCGAAGGGCCGTCAAGCCCCTTAAACTTAAAAATCATGGAACGGGGCTGGGACGGCCCGAAGGGCCGTCAAGCCCCTTAAACTTAAAAATCATGGAATTCATTACTGCATCATTAATAATGATAGAAATTAAAATTTTCCACAATGCTCCTGGGAAAATTTAGACGAATCCCTAACTTTAAGCCAGGAAAACGTATGACAAAAATATTGTCCCTAGAATTCTTTACCTATTTCTGGGGCATTTCGCAAGTGATAAATAAATAATAAGCTCATTTGAGCTTAGATGAGCATGCTTCATATTCACGCTCCAGGGTCAAAGTTTGAGCTCTGAGCATGCAGCATACTCATGCTCAGCGTTTTGCAGACTCTTCTATGAGACGATGTCTACATTATCTCATATTTCGACGACCTTTATCCGCCGCAATTTCGCAACACATAAAACTTCTGTTGAATCGGAATTTAAATGAAAATGATTTTTACCAAGATTATTTTGTCTTTAAAATTTATTAGGCTTGGCATTTGCCAGCAGGAATTTCAACAAAAGTAGCGTAGTAGAGTTCCATGTAACAGTTGTTATTGTCGGGAAGAATTATTTCGGAGTCAATCATTCCGTTTTCGTCTAACGTCGCTTTTTCCAAGGCGCAGTAACCGGCGTACCAAGACGAGTTGAATTGGGTGACAGAATTGAAATAGTTCGAGCGCTGGATAAGACTGCCCATTTCAGTCCAGATTCCTGCGGAAACGTTGTATTTATAAGCTCCTGGGATGGTGCTTGTATCTCCTCCGATGGTTCGGCCAGCCATGACATAGACAAACTGGTCGTCGGCAGTCATCATTTGACCGCGAAGGGGAGAGATTGGGAAGTCGGTCCCGTAGGTCCAGCTATCAGAGCCCACCTCAAGAATTTCGCTTTTACTGTGACATCTTATATGGGGATCAAAATTAATACTTCATTTTTAATTTTTATCAAAGATTTTTGATCCGTAACCAGCGTAAGTCGGTTCCAAGCAGCCGCCAACTGTAAAGAGCGATCCTCTGAAAGTGATCATTTCTGACCAATCGTGGCTCTCATTCGCAGTCGGCAGTTGAGATTGCCTCATTCCTGGCTCCCAAGAATGGCAAGTCTTGGAGTCTTCATTTTCAACTGCGAAACAAAGAGCAACTTGCTGGTTGAAAACGCTGCAAGAGCCGAAGACGCCGTCTTGGTGGCCAACTGAGAGGCGATCGTCCTTTTGAAGTTTGGAAAAATAATTTATTTAATCATTTAATGATTCTCATAAAAATTGAGCTTTCAAAACTTTCCAATATTTCGATTTCACATCCATTTCCACCAATTTTCGCCACTTGTCTTGTCCTTTGATATCCCCCAAGGAAGTAGCTCTCACCTCTGAAAATAACAGAACAGGCATCCTCAATATCTGATAATCCGTAGTCAAAGACAATTTCGGACACACTGTCATCTAGTGTATTTATCGCCAGCGCCTGGTCTCGGAAATGCTGCTTATGATTGAGGACCAGAATGCTCGTGTAGGAGCAGAACTTGTTTGCTCCACAAGCATCGTTGGTAGAACACCCCTGAGGGCAGTTTGCGCCGCAAGGACAGGCAGATTGGCAGTCAAGAAACTCAGCTTGACAGCGAGTTACGCATCTGGAATCAATCATTTTACACGTAAAAAAGAAGATCTTACGAGAAATCGCCGTTATCGCAAGCATCCTTGCAGTTGTAAAAATCTCCGTCACAACTCGACTGGCATCTCTGACCCAATGTAAAATCCTCACATCTCTGAGCAGAGGAATAAGAAAGCAAAATTGATACAGAAAGCTTCATTTTTTCAGATTGACCTAAATATGCATGATTTTTTCTTTCAGAGCCAACAGCTTGTTTTTCTCAAGTATTAATATTCGAAAACAGGTCAAATTTTTCTAAAATTTATTAAGCCTGGCATTTCCCAGCAGGAATTTCTACAAAAGTGGCATAGTACAGTTCCATGTAACAGTTGTTATTGTCAGGAAGAATGATTTCAGAGTCGATCATTCCGTTTTCGTCTAACGTCGCCTTTTCCAAGGCGCAATAGCCAGCGTACCAGGACGAATTAAATTGAGTGACTGAATTGAGCCAGCTTGAGCGTTGAATAAGACTGCCGATTTCGCTCCAGATTCCAGATGAAACGTCGTATTTGTACGCGCTTGGGATGAGAGCGGCACCTCCTCCAATTGTCTTCCCAGCGAGGACGTAAACGAATTGGTCGTCAGCAGTCATCATGTGCCCGCGAAGAGGAGAGATGGGGAAGTCAGTACCATTTGTCCATTTCTTTGATCCAACGTCAAGAATCTCGCTTTTACCGTGGCATCTTATTTCGGGATCAGAAATGGTTTCCTCTTGGTTGAAAAACCATGAATATTTCTGATCCCCGGCCATAGGAAATATCTTCGGAGCAGCCTCCAACCGTAAAAAGAGATCCTCTGAAATTGACCATTTCCGCCCAGTCATGACTTTCATTAGCAGTTGGGAGTTGAGTCTGCCTCATTCCAGGTTCCCAAGCAAAGCAAGTCTTGGACTCTTCGTTTTCAACGGCGAAGCAGAGAGCGACTTGGTCATCAAAAACACTGCAAGAGCCGAAAACGCCGTCTTGATGGTCAACTGAGAGACGGTCATCCAATACTTCGACTTCGCATCCCTCTCCTCCAATTTTCGCAACTTGGCGCGTTCTCTGATAGCCTCCAAGAAAGTAGCTTTCTCCTCGGAAAATCACGGAGCATGCATCTTCAAGATCTAAAATATTCATTTCACATACTTCTTCATCGATCGTTCTTCAAATACTTGCCGAGAAATTTGTAGTCAAAGACAACTTCGGAAACACTATCATCAAGTGTATTGATAGCCAAAGCCTGGTCGCGGAAATGTTGCTTTGGATTGAGAACCATAATGCTCGTGTAGGAGCAGAACTTGTTCCCCCCGCAGGTTTCGCTGGTAGAACATCCCTGAGGGCAGTTCGCGCCACAGGGACAGGCAGATTGGCAGTCAAGTGATTCAGCTTCGCAGCGAGTTACGCATCTAGAAGTTTTGATTTGGAAGAAAGATACTGAGAGCTTACGTGAAATCGCCGTTATCACATGAATCCTGGCATCTGTAAAAATCTCCATTGCAAGCGGACTGACATCTCTGGCCTAAAGTGAAATCATCACAGCTCTGAGCAGAGGAAGAAGCGAGCAAAAACGATACTGAGAGCCTCATTTTTCGAGTCGAACTGGAATGAAAGGCAGGCCTCGCTTTTTATGAAGAACAGCTTGATTTTTCTCAAGAATTTTAAAGAAAGAGGCCTCAAACATCGAAAACAGATCTAAAATCAGCTTCAAAATGGCTTTTTAAATTTTGAAAACGAAAATTGCGATAACCAAACACGTTGTTTAGCCGCAAAGCTATCAGATATTTACAAATAAGGTCTTTCTATTACCTCGTTTAAGAGCCAATCCAGATGGCGCTCCTCAGCAAAAATGATAATATTTTCATGACAACTCATGATTTCGTTTGATTCTCCAAAATGCGGAAATTACTGCTATCCTTATTTCTTTTTAATCAGAGAGAAGTGAGAGCTGGAGATTACGAAGCAGCGCACTATCAGAATCCGTATTTGTACGATGATGAGTTTAGTATTGAAGATTTGTATGATGATGTCCCAGATTTGAGAGAATTCCCGAAAAACACGAAGATTAATTGTCACGAGGTAATACATTTTATGATTTGTTTTTTCTTGAGATAATTTGGTCAAAATGGGATATTTTTTATGAGACTTGAAATGACGAGTCAAATATCATCTTTCCTTTTAGGACAAGAAAAGCAATTTTGAACCCGATCCTTATGCATTTGTGGCGCTGATCACAAACGGTCCCGAGTCCTGCAATGGCTATTTTCTTGAAAATGATTTGGTCTGGACGAATACTTTTTGCTGCACTGGACTTGGCAGCGATGAGGGCAATGCGATGTATGTGAGGACGGAATTTCAGACGATTGCGGTGAAATTGTCCTTGAACAACAAAGAGGAGAATTTTTGTATTTTGAAGCTGGAGAAGTCTGATTTTAAACCGCAACTTCCTTGTCGTACTCAAAGAATCGGATTTCGAGATAACTCATACTTACTTCGACCATCTTTAGAAATTTGCATTCGATCAACTAATGTTTGATCTTCAAAATCCGAAAAAAGTGTTACCCAAATTCCTCAACTCTCGAATTCCGGACCGAACTGCTACGTTGGTGGTTGGTACTGGGACGATTGGACGGAAGATTGGGCGCTGGCAAAAGCTCCCGTTCAGCAAGTCTTTTCAAAAGAATGCTCTTATGGTCTCTCGACATTCATCGATGAACAAGAAATCTGCGTTATCGGAGTCGGATTTTTGCCCAAACCAGACAGCACGATCTGCAATTTATTTACAGGAATGCCTCTTGTATGCATTACTCCAACACTGAACCAGCTCAGTTTTGTTGGCGTTGCTTCTTATCCAGTTGGCTGCGCTGTGCCAGGACAAGACATCGGAATCTGGGAAATCGCAACAGAAGAACTCCTCGCAAGGGCCGAGCAAGAATTTATGAGTTACCGAAGACAGATGTTTTTTCAAAAGAAAAACGCGAAAAAAGGATTAACAACGACGACGGAAATTCCAACAACCACTGAACAGCAAACAACAACTACTACTTCTACTACCAATACTACAACTACAACCACAACCACAACAACAACCACGACTAACACAACAACCACGACAACAACAACGACGACAACAACGACCACGACCACGACTACATCTCGTCGACAAATTAAACAAGTTCTTTCAAGAATATCTAGGCCCATCTCGACTAGATATTCGTCTGCTAGATGATTTTCAAAAAATTTTTTCAGGCCAAAAAATCACTTTTTAACTGTTAGTGCCATCTTCTCCGCCGTAAAAATTCGAGTCGACTCATATAGGTTTGGGTCGGTAATTCTAGAGTTTTAGGTACTTCCGGTCGATTTAAAAAAAAAACGGAATTCCGCTGCCGTTTTTGATACAGTAATGCAATATAGGCATGCTATATATCAAAATGATCCTCATGAAACGAGGAATGTAGGGGTACCAAAAAAAACCTTACTATAGTAAAGTACCAAAAAAATTTTTTTTTTTTTCATTTTTTCAATTTTGTATCATGATTTAATCATGATGATTTTAAAAAATTTGTTGGTACAAATACTGTATTGGTCAGATTTACAGCCAATCAGAAAGCCTGATCAATTTTGAGTCGATTCGACAAAATCGTATTCGTTATTTTCTAGAGAATGACGTCAAAAATGACGTCAGATGGTTTCAAAGAGCTGAAACTTTTACGTTTTAACGGTTAAGGACCCCCCCCCCATCAAGAATCGTGAAAATTTGGTTCAGTGAACATTTTTCTCAAAAACTATCTGAGGTAAACCCTTACTTTCAATTGCTACTTTTAGATCAAGCCCTTGCCTGCAACCTTTTCCCTTCTTATTATCTCTCGATATCAAACTTAAGGTTATACAGGCCCTTAAAAGTAAGGTTGCTTAGTGCAGGTTTTTTTGGGTTTTTAGTTGGGGTATTCCCTTAATTTTTTAATTTTTCAGCATAAAGTTAAGGCCATAAGCAACGACCGTTCCCTTTTTAAGAGTTTATTGTCCACAGACTTAAGGAGGACGGCTCCTTAAATATTTTGTCAGCCGAATTTCCGAACTTCCGAAAGTTTCCGAAATCTCAAATTTTGAGAGCTGAAATTTAAACATCTTATTTCCTACATATTTGAAAATAGAGAGTGTATTTTGATGTACTCAGATTAAAATGTCGAAATTGAGTAAGAAAAACCGTCTTACAGCGAATTCTTGCATTCGAAAGAAAAACAAATGCAATATTATGAATCTATTCCCTTGAATTAGTAGGTTTCATTTTTTGAATTATCAATTTCGCTTCAATAGAAGACTTTTAATATTCGTGGATGGACCCCAGAGCGGGCCGCGCCGTTCCGTGAAAAACCCTATGCATAATGTTATGCAAACTATATAAAATTCAAGCAGGAACGCTGTGAGAATTAACCAAAATGAAAAACTTTAAAATGAAAAAAAAATTTTTTTGGTACTTTTCTTAACTTAAGTACCTTTTTTTGGTACCCCTACATTCCTTGTTTCATGAGGATCATTTTGATATATTACATGCCTTTACAGCATAACTGTATCAAAAACGGCAGCGGAATTACGTTTTTTTTTTAAATCGACCGGAAGTACCTAAAACTCTAGAATTACCGACCCGAACCTATATGAGTCGACTCGAATTTTTACGGCGGAGAAGATGGCATTAACAGTTAAAAAGTGATTTTTTGGCCTGAAAAAATTTTTCGAAAATCATCCTAGACCATCATCGGCATCTTCAAGTGCTAGAAAAATCCCTGTTTTATCATCAAGAAAACCGATTGACAAGAAAAAAATGAAAGACAAGGAGCATAAAAATCCTTTTGCTTCTAAAAAAGAAAAAGCCGAAGAACCGGAAATTTTGATGGTGCACGATTTTGTCATTACAACAACAGAAACTCCAGAATCAATCACAGAAGAGCCTGAAATCCCTGAAATCAAGGAAGAAAGCCAGCAAGAGGCTCGAAACTCTCGAAATTCTTCTTTTTGGAAATTCGAGCAGCCAGAAAGCTGCTCTAAGTTCCTGAAAAAGTCCGAAAACACCTGCCCCGATTTCACTGAATGCATTGAAAATACCATCCCAAATTTGAAAGTTCAATCGAAAAAGAGCAAAAATGGAAAATACAGCGGACCTAATGAAAGAAAAACGATCTATGAGGTCGGATGCGAAGATGGCCACATTCCAGGAACAAGGTCAGATGTTTATCTTCCCCTCAATCTACTTTTACTTCAGAAATACTGATGATGTTTCAATCCAGTGCAAATGCAACGACGAAAATGGTTGTTTCTGGGAGCCCTCCGTTATCAATTTTCAATGCTTTCCTTATGGAATGGTACTCCCATCTTTATAAACAAGAACAAATTTATCCATTTTCTAGTGCAAAAATATCCGACAACTGGAATGGAGCAATATTTCTCAAATGTCAAAATATTACGAATCTGATGTCGGCGATGAGATTCATAAATGGCTTGCGCTTCCAATCGATGATGTCTTTATAAGTACTACTTTAACGTATTTTTAAATATAATCATTCCATCATTCAAGACGGCACTGTAATTGTCCAGATCAAGGACAAGCTTCCACCTCAAGATGTCACCTTTGTCGGCTGGAACATGAATCTCGTTGCAGAGTTCTGCGATCAAGAAACAACCGTTTTGCATTACACCGCCACCTCTGAACATACCCTCCTCCAGATCAAATACAAATTCGAAAGTATCTCTCTCGATCAGCTTCTCCCAGGTAATTTTCAATTTTCCCGGAAAAATAATATTGACCATTTTTTAGCTAAAATAGGAAAACTACCGGAAATCGACGAGAAACTGGGAAACTGCGTTTTTAGCTTGATTCCTTTATAATTTAAAAATTGCTTGCATTCCTTCTTTTGTAAATAAAAAAGCTTATTCATTATAAAATTCTATTCACAGTTTCTACAGAAATTTACAAAAAGCTCAAGAAGATAACTAAAATCTCTTCTGTCTACCCGAGGAATACAGTGACGAATATGCAGTTGTTGACAGATCTGGTCCAAATCGTGAACGAACCTCGGAACCGAGTGAAGAAAACCTTTGAAAATGAACAGGGTTGGGCAAGTTAAAGGTATTTACCTGCTAAGGGAAGAGTTAAGCGATCGATTGAGGCTATCCATCGTATTCTGGCTTGTTCTCGTCATTCTCCTAAACATTTCCCATGAATTTCATTTTTTCTACTTTCTTCAAACCTGATATCAGATCTGTGAGTTTCTAAGCCACTAGCAGACTGCTCCAATCGGGTGATTCCAGAGCCAATTGTTTGTCGAGTTTGTTGGACATCAAAAGTCCGCCCTAGAAAATCAATTTACTTTCATTTGACAACAATTATTCGATTTATACCATTTATATTGAAGGAAGTATCGTAGTGTCTCTGCGTCTGAGCTTCAGATGGTTCTCGAACTAGAGATCCTCTTCTTCGAGCGCCCTAGGAGAAAATTTGAAGATGACGATTGAGATTGATTCAAGCTACCTCTTTGCCAATAAGTTGAGTTCGGAAATCATCGACATCTTTTTGAAGGGTTTTTCGCTGCTCGCTCAGTTGCCTTAAAAGTCCGGCAGCACTAGTATCTGCAGTAAGTCGGCTGTTTCGGTGAAGTGACCCTTGAGCACCTTGTTTTTGCTTCTCATACTGCCCTAGAAGAAGGATTAAGGAATTCGGAGGGTGGTTTTAGAAACTTACCTTCGTTGATTTTGACTTTTTCTTCAAGTTCCTTTTGTTCTCTTCGCAAAACTCTCATTTCGGCTTCGACGTCAATCGCAACTCCCTCGGGCGTGAATCTCTTTATCCAGCTTGATTTGAGACAGTCCTAGAAAATCTTTTAGACAGCTGATTCTTCAGAGATGTTGTACCTTTGCAGTGGCTCGTTCCAGCGGGTTTCGAGTGAAGAGCATTTCAATAAAATCCTGAAATAATTTATTAAATGAAAAAAGGTTCTTTTAGCACCTTTGCATCTTGAGATACTCCAGCAAAATCTTCATCGTCGAAAGAATAGTCCATCTGGGCGATTCTTTGGAATGTTTCTGCCTTGTCGTCCCCTAAAACAGCAATTATCACTCATAAATCTCATTTTTTCTTGTTACCTTGAAAAGGAGAGCAGCCTGAAAGAAGGATGTAAGTGATGACTCCGATGCTCCACAAATCTGCTTCAAGGCCGATTGGTTCAAAGGCCAACACTTCTGGGGCGACGAATTCGGGAGTTCCATGCATGGCAGTGACTTCAATTCCCAAATCGCATCGCTGGGACAGGCCGAAATCGACAAGTTTGATTTTTGGTGCTCCACCTTATAAGGGCTCTTCATTTGGTTTTAAAAAATATCTAGAATTCGAGAGTTCTTATTTTTTCGCCCTTTTCCTGCCGGTACATTTCCAGGTAGGCACATGACATTTTCCGGCTTCAAATCAAAATGCGCAATTTTCAATTCGTGCATATACGAAATCGTTTCCAGAACTTGCTTGATGATTCCGGCAGCTTCGTTCTCCGTCAGCTGCTCTCGCTCGGCAAGGTAGTCGAAGAGCTCGCCCCCGCTGACTAGTTCCAGGACAAGAATGATTTCGTTGGCAGTGTTCCACGATTCGCGCAGTTTAACGATTCGGGGGTGATCTGAAGTCAAAATTAAGATTATGAGTTGTTTTTTGAATAAAAAATATAAACATCATTAAATCGGGTTGAAGTTACCTAAGTCTTGTAAAACAGCAATTTCCTTCTCAATTTCTTCTTGCGGAACTCCTCTTCTCGACGTCTTTACTTTTCTCTTTCGAATGTATTTGGCGGCGTAGAACTTCCCAGTTTTCCTGTGTCGAACTCGCTTTACAACCGCAAATTGACCGGCGCCAAGGTCTTGGCCGACTTCGTAGTCTTCTTCGATCGCACCGGTTCGGTAGGGGTATTTTCCCTTTTGCTCCTTTTTTGCTTCGTGTTTGTCCAAAAGTGTCTTTGAGAAAAAGTTCAGAAAAATTTTCATTCCTCAAAAAATAACGAAGAACCCTTCAAAAATCTTAATTTCTCGAACTCATTCCTGTGGGCCGACTCTTTTCCCCTTCAACCTCTTGTCCAAATTCGACATCGTGGCCAACTCCTTTCTGTTCAAATGTCGCCCGACATCTTGGCTACCCGGAACTTGCGTCCTGACCGTCATCGGCTTTTGCTCTTGGCTTACTTCGAGGATCTCAAAATTGAAGAATTGAATGTTCATCTTTTTTTTATTTTGTTTTCGAGTTGTCGATTTATCAAAAAGCAACACTAAATGATCAGCGAGTGAAACATCGCTCATTATATAAGCGGACCATAAAATACAAAATCAGCAAAGTCTCCGAAAACCGCCCAGGTCAACAAGTGCAAAAATTGAAGCGAACTCTTTGTTACCCATGGAGATTTTTCTAGTCAACGACGAACTTCAGACCATTATTTGCACTGTACAAAGTGTTACCAAAGATTATGGGAAAAAAGAATATGCATGTCGAACTTTTGCTCAAAGCAAATGTTAACCCCGGAGAAGTCATTGGAGTTGAAGTTATGAGCGTGAACCCGCGTAACTTTAGCAGAATTTGTGCAGACACACATCTAATTATTCGAAAAATCGTAAACAAAATTTAAGACCCTGATTCCTTGATGATTTCGGTTTACTGCCGGCTGATTTCTGAGCAAAGATGGCTGATTTTGAGCTTGACCAGATGATCGAATTGATGAGTTTTGAGGTCTTTAAAACGGGTTCAGATGCGTTCGTCAAAATGATTGACTAGGTCTTCGTTAGGTCAAAATTTTCAAATCAAAGTCTTCCATGATTTCAAAATCATTTCCCGTCTCCTGAGTCTAGAATCCGAATTCGCCGCTAAAACTCTTTCGTTTGAAATTCCTCCACTCTGCGTTCCTCCCTTTTCTCTGCTGGCAATAAACGAGTTCATTATTTGCGAAAACATCTCTTTCTCTTTTTTTTAATCTTCTCGCTGCCTCCCCCTGGCGGCTTCGTTTTTTCGATGATAAGGGCAAAAAATGGAAAGAAGAGTCACGAGCTCTCAAATTGATAATTGGGGTGAAATCTGGTGAGATTTGGGTTTCGGCCTAAAGAGCGTGACACCTCTGCTGCCTGCCTCTTTGACAGCTACAGGTAGTAGCATGAGGAGGTAACAAAACTCCCGCCCCAGGAAACACGCTATTAACAGAGTGATAAGGCGGCAAATTTCAACAATAAAGATAGAAAGTAAGTATAAGATGTCAATTGGGACACAGAAAGAATTTTCATTCTATGATACATTAACCATATAAATTCCTATAAATCGTTAATTCTTATAAAAACAATGCATTATCGTCTGGATATTACAGTTTTATTATGTCAGTGCCCATCATGATTCGCCTCGATTTCAGGCTCTTTTCGAAGTTCTTCCTCCAGGCACTGCAGGGCAAAATCATCGACTGCATCGAATTTGTTTGCAAAAAAATATGGCGTATTCAATAACTAAAAATCAAAATTAAATTTTTCGAGCATAAATAATGTCCTTGCCCAGCCAACATCGCCACTGCCAAAGACGCAAACATTACGGCGGAAATAGCCTTGACATTCATGATCTTTCACGTTGTTTTGCCATAAAATTAGACGACTGAGGTTTTCCGTGTTTTTCTGAATAAAATCATTTAGGGAACTTCTTTCTTTTTTCGCATTGAGTTCTTACCACAATAAATTCATTTCCTGGAGCATTTTTCATTCGAATAATCGTCGCCCAAATAAACTCATCTGGCGAAAATGTATCTTTTGACCACTCAATCAATTCTCGGACATCCTTGTCTTCCAGCGCCCATTGAATGAACTCTCTCGTGAAGAAATTATACGCGATTCCGGAGAAAATTTCGATGCCACCTGGTGGCGGACTTTTATCTTTATCAGTCATCATTGGGTGAAACTTGTATTCAGATTCAGTCTCATATTTATGCAGTTCCCAGTGCTTTTCGTATCGTATTTTCTTTTTCAAATTCCAACTCACTGTCATCGGAAATGTTTCGATTGAGTTTTTTGGATACGCAGATTTCAAATAACTGGCAATCTCGGAATTTCGCTTCAGTGGGAAATCTTCTCTTTTCAAGGCTCAATTTTTAAACGATTTATTCGAAAAATAGGTGTTTTGAGCCCTTTCCCACAAAGATTGATCAAATATCTCCATTGAATTTCATGCTCAAGAAGTTCTTGCATGCAGTTCAAATCAGCCTGGAGTCGCTCGAAAGAGGCCCAGTACACATTTTCTCGTTTTTTGGCAAGAAAAACGTTCGGAAAACAGCTTGATAGGGCTTCGAAATCTTTGAAGACAACCTCGGGCGCCTTTTCATCGATATGCAAGCAGAAGACATTGTCGGGAGAGTAGATTGCACGGAGAAGTCGTTCCGCTTGCCCGGGGTTTTTGTGGAGAACCAGCGAGTAGGCGAGAGGAAAATCGGAATTCGAGGATGATGAGGGGTACTTGCGAGAAGCAACGAATTCCGGACAGCTTTTCGAAGCAATAAAAGATGAAATTTCTCCATCCGAGAAGCTCAGAGATTTTGTTTTATTCGAGGATTGAAGCTTTTTGACTTTCAGGAGCTCTTCGTCATTCCCCTTAAAAAGTGGTCAGTAAGTTTTAATTAATAAATTCAAATAATAAAAGTGAGACTCACTAGAATAAGACCTTGACAATCAATATGAAATTCCGCCTTTTTGAATAAATGATTTTTGCTTGTGTTGTTTTCTTTATTTTCTTGTTCGATCCCCAAAGATTTTGTTTCTGCAGAAGTTTCTCTTATTATAATTTTAATTATAAGCACTTTGAAATAATTACTATTAGAAATTAAATATCACGAATCCGGCCCTGTCAAAATCGGTCGAGTATTACGAAAATTCTCTCGTTCCAGTTGCAGAAGAACTCCAATGCAAAACCCAAAAGAAAATATAATAAATACTCCAAATATTTTAATCCTCGTATCCATCCTGATAAAATCAGAACCAACAAGAGCTTTTATGAGAAAAAGTCTGAGAACGATAAATATAAATGTTTATGGTCCTACCGGGATCATAAATAAGTCAACTCTATTCCATTATCCTGATGAAGTCAATTCATTGTCAAAAACTTACGATAAGTTGAAACAAATTTGTTTTTCTCTCGAAGAAGATTTTCACTTCGAACATCTTCTGGATATTTTCAACAGAGAGATGAGAAGAAAAATCATTTGCTCAATCATTCCTCTATGTATTCTTTTATCTCTACGAGTGAAGATTTCTCACGAAACCAAGTCGGGCTCGAAACAACAAAGTAAAGTTGGCAAGATCTCTGGTTTTATGTTTTACTTCTCGGCAAATGTTCTCCCTGATGTGTCTATTGATTTTTTGAAAATATTTTTTCAGCCACGAAACCAAATCTTTTTGAAAAGAAAGATTTTCGTCAAGTTTTCGCCCATAACTCGATGAAAAATGAGCTTTTTTCTGGGATAAGTAGAGAGGGAGTATAATACAGTTTAGTATTATACCTTATTACTGATAGTCCTGACTCAGGACTACCAGTACCTTTTTAATCCCTTTTCTGGAACAAGACCAAGTTTCCGGACTTTAGGCGCCCGAAAAGGCCCGAGAATATGACCCTTACTGTAAAGAGTCAAAACGATTCCCAGCTTCTGGGCTTTCAATATCTGCTTCTGAGTTAACAACAATTGATAGTCTATCAATAAAGACAAAATCGAATTATTTTTGAGTTTAAGATCATTTATTCGCCCTCGACAAAAACTAAACACATCGGTCAAATGTAGTTTCGAAAAGAACAGGATACTCAACACCTTCTTCTGGTTGATAACCAATGACTGTTGAGCCAAGAGTTTCTTGTCCGTCAAGGTCGATTCTTTGAATCGGAGCATCAGAGCCGTATCCTGCAAACAAGAAAATGGACGAACCAGATTGGAGAGCAGATGCTTTCACACTTTCTGGTTAGAATTTTACTCAAAATTCTTTGTGATCGTGAGTATACCTTTCGAAGATTTCCAATCAAAGTCCAACCATCATTCTGGAGCCTCCAAATATCTGTTACAGCAGTTTCTTTTATAGCATCATATCCGCCAATTGAAAGCACTGTTCCGTCACTCAAGCCCATAAGAGAATGGCCGTACAGGGCGCTAGAAATATTTTACGAACACATGGTTTCATGATGTCTTGAATTACGCTGGATGATCTCCGAGATAAACCCATCCAGATTCAGTTAATGTTTCGACATGCGCATACGACGGCGCTTTCCAATTAAAGCTTCCTACAGTCGTTGGCTGCCCATTGTACAGACCAAGGCCGGCGTATTTGTGCTCGTAAGAAGTCATCGGTGCAATGGTGACTTGCTCTCCATCAAAATAATTGCAAGTCTTTTTTTGAGTCGTGTATTCAAAGCAAATCAGGGCTGAAAATATGAGATACGAATTTCTGACCAAATTATTTTTACTACCTTTATCCCCATCCGCCAAAGTCAAAGCAGAACTTGCAGAATGGATTTCGAAAGTCAACTCTACTTTAGAAACACGAAACTGCAGCCATCGAGATAAGCAATTCTTCGGTGATTAAAGTCCATTCCTGCTTCTTCTCCTCCAAAAACAAACAGTATGTCATTGACCAGTGCATATTTGACGCCCCACATGAACTGCTCCTTCGTAGCATCGATCGTTGCTTGAACGGTTTTTGAGCCGACGCCGTCTATTATGTACGCGTTGTGCAGGTCCACGAATGGTTTTGGCTCGTCGTAGTACTAGTAGGAAGGATAAGTGTAGTTGTAGTAGGAGTAGTCGTAATCGCGGAAAAGCATGACCATAATGAATGGAGGGATCTTGGAAAATTTAAGGTCGAAAATCAAAGATACTTACTGGTTCTTCTTCAGGACAAAGTGGATGATCACAGTTTCGACAACCTTCTGGGCAATTTTCTCCACATGGGCACGAATTCAAACAGTCTTCAAACGAATTATTATTAACCAGGCTTAATTTTATCGTCTCTCACCATTGTATTCTCTATCGCAAATCGAGAGACAGTACTCTGTCTCGCATAAAAGTCGGCAATTCGTAAAATCCATCCGGCATTCTCCGATGCATTCTTCCTGGAGAAGATTGTCTCTTTAATTTTTGATCAAGATGCGATGTTTAGTTGAACTTACGGGCAGTCTTCCTCTCTTGAGCTTGCTTGAAATGTTTCTAGTCTGCTTTCGCTGATTCTGACTGCAGAAATGCCTGAAAAAAGAAAGAAGAATTTCATCTTCTGATAACTTTATCTGGTGATCTGTTGCTTTTGACCTGCTTTTTTATTCGTCAAGCAAATGAAGAAGAGTCAAAAAGAACAGTTTAGCAAAGTTTACCTCGATTCAAATTAACGAGTCGTGCTCGTATCTGAAAAAATTGACCGAAAAAGAAGACTCTTACATAACTGGAAAATTAAGCAGAAACTTAACTTAGATTTTAATCAATAACAAGCCGTTTTTAAACAGCAAAATACTGGCATTTTTAATAAAATTCATTCAAAGCTATGATTAAAATTTTAGAAAATTCTAAAATAAACTGCAAATGCAGGTTTTATAATTATATAACCTTGAACATAATCCCTCTCCACTTCTTTTTGTTCATTCCAAATATTGCGAGAGCTAATAGCATGGTCTACGAGACTTCTGTTAATTTGTTTAAAACTGGGGTTTAAAACTTCGTCAATTCAGTCAAGAAGGAAGAGCATTTTTTCCGGTCTTTTTCAGGAATCGCTTCAAATTTTGACGAAGCGTAGATGTGCCACGAAAAGGCAGATAATGAGTGTAATGTCAAAACAGTATTTAGAACAGGGCGGTCCTATTTGCATTCTTGTAAATAGTCTTTTTTCCGAAGACTATTCATTCATTCTTCTAAGATTAATCTCGATGCGAGATTAGTCATTTTGAATAATAAAGATTATTTCGGTGAATTTTCGAAAAAATTCCGAGATTATTTCAAATAATCGTAAAGTTGACGAGTATTTAATACATATCTCGTTTATTGCAGAAGCTTTTCGCCTTTCGGCATCATCAGTGCTACAGAAAGTTAGAAACATACAGAAAACAAAAAAGCAGTTACCTTTAGAGATGCAAAGTTGTACCTGACAAAACCACGAAAACAAACACCGAAATCCCTTCTATTCTAGAGAATTTTTTTCATTAAAAAACAAAAACAAGCGCAAAGATGTTGACAATGTTTTCATGGTTTTCGTGGTTTTGTCAGATACAACTTTGCATCTCTAAAGGTAACTGCTTTTTTGTTTTCTGTATGTTTCTAACTTTCTGTAGCACTGATGATGCCGAAAGGCGAAAAGCTTATAACGAAGCAATAAACGAGATATGTATTTCAAATAATCTTGAAGCGCGCGCTGTGATTGGTCGACCTGGTCCAATGGCCGATGGCGCCGATTTTAAACATGCTTGGAGCGCAGCCTGAAATTTTGTCCGCGCCGCCTCGTACTGCTAACAGCTCGCCAGCGCCACCCAAATTTTTGCCCCTAGCCTCGCTAAAAAGATTAATCTCGCAAATTTTCGAAATTATTTTCAAGAATGCAAATTAGACCGCCCTGATTTAGAAGCCAATGAAGCGAATATGAAAAGAATAAAGACCTGTCGAAGGTGACAAATGAGGACACGGGTAGTTGGCGAATTTTTTCTTTCGGAATGGTGGCGATGACAAAGAAAACTTATCTTCAAACACCCGGTTTCAATACGACAATGAGTGGTTGGGGAGGAGAGGATGTAAAATTTGCCGATGATGTCATCAAATCAAAGGTTTACTGCAAAAAGTGAGTCAAGTTCACAATTTTTAGCTTGATTTTTTGAGAGGAAATATGGAGAATTTATATCATCCTTGGCATGACAAAAATTGCTCAACTGCTGGGAATTCGTTTTCTTCAAGCTGCTTGGCTGCAAAAGCAATGAATAAAATGTCAACAAGGGATTTAGCTAACATTTTCTACCGTTTTCGAACATTTTTGTCATAAATAATTTTCTTTCGAATAAAAATCAAAATAAAAAATTGAAGCTCTCTTTCTTTTATTGTGTCAGTGTCAATCATGATCCTCCTTGATTTCAGGCTCTTTTCGAAGTTCTTCCTCCAGGCACTGCAGGGCAAAATCATCGACTGCATCGAATTTGTTTGCAAAAAAATATGGCGTCCTCAATAACTATAAATCAAAATCAAATTTTTCGAGCATAAATTAATTCCTTGCCCAGCCAACATCGCCACTGCCAAAGACACAAACATTACGGCGGAAATAGCCTTGACATTCATGATCTTTCACGTTGTTTTGCCATAAAATTAGACGACTTAGGTTTTCGGTGCTTTTCTGAATGAAATAATTAATGTTAGTACGTTCTTTTTTGCATTTTAGGTGGTTCTTACCCCAATAAATTCATTTCCTGGAGCATTTTTCATTCGAATAATCGTCGCCCAAATAAACTCATCTGGCGAAAATGTATCTTTGGACCACTCAATCAATTCTCGGACATCCTTGTCTTCCAGCGCCCATTGAATAAATTCTCTTGTGAAAAAGTTATACGCAATTCCGGAGAAAATTTCGATGCCACCTGGTGGCGGACTTTTATCTTTATCGGTCATCATTGGGTGAAACTTGTATTCAGATTCAGTCTCATATTTATGCAGTTCCCAGTGCTTTTCGTATCGTATTTTCTTTTTCAAATTCCAACTCACTGTCATCGGAAATGTTTCGATTGAGTTTTTTGGATACACAGATTTTAAATAACTGACAATTTCGGAATTTCGCTTCAGTGGGAAATCTTCTCTTGTCAAGGCTCAATTTTTTAACTAAACGGCAAACTCGAAAAAAGGTATTTTGAGCCTTTTCCCACAAAGATTGATCAAATATCGCCATTGTATTTCATGCTCAAGAAGTTCTTGCATGCAGTTAAAATCAGCTTGGAGTCGTTCGTAAGAGGCCCAGTATACGTTTTTGCGTTTTTGGGCGAGAAAAACGTTCGGAAAACAGCTTGATAGGGCTTCGAAATCTTTGAAAATAACTTCAGGCGTCTTCGCATCTATATGCAAGCAGTAGACATTGTCGGGAGAGTAGATTGCACGGAGAAGTCGTTCCGCTTGCCCGGGGTTTTTGTGGAGAACAAGCGAGTAGGCGAGAGGAAAATCGGAATTCGAGGCTGATGAGGGGTAGTTGCGAGAAGTAACGAATTCCGGGCAGCTATTTGAAGCAATGGAAGATGAAATTTCTCCCTCCGAGAGGCTAAGAGAATACTTTTTATTCAATGATTGCAGTTTTTTGACTTTCAGCAGCTCTCCGTCGTTTCTCTTACAAATATGGTTAGTATTTAAAAACTTATTTATTCTACGTTCAAGACAATGAAAATGACACTTACATTTATAAGACCCTGGCAATCAATTATTAGTTCCGGCTTTTCAAGAACATTTGAGTTGTGATTATTGCTCGTTACATTTTTTCGTTTTCCTTCTTCGATCTCAAAAGATTTTACTTCTATGGATCATTCTCTATTTATCTACTCTCGCACTAATTGTTCTTATCTAACGAGTATCAAGAACCCAGTCCTGTTAAAATCGGTCGAATAAAGCGAAAATTCTCTTGATCCAGTATCAGAAAAATTCCAAAACCAAACCCAAGGAAAAATATAATAAGCACTCCAAATATCTTCTTGATAGTGAGCATCTCAAAAAACAGAAAATTTTCACGAATTTTTATTCGTAAACTTACGACCAAAGCATAAAACGCTTTTGTGTGAAAAAATTTAATTGAGAACGATAAATGTAAAAGTAAAATAGTCTTACCGGTGCCATAAAGAAAAGACTGGCCATTAAACTCTTTTTTCTTTATTTTTACGCAAATAGAAAAGATACTTGTCACAATTTTTTACGCCAACTTCTAGAAAACTGTGAGCCGTGACAAAAACAAACGAAGCTTGCTAGCTCTTCAATTGAGCTTGCAAGATAATTTCTCCCCATGACCATCTGTTATTCAATTTTCAAAGTAGAGATGAGAAGAAGAAAAATCATTTTATTAATGATTTTTCTATTTATTATTCTATTTTTTTTAATGAAAATTTCTCACGAAGACAAGTTTGACTCGAAACAACAAAGTTAAGTTGACAAGATCGTATAAATGTGTATCCAGCAGCATATTTTATCTCGTGTGCTCATTGATATTTTGTTGATAGTCTTTTTGTGATGAAATTCAATCTTTTTGAAAAGAGAAGTTTTTGATTTGTTGAATGTCGATAAGTCTTGGTTCATTATAGTGCACGCAATTCTTGTCAACTTTAAAAGAAAAGCTGTTTTGGTAAGAAAATCGCATATTAAGATATTTTCTTCGGGATAAAAAAAAATTCAAGATTATCAGCCAATCAAATTTCCGGCCAAATATTCTTGGTGAGCTTTTCAACGAACACGACGAAGCTTTTTTTATCTATGAGCCTCTTTACCAGTATTCTCAATCCGGATTCTCGAAGAGCACGAATAAGCTTAGGAAGGACCTTTTGGTGCACAATCTAAATTGCGATTTTATCGACCATTACGATCAAACACTCACGTTTGAGCGCTTCGATGATGATTTGAACATGCATGGAAGCATCGAGAGCAAAGGAAACTTCGTTTTTCGGAGCAAACATCGACGGCTCTGCTCACCGCCATTTTGCAAAACAAACGCGACGGAAATTAATTGCAATAGCAAATGTGACCCTGTGGATTCAATTTTAGCATCAAAGATTTGCAAAAGTCTCATTCCGGTCATTCAAATAAGCGAAAGAATGATAAGTGTTGAGGAAATTGAGGATCTTGCAAGTCAGGCTCTCTCTTATATTATATTATATATCTCTATTATAACTTTTTGTTTGATTTTAACGATTCTCAGAGCCTTTACTTAGTGATAATCAATTGGATTTGAAAATTATTTATAATTCAATTAATGCTGAAGATGCTTGCAACTTTGCGAAAATCAATTTTGCAGACGAGCATAATTTCAATCAACTGGAAGAAAATTTTCTGATAACTAACGCTGAAGATATTGCTTATAATCCAGAAAAATATGGCAGGAAGATACTCAAATTTGCTGGGTTCAATATTTCTGAAAGCGTTTTTGATTGGATAAGCAAATTAAAAGATTCAGGTAATTTTGTTTATCAATGAAATTATGCTAAATATAAGTTTAGACATTGAAAGAAGAATACAACGAGAAAAAATCTCGGCACAGAGTGTCAGGCTCTTTTGAAACATCTTGGACTTTTCCGCTCTTAAAAATATTTGCTTCTAACTGTGTGAACAAAAATGGATAATAATTAAACATTGATATCAACAAAGACAGAATTAAATTATTTTTGAATTATAATTGATAATCAATTCCCAAATCATTCGCATTTTACAAAAACTCAACACATTTGTCAAATGTAGTTTCGAAAAGAACAGGATACTCAACACCTTCTTCTGGTTGATAACCAATGACTCTTGAGCCGAGATTCTCTTGTCCGTCAAGGTCGATTCTTTGAATCGGAGCATCAGAGCCGTATCCTGCAAACAAGAAAATGGACGAACCAGATTGGAGAGTAGATGCTTTGCACACTTTCTAGTTAGAATTTTATTACAATTTCTGTGTGAAATTAAGCATACCTTTCGAAGATTACCAATCAGAGTCCAAATATCAATATCTGTTACAGCAGTTTCTTCAATAGCATCATATCCACCAATTGAAAGCATTGTTCCGTCACTCAAACCCATAAGAGAATGACCATACAGAGCGCTAGAAATATTTTAAGAACGCATTGTTTTATAAATCATAAATTATGATGAATTACGCTGGATGATCTCCGAGATAAACCCATCCGGAATCGGTTAAAGTTTCGACATGCGCATACGACGGCGCCTTCTAATTAAAGCTTCCTACAGTCGTTGGCTGTCCATTGTACAGACCAAGGCCGGCGTATTTGTGCTCGTAAGAAGTCATCGGTGCAATGGTGACTTGCTCTCCATCAAAATAATTGCAGGTCTTTTTCTGAGTCGTGTATTCAAAGCAAATCATGGCTGAAAATATTAGATACGAATTTCTGACTGAATTATTTTTACAACCTTTATCCCCATCCGCCAAAGTCAAAGCAGAACTTGCAGAATGAATTTCAAAAGTCAACTCTACTTTAGAAACACGAAACTGCAGCCATCGAGATAAGCAATTCTTCGGTGATTAAAGTCCATTCCTGCTTCTTCTCCTCCAAAAACAAACAGTATGTCATTGACCAGTGCATATTTGACGCCCCACATGAACTGCTCCTTCGTAGCATCGATCGTTGCTTGAACGGTTTTTGAGCCGACGCCGTCTATTATGTACGCGTTGTGCAGGTCCACGAATGGTTTTGGCTCGTCGTAGTACTAGTAGGAAGGATAAGTGTAGTTGTAGTAGGAGTAGTCGTAATCGCGGAAAAGCATGACCATAATGAATGGAGGGATCTTGGAAAATTTAAGGTCGAAAATCAAAGATACTTACTGGTTCTTCTTCAGGACAAAGTGGATGATCACAGTTTCGACAACCTTCTGGGCAATTTTCTCCACATGGGCACGAATTCAAACAGTCTTCAAACGAATTATTATTAACCAGGCTTAATTTTATCGTCTCTCACCATTGTATTCTCTATCGCAAATCGAGAGACAGTACTCTGTCTCGCATAAAAGTCGGCAATTCGTAAAATCCATCCGGCATTCTCCGATGCATTCTTCCTGGAGAAGATTGTCTCTTTAATTTTTGATCAAGATGCGATGTTTAGTTGAACTTACGGGCAGTCTTCCTCTCTTGAGCTTGCTTGAAATGTTTCTAGTCTGCTTTCGCTGATTCTGACTGCAGAAATGCCTGAAAAAAGAAAGAAGAATTTCATCTTCTGATAACTTTATCTGGTGATCTGTTGCTTTTGACCTGCTTTTTTATTCGTCAAGCAAATGAAGAAGAGTCAAAAAGAACAGTTTAGCAAAGTTTACCTCGATTCAAATTAACGAGTCGTGCTCGTATCTGAAAAAATTGACCGAAAAAGAAGACTCTTACATAACTGGAAAATTAAGCAGAAACTTAACTTAGATTTTAATCAATAACAAGCCGTTTTTAAACAGCAAAATACTGGCATTTTTAATAAAATTCATTCAAAGCTATGATTAAAATTTTAGAAAATTCTAAAATAAACTGCAAATGCAGGTTTTATAATTATATAACCTTGAACATAATCCCTCTCCACTTCTTTTTGTTCATTCCAAATATTGCGAGAGCTAATAGCACGGTCTACGAGACTTCTGTTAATTTGTTTAAAACTGGGGGCTGTTTGGAGGCTATTATTATATTCAATAAGTTTTTTCTCTCCGTTATGCGGTTATTTTTCCTTTCATTACTTTTGGTTAAAACGAATGCAATAAACTTTCACTTCAGCGAGACTGCTGACAATTTGATACTGTCTGCAGTTTGTCAGCTTTAAAACTAATATTTTTCTTGTTTATTGAAAGTTTACTGGCAGAGTTGTTTATAAACACGTTCTTTCGTATCAGGAAGCAAGTGTTCGGCTGTTTTCCAAATATCCTCTTCCTTGATTTCTTCTTTTGATACCACAGTTCTACGTTTTGAAAATAACGAGATTTTCTGTTGACTTGACATGGCGTTGAACACTCGTTTTATCTCTATGAGCTTTTTCTGCAAAGAAATAGTAAATAAAAGGAAAGAGGGAAAGTCAAGTTACCAGGAAAAAAGTCTTTTCTCTCTGCTCCAACCGACTCGAGCTTTCCACAACCTTTTCAAGTGCTTTGATAAAGCCCCCGCTAGACTCATCCAAACTTTCGCAAATAATCTCCAAAACCGTTTTCATCCAATTTGAATCAACATCTTTGCAGTCTCCAAGCAGTGCATGAATCCATTCTTTCAACTTTTTATCCGGTTTTCTTCCACAGTCGTCTTGAAGCTTCAAAACTCGCAGCAAATCGAGCACGAGCTGATTTGAAATCTTCATTCTTTTGAAACCACTTCTCCAGATCGGCGTAACTATTCTTGGCAACGAGGAGTATCGACGAGCAAGCTGTTCAGAAAGCACCTGACGGTACTTTTCTTCAGCCACAATTTCAGCAGCTACAATTTTTAGTATAAATTTTATGAAAACCAGCATACCTTCGTTGAAGAGAGAGTTTAGTCCTTCTTGATCAACTTCTACTATTCTCCTTGCAAGAAACTTCAAAGCCTTTTCTTCATCTTTCGATAGTCTTTTCTTGATCTCGCTTTTTTGCTTGTCGTAGTCTTCTTTTTGAAGGACCCAGTAGGACTTGGCATCTGTCGTTAATGCTTCGTAAACTGCTTCCAATGCGTCTTCTAGCGTTTCAATCGACGACTGAAAAGATGTAAGTTGATAACTTTCGTATATTTTCTACCTGACACGGTCCATGCGCAATTTGGTGCCTCAAGTTCGTAACCCAATCTGGTATTCCAATCTCTGCAGCGAGCACATGAATCGGCAGATTCGCCTCCCTGTAGCGCTCTGTTATCACTCCCACTGCTTGTACCAACGCTCCGGAGGCGCAGAACATCGTTCCTTGGTTATCCCTATTGTTTCGAATTTCTTCTAGCCCAGTAAGAGCAGCAATTGTGGCCACGATTGCTACTGGAAGATCTGCACCGATTCTTTGCTCCCAGAGCTGCAAGCGGCGTAGGACTGCGCTTCTATCTCTCTAGAACTTTGGAGAAATAGAAAGCCGACTCTGCGAACCTGTAAATTACTGTAGACATCAAGCCACTCTGCTTTGCTGCACCATGCTACTTGCTCAACGATTCCCATTTACGAGTTTCAGATCTGCTTCTGTCTGAACTTCAAAAAAAAAATTTTAAATGAAATTTTCAATTGAAAATTCAGATTTATTTAGTCGATAGCATCATTTGTTTTATTTGAGGAAGAATAAGCAAGATTTAAGGAGGAAATAGCGAAGTTTCGTTGCGATGAAAAGAAGGAGAATGAGGCACATTTTTGGAACTTTTTGAGGATCAGCACATGGTAAAAGCAGGTTAAAATAGTTTTCACAATAAATAAAATTTCGATTCAGGAACGAGGGACCAAATAAACGTCACTACTTGGCGCAGCATTTTGATATGCATCGTATTGCTCATCTTCTTCGAGCAGAGCACGGCTTTCGTTGTTTGGGTTGGAAAATACGTCGTCGTTGACGTTTTGATACTGGGAGGAAGTTTCGGGGATGCTATTGGTGAGGTTTGTCAGCTGCGTAGCGTTGGAATAGAGGCGATTCTAGAGAAAAGACTTTGAGAAAGAAAGAACAATAAAGAAGCTCACCTGTACAGTTCTAGTTGGGCTATCAAATGAGCCCCCTGTGTAATGTAAATTCGTAGCGGAAGTGGTAGACTGGCCATTGTCCGAGTTTCGTGGCTGTCTGTTCATGGGAAATTGGAATGCGGAAGTTTGGCCGCGGAAATTCGAAGGCATTGAGGGCGGCTGAACTGGGCGCATTGGCGATTCCTGATTCTCATAAACTGGCTGATTCCTTGAGACAAAGGAGTAATTCGCGTTCAAAGGATCGAAGTTTCTGGTCGCGTGGATTTGCGTCTCTGTGAGACGGATTGGAGAGTCGAGACTTGGAGATTCGGCGGCGAGAGGGGAAGTAGAAAGCTGCGAATGCTGTTTTTCCAGAGTGCGGAGGGTACTTGCGCTGCTTCTTGACAGTTTCTTGCCCTCTTGCTTGTCCAGCAGGATGTAGTCTTTCGCTTTGCCGCGGATTCCGTCGAATTTCTTCTTTAAAATCGCGAAATCGGGACGATTGCTCGGTTCCTTAGACCAGCAGGGCTTCATAAAATCGTTATAGAAATCATTCGTGCAAGTGTAGTACTCTTCTTTTGGACTAGGTCGACAAATCGGAGTTGATGGCATTTCCTCATCGCGAAGGAGGTTGATATGGGCTTGTTCGTTGTAGGATCCGTCCTTGTTGAGACTAAAAAATCACTTAAAAATAGGAAAGGGCGGTTTTACAAACATTCTATTGCCGAAGAACATCGGTCGTCCCGGCGGGCAGCCAGAAAGGACCTCCCACATGAGCATGCCAAACGAGTACACATCGCCTTTCGAGGAAAAAACTTTCTCCATCGTGTCATTTCGAAGGCTTTCAAACGGATACCAGAGGCATGGAATCTGCTTCTTGTCCATTGTAAATTCTTCGCCGCTTTTTGCCGACTTTGGCGCGAGTGCGGCGAGACCAAAGTCGCCGACTAGAGCTTTCAGATCGTCAGTGAGAAGAATATTCCGCGCTGCCAGATCGCGGTGGAAAACGTTGTTTTCGTGAAGATATTGCATCGCGTCAGAGATTTGGTAAAACCATTGGATCGTGTAGCGTTCGTCTAGTTTATTTTTTTGCTTGAACATCATCTTATGCACATATTTGTCCAGAGCGCCTTTCAGCGCAAATTCTAGCACCATCGACGGCGAAGTAATCTGCAAGCGGCGGCTGGGATCGGCATGATGCTCAGAAATGCCATGAACCTTTACCAAGTGCTCGTGGCGGAGAAAGTGAAAATTAGCAGTTTCGTCAAAAAGTTCCTTTTCGTTCACTCGAGCTTCCAACGTCTGTAGCTCGTAGAGGAAGTCTGGATCAACGACGCTTTTCTGATCCAAACCAGAGATCGAAAGTCGATCACTTCCGTATTCTTTCAGCTTCTTGAGAATGCGTTCTTTTTGATTTTCCTCCGTGAATAAATCTTTCTCACTGCATAGCCAGAGAATATCGCGAATCGGGCGAACCTTCGGCTTGATCTGTTTCGCCGCGACTGGAATATCGACAATGATTTCCTCGCGTCTGGGAACCAGTGGAACATCGCTTGAAGATCCAGTCCGTGGGTTAGAAGTTGACGATGAATTTCTTGGTTTTACGTCGCGCATAACTCTGATTCGCAGGGTTGCTTCGAACACCAAACCGAAGTGCCCCTCTCCCAGCTGTTCGCCAAAGATGAGATCATTATGGCTGAATCGGGTGACGGGATGGAATCTTCGTTGATCGGGACCGCCGCCCGACTCCGGTAGGAGATCGTTTGGCTGCGAGTGGAACAGACGCATCGCATCTTTCGTTTTGCCCCGCTTGAGAAGTCGGCTGCTGTAGTTTCGGTAGATAAAGACAGATGCGATCGACATAAAAACCAAAGCAACAGAGACATAGATACCTAAAATAATCCATTGATTATCAAGAGCAGACTAACTTACTGATTTGGGCACCAACTGGCAAATCATCTTCCCAGCACGTAACGAATTTAATCTTTCCATTGTCGTTCTTAATGACGATTCCTCCATTCGAGTCTCCACAACCTTTCTTGTTTAAGAATTCAATCACGGTTTTATTTCCTCTTTCTTCTTCGTTGTTCAAGTCGAGATCCTTTAGTTTTTCTTTGCATTTGTTTCCTTTGCCTTTGAATGTGATTTCTTGGTTGTTCTTCTCGCTAACTTCAAAACTACAATCGCAGACGGCTTCATTTTCGCTGTTTGTGCTCGCTGTGCTCAGACATTCGCTTAGAAAAGAACATGATTTTGGAGAAGCGTTCGGCTCTTTGAAAAATGGTGCTCTTGTGATTTGCTTTTCGGGAAGAAAGGTTTAAGAATGCCAGAAAGATCAGTGGTGACTTCAAATTCACAAGAAGCGACACAAAAGAATTTAACGCTTTTTGGAATCTCGAAATTCGTAGAACCCTTTTCATAGTTGACGCGAAAGTTCCTGCATTGATCGCAGTCCGTATCCATCAATCCTTTGCAGCCATGTTCAGGATGGCACTCTTTATCACAAGGGAGGCATTCTTTCGTCGCTTCGTTCGCAAAACGCAATTCTCGAGGGCATTTTTCCACGCATCTCGGTCTGAGTAAATTTCGATAGTTTTCAACTCTTGGTCCTTTAAAAGTTTTGCTCCTGTTGGATTCCGGAGTGTTTTCAACTTCTGCCTCGTGAATCATGCTAGCTTGAAAGTATTCATCAAGGTTGTAGAAAGCATCAGTAGTATTCGCGCCCTGTATTTCGCCGCTGTTTTGAGTTTCCGGACCCAAGCCATCCTCATAAGGAATTTCGATAGTTTTGTCGAGAAAATTCTTGCAGCTTCTACAATCACTTTCGGACGGTCCAAAACATCCGTTTAGGCATTCAGAATGGCATGCGTTTTTGTTGCCGCATTGGTCTTCCAAAATCTCGTCAATCTTCGCCTTTATCTCATCATCGTGATCCTTGATATTGTAAATATCTTCATGCTGCTTGTCGTAAGAAACATGAAGCTTGACCACTGGTTTTTCGTCTCCTTGGCCGATCACAAAGTTCTCCAGATTTTCTTCTTGCGTATTGCAAATAACGACGTTTTTGTTTGCCGGAGCGAATTGGATAGAAATTCCGGCCATGACTGAGAAATTCTTGCCAATGTACTTGAGCGAGTTCTTCATGTTTTCAGTACCATCCTCTCGCTTTTTAAGAATGAAGCCCATTTGGTCGGTCTCGTCAAATGTCTGGGACTCGCGAGTATCCGACTTTCCGCTAATAACTTTCAAGTTCTCTAAACAACCGAGAGTCTCCATCGGCCAATTGGCGATGAAAAGATGGCCAGTGATGAACTTGACATTTCGAAAAGCATTGCAGAGCTTCCACTCCATAGATTCGTTGGCTTTGTGGCCTTGGTGAATTCGTAGATCGCCATCGATAATATTGCACTTTGAAAAGTCTTCATGATGCTTTTCAAAAAATGGGACCATATTGTCGACTTCCAAGTCTAGTCCCGTCATCATGTTCTTCCATTTAGGATGATCCATGCCCCAGCAGACCACTGGCGCCTCCGGGAAATGCCCAGACGTGCAGTTGTAGCCGTAGTCGATGGTCGAATTCTTGAGCGTAAGGGGTTGAGCGACATCGCATCGCCTGCACCTCGGATTCGTCATATTTTGAGCAACAAGCGCTTCGTACTCAATGGAATTGTATTTTCCAAAACGCTTGCCACAGTATCGCACGCAGTTGGAGTCTTCGATATCGTGGACCAAACGATTCTTGCATTGCGACGATTCGCGACAATACTCGCCCTCGAATTTCTTTGTGGACGATTCTCCGTTTGATTCTACGAACATAAGCGGCACTCGGAAGCTGTGCATGCAAGTTGGCAAGCATCGCTCGAGGAAAAACGTGTTTTTATAGATCTTCTTGTCGTTGTCATTTTTGCAGGAGGAGCAAGTCGTCCAAATTTGGTCGATTAGGCGGCCCGGTCTCTCGATCGATGGAACTCTACTTTGAAACGAGTCGCAGCCACCAGAGCATGAATTCGGACAGCACTCGTCGAATTCGTTTTTGGGCGCCCAATCGAATTCTTTTCCGGATTGAGAGAGAAGACCTTTTCTTTGGTTTCGAATATAGAAAACAACTTTCCAAGAAAAGTTTGAGGCAAAAAAAAATTTGCTGGAGAGAGCCTAACAGCTAATCATAAAGAAGAAAAACCAATTCCTAAATTACATCTTCGCGTGGTCTTCATAAAGATGCTATTCGGCCCCCCGCAAAAGCGCGAAATCGGGCCAGTACAGACTGTCTTCGACAGAATCTGGCAAGTATCGCTGTGCCAGCACCGTTTCTTCAATTTCGCTGCATCGCCTGAAGAGCCACCAAGGGTCTGGATACGATTCTGATATTCATCCTGGCAGTAGTTGCACTTCTTTGCGTATCTTATCTCTTCAAAGTTTTTTGCTTCCATCTCAAAGAGCTTTTTTCGATTTTTCTTGTAAGGAGGAAAATATCTGTTGTCAAAATATTCATTGCAGATATCGTAGAAGTAGATGTCTTGGCACTCCGATTCGGTCTTGTTGAGTTGAAGTTCCACTTCTTTGCTGCACGGATGGGCGAACAATTCCCCATAATAATCCACTGTCAGCGGCAGACAAAGCTGAATATTAGATGATTTCGCCGAGAGAATAGGGAGTTTTTTTTACCTTTTTATCGCCGCCGTTTATCATCACATTTCCACGGGTAATCTCCTTAAGCTTCGGAAAGGTTAGTATCTTCAAACTCGGCATTTGTAAGTACAGGGATGTAGCTAAAAAGGCAATCAACACATGTTTTAATCATGAAAACTTTCAATCAGCTACGTGTATTTTAGGAATCACAAAAGATAGGTACTTACCGATTTGAAATGGCGGCGTGTTTTGGAACAGTTTTTTCTTTGACAAGGATCATGATTGATTGAATTCATATGCTTTAAATTCTAACGTTTAAAACATGCAAATTGCCTCAGTTATTTGGCCTTGTTAGTCAGTTATTCTTTAAGTCACTATAACTCATCCTTTTTATCAGATACTTACGAACATAGCCTACATATGTATCCTTTTTCTTGGTGTGCAAGCCTTTGATGATGCGTAGATTTTCAAATCGCAATTCGCTGAAAAATAAACTATGAAAAATATCTTTAAAAAACGACTCACGTGACATGATCTGCTTCGACGCTCAAGAAACCCCAGATCTCTTCAATTTGCTTGAGAATTTCGTTCATCTCGTAGGGATCTTGCCCTGATGGAACTAAAAGAAGAGAAGTTAGATTTTGAAGCTTGAGAAAAATTGTTAATTGAGTAATTTACGACATTTGTTATTTTTGGGCTCTTTTTCATTATTTACATTTACTGTATTATTAGGTGTGTTATAATGAGAAAGCATCGTAATCAATACTGTTACATGCTGTCACATATGGCTGTTTCTGTGCCATCACGCGTCAGAATAGCCGGGGAACAAACCTTCGTCGCAATGATCATGAGTTTCAAAAATACATTCATCCTCCAAATTCTCTTAAAACTTATCTACAGAACCCTGACTGTAAGTTAAAGAACTCAACTCTTCTACTATAAACTACTCGAACTTACTTTCAATGACGACCGAGCCCCGGATCACCGTGCAGTTACCAAAGTGATAGCGCATTTTGTCGATCACTTTCTCCGTTGACCCCTGGAAGACACCGTTGGCGTCTTCTATCCCGTTGCAGATGCAGCCGTATTTTGGGCAGCAAATGTTCTCCGGGTCGACGCGGGGGACGAATTGACGGACACCACCGCATCGGCGGGCCATTGTTTCTTCAGTTTCCGCACATTGTGAAGGATAGATATTCTTTTGGTGGATTTTTTAAACAGAATATACTTGTATTCCAGGCTACAATGAGCTTTTTAGTTGTAAAATCCTTTCCTTGCAAATATCCGTCTTCCAATACGGCGGCTGAGTTTCGCTACTATCACTTGAGCTCAAATCCAGCGACTCCTGAGAAACGACAGCAGCTGATAGGAGAAGAATCTTTGTGAAAAGACATCTTCCCATAGCTTCTCTTGATGTTTTTGTTTTCCACTGGCTGCGTGGACGCTATTTTGGATGCTGACGGCTTAATATTTTCAGGCAGCCCATCGAATCTGAATTTATTGCCTTATTGCATTCATCAGCCGCACTAATTAAGGTAATCAGTAATCAAGGAAAACTGAACAGCGTCTGTTTTTTGAACATTTGGAAAATGAGGAAAAACGGATTGTTAAAAATATGCTTCAGAAAAAACAATCTTCAGAAATTAAAATTTCAAAAGTAAATCCTTGGTTCTTTGAAGAACTGTTTGATTACATCGAACATCTGCCCTGCGCTGTCGTTGTCGGAGCATTCGAGAACATAACCAGCGCGATGGGTACCGTCGTCATTCTTCGCCACAAATGAGACGAAAATGTCGAAATCTAAGTGAAGAAATTGTTGCTTTCAAATTCCATATCGATAAAAAACCAACCTAAAGATGCGAAACTGACCAAGTTCATGCTGAATTTTGCTTTTTCCGTCATAACCGTCTCCAACTCGCTGTAGTGAAATGGCTTCTTCTCCTTTTTGCAGATTTTGATGGAATAGGGAGTGATAATCACTGTGTAGAGCTCCTCACTTTTCTCTGGAACAGCTTTCTTTCTGCCGACGATTCTCTTTAGTTCTTCTTCTGTGATTTGAACAGTGCGGTTCACGCAGGGGGAAGGAAAGAAGTTTGAATTTGAAGCACGCGTGAGTGTGTAGACTGAAAATTCAGCAACTTCTTCTTTCTTTGAGTCTTCAAGGTTAGCGAAGCTTGAAGCTTGGCATCAGTTCTCATATTTTTTATGAGAAATCTTTACCTCTCAACGATTTCGACGCAGCCACAGTATCTCACCATTTGAAACACTTTCGCTTCCATCTTCTCTTCTTAGTTTTGCTTGCGCTTGGTGTACCTTACTCTCTGTAAGCTCGATTCAGAAAAGCCCATCTGAATTCAATAACTCGTTTAGAAAATGACTTTAGGACACATCCATTTCTAGGGATGATAATCGAATGCTCGTAAAACTGACAAAAACTTCCGAAATAAATAAAAAAAAAATATTTTAAAATCAGTCAAAATAAGCATAGCCGCAGCGGCTCTTCTACCGTATTTTTCTGATTATAAAAAATCATTTATTTTCGAAGTTTCTCTAAGCTTATCTTTTGATAAAAATGAAGAACGCGGAAAATACTAAAAGTCAAATATTTGATTTTGCTGAAAGAATGAATAGGCTGGGATTCACAATGGCGTCTTTTGAACTGATTTTGAAGTGATAGTGCGAAAAATAAGGTGCTCTTGGGCAGCTGAGAATTTGATTATCAAAATCAATTCTTTCTCAGAAAGACCTTCTCTTTTTCTGATAATTTTGTAAAGAAAAAATAAAGTTTAGCTTTCAAAAGAATAAGTAATAATTACGCCTCGGGAAAGAGGAAAATCCCCTGCAGGTGATGCCTTTCAAATTTAAATTTTTTACTTCCGGACGGCCTTAATATGGGTTTTTAATTCATAAATGAAAAATTTCTGAAAAGGCGCATTTTCTCTTGTAAATCGAAATGAAGAATTTTCTGAAAAAAAAAGATCGCAACGATAGAATTTACAACTTGTAAAAAATGATTGAAAATCCCACTCGCGCCTAATTGATTGTCGATCGTCATTGGCTCATTTTCAAATTGATTGGTATCAAAACTTTTGATTCAAAAGTCAAAATTCTCTTTTCAGTAATCAATAATTATTCTCTCCAGGAAAATGATTCGAGCACCCAACCACTAAATACGTTGTCATTTTTATGAACTTTAATACGCTCGTAAATAACATCGAATCACAAACATCCGTTAGCATTCAAAATGATTCTCTTTTTTTAAAAAAAGTTTTTACCTAAATTCTTGTTCTCTCATAGCAAAGCCCCTAAGTTTGGGAAGGCCCTTATTCTGTCAATAACAAATATTTGCATTTTTGGTCCAAAAACAACATATTTTTAATCTCCGAAGAATTTTTCTCTCGATTTCAGAGGTGACCTGGGAAAAGTGTCAAAGTTTTGTACGAAAAAAGGATTAATGCCCTGCGGCGAATTAGCGGCGCACCTTTTTTATTGTCGGAAAAGAGGGTTACTGTATGACTAGATTTATCGTAAGATTTCAATCAATTGTGGAATTTAACTCCTGGCAAAAAATCAAGACAAGTACATTCCTCCATGAATTCGAGTCAACTTTTTGATTTGAAATGTATTTCTAACTGTATCAATGAATTATGCAGCGAATAAATGATTCTTATTGTACTGCGTCGTAGTTCGGAGCTTTGACCTCGCCAGGCAGTGCGTAGACCTACAATCAAGAAAGTACTGTAAACACCTGTTTGAATCAATAATTAGTGGCTTACATGAAGTGGCGGTGCTACTATCTCTTCCAAAATGTTGTCATCTTTTGGATCTCTGTTGCTATTCCAATTGCACAGCCACTTTTCATCGATGAATTCCCAGCTGTAAGGAATGAGCACTTTTGGCCGCAATTTGAATTCTTCTTGCTTTCGGTGTCTCGCCATGATCTTCGCTCGATTTGCTGTGTCAAAAATGATGATGTTCCCTTGATTGTTGGTGCCCTTTGGAAGGCCGTAGCGATCGCGAATCATGGAGTACCAGTTTGGGGTCAAGTTCGGGACATCTTTTGGGTCTAGAAGAACGATAAGGAAGTGGTCAGAAAGAAAAAGAGTTACTGAAAAATGGGAGCATTCGGCAGTTCTTCGCAAGCAGGAGTACTTCAGTTCTAGAAACATTGCTGCGTCTCTCGTTGTAGGCTACTTTTGCCTGGAAACCAAGGAAGTCCTCAAACGCCGTTCTTTTCGGATTTGCTTTCTGTTATTTGGGGTCTTGACGAATTAATTTCAACCTTTCTTACATAAAAATGATCCCCTCTCCTGATCTCTTTTCGTCGTCTTGATGATAGCGGTACAAACTTGTCCTGAAACAGGCCTGCCAAAATGAGCCGTGGCCCATTTGCTCAACTCAGATGGCTTCAAGGGTGGATTGGTTTTCTCGTACTTTTCTGCTACGAGGTTTTTGAGATCATCAGGCAGCGCTTTTGGCATTTTTTCTCTTTCTGTTTTTGTCTTTGAAAAAGGCTGGCTGTGGTGATATTCTCGAAATGCGCGCCCTGTTTTATGGAAAAAATGCGCCACTGTGGAATTTCGATCGAGCTAAAAATAGAAAATGCTGGGGAATTCCTTCGCGAAGTGGGATTGTCAGTTTTGCTCACTGTTCATTGAAGTTCGATTCAATCGGTTGATACTTTGAAAATTTATTTCACAAGAACAGAAGGGAATTTTTGCTTTAGTTGTTGAAAAGTTCGTTCCAGTTGTCGATTAGATCGGATCCGAATTCAGGCATTTCTGTCGACAAGTCAATGTAATCGTAATCGTCTCTTCTTGCTCTTTCGAAGCCTGGTGCACTCAGCAAAAATGCCGATATTCCTAGAATAAAAGTTATTTTAGACAAATTTCAGGGTAAAATCAAAAACCTTGAAGTAAAAAACTGATCTTCATTATTTTTCTTGTTATCTGATGCGTTAGTGAAATGATCTCCAGACTAAAAGAACCGCGCTTATATGGAAGGAGCGAATACTAAATTATTCTCCATCAAGTGGTGAATCTTGATCCCTCGATTTCCTCATCCCTGCCAGAACTCGTAAAATATTGAATTTGACATGAACTGAGCCGCCAAGTCTGCAGAGAACATGGAAAATGACACGACGATTTTCTACAATTCCAAGCCGTTTGGTGGGTCTATTTGATGCTTGTCTATTTATACAATGAACTGTATGTTGTTGGAAAAAGTTTTGATGCATCCTGTCTGCAAATAAATTTATTTTAGATATAAGCTTATTTTTTGAGCTTTGGGATGAGCAATCCAAATTTCTTTTGGGATGGTAATTCATTTGAAAGGCATTTGAGAAAACGCATTTGAAATCTCCACCGCGGACGATAATTCTTATCTTTTATTGTTAACCCTCCCCGGAGGCAAAGAGCTCCAGCGTTTTCAATAAAAGTTTGAATAAATTCAAGCTGAATTTTTCGAATTTCATAAAACATGAAAGAGAAAGTCAAAAAGAAATCACAAGTCGAAATCGACAATAATGAGCCGCCACATGTTAAAACCTTCATTTTCCTATTCTCGCTCGCGGTTTATGGATCAACATGCTATCGAACACTCCCTGGTGGAGACTCGGCGGAGTTGGTGACGGCCAGTATAGAGCTCGGGGTTGCTCACCCGCCTGGATATCCTTTGCTGATGATTCTTTTGCACATTTGGCTTTCTCCTTTGATATACATTTTCGATGCTCCAGGAAGGGTTCACTCTAGCATAAGTGGAAAATCATGCCAAGTTCTTAGAACAGTCAATGTTAGAACTTCCACTGTTGAATACCAAGTTGAATCCTCCAAATAGAATATGTAACATTTGCTTCATCTCTCTTCAACTCCTTCATCGCGTCTCTTGTCGCTGTACGACTGTATTCCCTCGCTTCAAAAATAACCGGTTCATGGCGAGCTGCCCTGTTGACCTCATCAATTTTTGCCTTCTCCGTGAACACTTGGGAGTGGGCTTCGAATCTGGAGGTTTTTACTTTGAATAATCTTCTGTGCATTTTCCTGCTTGAAGCGATGGTGGATTTCTTTGCCAAAAAGGATGAAATGGAAGATTCTTCACATGAATTCAAACGGGGGATTTTCTTCTCAGGCCTCGCACTGACAAACCAGCATACTTCCGTTTTATTCGTCTTGCCCATCGCTCTCATGGTTTCGTTGAAGACGAGATTGTCGGTGGATGTTGTCAAGACTTCTGTCATCATGATTTCTATCCCTTTGTCTATCTACCTTTACCTGCCTCTATCAGCGTATTTTTCGAACGCCAAGTGGACTTGGGGCGATTCAACAAGCATCGACGGAATTCTAACACATGTTCTTCGAGCTGAATATGGCACCTTCTCACTCGCCTCAGGCCATGCTGGACGTGGCCTCGGGGTGATGCTCTCCTTCAACGCTTGGCAGTTTATTGAGGACTTTTCAATTATCGGCTTTCTTGTCGGAATTATCGGTTGCTTCCTATCGTTTGCCAAATCTGGGAAATCAACTCTAAGGCTGCTGATGATTTTTATATTCTACACTTGGTTCTTCAATTGGCGATGCAATTTGGACCCAGAAAACGGGCTTTTCAAAGGTGTTATTCAGCGATTTTATCTTCAATCTGGAATTATATTTTCTATTTTTGTCGGTCTTGGCAGCGATTTCATCGTAAAACTCTTGCAAAACAAAGTTCCGACAAAATTTTTACATTTTGGCCTTCTTTCTATCCCAGTTTTTCTTGCCGCAAGAAGGTATGAACAGATGAACTACAGTCGATTCACCCACGTGGCTGATTTCGCTGATCATTTGGCCATGAGTTTTCCCGAGAACTCTATCATTCTGATGAAAGGAGATTTGCCCTCGAATAGCTTGAGGTTTCTGGATATAGGAACTGTTCAAAAAGCCTTGATAAGCTTCCGATCGTAGAAATCAATTTTTGAACGGATAAAAGCTGAAAAACGACGCCCAGATTGCTCCTTCATCGACACTCAACCAATGACCTATCCTTGGTACATCAAAATGCTTGGCCACCATTTTCCCGGAATAAATTTCCCTGGAAAGCGGTATCATCTGGAAGGAAAGCCTGGAGACTTTTCCCTTTCCGATTTCATAAGAAAAAATGCAGAACGAAATATCTTCGGATGCATTGGGCTTCAGGAACTGGAGAAGATTGAAGCTCGAGGGGATATTTGGGCAATGCCCTGGGGTGTCTGCGAGCAGTTCTTTTTGAAGAGCAACTTTAGTGGAGAGAATTGGGATATTGAAAAGCAAGAGACATACGCTTCCTCTCGATTGTTGCTCCAGACTTGGCCGCACCTTCCGTCTGAAAAGTCGGATCTTCCAGATCATAGTTGGGAAAAAGTCGCCAATGATGAGATTTACGCAGCGATGGTCAAGTCTGCGATGTGGAGCTTTGACCAAGCTGAGGAGATGAAGAAAGCTGGCCAAAGACGCGCTTTTTTTACGGTTGGATTCTTATAACTTTTGATAGAGCTAACCAAATCTGAAGTTTTTGGGATCAAAATGATTCTCTCGAAAAACTTTAATTTTCCAATGCATTAGATTTTGAAAATTAAGTACCAATTTTCCGGAAATGATTTCAGGTACTCCAAAATATTTTAAGATCGGGACGAAACTAGTACCAAAAAGATCGCCAGAAAATTTCATGAAGAATGATACCCAACTTGCTTCTTTTCGAACATGTCCTTACAAAATAGACGGTAATCGGATTTCAGTACTTTTGGGTATCTTGAGCTATTGATAAAATGCTCAAAAAGATAGATAATAGTCTGGTAATAGTATCAATCTTCATGAAATTTTCTGGCGATCTTTTTGGTACTAGTTTCACCCCGATCGAACAACATTTAGGGGTACCTAAAATCACTTCCGGAAAATTGGTACCTAATTTTCGAAATCTAATGCACTGGAAAATTTTTATTTTTAGAGAGGAGCATTTTGAGCCCAAAAACTCCAGGTTTGGTTAACTCTATCAAAAGTTATAAAATCCAACCGTAAAAAAAGCGCGTCAAAGGGACAAAGCAAAGAACTACTACAAATGGTCTTTTGGCTTCTACAAGCGAGCAATCGAAGAAATGGGAGTGGAAAAGACCCCGTCGTATTGGTTCAAAAATGCTGCGCTCATCCACCCGACGGTTGCCCAACTCGGCCAGGATAACTTGGAAGGAACCGGAAGCTATGAAGAAACATACGAGCTGTTTAAAACGTATCTCGCAAGAAACAAAGAACTCGGCATCGTGACAGACGATCAAGAAGCAGTTCAAAAAGCAATTGACGACATAGGAAAGTTCTTAGGAAAAACATAACCTGTACAATTGAAGCTACTACTGTCTAAATATATAAAAAAATATGTCCACCTCGAGTCACACCTATTCATTCATTTCAAATCATGCAAAAACGGAAAACCGTCATTGGAAAAATCGCCCATTTGATAGTGTTTGATTCAGTGCAATAAAACCGCGCTCTTGAATGGGTTTACGGCCATGCATAGTGTGTGCCCAAGCCCGGGCTCTCTTGCATCAAAATCATTCACGGTAAAAGAGTGACCAGAGAGCAAGTGGACTTGAAAAGAGGCTAGATTTGTAAGATAAGCGACCGATTGAACGCAAAAAATGACGATTAGAGGTGTTGGTATTTTGATGGGCATGGCTGGTAAGCTAAACTGTTCCAAAAACCTTGTAAAGATACCGTTTTTAGCTTTGGGAGGCGTTATTTGGTGCCTATTCGACCGACATTGGCGAGTTTCCGTCAATTACAACACACCAGGAAACGCCATGCCTACAGTGAGCTATCACGAAGGACTTTGGCATCGCTGCTCAAATTCCTACAACCTCGGTGGCCAGTCAAAGTAAGCATTATCTCTCTCAGGCTTTTTTACGCGTTTCTAGCTGCGCCAAAATGATGGAAGCAATCAATCACCTGCCGAGCGAGTTGATTTTCCAGCGCGGTTTCGCCGTTTTTGCCGCCATTGCTGGAGGAGTTGGTGTTCTTTTCGGAATGGCTTCGGCGCAGAGAATCAATTTTGGTAAGAGTCCCACGAATTTCTTTTCTATAATGAAAATTCATAGCTGCAAAGCAAAAGGACAAGAACTGCTGTGCCACCTTGGCCGGGGTTTGCTACTGTATTATGGCGATTTGCATCATTGCCGCTGCTTCTTGGTCGGCTTCGCATACGTTGAAAGATAGCAAGTGGGACTATGGCATCATCAATCAAGCAGGTACGATGCTTTTCACGGTTTCTTGTGTTGAATAAGGTTAATACAGGATACAATATTATCTACACGATCGGAGCGGATATCTACATCGGTTGGGTTACTGGATGTGTGGCATTGATCGCCGGGTGTATCATGATCTTCACAAGCTGCAAAAATGACGAATACGAGGACGATTTGGTAAGACATCCATTCATAATAGAGCTAAAACTATCTCTAGGACTACAACACGACTCAATACGCCCCACCAAATACCTACAATACTTCTGGGAACAAAGAGTACTGCTAGATTTTTCCTTTCCTATAAAAAAAAACTGCACTTTGAAATAAACTTACAGAAGAAAGTCAATCTTCCAACTTCAGTGTTCTATAAAGTTCACTGTAGTGGAGAGAAATGAAGAATTTTGGCTGTGAGTGGTTTTAAAATTGGCAGATCAAAAGAGTTTTGAAAGAAAAAAGGCGGATTTGGAGGTCGCAAAAGGTGTGATACATGTCAGAAATGTGAGTTTTGTCAGGAGAAGGGGAGGACATTCTAAAATGAGGTTTTCGCCTGCCATTCTTCCCAGGCTTCGGTCCATTCTTGTTGCTCTTGCTTCGTTCCAAGCTCAAGAATATCCGCTTTTGTCAGGGCTAGGTAAGCCTTATCCGCGATCGCGCGTTTTCGAGCAGCAAGGACTGAAAAAAATTGCTCATTTTTTTCTCTAAATCTTTGAAAACTTACAGTCTTTCTTGTACTGTTCTGTCGAGAGCGCGAATTCTTTCTCGAGCTTCTTTTTGTTCTCGCTTGTCATATTTTCGAAAATTTCCTTCGTGGACCCTGGGAGCTTCATCTTCTTCGTAATCTGCAGTTTATTCGTTCTGATAGGGAAACTCCGCTGCTTTCGGATATTTTTGCGCATTTCCGTGTCTGAGATCTTTTCAATCTTCAAAATTGGGTCGATTTCTGGAACATAAGCGTCAAAAGCGGCGGTTTTCTTCTCCCAAAAGTTCTGGAACTCGAAGAGATCAGAGTCTTCCCCGTGAAGGATGATTTCTTCTTTAGTCAAAAGATTCCAGTTTCGATCGTTGAGAAGCTTTTTCGCGATCGCTCCGTTTCTAGCGTCGTTTTCCGCGGTTCTTTGAAGATGCGTTTTCTCGGCAATTTCCTTAGAAAAGGTAAGAAAATACAAATGAAGAGCGCTACCTTTTGAGCTGGAGAAAGTTTATTCCAAGCTTCGCTAACATCCGCTGCAGATAATTTTTGATCCTTGAGCTTTTGCCGCAGTTCTCTGGCGAACATGACGAAGGGATTTGGCAAGCGTCTGAAACCAAGGGCTTCTCGCTCTTTTTTAGTGATTTTCTTGTCGTTTTGCTTCAGTTGTTCGATTTCTTTCCTCGCTAGAATCGCGGAAACATGCGGAATGTAGCTAAAAAGGTTTAAGGGTGTAACTTGAGGACAATTTTTACCTGTTGAAAAGAGTTCGATCGATCATTTGATCGTTTTCGGAGGCATTTTGGTCGAAGAAAGCGGGGATCCAGTGAGTTTTCTCGTATTTTCTTTTGAATTCTTCAGCTTTTTCAATGTCGCAAGAAAAGTAAGCAGTTGCTAAAATGGTTTATTACAGATAAATGAAACAAAACGGCAGGAAAGCATAAATCTGCTTCTAATTATCCGAAGCCGCAAGCCGCTTTTTGGTTGCTTATCAACTGTCTTTTTTACCTAGATCAAGGAAAAACTTCTCATCTTCAGGGGCAATCGCGGCAAATTGCTCCGCTTCTTCAACAAAATTCAAAAGCTGGCAGGAAGACACATTTTCGAAGTCCTCGATTTTCCCGATGCCGGAAGAAGCCGCGATTTGGGAGACTTTCTTGAGCTGGAAATCGCGGCGGTTGTTCTTGAAGTTGGTGAGCTCTTGGTCGGAGAGGGATTCGAAGGGTTTGGATGGATTCAGAGAAGCGTAGAATTCGGGATCGGAAAGAGATTCGGAGACAGAAGCAGCGGCTTAATTTGATCATTTGAAATTAATGGACGATAATTTAACGTCGATAAATAAAACATAAATTTTATTCTGAGTGACAATATATTTTTAATGCGAACTCATTAACTTACCCAAGTCATATCGCCAGCCTCGTTTGGAAGCAATCTCCGCTAAATATCGAAGATTTCTTCTGATCATTTTTCTCTAAATTTTCTCTTTCAAAAATTCCGAATTCAGCGCGGCGCGGTGATCCTCCGAGTCAGAAGAGCGCTTGCTGGAAGACCCGCGGTGGCTGGAAGATCTTTTGTTTGAAGACAAAAAGAATAATTACATGAGAAGGATTTGGGACATTATTGGTGACATCATGAACTGACGAAAAGGAGGAAATAGTTGTGTCAGAAATATTCGAATTCCTATGCTAGGAATATGCATTTTGACGCCATTTCCATAGCGATATTTGTGTGTGTCAATAAAGCAGAAATATCTCCTTGGAACCATTTGCTAAACAATTTAACGATTTTTTGAACAGAGAGGAAGCTCTTTATGCTTATTGATAAAAAATGACTGTAGTAGTCGTTGAACCTCAGCCAGTTGTTTACTACCAAGATCCGATACCGACTTACATAGAGCCAGCTTATCCGGGAACATTCAAATATGGGCTTTTCGATACTTGCTGCGAATGCTGCATTCATCTCGAGATGCTCTTCTGTTGGTACCTTAGAGTTCAAACGGTAGCAGAGTACTTTGGAAGTTCTGGAATTGGATGGTGCTTGCTAAGCGTCTGTTTTCCTTGGGTAAGCTTCTCCATCGACCAAATTTTCTTTGATAAAAGTGACTTTTAGTGCACAATTGCCTTTCAGCGACAGAAAGTCAGAGAAATGCACATGATTGAAGGACACTTATGTTCCGATTGCGCTGTTGCTACTGTAGCCTGCCCTTGTGCGCTCCTCCAAATTGAAGGAGAAGCAAACGGTTAGCTTGAAGTTTATGAATTTGATTCTGAGATATTCAGGCTTTATTAAACCTGCTTGTGGAGGATGTTGCGGCGGTGGCCGTAATGATGATACTTCTTGCTTGCGAAAACTTTGCTGTTGTTATCTTTGCTTGAGGAGACTCAATGGAGGAATCGAACCAATGGAATAAACTGTTTTTACTCGCTTAACTCCGCTCAGAAAATTTGAAACACTTTTTCGATAGAATAACTCTATTCAAACAACTTCGATTAACTTTCGATCAATTTCACACTGATTCAACAGAAGAGAATCTCTTCAAGAGATGTTTCGCTCAAGAATATTTCGCTTGTAGCCGAATAATTTCATCATAACTTTGCATTTAGCCTCAATTTCTTTGATTTCCTTCGATTTGACAAGAGTGCCAGTTTTTCTTCTCCAGCCATCAAAAATTTCGCTTTCATTTTTTGCTTTATTGACAGTAAAGATACCCTTTTGATCTTCCGTTTCCGTATGAGTTGCATTTTCAAAATTCCGAAGAAGATCATCGTTGAGTGGGATTCGAAAATGATCATAAATATATTTCGCTGACTCAATTGGAGTTCTAGCAATATCTTCGTATCGAACGAAAAGTGTGTTTTCCCGAGTCTTGGAATCAAGGAAGAAATCAAGGTTCTTGGCGCAATCTTTGTAGATTCCTTCTTTTGTCGCTTGATCTTTATACAGAGGCCCCATTTTTCTTCGAGAGACGAGCATGCTTCGAGGATCGCGAACTAATCTGATGATTTTGAGGTTATATTTTGGATCGAGCAACTCATAGAGTTCTTCAGGTCCCTCTAGGCGAAAGTCTTTGATAGCTACTCCCTTACGATCTCTGCAGAATTGTTGAAGTTTGTCTTTCCCTTCTGCTGATTTGAATGGATCGGGACATTCCTCAGAACACCACATTTTTCCTTTGGAACAAAATGGTGGACTGCAAAGAGTTTCTGATCCAGACCAGTGTCCGATTGTTGGTTTCAGATGGTGTTTGGAGATTTTATGGTCGTTTTTGCGATTTTTCGGTATTTTACAGTCGTATGCTTCTTTGAGAATGTCAGTATAGTTGGTAACACTTCCAGTTAATGGTTCAAAGTACTTATTCAGGCTCAATCAAGGCAAGAAGGAATCTTTAAAAATGACAATGAGAGCCCTGCATAGAGAAAATCAGGATTTTGGTCAAAAATTGAACCCAAAAATGAGGAGCCAGAGCGAAAGGATGCCGATAAATAGATATTTTGACGATTGGTCCCAGTGTTTTCCTGTTCTTCGATTTGTTCTTTTTCGGAATAAGAAAATTCCGACAGCTCAGTAAAGCTGACAAAAGAAATCAAGGCAAAAACTAAAAGGAGAAAAATAATCGAAACTTTCTCTTTCTTCAACATTTCATTTTTTGTGATGATTTCTTAGAATGACCCGGGTTATAAAAGCGTTTATATTTTGTTAAATTCAAATATTCGCACGACCCCAAAACCAATTGTGTCCGTAAATCATTTTCAAGTAGGATTTTATTAACAGATTGAGGTCAACAAGTATACAGCATGGATTGGTATATTCACGTCTCGCAAAAATGAATCTTCATTTTTCCCGAGTTATTTTAACTTCTTCGTCCTATTTACAAAAAAAGAATACTTACTCGACTGCCATTTCTTTATGCTCTGGCGTCATTTTCAAGTCGTTAGCTTCGGCGGAGGTAATTTTCGTCGAGAAACGGACCACGTGAGCATCAGGCACCTGAAGAGAACATGAAATTTTGATCTTACTTTCTGCAGATTATTTTGTAACTTGATTATTTAATTCACAACTGGCGAGGAGGACTTTCTGGAGAAGAATCGAATAATAATAAATGAAGCTGACAGCTTCAGATTTTAAGATAAGAAAATTTCTCATAAAAAAGACGATTTTTTGAAAATTATTAACTTTGAAATCGAAATTAAAAGTTGGAGATTTTTTACCTTTTCATCGTCGCTCGGTCCAGTCAGCTCATGAATCGAGTTTGGGCTTTGAATCGACCCCCTGGATCCATAAGCCGAGTCTCCCTTCGGCGTCCTTTCTCCTTCCAGCTCTTCAGATCCTCTCCTTTCGATCTTGCAGGGACTGTCTCGTCCGAGATCCCCCTCGTCTTCCGTCCAAGCGGACACTTCCGAGCGAACGGATTTGAAGCTCGCTCGGCGGGTGATTATCGGATGCGGCGTCGAGGAGCCGTCTTTTCGCTGCTTCGGCCGTCGCTTTGGAGTTTTCAATCCTTCGCCAATTGTTTCGACGTAATTCAAAACTGGGTCGAAGGCGATTTCGGACATGTCAGCTAAAGAAAGCATTAAATTAAAGAAAGGGTTCTTAAGTTCATAATTTGAGAAGTTTTCTTTGAAAATTATACCTCCGAAGAAAGAATAATTTTATTTATAAAACATGTCAGATCAAATGTCAAAATAAGCTAGCGATAATAGAAATTATTACCTTGGCTCTCGGGATAAGCTTGTTGTTGGTGCTGTTGCTGATAAAACTGCTGATAATATTCGCCAGCGTAGTAGGGATCGTAAAGTCCTGAATACGAAAAAAAATGAGATAAGAAGAGGAGGAGGATGGGGTTTTAGTAGACGTGTTATTTTTTCCGAAAATGGAAGGAAAAAGGTCTTTTTAATTTCAAAATTGATTCAAAAGAGGTCCAACTCAGCGACCTTTGAGCCAAAAATTTCAGCCAAATTCTCCGTGAAATTCACTCTCAGCCATAAATTACTGAAAAAAGTTGCTGGAGAAGGGGTTCCACGGACGGGAATGGTTCTCGAAGGCGCGATTTCATTAACCCCGAACTGGGCGTCGGCGTCATTTTTGCCAAATTCTTTCAAACATGAGCAAAGTTGAGAATATTGCATTTTTGAAAGAGAGAGCGAGAAATTCTAGCGTCTTCGAATTTTTCATTTTTCTAAAATTTTCTTCGAGAAAAAAATTTTTTAACGAATATTCAAAATCATCACTTTTAGGTGATTTTAAGTTGATTTAGAACCCTGCGCTAGAAAAAAAAAAATGAGCCAAATGATCTTCGACGGGTTAAAAACGTACCTTGTTGCCTGTAGTGCTCTAAATAAGCTTCTGGGTATTGCTGCGCCATATCAAATTGTGCTTGTTGCATCATATTCCCATACGCGTCATTTTGCCAAGCGCCAGGAGCCTGACCTCCGTGCGCTTGTGGGTTAAACTGAGGCTGCGAGAAATAATGAGGAGGATAAGATTGAGTTAATGTGTTAGGATGGGGAAGATTAGGGTTATGAGGAAAGGGGCCTGGAGGAAAATGGCCTGGAGAAGAAATGGGCCGTTTTTGGAGCCTAGCGCGTTGGCGCCGTTTTTGCCGAGAAATGTACAGTAATGAGCAAATACAGCCGAGCAAGATGGCGATTCCACCTTTTTGCGGGTTATCAACGATTCCGGAAATGTATCATCGAGAGCCTTAAGGGCCTTACAAAGACTTGACATGGGTATTATTCAGTACAGTACCAATAATCGTTGAAAGAATTGATAAAGATGCAAAACCACGTTGCTAGAATTCAACAAAGAGGGGCATCATTGATAACCTTTCCTATCGCTCCAAGAGCCAGTTTTAGATTCCTAACCGTCGAAAATTGCGGCGGATCGGTATTGATCCTTGTCCAATTTTGCGAATTCTCAAGTACCAGTTCTTCTTCAAACTGCGGATTCTGATTGTTGAGGATTTCGACTTCCGGAATGCTTGTTGTGCCTTCAGAAGTCGTTGAGGTTGATGGCGTCGGTTTCATTTTCCCGGCTCTCGAGTTTGAGTTTTGGAGCTGATCGCGAATTTCCTTGAGTCGAGCGGAGCCGGTTTTAACCCGCTGCTGCGCGGGCTTCTGGTTCTGGCCGGTATCTGGTTCTTCCATGGTCGTCTGTTTTATTTTCGAAGAGTTCTGAAGGAAATGATGAATATGATGTTATATTTGAAAATTATTTGCTTGTAGAAGTTGATAGGTTAAAATAACTGCGACTCTAAATCACGCGGAAAAAAACAGAATTTGCATGAAATGGTTCAAAAATCGCGACCACAGGGAATCAGATAAAGTGCCAAAAAATGACACCGGGAGTGACCCTTTCTACAACCAGAGATTCCTGTAGAGTGGTATGTGGAATGTGTCGGTAATGTCAGGACCGCGACACATTCCGTCTTGGTTTAGCATCTTCATCGGTGACAACATTTTTGGAAGAAAACAGAGAGGTAGAGAAAATATCAGAATTGCGTATGGGAAGCGAACAAGGAAAATTGCCAAACAATGAAGGGCGAAAAACGCACTCGATTTTGTATCACTGGGAAAAGGTAAAAAACCGTAATTTGATCCTGAAAAACATGATCGTTCATGAGAGTCAGATGCAGCTGTATTATGGGTTTTCCTCGCTAAACAAAATTTTTTAAATTATGCGTCGTTTTATTTTGGAATCTAAAAAATGCGCTGCAATTTTTACCTTCAAAACGTGTTTGTGGTTTTCAAAAAGGGAGCCTCAATTGAATGTTAGAAGCACTTTAATTTGCGACGGGTTTTATCGAAAAGAGAGATACATTACAATTGAATGAGCAAATTGCGGCTTCTCTCTCTAAAACGAAACGAAATTTATGCGTCGACCGGTTGTTGAAATGACAAACGAGCTCACCAGGGCTCAAATAGTTTTGACATGAATGATCATTAATGAGCCACGAATGATCGACGGATTGAAAAGTTGTGGCGAGCCCTAGAGGTTCTATTAAGATATTGTCTCGTTTTTTCGTCTGCCTTTCAAAATTGGGGTCCCCAAGGGAGGTTAGGCTTACTCTAAGGGGCTCCTTCTTTTAGGGTCAGGGTTAGGGTTAGGGTTAGGTTTACCAAGTTAATATGGGCTCTGAAAATGTCAGTAAAAGCTTTTTATCTTGAATAAAAACATGCATATTCGATAAATCAAAGCCCAATACCTGGACTTTGCGGTGGCTCTTGAATTTTTAGTAGAACTTCTAATCCGAATTACGGCTAGATCGGCTAGATCGTGAAAATCTCTCGCCCGATCAAGTTTCGAATTCCACCTCAATCGGATTCTCCTAAAAAATCCTCCACTTTTCGAGCCACGTAAAAATAATTGCTTTAACAAAAGATTTTCGCAATTTAAATTTTTTGTATACAAAGAGCTTCAAACAAGAAATGCGCTGCAACCGCAATTTTGTTAAACCAAATCGCAAAATATTTATAATTTTTAAAACCCAGCTAGTTTTAGAATGTTTTTAAGAAAACTGAAAAATAAGAAGAATTTATTACGGAATTCTTAAAATTTTAAAGCCTTCAAGTTTTTTTTCAGCTGACGTTATCCTGTTCCACTTATTTTCTCAGATGTCAAGGAGCGTAATTTTTGACATTCTATTTTGACATTTCGACAAAGTAAGTCATGTCATACTGAATAAACGATACTAAATGCTCGCGCTTATATGAACAGTGTTTTTGACTCAACATTTTCTGAAATCATGGATGAGAAATAGAAAAGAAAGTTTCACATTCGTCGCTTTATTTGAGTACATTTAGGTAAGGATTAGGGTTAGGGTTAGGTAAAGGGTTGATTTTCCTCTTTTTTTCAACCCTTTTTTCGGCATTTTCTTCTGTCGATTTTCCCAGAAAAATCATTCATCTATCATTTTGCCCAATTTTCGCGTCACTGCTTTCTTTCCCATGAAGTCCGGAAATGCGAGAAATAAGCGTCAGTAAGTCGATTTAAAAATTTCAACTTTTCCCTTTCCCACAGAGCGGACTAAGCGGACGTCAAACGTGCCATTTTAGGAGTCCTCTATTTCTAATTTGACGTGGGGACAACTTATCAAATTCATCAATCCCCGTCAGTATCAATTTTCCGATCGTTTTTCAAAAATAACTCGCGAAAAAGACCACTTTTTATTTGATAAATGAAAAAAGAGATTCTGAATCTCTAAAAGTGGGAAAACCCCAAAATCCTAATTTTCAAATGCCAGTAAAATGCGGCCAAAAACTTTCACTTCCGGTGGCCGCGAAAATTATTGAAATTTTTCAATGTCAAAATTTCAATTTCCGGCGCGTTATTCTTCGAAACTTATCGAATTTTCTTCTTATCAGTGATAAGGGGAGATGATTTCCTTGTTCGGAATGTAAAACTTGTAATTCGAAGCCGCAAGATTCTTTAATCATCTTAATCGTTTATTACTTCATCCTCATTTATCATCAAACACGTCCTCTTTCCGGCCCTCTCTTTCTCTTCTTTGCCTCCCTCAAGTGCCTTGTCGAGATTGTGATTCTTGGCTTTAGGCTTAACCCTAGAGTCTACTCGGCTCGAGTTATTACGTAGAACGAACGTGGACGAGGGTTGACCTTGCCGCTCAGCGCAAAATATTATTCCTAAAGCTAGAGAGCGTTTTCCAGGTGGAAGATGGGCGGTTATTTGCTCGCTAAAAGTAAGCGTATTTGGACGAGTTTAGCGCTCGATTTTTGCGTCACAAGATAAATCAACGAAGAAGAGCCAGAAATTGGAAGATTTGCGGTTTCTTCATAAATCAGATTTTCTTCAGAACTGTTCTAAAGCTCTCTTCTTTGTCAACCGAAGGACTAAATCTCGACCCTTAAAAATGTCTTGTACTGAAATATGGTTGTAGGCGGTCACCTGGGTTTTTAAACCCAGAGTCGCAAAATGCCCAGTTTGGGATTACTAGTCCCAGGAGGCAAAATTCTTGAGTCTGGGTTTTTCAAAACCCAGGCTCGCCACTTCTGCGAGCCTGGGATTGTCAAACCCAGGTTACCGCGTTTTATCAATAAGTTGAGCCCGGGTTTTTTTTTGCTTGACCAAACAAGTTTCTAGGGTTCACAAGCTTCAGAGGATAAGAAAAAAGACAGATTCGGCAGCAGAAAATTACTAAATCTAAGTGCCCCTAGCCACGGGGCTTCGCCCCTTAGGCCCTAAGATGCCGGGGTCTAGTCTATGGTTACTTAGGGTTACCTTCGGTAACCCTAACTAACCCTAGCCTATCCCCCTCGGGTAAGACTGTTCCGTCATTTTGCACAGTGCCCCCTAACACTAACCTCAAGTTATAGAAAGTACTTAAAAATAAATGTTTTTGTCTTAAAAGTAGGTGTTTAGCAGGATTGGTAGAAATTTTATCTTTTTTTTATTTCTAGACGACGTGGAAATTGTTTTGGTACGAGCAAAAAACCCAGGTTCAACTAACTGATAAAATGCGGTGACCTGGGTTCGGCAAACCCAGGGTCACAAAAGTGGTGAGTCTGGGTTTTGAAAATCCCAGACTGAAGAATTGGACGATCTGGGATTGGTAATCCCAAACTGAGCATTTTGCGACTCTGGGTTTAAAAACCCAGGTGACCGCATACCACCTGAAATATGCCTCGGTTTTCTCCCCCCTCTAGAGCTCGGTAGGAGCTTATCAGGTGCCTTTCAAGTCGGATTATGCAAAGTTTCTTACTGATAAGCTCCCTTTTCGCGCCTCTAGAAATTCTCCAGATGCTCCTTAGTTTTGCAAATATACCGATAAGAAGAAGAACCCTCTTTCTTATCAAATGATTGACCATAAAATGATAATGGCTCTCTCAATCGCGTCCATTAAAGTCATTCTTAAATGGTCAACCCTTTTCCTCTTAAAGAGATTAAATAAAAAGAGAGCGTAGACCGGTTCATCTGTCAAGCCGCGGTTCTCAATCTAACCACCTTTGGCCCCCCAATTAGCGGTCACGGGGCAGCGACTTTTCGGGTACCGACTCTCGGCAGGTGCTCACGGGTCTTATCGCTAAAATGACCAGGCTTAAAACGGGAGGGGGAATTTAGATTAATACTTCCGCAAAGTGAAAGTGAAAGAAAGATTTTAGCAATACAGAAGAAAAAAGGGATCAGCTTGAAAATCCGATAAAAACACGATACGGTACTGTTTTGAAAATCCAATCAACCTTGCGCTGGAATTTCCGAAATTCCTGCCGCAAAAATACAAAAAGGATGGAATGAAACAACGCTCTCCCGCAACGTGCAACGGTTGTTTTCCTTTCCCGCTGCTGTCATTGTTTGTTTTGTCTGGCAGACAGGTTCAAACTCTTGTTTTTTGATTAGCTCGATGAATTTTGATTGGAAGCTGTTTTTTGCTTGTATTGACTTCTAATGAGCTTGAATATAAACTGCAACGTCATCAAAAACGCTTTTTCGGAGAGATACCCTTAACGATTTTTTCACTAAAGCGATGAATCTGTTCTTCATGACTTTTCAATTAGAACTGAACATTTTTAAAGCCGCTTTAGCTTCAAAAAACGTAGATTTTAAAGTCATCCGCGGCCTTTTGCAAGCCTGCCGTGCTTAACTCTAATCCGGCTACCACGTCATAAAAGGGCTCTGCATGTATAACACCGATTATGTCAATCCGGCTTCAAGATAAAATGTTAGAAAACTCCCTTTTACAAATTGCCCTTCGTTAAATTGTCCATTTCAAAGCAAAAACAAGCTTTTTTCGAGACAAAAAAAAAACGATTCTTGATATTTTAATTGACTTCTTATTTTGAAGAAATAACAGTCTTCCCTCCAAACAGTTATTAACGACTCTGTTTTCAGACAACCGTTAGCGCATTTCTCGCATAATTCCGCCAAATAATTGACCACCCGTAAATAGCGCGGTTCAAACATGACAGAATCCACGCCATTGTTCGTGCATTTTATAAAACGGCACTTATTCTTTTTTTAAAGAGACTTGTAAGACATTTTAGCATCTGTTGGAAACAAGTTGATTACTATTGGTGCACTCAAAAAGAAAACAAGACAAATGGCTTTTTGAAAGTAATTTTAAACAATATTTTTAGAGAAGAAAATATTTTTAATATTATTATTAATATTAATAACAATATTTAAAATTTTTATTATATAATATTATAATTAATATTAATATCAATATTTTATATTTATATTCAAAATTATGAATAATTTGCTTTATGAATTTATTTAATAAATTAATATTATTATTATTATTTTTTCTGACTATTTAGAGCCCAAAAATATTTACCTTATCAATTTTGAATTTCTGCTAAATCTTCAGTCTTGGATTTAACTGCGTCGTTTTCTGAAATAGAGAGTCAGTTGATAAATATTTGAAAGGGTTTATTTTTGTTGATCCAGACACAAAAAAACCCATTATGAATCATTTTACTGCAATATTTTTCTAACAGCATGAAGAGCATTTAAAATGACCGCTCAATATTAATATGAAATCATATTGATTCTATGATGCCGGGGCGCGAACTTATGGCGATTCGAGTCCATTACGAAGTGAAAGACAAAATATCGACGATATTGATGATGGTTTTCAATTTGCGTGGTTGAGGTTGACTTTTCAAATCTGATTTGTCTCATAAGAGATTGTCAAAAATAGCGAGACAAGGATAGAGAGGTTGAAATGACAAATGAGGTAAGAAAAAATCTGCTGGTTTTTTAACCCTCTAGGACATTTTGACCGTATTTTTGGTGGATTTGAGAACAAAAGATTTGAAAATTTCTAAGGACAGGGTAGGGTCCGGCATGATTAGGACCAAAAATTTAATTTCAATGAAACTTCACGATTCCACTAATTCGATCCTAAGGAATTCAATTCCGTTCACTGATTCTCCCAAAAACCCCCCATTCAGCCCTTTTCAGGGCTTTAATGAAAATTTAAACGGAGAGCCAAGTGCGCTCTGATTGGTCAGCTCCGCCGAGCGATTTTAAATACTGCCCGAATGATTCCCTTGGTGGCTCAAATGTTAGCGCTCTCGCTTGACAAGCAAGAGGTGGTGAGGTCGAATCACCTAAAATCAAATTTTTTTTCATCGAATTTTCCTCCAAAAAGAAGACCATAAAATGCAAAGTCACACTTTTTTGAGGAAAAATATAAGCTATTGAATAATTTTCGTTATTAAAAAAAATTTAATTGTAAGATAATAACCATAACGAACCTAGAAATAGGGATAATTTTAATTTTCATGTAAATGGGTGTGGGTGGGGTTGGGGACAAAACTGAGATTGATCACCTCAGAGTTAAATGCCTTTGTCAAGCCCCTTAAAGTTAAAAATCAAGGAACGGGGCTGAGACGGCCCGAAGGTAGGTAGTTAGAAGTTAGGTAGTGGTTATGCTAGGTTAGAGTTAGGGTTAGGTTTATGGGTTAGGGTTAAGGTCAGGCTTGAGAACAAAAACAAACGAATTATTCGTTTTAAAAAACGAATTACTCGTTGGAAACAAGGAATTATTCGGTATGTAACGAATTATTCGTTTGGAAAACGAATTATTCGTTCCAACGAATTATTTTCACCGGTTACCGGAAATCAAGGCCCTTATTTGTGATTCCTCAACAAAAATTGAAGAAAGCGAATTCTAAAAATTATTTCCCTAAGAATACAAGACCCTCGCCCAAGTCTAAATGAGCGTTCTCCAGTTTTTCCTTGAAGTGCAAGCTTGGAGAGTGTCCTCCGTGTCAGCCAATCAGAGCGCCGCGCTGCTTTCCCAGGAAAATCAAAATAAAGAGTCGGACTTTAAAATCAATTCACAAAAAAAGTCCAGTGAGTTAGAAGAAGTTTAAAAAGCAAAATTTATTATTTTTTTATAGTCTTTCTAAAATGACTAGGCCCGGAATTGTGAGCGACCTAGAAACCCAAAAAACCGAGAGAAATCGGCGATTTAGAAGATTTGCCGGGCTTCAAGTGCCGGCATATTTTTCGCCGTATTCGATAACCTAGGTTATCCTATGATTTTCTTTGGGGGTGTAGTTTATTTTGCCCTTTGAAAAATCGAGTCCTCCGATCGTGTCGGACCCTAGGACAGGGGCTTTTCCAGTGTTCATTCAAATCCGTGCCACTGAAAAAATGGTCTTTTCAGGATTAAATTAACATAAAACTAAAAAGAAAGCGGAATACCAATAGTCAAATCCTGGCCGCGCACTTCCGCGCATAAGACGCGCCGGCTTATACCGGACCGCGGCGCGGTTCTGATCCAAAGCTCAGATTGGATCCCATTAGCGCGAGGCTCACAGAAAATTTCCGAAATTCGGCCCGCGCCAGTAATTCTTCAGCTTATCCGTTTTGGACGAAAATGCCAAAAATATTAAGTTTTCAGGACCAAGAAAACCTCGCTTTCTTCTTTGTCTTACAGTACTACCTACTGTTGATTGTGCTATTTTCGCTTGTTAACCCGTAACAACCACGTGCTCACGGATTACCAAAAGTGCCAATTTTGGCTCCGAACCATCCGCGTGAAAGCCCTGCTCTCCTGGTTAAATGAAATTAACCCCTCAGCGCTTGACAAAACAAAAATTGAACGAGCGAGCTGCGGAACCTGAAATCTAAACTTTAATCGACTCGTTTTCGGGCTTGAAAAATGAGCTCGAAGGAGGCGGAAAGGCGGATGCGCAAGAATTTCAAACAAGAACATTTTCAAAATGATTTTTTGTTCAAGCAAAGAAAAAAAAAGAGAGGATAAGACGTAGTAAATTGTTGATAACCGCAACATCCGAAGGATGCTAAAAATTCTATCTTTCTAAATTTCGACTCAAAAAGATAAATTTTTGGCACGAACCAAGAGGAGGAATAGCGTTTTTTCGACAACCAATAAGATTGCTGTATTTGGCCTACCGGCCAATCAAAATCCAGATCCATCAAATCACTTTCTTTACCCAAGATTTGGCTGTGCCGATCTACCGAGAAAATACTGAGCTTTTTAAACTTTTTAACCCACTGGCGCAGCGGCCCTCAAAACTCGCCAAACATGTTCCCCCGAAGTCCTCAAGCGTCGATCCAGATCGCAATCAGAAATTCGCCTTCTTTGCGCGCGCTTATCCTGAGTGGAACTTTTCAAAATATTCACATTCTGAAACCAAAATATCCCTCTTGTATAAGTTCCAGATCTAACTAGCGCCCTGACATTTCATTTCAAAGTTTTCTATTTTGGTTACCGATTTCATAAGCTACCCAAAACTGCCCACTTCCAAAATATACCAGATTTGCTTAAGATTAAAGTTACATAATCAATTTAAAATTTCTAGCTCTTGGATGCCGAAAAAGACGAATGCAAAAAGCTCGCGATAATATTTCCCATCGTCATTGTCCTCTTGGGAATCTTGCTCTTCACCGACTATAAATTTAAGGGTCTCAAATCCTTAATTTTAATTCAAAAATACTAAAATAGCAAAAAAAGACCCCTGAAAAAGTAGATTTTTATGCGATTTTGAAGTACAAAATTTTGAAATTTCCGCGGCTGTCGAAAAAGGGAAAGAACGGCATTGAAGATTCACTGATTCCAGTAAGTAGAAAAATAAGGCTGTCACTACGATAAGTTAATTTGGAAGAAAACGTTGACTTCTTTGAATAAAATTAGCTATTAATGAAGTTTGTCAAGTTAGAAATCAACGTCGAAATCCGACTTATCCATAATTCGATTTTCCAAGTTTTCTTGCAGTTTAACAAACAGTCCCAAGTGTTAGCATGAACACGAAAAAAATTAAGTGGGGCAAAATATTTCCCGTGAAAAGACGAGTTTTCTGCTCCTATTTCTCTGTTTGTTTCCAGTACCAATATTTTGCGTTTTGATAGGAACACTCTATTGAGTAGAAGAAATGATTGGGAAACAAAGTCGTTGATGGAAAAGGCTAATTTCTAATTAATTTGCATCAGCATCTTAATTGCCCATTGTTTTTCCCAGAATAAGGATGAAACAAAGGATCAATTATTGACAGTAAATTTAAAGCGAGCATTATGAATTTGTGTGACCATCTAAATATTAGATTTTACAACATGATAATTCTCCTCCTCCTCACGTTTTCTTAAGTACAGTGCCCTCTTTCCGTCACTTGCGAACATGATTGGAAGCACATGTAACATCGATCATACAGAACAGGTAACAATTACTGTAAAAAAGAAAGAGATAACGCTGTTTCAGCCGGATTTGATCCAAGGAACCATCAATAACGGGGTTCAAAACAAGGAGAATACGAATGAGAAAGTCACTTCCTTCGCGAAAATTCGCCATTCCTTGACTCGAGCTGAATCTGATCCAAAAGTTGAAACGATTGTTTAAAACAAAAAAAAAATAACCTTCGAAAATTTTTGGTTTCTTATCGTCCTTCCTCAGCACTAGTCAGATCAAGACCTACGTGCTAATGATAGCGAATCGCTATTAGCAAGCAAGTAATAAGCAGCGCGGCCGGCCGCAATTAGAAAGTCTTCTGGAGGGCCAAACGACGAATTACTCTGAGAGGTCATTACGCAGGATTCGGGCTCTTGGGAGGCTGAAGGTGAGAACATTCGGTGTCTAATTCATCTAACGCCGCTTCTACTCTTTTACTCTGACTCTTCCGCGTTTGTAATTACTCGAGTTTAACTCGGTTCAGTTTCCAATTTTGAGGGGTCATTTTCCATTTTAAAAATTACAAAAAAGTCAGCATAAAAAATCCAATTTCGCAGGTGTCTAATAAGAGAACACCAAAGAAGCAGAATTGGATTTTTATCACCTCGTAACCGCCAGGTGAAGCCGTAATTGAGCTGCTCGCCACGTGGGTCGATGGTAAGGACCCATCGTTAGAAAAAAGTTGTTGTGGTTTTTGCTTACAAAATTGCAAGAAAAAAACTGGGTTTGACTTATGCAATTGTTGAGACTTGAGACTGGAGTCTTGAACTTTTTCCTAACTCGAATTGGGGCAAGCCATGAAAAATTAATGAAAGAATGGTTTTGGCAGCTTCTCAAATCATTATTTTGGCAGGTTCTTTTTTTGATTGATTACTGTACACTTTTTTGACGCAAAACCGCATTTATGCAGAGAGAGGAAGAGAGGAAACTAATTAAAACACAACATACATCCGCAGCTCTTTGAAATGGAATATCAACTAAATATGCAAATTGATTACAAAGTTCATATCTACAGTTTTGTCTGAAATGAAAAACCGAAAAGTTAAACAAAGAAAAGAAGAAAGTTTTAGGACAGTAGTTCTGCCAAACCTCGGGTCTGTGGGAAAGGGACGCGGGGGAAATGGGATTAGGTTTTTCCAGTTATGAAACAGATTGGGGTTCGTTTCTTCTGGAATACTGTAGTAACAGAAGAAACGACTTATGGTGTTAGAATTTTCTGAGTGGAAATTCAATTACAAAAATCTTTTTTTTAAAATGAAAGAAATTCTATAATATTTATGCTTTCCTGTTTTTTTTTGTCTATCAGACAGTGTCTGGTAGACACGTCATTATTGTTATCTAAAAATTCTGTCAACCAGACGAAGCGAGAAAATTAGAGCGTTTCTAAATGAGTTCATCAAGTGACCTAGATTGCAAGAATTTCTATAGAAATAGATCCCATAAATTAATTAGACGAAAAAGAATAGATATCTTGCAAGAAAAGGAGAGATTAGTCCTCTGCGTGCTCGTTCTTGTTTCGGGAGTCGTGGCGAGAGCGTCGGACAGAGCGACCGACAACTCTTGCTTTTGAATTCTTAATCGAGAAACAGACACGCAGAGTTTTAACCTTTCACATACGACTCATAAGATAACGATAGTTCCTATTTACAAAATAGAGAGAGAGACAAGTACGAAAGAAGAAAAGACAAGATAAAAAAGAAGAAGGTAAGAAAGGACAAATTCTAGTTTTCGGGAAAGGGTTAGGCCCTTAACCGTTAGGGTTAAGTTTTTGGTGAGGGCCGAAAAGCTTGAATGAGTCGAATTTTTGCCTAATTGATTATGATGAAAGAATAAACTCAGAATAACAGTTAAAATTCTTGCATTTTTGCATTCAATAAATCTTCCTGAATCTCAAAGGAATTCAGCAATTATGAAAAATCGTCATTTCAATTTAATGCATTTCTTTCATAAGCAACCTTTTTTCAATATAAATCTAATTTATTCAAGCATAAGATTGATGCATTTCTGCGAAACCCCTTAGCTAGATACTCCCTGACTGTATCTACTGTACGCAGTGTACAATGATAATACCCTCCTTACAGTGTGTTGGTTATTAACGTAGCTAGTAGTAAACATGGCAGCTTGTCAATACCGAACTGACATAAAAGTAAATTACACACATTCATACTCCAGCAGAAAAAGAGAGGGAAAAGGTTTAGAGAGAGAGGAAGAGGGCAAGAGTAAGTGTACAAAGTAAGTTCAACTGTTAGTTCTCCCAAAGATCTTTAAATTTCAAGGGCAAGTAGGAAGGAGAGTTAAAGAGTTGAGTCAAGGAGAGATGCATTTCTTAAACCTTCCTGGTTATTGAATTCTAGAGCGAGCGGGGCACTCGAAAAAGAGGAAGACAATCTAAGTGTCGATTAAAATTCTCATCTAAGAGGACCAGCACAGACAGCAGTTCTTATCACGATGTCAGCTTAGAATACAATAACTATGGAAGGCCTTAAAAATTGAAGAAATTTTTCTTCAGGTCTTTAATTATCAATCATTTTCCCTTCAACTTAATCCTTTTCGCGGTCGATGCCCTCAGCTCTAAAATGAGCAAAGAAAACACTTAATCCTTCTCCTCTTTTTCAGAACCTTCCAAAACGGTCTTTAGCCTAACCCTATAATAAGTTTATTTAGCAAAACCAGGCGGATTTTTCTAAAGCCGTGACCCGGCAGTACGGATTCGCTCAAAAGAGGGAGGGCTAAGTCGCGTCAAAGTGCAATTTCGTGGTCGCGCAGAATTCGTTATCGTGATCTTGGCTGATAATTTGAGGTTGATGAAGTTTCCGAACGAAGAAGTGTCAGTAACTCGAGTTGCGCTGAGCGAGTTTAGAGAACACTTTCCGAGTTCTTCGGACAGAAAAAATGCGCCTCAATTATTTACCAATTAGCGCGTTAATAATTCATTTTCTGCACCATCAGTCAACAAGTCACAATAATAACACGATAATTCATCATTTTTAATACTCTCAAAACTGTGCAAAAACCATTTTCTTCAGGAGAGGATAGAGCGATCAGAACGAGATGAAATCCTGGGCTGCTCAGCGGACTGTTCAAAGACAATAAGAGGAGGATAAAATGAACACTGTTTACAATCGAGACTGGTCCAAGGAAGGTTTTCTCAGATACCAGAGCCCATGTAGCGATAAAAGAGCTCGTTTAAAAACCACGAAAAAAAGCAACCAGAAGACAACATCGAAGAAGATGCTCACATGGTCATCAGGAAATGAGCCAAAAACTCCAAAAGCGAGAGAAAGTCCAAAAGTTCTTTATCTTATTTGAATCATTCAAAAAGTGTGATTCTTTATTCGATGGGCTTGGTTCTTGGCTTGCTCGTTTTGGTCGCATTTTATGACTTATTCAAGGAATGGGTGACCCTGATGTTTGCGGTGCCTGCATTTTTCAGAGATAGAACTCATCTCGTAACTTGTTCGAAAGTCCATTCGGCATATTCTATTTTTCATGTGTTTTAGACCGGCTTGATTTATTTTTCATCGTTTTCTACTTTTCTATAAAGCTACATCTGATCATTTGAAATTTTAAAGAGGCGGGGAAGCAAGCAAGAATAGGCAAAAACTGCTAGTCTCTTCGAGTCGGAAATTTAGGAGGTGGCTCGAATTGACAAGAAAAATTGCGATAATTTCGACCAAAATTTGTGTCAAATTTTAAACCAATCAGATCTCCGCATTCGGCTGGTAGACAAATCAGATTCTAGCTTGAAAAAATTGTCGAAAGAAATCGAATTTAGTCGCGATTTTTGTCGACTCGAATCATTTTTGCCAACCCAAAAATTGACGTTCAAGTTTGTTAACTTCTAGAGCTCACGTGAGTGCCGCAAAACACGTGTCTACCGCGCGGCCTTTTTTCTTTGTAAAGTCAAGTCCCCAGAATTCCGAATTCTCTTCGTCAATTGTCAGCCTTTAGCCCACCACACGTAGCCAGGATTTCACCCTTATGAAAAGTACTCGAAATCGGGCGCGAAGCTTTGCAAGGAATTTTCAATATTCAGCGGCTCGTGGCGTTTTTGGCGCCGCTCGAAATCAGGATGCGGTCGAATAAGCGTCGATTGTTCGACAGGTTCCGGAAAATTTTCGAGGATCTAGACAGCTCCAAGATAATTTCAGAAAGTGGCCTTGACCGAGACAGCCGCTTAGACGGCTTTGATGAGTCTCTTAGACCGATATTTCGTCATTCTTAGCTCGATACCCTTAAGCTGTCCATTTTCAAGTTTAACTCCTTCACGCCAAATTGCACAAAAAAGGCTCAAGACCGCTTTGAAGCTTCCTATGTCGAGAAAAAGCCACCTGGAAGTCGAAAAATGAGTACCGAACAAATCGCTAATCATGTGGCTCAAACCAAACCTGCTCCTGTCTGACTGTAATTCATATCAATTTCATATTTTTTCTGTAAATAAAATGAAAACCATCAAAGCTGAAAAACGTTTTTTGGTCCTCTAAAAAGGCTCAAGGAAATTGGTATTTTTGGAAGAGGGGGAGTGAAAACTACCAGTGCCGGAAATGAGCGGAAAATTCGAAAAATACTAGATTTGGAACGCTTACTGGAACCACAAATTCTATTTTCGCAATTCTGCTGAGACAACAATTCTTTTAATCAGCGTTTTTTCTTCACTTAAAAACCCTAAAAGAGATTTTTTTACTCAATTTTCTGAAAAAACCGACAAGATTCTGATATGGGGATAAAGTTTCTTTCAAAAACAAGGGAGTTCACTAATTGACCCTTAAAAATAAACAGTAATTATTGAAGATAGAACTAAAAATAGCAGAAAAAGAGAAAAAAATTGAAACTAAACGGGTGCTTATGCTGCGCCAGAAAGTCTCCAATGACTCGTACTTTCTCGAAAAAGCTTGTTTTTACAAAATTAACATGCCACTGTTCCTTCCCCCGTTTATGTCAGGCCGGGTTAGATGACTTGTTTGTTGCCATCCAAATGTTACCCCGCTAGAAAATTCTTAAAATGCTAAGAACTGGCTTTTAGAATCAATCTCAAAGCAAATACCAAAATAAAAGTCCAAAATTTCTGGATCTTAAAATAAAGGAAGAGTTTTTGAGTCAAATTGAGAGCTCAGCTGGTCCAAAATAATTATTATAATTTTTCTTATTGAAAATAAATTATTGAAAGTTTC